GAGCTTCACCAAGCGAGGGCGAGTGCTGAATCGGAGCACAGCGATAAAACGTCTAAGCTCAACAGTCTCGTCGAAAAGTTGCAGGCCGAAGTCGCCGAGTTCCAGAAAGCAAAAGAGCAATTTATGAACGAACGAGAACAAGAATCCAAGGACCACAATGCCGCCATCGAGAATCTACAAGACCAGAACTCGGAGCTGCAGCAAAGTCTTCAGGATGCCAAATCAGCTTCTGATGCCGAGAGCGAGAAGCTCAAGGAGACTCTCGAGTCTGTTCAGGCGGAAGTCGCACGACTCAAGTCTCGAGAGCAGGAAATTTCGAGTGCAAAGGAGGCAGAGCTCAAGAGCTTAGCAGGAACAATTGAGAACTTGCAGTCGAGGATCCAATCTCTGACGCGCGAAGCTGAAGATAGCAAGAGCACTCATGAGGCCGAAGTAAAGTCCATGGAAAATGTCGTTTCTGGACTACAAGCTCAAGTTACGACTCTTGAGCAAGCGAGGGATGAGTCTATCAAAGCTTTTACTGATGAGACCAGTGCGCTTCGTAGTACAATGTCTGAGCTCGAAGAACAACTTCTGAAATCAAGATCAGATGGTGAAGCTGTGCTGAAGGCTAAGGAGGATGAGCTTTCGGAGCTACGCACCAATCTTGATCAAGCTCAAGCACATCTCGAGCAAGCAAAGAACGACTCTGCAAGTGCCTTGAGCGAGGAAACTGCAGCTCTCAAGCAGGCAATAACCAACCTCGAAGGACAACTGCAGGACACGCGCTCAGATAGTGAGAATGCTCTCAAGGTCAAAGACGAGGAGCTTTCTGTGCTCCGGACCAACCTTGAACAAGCTCAGACTGCTCTCGAGCAAGCAAAGAGTGATGCTTCCAAAGCTCTGAATGAGCAAGAGGACAAGTTCAAGCAGAGCATTTCTGAACTCGAAGAGCAAATCGACAAGCTGCACACTGAGTACACAACTACGCTTAAGAGCAAGGAAGATGAGCTTGTGGCTTCACAAGACAGTCTTCAGAAAGCTGAAACTCAGTTGGCAGAAAGCCAGGAGTCATTTGCTGACGAGATTGCTGTCCTCGAGAAAGGAATATCTGGATTGGAAGAGCAAATTCAAAAGGCGCGCTCTGAACATCAAGATGTTCTCCAAGCCAAGGAAAGTGAACTTTCTGAGCTGCGTGGTAATCTTGAGATAGCCGAATCGAAGGCAGCTGCTAGTGAGAAGTCTTTGGCCGATGCTCGGGAGACAGACTCAGGTCAGAACCATGAAGGCGAGTTGAAGGATCTTCAGATCGTGGTCAGCAGATTTCAAGATCAAGTCGCAGCTCTGGAGCAAGCAAAGGAGAATCTGAGCAAAGCCCTCGAAGAAAAGAACGCTGCTCTTGAGCAAGCAGATGCCACTCGCAATAATGAGAGCAAGGCAGAAGTCCCCTCGACAGCCATCGACGAGCTGCGAGAACAAGTTACGACTTTGACTTCTGAGAAGAACGACTTGACCAAGACTTTCGAGGAAAAGACCTCGGCTCTCGAGCAGACAATTTCCAGTCTTGAAGATCAGATGCAACAAGCTCATATTGGCCACGAAAATGCTTTGACCGATAAAACCCAGCAAGTACTAGAGTTGAATGAGCTTCTAGAAAGGGCCCAAGCGACGGCGTCTGATAGAACGCAGTCTAACGATGATCATGGTGCTGAGTTGAACAACCTGCAAGCCTCGATTGATCAATTGCAAGCGCAGGTTGCGACTCTTGAGTCTGCCAAGGGCGAGTTGATCAAGGACCTCGAAGCTAGGATTGCTGCTCACGAGCAGACTGTCTCAGATCTCGAGAAACAGATTAAACAAGATCACTTGGATCACGAAGACGTCTTGAAGACCAAAGACCTCGCAATCTCGGAGACTCAAGAAGCTCTCGAATGGGCACGTGGAAAAGTCTCTGATACCGAGAAAATCCTTGAATCGAAGGACAATGAGCTCTCGATCTTGCGCGAGAGCCTTGAGAAGGTCCAGACCGAGGCTTCTTCCACTCGCAAGTCTCTTCACGAGACTCGCGCCTCCTTTGACGGTCTGCAAAAAGACAAGTCCAGCACAGAAGAATTGCTAGCTCAGATTAAGCGTGAGAGACTGGAAAGCGAAAATGCTCTCCAGAGAAGAAACGCAGAGATCAATGACTTGTGGGCCTCTCTTGAGCAGTCTCAGGCAGGTTCCAGAGAAGCACTGGCTGAGCTGCAATCCTTGCGTGAGAACAATACAGCTATGTCTGATCTCGAGCGCCAGATGAAGCAGTTGAGAAGCGAAAATGAGAAGGCAATTCGAAGTCGAGACTCGGAGATTCGCAAGCTTCGTGAAGCTGTGGAGAGAGGAGAATTGGCAGCATCAAACCTTCAGCAAGCACGCACAGCCATGAGCGATATGGAAACACAATTCGAAGATCAATTGGCTCAGCTGGAACACCAAATCAGAAAGAAGCAAACCGAGTTTGACGATTTGCACGAATCATATGAGAGGTCGCAGGCAGACTATGCTGAGATGGGAGACTTGCTTGGTACGACAAATGAGCGCTTGCAGAAGTCTTATGTTGAGGCCGAGAGGTTGCAAGAACAACTCAACAGCAAGAACGACGAGGTGTTCAGCCTGAATGTATCCTTGGAGAGCGCACAAAGGAAGACCGCTGAGAAGCAGGCAGAGCTGACCGAGCTCCGCTCATCGAGGGAAGACGAAACCCTGGCTTTGAGGAACCAACTCAATCAGCAGATTCAATCTGTGCAAAAAGCACAAGCCGAAGCTGAAGACCTCAAGGCCTCACTCGAAGAATCCCGGGTTGAGATCACTGCATTGCAGAGTGCCCAGAGTGCTGGTGCCGAGTTGTCACAACACATCCAATACGTCCATGCAGAGTACGAGGAAACACTCCAAGCCAAGAATGCTGAGATCGAGCAGCACCGCGCAGCCTTCGAGAAAGCACAGCAAGAGGCTGCTGATTTCGCTCGCACTCTGGCAGATTCGACAGCTGAGCTTGAGGAACTGCACAAATCGATCGATGTGTTGACTGTGGATGGTGGTAACAAGGACAATGACCATGCTGCTGCAATCGCCAGAGTTGAGAAGGAACTGAAGGACAAACACATTGAAGAGATTCGCAGCATACAAGAGGCCCATACATGGGAAATCGCTGGTCTACAGAGGGAGCCTGATACTAGGTCCCCCGACTCGTTCCGCAATGCCTTGATTCAAGAGAAACGCGAGCTGGAAGTTGCTTTTGCTGAAACCGAGCGTTTGTACGTTGAACAAGTCGAGTCTTTGAAGTCAGGAATGCACGCTCAGATTGCTGAGCTAAGGGATGAGCTGGCAACAACCACAGATGAGAAGTTCGAGTTGATGCAGAAGCTCGACGAAGCGCAGGGTCAGCGTGAGGTCACACCTGCCACGCCGACCTCTCCCCAGAGTGCGCAGAGGAAGTTGTCGGCCCTCCGGGCCGACTATGATGCTCGTGTTCTGGAGTTCGAGACCAGACATCGTGACCTCGTGCGCCAACAAGAAGAAACCCTGGAAGCCCATCGTGCCGAAACCGAGGCCAAACTCCAACTAGCAGAAGAGCGTCGTCGCGAACTCATTCGTGAACACGAGGAGAATCTGTTCAACCAAGCTGCCGAGTTTGAGAAGTCAAAGAACTTCTCAGTTGATGCACTGAACGCTAGACACTACACTGAATTGAAGAAGCGAGATGATGCTATTGATTCTCTGCGAGAAGAACTCAATTCATTGAAAAAACACGTCCAGAGACTGCGAGCTGAGGATTCTGCAGCGCAAAGTCCTGCAGCGCAGAGTCCTGCAATCAATGTTGAGACTTCAGAACCTCAGAATGTAGAGGATGATGATGCACAGGCAGGAGCCACACCAGGTGCTCTTGAGGAAGGAACCAGATTCGAGGAGTTCCTCACACCAATGGAAACACAAGAAGAGCAAGAGCCACAATTTGAAGACGCAGACACGACACAAACATCCGCACCTGCCGACTCAGACGCAGATTCAGACAACTCCTACGACATGGACTTCACCCACCTCGACTCTCAAATCGACGCCTCAGAACCCTCTCCAGCAACAAAAAAGCTCACCGTCGATACCGCAAACCCTATCACCACCTCCAACGACGAAACCTCAACACCACTCGACCAACAACAACCCCCCAGCGCAACAACAACATACTCGAACTCAGCTCTAACCTCTCAACTCACCCACCTCGAAGCAGCCCTCGAACTCTCCCGCAAAGAAACCTTCCACGAGCGCGCAAACCTGCAATCCCAACTCACTTCCCTGCGCGCCGAACTCGAAGCCACAAAAGCAGAAAAAGCATCTTTGCAATCCAAACTCGCGAATTTCAACGCCCAGATGGATGAAAAGATTTTCGAACTTGGGGGTGTGGAAGATGATGATGTGTTTTATACTGGTGATAAGGATGGGAAAGAAGCAAAGAAGAAAAATACTATTGAAGGTACGTTGGCCAGTCTAAGATTACAGGCTAAACAGCTTGAAGAGTTGAATGAAGAGTTTTTGAGTCAGAGTATGCGGTGGAGTGGGATTTTGCCGTTGAAGCAGATGTAAATCTTGTAATATAGAGAAGGGAGTTTTCGGTAGTTGTTTGTATGTGTAGGCATTATGGGTGGAACTTTTCTGTATAATGGTTATGGACCAATCTGTTTCTTGTTCATCTAGGACGCACTTCCCATTCTGAAATGCTTCTGCTCACATCCTTGACCCCGTATCATCTTACGAGTGTTGAGTAGCAAGGGTCAACAGCGACTGCTTAAAGAGCTTAGTGTATTATATATTATACATTATTGAAATTACTGGTTGTGTTTTGGCTGGGGCATTCTTGATTTCATAACCCCTGATCCAAATAAAGGCAATTGAAACACCTCAAACGCATCGCTAGAATCGCAGCATGAAAATAAAGCAAGGTTCATCATGAACCATCATATCTACATCCTGATAACCATATCAGGAACACCCGGTCTACCCACACGATCAACACCAACGTGTCGCTTGCCATCACGACCAAAATACTTTCCATATCCGTAGCGAGGCATCTCCGAGCTTCCTCGAGTTGTCGTGGCATCAGCTCTTGCACGTCCAAACCCGCGCAGAGAGTCCGCGATGGAGACTTTGCTGCCGGTGATTGCCCCCTCAGTCTCGGGGTTTTGGTGGTAGCTGTTGCGTTCGCCAACAGGAGCGGAGAGCAGACGTGTGACGAGAGCAGTCTTGGTTGCGGGTGCTTGGAAGGCAGCATCATTGAGTAGACGGCTCTGATAGAGGAGGGAAATTTTGTCTGCGAGGGTAATGCCACGGTTAGGCAGTGCACGCTTGTGGCCTGCGAATACGAGAATGTATGCGAGAGCATAGATGACGAGGAAGACTGTCAGAGGGTAGAAAGCAGTCATATGTGCGCTGATTCGAACGCGTTGCTGGTTAATATAGAATTGGCTCCAGAAGACACCACCAGCCAGGATTGGGAGGAGTGAGGCAATGATTGTTACGAAGCTGAGTAATGCGACGCGGATATGGCCGTTGACTGCTGCTTTGAGAGTGACCACAAAGGGTGCATCGGCAGCGTAGGACAAAAGAAGACTCTTCTCAGCGAGACAACCACCTGGCGAAGACATTGAAGCGTACGGCTGCAGGCGGCGAAAGGCAAGATCGATGGGCTGCCACACGAGCAGACATAGCAAGCCAAGTAGAGATGGCACGAACGAGTACAGGAAGTTGGATGACGAGAAGCCAAACCTGTTGACAGCCTCTGGAAGGTCTGGCAGGAAACCAGCAGTGACTGTCGTTGCTGGAAGGTAGGATACTACCAGGAATGCGAGCAGGAGAATAAGCGCGATGAAGAACCAGAGAGAGGCGAAGCCAGTTCGGAGAAACCAAGGCAGATAGTTATCAGTGTTGTCAGGTTGCAAAACAAGGTCAGTTGTGTTGTGCGAACCGTAACTGTAGGGTCGATCCTGTTCAGGCTCGTTGATATTGGAGTAGCCAGTTGATTGATTCAGGAGCTTTTCATTGAGGATACTCTCCTCTGTGCTGTACGGTCTTGCGGGCCTGTTTGGTGCACCTAGAGTATGGAAAACGTCATTGGGGTTATAAGCAGTGTTGAAGTAGCCCAGTCTGTCTTGTCTCTCGGTACTGTGACCCCAGAGTTCGTACTTATTCACGTCAACACCAACATCAGCGAAGTGGTCGAGGATGTTGCTACGTTCGGTGATGACAATCAGGTCGGCCAAAGTGCGAGCATCCCATTTGAGTCCCGTTCCCCTGCGATGAAGGAAGAGCCATAGAGTGACGGAAGCAGCCAGCAAAAGGATGTACAGCGCAATCGTGGTCCAAATTGTTCCTTGTGTGGCAAGCCAGACCCAACGACCAGGAGTCCCACTGAAATAGACATTGAAGGAGGAAGCCAGCAATGGAATGGTGAAGATACTAAGCCAAGAGGCGATCAGGAATGTGCCAATGGCTCGCTGACCTACCCTGAGGTGTGCGAGAGGAGGCAATGCAAATCCTGCTGGGTACATGGGTAATGTGGTACCGTGTCCACGAAGCGTTGAGTTCTTGGATGCCAGGGCGATGAAGGGGGCGATTCTGTACACTGCTTTCTCGATCTCAAAGAGCCAAAGAAGTAAGATCATGCCCAGAAGAGTAGGCAGATACTGAAACACGAAATATGTGCCATCCCCAAGGGAGCCGTAGTTGCACAGGCCTGTGCGTACACGAGACCAGATGGCGGTAAAGACAAGGGCGATCAAGTAAAGCGTTAGTAGCGACATGAAGATGGCAAGGCGTATTGGACGAAGAATCGGCGGTAAAGCAGTTAGTGAGGCATAAAAAGAGTCGGTAGAAGGCTCGAATGGGGTGAACAGATGCAACTCTTGCTGCAATGGATGCTGTGTCGGTGTTTGACTGCTCTTGCGTTTTGGGCTCCGTGGGGGGATAGGGATTGGATTGATGTCATCGAAAGGTAAGTCGGGTACGGGTGGATATTCATGCTCTAAGGGTATGAGACCTTCGTCGTAAGCATTGCCAAACTCCGGACCAAGCCAGGGTTTGCCTTCAGCTTCGTCTTCATCCCTTGTGATCTGGTCAAGAGCGAAGCGGACGTAGGGCGTGTCGGCTTCGGGTGTTGGAGGATCATACTGTCGGGCGATTTGCATAGAAGCAGAACTTAGAGCGGCTTGAGGAATACGAATGGGTTCCACATGTGATGGGTTCTCGAGCACTGTACTAGGCACCGGCTTTCTTCTGATGGGTGAGCCTCTCCTCGGCGGAATCGGAGGTACAGAGATCTCGGTGGGAGCCAAGTCACGCCTTCTCACACCATGACCTCTCATTGGTCTTGACGACGGCTTCGACACCTGGCGAATGAGGACTGGTCTAGCAATGCCTTCATAGCTCTGACGTGTGGGGAAAGTGGGCGATGTTGGAGATGCAGGGCTCTCTATTCTGCGGATCGTGCGTGAGTGCGTCCTTGGTAATGCGTATGGTCGTGATTGTGAGGCTCGACTATCTGAGCGATTGGATGATCTGGAAGACAGAGAATAGTAGTCCTCTGATGCCGTGAACGAGCGTTCTGATTGTGTTCTTTCCAATCGTGGTGTCGAAACTGTTGTCGATCAGATCAACACATCAAAAACAGTACTTGATCGCACCTACCATTTGTGTGCTTGAGATGTAAAGATTCCAATGAACGACTCATCGCTGCGAACGATTAAACGGCAAAAACGATTGAAACGACAAAAACTGCTGTCAACGATAACAAAACGTGCAGGGGACTTCAAAGTACAACGAGTTGAGCAGCTGTATTCCTTTTCTTCACTTTCATGGTGATGCTCGATTTTACATGTGGCCGGATGCCGAGGAGGAGGCTGGTCAAGAGCCCACTTTCACCAACCACCGCCGCGAGACGCTCTTCAGGTATCCACCTACCTCGTTTGGTCTTATGTACTCAGCCGCTATACCTGTAGCCAAATCTCTGCCTTTTTGAGCTTGGTGTCCCAGCCATCTCTTACCGATTCGTTTGTTGACGAACATGTCGTGGGTTGACTAGGTGAAGTAGACGTCGATCACAAACACTCTTGCGCCCTGTGCACTTTCCACCACTTGTTCACGTGGGGTTTGGCCAACCTTCTTCCATCGCGTTTTGCGATTCTCCGTCTGGTTTGACAGCGGGAAATATACATCTATAGCGTTTGTCGAGTAATAGCTATGGGTCATCTTCCGAGGTGTGATTTGTAGTCTTAAGATGATTTCTTAGGTTGGCAACGTGACAGACGACTCCGATGATCAAGCTTGATGTCATTGATCCTCACGACTTCTTGCATTGAAGTAACGTCTTTTGTGTTTCTGAGAGTTTTCATGCTTTCCAATACCAGAAGACTATTCGCCTTCACCAGTAAATCTCACATCATGTCGCTTGACTCTGCAGTAGCTCAACTCCTATCTTTGGACCCAGAGAAGACCACACTATCTGGCGCAGGAGCAGGATCAAGCTTCGCCTCAACATCCAAGATCACAACCAAACTCGACGATGGCACAGAAAAACAATTCTTCATGAAAACGGGTTCAGGAAAAGAAGCCTCGGTCATGTTCGAAGGTAGAAACTATCTACAGCCACTTTGTCCTAGCTGAAACTAAAGACAAAACCCAGGCGAGCACGCATCCCTTAGTGCAATCTACAATGCCGTTCCCAGCCTATGTCCCCAATCCTATGGTCACGGCACATTCACCTCTTCACCCTCCACCCACTTCCTCGTCACCGACTTTGTAGACTTGTCAAGTCGATTTTCTTCCAAGGCGTCTTCATCAGCACCTTCTCTAGCTGCAAAGCTAGCAAAACTGCACAGTACACCAGCACCCCCACCACCAGGAGAGTCAACGCCAAAGTTTGGATTTCCGGTTACGACGTGTTGTGGTGATACGCCTCAAGACAATAGCTTTAAAAGCAGTTGGGCGGAGTTTTATGCTGAGAATAGACTCATGTTTATTCTTAAGCGTAGTGAGAAGACTAATGGACCTGACAAGGATTTGCGCTCGATGGTCGAAACTACTTGCACAAAAGTAGTGCCACGCTTGATAGGTGATGATCATCTCAATGGCGGTAAAGGTGTTACTCCTGTCGTCGTCCATGGAGACCTTTGGTCAGGCAACGCCAGTCTCGGGAGACTACCCGGTATGGAAGCTCCCGAGGATATCATCTATGACTCTAGTGCCTGCTATGCGCATAGCGAGTTCGAAATTGGTATAGAAAAAATGTTCGGAGGGTTTGGAGGAAGCTTCTTCAAGGAGTATCATGAAATTGTCCCCAAGACAGAGCCTGCGGAGGAATACGCAGACAGGATTTCTTTGTACGAGCTGTACCACCATCTGAACCATCACGCGATATTTGGTGGTGGCTACAAGAGTGGTGCTGTCAGCATCATGAGCAAGCTGATTGGAAAGTATGGCAAGGACTAGTAATGGTAGCAGACATAGTCCGAAACAAAAATCACCTTTTTAGTGCGAGAGAGACCAGGCAAATGATAGATGGTAGATGACGACATTAATGGATTTGTAGCCGTACAGTTGATGTACTTTTTTATACACAATTCTTCGGCTCTTGAAATATGACGGCCCCAATCCTTCTGGACTCCAGGCAAATGCTCCCCAGCGCAAGTTGATATCTGATGTCCGCTCCACCCAGTCCAGCTCATAAAACTCCCGAAACGCCAAAGCCGATGATCGAAGACGAAAGAAAGCATGAGAGAAGGTCTATGCAGCGTTCAAAGGCTTGAAGTCGCCAGCATCCTCGGCCATGGCGAGAGAGTTCTTCTTGGCGCGCTTCTTGAGGACGTTCTCGATGAAGGCTTCACCGGCCTTGTATGAACTGCGGACCAGGGGACCACTGGCGCAGTAGAGGAAGCCCATGTCAAGGGCGCGTTGTCTCCAAAGCTCGAACTTTTCGGGCGAAACGTATTCTTCGACCTTCATGTGACGCTTGGTGGGGCGCATGTATTGGCCGAAAGTCACAACGTCGACATCAATCTTGCGGAGTTCTGTGCACAGTTCAGATTAGCCTTAGTTTCGCAGAACTTAGATTGACAGATCTTACCCTTAAGTGTATCCCAGAGCTGATCCTCGGTCTCGCCCAGTCCCAGCATCAAACTGGTCTTTGTGATCAAGCCTTCCTTGGCCTCCTTTGCAGCCTTGAGGACTGCAAGAGACTGACGGAACTTTGCGCGAGGGTCGCGAACAAAAGGTGTCAAGGCTTCGACGGTCTCCATGTTGTGTGCGTAGACATCCAGACCACTCTGGGCAACCACCTTGACCATCTCCAGATCACCAGCGTAGTCACCGGTCAAAGCCTCGACGAGCATTGTAGGAGCCTTCTGCTTGATCTTCATGATGGTACTGGCGAAGTGGTGTGCGCCACCATCTGCAAGATCGTCGCGGTCAACGGATGTCAAGACAACGTAACCAAGACCCCATCGTGAAAGTGCTTCTGCGGTGTTCTCGGGCTCGTGAACATCAAGCGGCGGGGGCTTTCGGCTTGTCTTGACGGAACAGAATCGGCAACCACGTGTACATGTGTCGCCCATAAGCATGATAGTGGCAGTAGCAGCAGACTTGTCGCTGCCGCCCCAGCAGTCGGAGATGTTAGGGCAGCGTGCTTCCTCGCAAACAGTGTGTAGGTTCAGACCGCGCAAGTCATTCTTGATCTTCTTGAAGTTGTTGCTGCTGGGAACGGGAGTCTTGAGCCATTCGGGCAATCGTGTGTGAGGCTTCTTCTTGCCGGCAGGGCCAACCATGACCGTCTTCAATTCCAAAGCTTCCTCAGGACTCAATGGAGCTTCTTTTCCAGAAACAAAGTCGCCAAATGCAGGACCAGCATTCAGGATATCTGAGAACTTCGTGGCTTTCCGAGGGGTAGATTTCGTTGTGTTCGGCGATGAGGGCGTGATATCTGATGCTGCCGTGGCAAGGCATCGTCTTTGTAGGAGGGGCGCATGTGTGGACGACGAAAGGATTCGACGGGAAGCTGGTCGTAGTGAGGCCATGTTGGATGATGTGGTGAGGTAAAGAGTGTCAGTCGAAAGGAAGTCCTGGGAGAGCGGGCAAACAATCTCTCGTCAATCGTTTGACTCGACTCGGGCCGTCCTAGAAATTCCCGCTTCGGCGCCGCCACTCAACTCCGCGAGGAGGCGCAACGCCGTATCTGCCCGCAGACCCTCATTACGGAGACCCCCTCCTGGCTGCAACTGTGGGTGCCGTTACTCGTCATAGGTACCTCAACATATCAATTGCCCTTCTCTTCGCCTTAACATCGAACATTGCTATGACCGCTCACACGCTAACCACTTTTCGCTATGATGCCGATTCTGGCAAGTTCGTCAAGAAGACTACGCAGCGCAGTCTGGGCTTGAACGAGGTCAAAGTCAGGGTTACACACTCAGGCATCTGTTATACAGATGTTCATGCAAAAGAAAAGGCTTGTGGACTGGGCCACGAAGGTGTCGGTCTGATTACTGATCTTGGAGCCAATGTGACTTCCATGAAGATCGGTGATCGCGTGGGCTGGGGGTAAGTAATGCTGAAGAACACTTTCTTTCATTCCGTCCATATTATCCCAACATGATCTGATGATATTGTAGATGGCTACGTAGTGTAAGTGACTCGATGAGTGAATTGATCGCATAGACTAAGCATATCAGTCTTGTGGAAATTGTCCTGTCTGTGTCGATGGATATCGCCAGTACTGTAGCCAAGCAAGCGGCTTTGCTTTCTGTGACCATGACCAAGGTAACCAGACATTACCAACAACGTCCCAACCATACTGACTTCATTTGAGGTGCCTTTGCCGACTCTCATATCATCGATGCCAGCTTCGCATACCACATCCCTGCTGAGATTCCTTCCTGGCAAGCTGGTGTATTCATGTGCGCCGGTGCTTCTACTTACGAAGCCTTGGATGCAGCTGGCACGAAACCACATCATCGCGTCGGTATAGTCGGCTTAGGAGGTCTCGGCCACATGGCTGTTCTGTTCGCCAAAGCGATGGGCTGTGCTATCACCGTCTTCTCTGGCTCAGAAGGGATGGCAGAAAGCAAAGCTAGAGATGCCTTCCAACTCGGCGCTGACGAGTTTCGCGCTCTGAACAACATTGACACTCCTGTCCGACCAGACTCAAATACTGACAGGACTGACAATGCATCCAAGTCACTGATAGACGTCCTACTCATCTGTGCTAACGAGACACCCGACCTAGAGAAGATTCTGCCCTTGCTAGCACGCAGAGCAACCATCGTTCTCATGTCGATACAGCAGAAGCCACTAGTCATCCCATACATGCCTTTCATACTTCCCGGTCATAGGATCATCGCTTCAACCGAGGCGTCGAGGCAGAACCATCTTGCTATGATACAATTCGCAGCGAGACACAAGATATCACCTTGGATAGAGCGCTTCCCTATGACTGAAGATGGCTTGAAGAATGCTTTTGAAAGACTCGAGAGTGGCGAAATGAGGTATAGAGGGGTGCTCGAGATGCCTGAATGAATATTGAAATTTTTGTTGTGAGAATATTTACTCGATCATGTGTTTTCGTTAGAGCGCAAAATCTAGTGGTGCTTGGGCGTATCCTCGTCGTCCTCACTCATGAGACCTTCCAACTCAAACTCTTCCGCGTCTCTTATCTGGCGGTCGCTTGCGTCTGGAATACGAGCATGTCCATTTGGCAGAGCAGAACCATTGAGCCTCATCTCGGGATCGGGGGTTTTGCCATTTGTGGGAGCTTCCGCGTAGTAGGTATACAGACGAAGAAGCATGTTCACGACTGTGATAAGCATTAGCTTCGGTTACTGTTGGGTTCAGGAAATTTGTGATCTTACAAAGGAAGAGGAGGAAAGCAAAGCTGTAGAGGATTAGAATGTAAGTAACGTGGGTGACACCGGCGTTGGACAAAAGTAGCATCTGCTCTTCGGTAGCGCCCATAAAGAGGAAACCACCGGCGTACAGCAAGAAAGGAGGTAGGAACTGGAAGCTGTTGGTATCTTCTCCATCTTCGGAAATGGAGTTGGCGTCTTTCAACACAAAACTGATCTCGATGATGCGGGTGATACCAGCAGCCATCAAGGTGTAACCGAAGACACTGTGTACCATAGTACTCAGGTGCAATTCCTGAGGGTGACCACTCATGGCCCAGCCAGTGATGGCGATGACAATGGCAGGAATGAGGTTGCGCTTAGGACGGCCACGGCGGTCGCGGCTTAGCCACATGCCCAAAAGACCTGCGCACCACCAAATGATGCCCATGCTGGTGTGCTGCAAGTCATTGCGTACCCAGGGACCTCCCCATCTGTGTTCGGTGAAAGTGTTGACACATCCCCAAGCAGCGATGACAAGACTGTCGTAGAACTCCTGCGAGCGGCCAGTGCGGCGCAGCCAGATCTGACCAACGAGAAGGAGGATGGTGTAAACGATGCCGTATGCGATGAAAGCGGATCCCATGATAAAGTGGGCAGCACATTGACCGACATGATCGCCCTGGCAGAAGCCTAGGGCTGTAATTCCACCAAACAGCATCTGGACCCAAGCAGCTATCGGCATGATCTTGCCCAGTATACCGTGTGCAGAGACAATCGCCTTTCTAATTTTGCCCAGAAAGCCGCGTTCAATGTGGAGTTTGAGATAGATGCCCATGGCGGCTTGAGCAAAGAGCATCATCATCAACCAAGGGGCATATTGCGCGTGTACGTTCTTGCTGAATTGGCGACCTTTGTGGGCGTGGCCGAGCAGGTAGCCCAAGATGGCGAGGCCAGTGGCAGTGATCTGGACGGGAACATGCCATCGCGAGCGGACGATACCCAGGACCATGCCAACGGGGAACAGAATGCCCCAAGCGAATATTTGAACGAGGATGTGGACCCATAATGTCGTGTCCTGGGCGAGAGTCAGTCTCGGTATAGAGTACGCTCATGCGGGAAAGCCTACTAGAGGGTCAGGCGAGATAGCAGCGCCTTCAGGGATCTTGTCTTCATGATGCTCATGCGCCTGAGCAGTCGAGACAAGCAGAGCAAGAACGGTGGCGGCTTGGACGCTCTTGCTCAGCATTCGCGGCGACAGCTGCGTCGAAAGGGCCATCGTAATACACGGTGCAGATGACAGTCACAGTCTTGTAATCTTCGAGTCCGAGTCTTCCTATGAGGTTTCGTGCATCCCCTTTGTCGTCTTGTCCAACAGGACAAAAACAAAAGGTTTACCCCCAGCCCACCTTGATCTAAAGATTGCTGACCACGCGTATCCCGCCAAGCCATCCGATCCCCTATTCTTCAAGCCAAATTCCTCTCGCCTGATTTCTTCTGCATTTTATGTAGACCAGGATACATGTTCAAGAGCACCTGGAATGCTTGATAAAACTTATTTCCGCTTGGACAATCCGTTCATTCCATCTGTTTGCGTTGTAGTTCTACTTTCAGTCTCAGTATCAGATTATCGGGAAGGCGCGGATTATGCTTATATCCTTTTATGTCCGATGAAGCACGAATCAGGGTAATTCAACCACATCTCGTCGCTGCTTCTTCCTGTAGTGTTGCTTCCGTGGTACTGCAACATTGTCACGCACTAGCCATCGTAGAAAGTCACCCTACCAATCAGTGCAACCTAGAATGCTCTGATTATCTCCAGTCGACTACCGGAGCAATCGAGAAACCTCTTTTCCGTAGAAGCAGCAAACATGGCCGAAGATAATCTCTCCTCTTCGCCCACTGCACCACTCAAGTCGACGATGTCTTCAAAAACATCATCTTCCGGTAGGGACATTCAACTCGACGCTCTTCGTGCTCGTCAAGCTGCTCTCGAAGCAACTGTCGCCGAGTTGCTCTCTCAGCGTACCTCTCTCGTCAACACCTTCTCTACAACCTCTGATACCCAGGATCTAGAAGACACGGAAATTCGTGCAAAGCTTGCGGTAGATGCTGTCAACCTGAAAATCAAATCTCAAATCAAACAGCTACAGCAGTACAACGACATCAAAGATATTGGCACCCAGCTGATGGGAATCATTGCTGAGAAGCGTGGTTGCCGCATCGGCGAAGTCCAGGAAGAGTTTGGTATTAAACCCGACGATTGAAAGGTAGTGTTTCGCGCCTCGTAAGCAAACATCCCTCAATTGAGCTGCCTGTACTGACTTCTTTCAAGATATCAAATTACCCAGATCCAACACGAGCTACCGGTACCATATAACAGAGAACGACGATCAGTCTTGCTGCAAAGCTTGTGTGGCAGGAACCAGGAACCCTCCAACACATCCAGTTGGCGAGGAGTTTTGGTGTTGCAGGGTATCATCAGACATATATACATATATATCGTCTACCCTCCCCGTATCCAAAAGTACGCGACTTTCATCATACTCCCACCACAACGCAGAGTAAGGTAGTCGCTATAAAAAGGCACAATCTTATATGGAGACAAATGCTATCCATAGAGAGTCAATCCTTTGTTGCTTCTCAGCGGGAACTGTCCAGTTGCCTGGTTGTATCATGCATCTCTACAGCTATACGCGTTGCATACTTTTGAACACGGAGAGGACGGATCAACCTTATCCTGCGAAGATTGTGGACATTCGCCATTTCGACTGCTTCACTCGCAAGTGAATTGGAGACAATTGCAGCCTAAGCAATTCTCCGTTATATAATAGCTTCCTATTGGCTGTTGCCTTGCTATTGCGCCTCCAATTTTCCGTCTTCCTTATTGTCGCCTTGTTATTGTCGACGCGGCTATATCAACTGTTTGCTCACAGCTTGTGCACTCTCTCTTCTTCCTCGACATCGCGCAAAACAATCTTGAGCATCCACAACCACAACGTTACTTCTTCATAACCACTATCAAGACCTTCAAGCTTTTATCACTTCCAACGTTTTGCGCACTCTTCAAACACCATCACAACAAGCCTTCACGCGTGATCTTGCACATTCACATCACGACCAAGCATCACTTTTCTTCGCCATAACAACTACCATCACTCAAGCCGCCAAAATGGCCAACTTCACTGCATTCATCACTCTTCTCGTCGGCATCACCACCTTCTTCACCGACAACCTTCCTGGCGCCCGCTCCTTCACTTCTTGGGGTCAGAAACTCCTCGCTGCTCCGACCCAGACTCACTTTGAGTCTGTCACAATCATCACTCCGGTCACTTTCACGACCACTTTCACTACCACGGCCATTCCGACTTTCACTTCATCAATCGCACCTCCCGGCAACGAGCTCGCCATTGTCCACACCACTCTGCCTTCCGGAGATATCTGTTTCTTCGCAGCTCTCAAGGAGATCATCTGCGCCTTGTACGCGCTCCTTCACCTGCCATCTGATGCCGCCACTCTCATCTCCGCCATCTTCTTCGCAAGTCTTCTTCTGGCTCTCGTCGTCTGCTTCTTCGTCTCCTCTCCGCCCGCCATGAAGCCAGAAGACCTCATCCATCTCGAGGCACAAGTCAACGAAAAGGACGAGCTCATCCAAAAGCTTCGTACCTCCTATGCCGCGGACCGCGCAGGCCTCCTCCGCAGGCTGCAGGTCCAGAGAGATGAGGCAGACAAGCGCCTGTCCGCCGCCTCCACCCAGCACTACTCCGCCCTGGCCAAGAAGGATCAGGAGATCAGCACGCTTCGTCACGATCTTGCCTTCGCCGACCTTCGTGAGGAGGGGGCCCGCTTGAAGGCCTCTGACGAGGTGATCACGCTTCGCAAGGAACTTGGTCAACTCCGACGCGAGCGTGATTGCCTTGAAAGAAGGCTGGATGCTCAAGAAGAGCTTGTTGCTGGTGCCGAGGAGGCACAGGAGAAGGTCAAGGAAGCTGAAGAGCGCGCCACCGCCGCTGCTCAAGAAGCCCTTGAGGCCAACCAGAAGGTCGAGGCCGCCAAGAAGGCCCACAAGGAGTATCTCGTTGGTGAGAGAGCTCGTGGCCAGGCCGCCGTCGACAAGGTCAAGGCCGAGGTCAAGGAGGTTTTGGCCCTGAAAAGGGTCGAAGAGTACAAGGTCCAGGCCCGGGATCAGGACCTCAAAGCCCTGAAGTTGGAGATGGAGAAGCTGAAGGCAGAAGTGGCAGTGGGGGCTGCTGCTTCTGTTCCGACGCCACCCATCTTCACATCCGGTTCCTCGGCCGCCACAGCACAGGCGATGCGTGACAAGCTAGCTAACGTCCCTGTTGCTGTGGGTGCTTCTTTTGCTCCTGGCGTTGCTGGCCCCTCTGTTCCTGCTCCCGGGCCCTCCGCGCCTGCAGGAAAGGTCAGTTTGGGGCCGCGTCCTCCTCCTAAGGGCCCTTTTGCTCCAAAGCAGTGGGGTGTCAACAGCAAGCGTCGTGGAGCATAGGGGAGGAGAGGAGGAGAGGTTCTTGTGTTGTCGTTCTGGGGGTCATTTTCTGGTGTGTGTGTTTCTCTTTGGGGGTTAAGGTTTCTGGTGTGTGTTTTTTTGCTGGGTGTCGTTTTCTTTCTTTTGGGAGTTTGGGAGTTTGGGCTTTTTTTCTTCTTCGCCGCTGGTCGGTGCAAGGTTTCTTTCTCTGTTTCTATTTTTCCCTGCATGAAGCAAAGCATGGTACAACTTCTGATGATGGAGATGATCAATGAGAACAATGAAACATGTCAAAAGCATACATATCTTGTACTCCCAAATGTGATTTACAGTACAAAATACAGCATCAAAATGCAGAAATCGATTCGGAAAGTAGACCCTGTCCAGTGAGAGTGGATGGTATCAGTTGCTCTCAGTGGAAACGATCCATAATCTCAACTATATTCTGCATTTTTATGTATACCATATTGAGAATATTCGATCTGGGAGCTGTGAGATACACTATACAACCAGAGGCATCAGATACCGAGATGGATATCTCAAGATCGGATGCTTGTTGCATATCAAGCTATAAAAATGCACAAATGTATCCATATTCTAGGTAGCACCAGAGAGATGCCATCAGTCCGTCACTCTCACTGGACAGCAACGATGATCCCGATCAAATTCTGCATTTTTATAAGCTCATATGAGCAAGTCATCAAACAGGAGGGAGCACATAAATATGCTAGTAACATTAATCTATAGTCTATTTAAAGGTCATCACTCATTCTACCGCTTCGTAATGTACATTAATATATTCTAAACCACCGACGAAAAAGATGAAATTGGAAGTTTAGCAGGCTCGGGCTCTGCTATAGAGTCTCCTCGAAGGAAGACGGGAAGTTCGGTTATTGAGGGCCTTGTACCTCGCATACTGCGCTCGAGTTCTTTGGGGTTTGCTGTTAGCCAGTGGAGTACACAGACTGATAGGAAGACTATTACGTGAGTCAGTCAACGGTACTTGAGTGGAAGCGACAAGAGAGTATGAAACTTACTATCCATGTTGCACTGTGTAAAACAGAGCCATACTCGCTCTCTGCCACCTGTAACGTAGAAGATTGTGGAGTTGATGACACCCCAGCCGAGGATGAGAATAGTGCCAATCAAAGACTTGCATGCCAGACCACGAAGCTTGCAAGGTCTTGTGGAAGCAGGTAGAACGATACCGCTTAAATTAGAATCGACCTCTACAGCATGGGCATCAACACCCTTCTTTACACTGCTAGGTCTGCCAATATGGCTCAGACGATTCAAAGTCTTGCCAAATGTTACAAAGCGCTCAGGGACCGATGGGAACAGCTCTGTACGTCTGGTCCGTCGAAGCATTACGATAAAGACTCCAGTGAGGACAGCATACGTCACAGCCTCGTAGATCTCAAGAGGCGCGACAACAGCTGGAGGAATGCCTTTACGACATCTGCCATCGTTGTTGGCAATATATGCGACTGGGTTCAAAAAGGCCCAGACGAGTAGGAAGGTAGCAAAGACACCCACACAGGCCGTAGACAGAATCCACATGGGGTCGTCCCGACGCCGAAGGTAGTCCAAGTTTGCGATGTGTGCTCGTTCGATGAGGAAGAGTTGAGTTGTGAGTCTACCGGTGAAGAGAAAGCCGATACAGAAGTAGATTGCCGTTCGACAAAAGCCGCTTGTCTGGATGCCGACTCCAGAGATGGCTATAGATGTTATGAAGAAAGCGATGGAAACGATGTAACTAGCATAGACGAGCGAACGTATCCACGAGATGTGTCGGATTGTGTGCCAGCGGACTTCTTTGACCCGACGCCCTAGTAGGATGTCAGTTGCATAAGCCAAACAGTCTTCTCTAGTAGATACTCACAAAATAGATAGCAGGTAAGGATCAACGGAAGAAATGCCAAGGAGCTGTATATTGCTCTACCAGGTACAGTGTTGTGCTGATGTGCTCGTGGTCCAGGGTGGTCATCTTCGAAGATCGCAAACAGGTGCCTTCGCAATAGTTCTGCCATCTTGCACTTAGATATGATGACCAGAAGTCGAATCGGAGAGTAAGAGGAGGCAAAGGCTCGATAGCGAGGGAAGTAGCGTGTGTGATTCCATATAAGCAAAGCCCTCGGATATCTCGCCAGAAACAATAGTGAATCGTATTGCCGACTGCCGTTTTGAGCTTAGTGTAGTCTTACATGTATAGCTAATTGTGGTTGATAGTTGCATCTGGCCTGGAGCGTTAAAGACGTTGACCCCGGTATACAGCTGAACCGGAGTGTGTTCCAGTATCCGACAGAGGCCGCTACATACCGCACGACAAAACCAGCAGAAGACGTCTGAGGCGTTGTCATGATGCTACGTGAAGGATGTCGTGTCTGAGGCTTATAGCTCATACGACTCTCGAAGAAGTCGAGGAAAGACGGTCTGTAGAGATGCCTTTACCTCAAGGCGAAAAGATAGCGAAGTATCTCCACATGACAACGTTGCCATAAAAAGAAGGGTAACGGTTCTGTAGCCTACGAGTCTCTACAAGCCTCGAAGCCATGGGGATGCCCTTCGAACGACAACGTAGCTGACAGACAGCAAGCTAGCCAGAGACCAGCTCTGGAGCCCGAGATGATACTGCACTGGTTCCTCCATTGGCTGCTATCTCTTACAAATCCCGACGCTGGCCGTTGAACAGCTTTCTTGCAGACATTATTGGCGGGTCTCACTCTTCCCAGCAAACACGTGCGTCTGGAAGATCCGATCCTGGAGAGCAAGATCATGAACGCATGCGATCTGTCCGAAAGTCGGGCCGGCCGTGAAGCACTGCGGAGTATGTACTTTCAACCTTGGTAGAGGTGAGTCGGAGAGGAAGCATGAACACTCGTTTTCCAAGAAAGGAAAGATAGAAGTGGAACAGATGTCATGTGCGGTTGTGCTTACCCTGGGACAAGGTGGTGACAAGGTTACGGCCGGCTGGCGGTGCCGAACATTTGTCGTCAAACCCTACCCAGATAACAACCACCGATAATATTGGAAAGGGCCTTTTCCCTCAGTAAAAGCCCTGTGTGTAAATTGCAAGCGGAAAGTGTCTAAGAGAACAAAACGGTTCCGCCAAATCCTCAGCTGGGAAGGCGGCGCCTCGAACGAATAGACCACTAATGTGTCGCAGGATCGTTGAACGGTTTGATAGACCTGACTCGTGTGGCAGTGCATGTATATATATCATTCAGGCCAGCGGCGTCAACCTTTCTACGATTCACAATGCCCTTGGGTAGGTATTACCGTGAATTATAAATTGTATTTATTTCGCGTATGTTTCATCTACATCGATCAAGTTGAAATTTTAAACAAAGTGGGTATCCAAGAACAGAATGTGACGCCCACGCGTTCTATGTACGTAGGCAATGAAGCCAGTGCAAATTATAAACATCCGACAGATCCCAGACTATTATGCCTTTTCCAAGGATTGCAATGAAACCAATTCGAAGTATCTTCCTCTCAAGTGAATGAGCTCGGTATGTGTACCAGCCTCAACGACCTTTCCAGCATCAAACACATAAATCATATCCGCACGTTGAATAGTGGATAGACGATGTGCGACGGCGATTGTGGTACGGCCCTTGGCAGCTTTGTCGAGCGCAGCTTGCACAACCTTCTCGGACTCACTGTCAAGAGCAGAGGTAGCCTCATCCAAAAGTAGAATCTTGGGATCGCGCAACAATGCTCTTGCGATGGCGATACGCTGCTTCTGACCACCTGACAACATGCTACCCTTACTGCCTACAACGGTGTCGAAGGCGTCCGGCAATGACATGATAAAGTCATAGATATTGGCATCCTTACAAGCTTGTTCAATGGCTTCCTGTGGGACGTTTTCTCTGTCGGCGCCAAGAAGAATGTTTTCCTTAACGGTGCCCTGGTAAAGAGTGGGCTCCTGCGAGACAAGAGCGATCCATGAGCGGTAGTTGTTGACGTTGAGACTTGAAACTTCCTTTCCATCAATGTAGACACCACCGGCCAGAGGGTCGTAGAAACGCTCCAAAAGCTGGATAGTGGTTGATTTACCGCATCCACTGGCACCAACCAGCGCCACGTACTGACCGGGCTTGACAGTCAAGTTGAGACCTCTGAGGACAGGTTGCTCGGGGCGAGTAGGGTAACGGAAGTGAACATCTCTGAACTCGATGTGACCCTCGACGCTTGAAAGCTTTTCACCGTCCTCACTCCAGCTGTCAATTTCGGGCTTACGGTCAAATAGTGCCTTGAGCTCCGAAGCAGCTTGTTTGGCTTTGCCCATGTCGGGAGCGAAGGAGAAGATAGTACCGGCAGACTGAGCTCCGAAGATTACGGCACTGAAACAGAGGAAAAATTGGAACTGGCCAATCTCGCCCTTAGAGATCAAGGTTCTGGTGATAGTTAGCAAAAGGTAGAACATGACAGAAATCTAGCTTGAACTTACCCTCCGTACCAGAATCCGAGAGCTGTACAACAGAAGATAAGCGACTGAGAGGCAGCATAGAGACTGGAAGAACGCAAGATGGAGATCAAAGACTTGCGTTCTTGCTCCACAAGTTGATCGTGATAGTGAAGGTGAACATCGTCTTCCCTTGTCAGTGATGCAACTGTACGAATAGCAGAGGTTGCTTCGCAAGCGTAACTAGCGGATTTCTCATACGCTTTCTTGGCTTTGGCCTGGAAACGAGCAAGCATCCAGAAGCGCAGGAAGCCGCAGGCAAGCAATATGGGGACGGTCGAGATGCAAACAAGACTGAGTTTCCACTGGACGGCCAGGGACACAGTGAACGCAGCCACAAGGGTAACAATGACAGAAAGAATCGTGCCCAAAGTCACTCCAGACATACCCGCCAAATGAGTGGTCTCCGTGGACAGGAATGAGGTCAAAGCACCAGCAGTGTTTTCTTCCTTGTCGAAGAAGGCAATGTCCTGGCGAAGCATAGTCTTAAAAGCTTGTTCACGAGCTCGGTGAACGAGTCTTTCTGAGCAAATAGCGAAGACATAGCCCTGGATGAGGAAAGCAGAGAATTGAACTAGCGCAAGCATGAAGTACATCCACGACCAAAAGTTCGCCTGTGAACGGATTGTGGCCCTTCCTGCGGCTGTATCTCTGTCTCCAGACAGAGCAGTGACAGCTTTAGCGAAGAATACGGCTTGTGTCGGGTTTCCACCTCCCGTGATGACGGAGCAAATGATTCCAATAGTCATGTAGAGCCACTCTTTCCTGTTGAAGCTCCCGACGACTTTGATCAAAGTCCACAAAGAGTAGTGGTGTTCAACCTCAGCTTTTTTGTTCGCAAGGGCGATACTAGATTGCGACTTGCCAGTCTGAGTGCGAGCGAGCTTCAGGCCATCCTCGGACTCTCCGCCTTTAGTGACTTCGCGGGTAAGATTCTGGTCCTTCTCATCTAGGATGGCAATTTCTTCTTGATCCTTATGTTCGTTTTCGGCGGCGATACGCTGGGCTTCAACCAAGTTGTAATAAGCTCCTTTCTTCTCCAGCAAAACACCGTGAGTGCCCTGTTCCACAATGCGACCGCGGGACATTACGACAATGTTGTCAGCACCCTTGATAGTAGAGAGTCTGTGAGCAATGACAATTGTTGTTCTGCCCATAGCAGCTTTGTCTAGAGCGGCTTGAACGACGCCCTCAGACTTTGTATCCAGCGCCGAGGTGGCCTCGTCGAGAAGAAGAATTTTGGGGTCGCTGACCATGGCTCTAGCAATAGCGATTCTTTGCTTCTGTCCTCCAGAGAGCAGGAAACCACGCTCACCAACGTTAGTTGCATAGCCTTCGGGGAGTCCAGTGATGAAATCGTGTGCATTGGCAAATTTTGCAGCGTTCTCGACCAGCTCACGAACTTTCTCTTCTGACTCATGTTCGTAGGCAGTTCCAATAAGTCCATGGCGGATATTTCCAAAAATGGTAGTAGCAAAGAGCGTGGGTTCTTGGCTGACAAGAGAGATCTGACGACGAAGCCAGCGCAAATTGAGACTGGAGATATCCTGGCCGTCAAGATAGACAGTACCACCTACTGGGTCGTAGAAGCGTTCGACAAGACCGACGATGGTACTCTTGCCCGAGCCTGATTCACCAACCAGAGCAGTTGTCTTGCCAGCAGGAACAACAAGACTGACGTCTTCCATAACAGTGACTTCTGGACGAGAGGGATAGATATGACGAATATTGCGCAATTCGATATGGCCTTCAACGCTCTTTAATGTCTCGCCTGTTTCAGAAGAAGGGTCTAGAGGTGAGGCACGGTCGATAGTAGCGAAGATCTTGGCTGCCGCAGCAACACTGGTCGTGAAAGCCTGAATGTTGGGAGCTACGTTACCGAGGGCGAAAGCTCCAATCATGATACTCAGAATTATGGTCAGAACAGCACCGACGTCGAGTTCTCCGCTGACGAGATAACGAGAACCCATCCAGAAGGCCAGAGAGTAGTTCAGATAAACGTAGCACATCAGGAAGCCAATCATAGATCCGGTGACGGCCTTCATCTTGAAGCCCCACTTCTCGGCCACGGCAAGATGCGCATCGTATGCCCTGGTTAGCTTTGCTTCCGTACTGAAGGCTTTGGCATTCCTGACGGAGCTGATGACTTCTTCAGCTACGGTGCCACCTTCAGCATAGGAGGCCAGGGATGCCTTGTTGAACTTGACGATAAAACCGCCCATGCCGCCCATGGTGAAAACGATAGCAAAAACGGTCGACATCAAGATCAGCGTGAGTTTCCAGCCTTTGATGAACGACACAACAAAAGCAGTAACGAAGGTGGCAATGGCAGTAAGTGTCAGTCCAACCTTTTCAGACATACCGTCCTGTACAAGATTGGTGTCGGACGTGATTCTGGTGGTAATCTCTCCAGCACCGAGTTGATCAAAGAAAGCGATATTCTGGCGAAGAATAGCCTTCAAAAAGTGCTCGCGAATCTTGCCAGAGACGTGCTCGCCAGTATAGAGGAATCCAGCCGTGGCGATGTAAACAAAGACAAATTCTCCAATAGCCAGGTACAGGAAGTAAAGACTGTATCTCGACAACTCGTGATGAAAATGGGCTTTGGTAATTTGTTCTCGGAAGAAATCCTTGAAAGTGGTCGTCAACCCTCCAAATACAATTGTCATTAGAGGCAGTAAAGCGCCTCCAATGATGGATGCAAGTGCACTGATCACTATAAGAATCTTGTCGTTGGTTGTTGCATAGCGGAACAGCATGAGATAAGTGACCTTCACGGCCGGGATATCCAGTTGACGCTTCAGGACGGCTTTCTCGTGCGCGGGTAGATGAGCAAAAGGATCCTCGCCCTCATCGTCGCTATCCTTGTCTTTCTCCTCATCCTTGCTCTTCTTGTTTTTCTTGTCCTTCTTCTTCTGTTTCTTCTCTTTCTTGCTCTCGGATCCCTTCTCGTTGATCGGTACTGCAGGCGCTGGAGCAGGGGCGAGCGGTAACGGTGCTTGGCCTAGTTCTGTCTTTTCGTAGTTGGTGACCTCGACATTCACAGTATCTCCACTGCTTGATGCATCTGAGCCATGATGCCTGTCCTCCACGGGATCCATCTTGTTTTGGTAGAAGGGCTATAGCCGCCCGGGGCTTGTTGATAGCGGGGAAGAGGTAGTTCCAACTGTGTGGGGAATGGCTCCTGATCAGAGAGACTTTTCTAGTGCAGTTGAACAGCAAGTCGCCACAAGAAAGTGCGTCGAAGAAAGAGACAGGCAGGAGACCTCAAAATATGTGTCGTAGAATCAGAAACAAATGGGGCTCAGAAAAGGAGCAAGAGCCCGGAGCCCTAATATCTCAATCTCCAGATCGCCTCGCCCTTTGATTGTAGTGTATGTTCCTCCGTCTGGAGTATCATTGGTATTGTGACCCACAGTCTGATTGGGCCCCACCTCAAGGAACTGGTGAGAGCGTGGCCTGCTCAGGTAGGGGCGAGATTACCGCATCCTTCTGCCTAAGGGGGGTCCTTCGGGATCACCATCTTCCGACTGAGCACATCGGTGGACAAAGATCACCGACTTTACCCAGTCTGGCACCTGCATGTAGAGTTCTGCTGCACAAATTCAGCACTAGAGACAATGTGCTCCAGATACCATGCATAACATAGCATATCTGGCGGCGTCCGCGGGGTATCCACCCCGACTTCGTTGAGGAGATGCATTGTACGACCTACGAAATACGAATACGACTAAGTTACGTCCGAAGCTCAGCTGGCCGCTCTACGACAAACGAAATACGTTAGGGTACGGTGCAGTCCTCACTCCAGGTCGATCACTTCTCTGACATTCATCTTCATGTTCCATCCTTCGCTTCAATAGTTTCAACCCCTTTGCTGCACAAGATGCAACGCAATCAGTAAATGCTGGGTCAGAGCGAGTTCTACCTCCAGTACCAGAGTGTTGGGGCGTCGAGCTATACCAAGTAGGCAGGTGAATACTGGCGCCAATCCTGCGAAGCCCTACACAAGAGCTCTTGCTAAAATGTCTGCCTAAAGCCTTGTGCTATACTATCAGACCATACGTAGATTTATACAAGCGTGCACAAGAACGTTCTTCATAAAATTCTAATGCCATAGCATACGGTGTCTAGAGTATGAGCAAGACTACAAGTCTCAAAGCTCGATAGTGGTAAAGGTTCTTAAAGCCCAGGAACTCCAATGAACAGGACCGGAGCAAGCCATCCTAGCCTATGCGCAGTAACTGCTCCGCCAAACTGCCTGTAAAAGAATCAAAAGAGCTAAAAATAAAAGCAAAGCCTAAGGAGGGGGAATCGTGCGATTGAATAACAGTAACAAAAATAACAAAAGCGAATCAGAGCAGAGGGAAAGCAGCACGAATAACTTTTGGGTTGATGCAAGCAATACAGCTGCTACAGCCAACAAGCATCGACGCCTGCGTACAGTGCTTTATTTTGTTGGTGAGGTGAGCTCACGCAACTTTTCGTTCTCGATATATTGAGAAAACGGGATAGTGTTGTCGTCGGGATTGTCCCGCTCGACAGCTGAGGGAGGCGACGAAGGAAGTGGAAGGTCTTCAGGTCTTGTGTGAATGTCCAGCGCGTCGTCCAGTCCCTGAGAGTCGGAGAATTTTCTTGAAGAAACTCGCACCCTATCTGATCGTGGACTGTTCGCATCAAAGTACGAGTCCATATCGTCGTCGCTTGACATGATTGTCGGGGTTGCCAGATCATGCTGCAGGTTAAAAGGGTCGGCCAGCTGTTTGTCAGTTGCAGCAGTTGGCGTTAAGTCAGCAGGATTGGCTTGCCACTCATGTACTGTAGGAATCCGAAGGTTGATTTTCCCTGCAGCATTTGGGCTAATGGCACTGTGACCGCCGGCAGAGGCTAAGGCTTGGGCAACGTGATATTGCAAGTTGGCGTCCGGTCCACCTTCCTCGGTACTATCCTGCGTCGAGGCGGAATGCTTTCGAGCGAGCTCACGACGCATCTTCTCCTCTGCCCAGTCTGCACCAAAAGTGACGACTGAGGCTTGCTTGCCGTGAACCATGAATCTACCCCCCTTTCTCTCCAGACCTGGAGTAGTCTCAACAGATTCGTCAGCACGGCTTCCATCCGAGCGAATAGTGCTAGCACTCTCCTTGCCTCTTCGGTGACGCTGTGAGTTAGATGCTTCGTGACGTCCATCCCGCAGCGTGCGATGCAGACTTCTTCTTCCGCTCTTGATCTTGGAAGAGCTTTCTGGAGTCGCATTCGACGACTCAGGGTGCCCAGCGGATGAATGGGTGGCAGCAGTCGCAGTTGGGACCAGAGGGTCTCGAGCGAGAAGAACTGCTTCATGATCGCGACTCTCAAAGCTTCGAGTGGGTGTCAAGCGGCCATGACGGGAAGCGGCGTCAGAGGCAGCAGATGAGAGGTGTCTGTCTCCATCATGTACGCTAGACGTGATCGACATAGCAGCGCCACTGTGCGTTCGAATGACAGATTGCGCATTGCTAATAACGGACGGTCGACGTGCCTGTTGTGGGCTGTTAAGGTCCAAAGGACTGGTAGGAAGCTGCCAAGCATCCCCATATCTCAGAGCATGCTCAGGCGGCGTCTTGAAAACATCTCTGTGTAATACACCTTCACCCTGACCATCGCTGCTGTTCAGTCGAGGCGAGTGAGCGGGCGATTGCGGGCTTGTTTGTTGGCTCATAGCGGAGTTAGTCTTCGAGATCGTCTTCTGAAGTCCACTAGTCTTGCGAACGTTCGGTATCGGAGCTGGTAGCTTGCTATCGAAAATGTCTCCGTCTTCCTGTAGATCCAGTGAGAGGATGTCCCTGTGGCACTTGGTTCGCCAAATGTCACGTCGAATCCATTTCAAGTTGGCATCCATGCGTGCGGTGGCGTGACAAACATCTTCTCTTGTCTTCTGCTGGATAGGTGCGAGAATTAGCAGATGGCGAGCATTTCGCATCATGTTCTCGAGGTTCCTGATTGCATCCGTTACTTCTCTTTCCGACTCCACTATGGTTTGTAACATGATTTGTCGTCGGGCAGCCAATACCTGCCTGACAAGCTGAGGAGTAAGATCCCTCTTCTCCATATTAACTTGTCCATCATGGGTTATTGTCGAACCTAAGGCAGAGCCGATCGATGTATTGATTGAAGAATCAACAGACGCGGTAGAGTTGAGCCTGCCACGGCTATTGACTGTGACATCGGTGTCTGATCCGCCAATAAACCCACGGATTCTGACACCAGCAGATCTGAAAGCTGCGGCATAGTTTATCAAAGCTATCCAATCATTGACCTCGGCTTCGTTTTCAGCAAGCAAAACTTCCTCTTGGCCTCCATGACGAACCAAAGTGAAAGCGTCCTTGTGCTTCAGATAGCTGCGATCGAGCAGAGCAACAGCATCGTCGGTTTTGATAAGAGCGTCCGGCTTGAAATCCTGGATCGGGGGCTTGAAGACTACAGGCGAGTTGGTGCCTTCTTGCTTGACGTGTGAGTGATGCTGAGACATTAATCCTTTCACCCAAGTAACGTTCTTGAAGAGGTAGAGTTGAGATCCAGTCAAGATAGCGCCCCATTCTTGCCATGGGGATCGCGTCTTCTTGCGCTTTGTAGATTTTCGCCACAAGACGCCAACTTTGGTGATCTTGAGATCTACCAAACCTATAGCTGATTCACTAGGGTTCTCGCGAGTAGCCTGTGACTCGAAAGCAGCAGGTCTAGAACGAGCAGAAATGATCTGAAGAACTGCAGTGTTTACAAAGGCCTTTTGCAGTTTTTTCATGTCAAAGAAGTTTGCAGTGCCCAGGTAACTGTAAGGGTCTTCCATGGTTATTGACTCCTTGATCGAAGGGCGCAGAGCATCCAATTTGCCATCGCAGATCAAAGCATAGGGGTCGATGGGTCCGCTGTTCTTCCTTCCAGGATCGGGTATGCTTCCACGAAGCTTGCTCTTCTTTGGCTTGAATGTTAGCAGACGCTCCCCGTTGATGTCAACTTCCTCCTCGAAATGAATGAATGGAGTGTAACAGATGTTGTCGTAGAAGCACCCCAGAACATCGTCTGAGACATTCTGACCACTAGTGTTCTTTATATAATCGTGTTTCTGCATCTTCCGCTTGTTGTTTTTGTTGAAGGCGTCAGTATGCAGCATCATCAACGAGAAAGCGATGATGTAAGCCTGATCAGGAGACATGAAAATGCCAGGATTGCACTCGTGGTATCGATCAGCAAAAGCTTGTATGACTCGGTCCACTTGCTGCGTCTCTTTTGGCAGCTCTGCTTCTAAGAGAAACTTGCGTAGCGACATGTCGATCGGCTCTCCAAAGAAAGAGAACTTGCGACAATAACTTCGTAACACAGCCTGAGCGAATGGGTCGGATGATTTCGATAGTATACCTGCGATAAGACTTCGTGAAACGGCAGCTTGCAGTCGTTCCAGATATTTGCCTGGGGTATCGCCATCTTCGCGATCGGGTATCACTAAAGGTTCATGGACGCTAGGGGATAGCGAATTAGACTTTGAATGGAATCCAGGCGAGGAGTTGCGATCGCGAAGGTCGGAGTTGTGTCGGAATCGATTGAAACCGAGAAGGCCACCCAGGCTGGTCCGTCCCGAGGTCGAAGTTGAATTGCGAGCGCTGCCAGCCACAGGCGGTGTAGGAGGTGTATGGTCCTCAGAGCGGCGCCCGAACGAACTCACGGTTGAAGACCTATCTCGCAAACCAAATCGACGTGGTGGCTGCAGAACTGGTGAAGAGCCGTTTGAATGAGTAGAGACGCTTGAGTCGTTTCTGAATAATGGAGCGCCCCCATGAGTGGCAAGAGCAGCAATGGATGACTTTGCAAGTTGAGCAGGAGCTGGCGAAGAAGACAGCAACAGACGTGGGCGTGAGGCTTCAGTATGGCGTCGCTGTAGAACACTAAAAGGAGGGGGTCGTCTCTGTCTTTCTGGCGACTCGGTGTTGGAGTTTGACGAGATAGCGCTGGTCGAGGGTCGAGGCGTGCCCTGTGGAGTTTCTGATTCTGGAGGTGGATTGGGCGGGGAAGACTGTTTGTCAGGTAAGGGGAATAGCGACTTGTTCTTCTTGTTTCGGCGAGGCAACCTGAACAGAGTGGTTGTAGTAGAAATGGTATGAGTGGTGGTGGTCGTAGCATAAGTGACGTGTTCTCCAGAACTTCGCTGTTCTCCTGACGAGTCGGACAGACGAGTGACAGGCAGTGCCAAAGCCGAGCTGGACTCATCGCCGTAAGGTGGAGGAGCAGCAGAATCAGGAACGAGGCGGTCGATGTCTACAGATCGGCCTCTGCGCCATGATCGGCGTTCTTCAGTAGACTCTCGACGTTGTTTCGCTGGACTGAGCTTCGAGATCTGACGTTTGAAAGGGCTCTTGGATTTCCTAGGGCGCTGGACAGGATGGTTGTGTTCATCCATAGTGGGTGCGGTGGTGATGATCTGAGGGTTCGGCACAGGGGCTAGAAGATAGCTATAAGCAGAGCTCGGGGGAGCTTGGGGGAATTGGCATACGTACTTTGCGATTGATGTTGGAGCGGGACTTGAGGTACCGGAGGAGTTTTTTCTGCGTCAGCATGGAGCTTCGCTTTAGCTGATAGCTGCCCGTCGGAGAAGTGCCTCCATCGCAGCATGCTAAAGCGAGCAGTGGCTGGAGTAGCAGTCTGAATAGGCGGAGACGGCGGACCAAGACTGAGGACGTCGGTTGGAGAAATGGGATCCTGAGCACTCATAGGACGGAGGGTATTGGGTACAGGGGTGGCATAGCCCGAACTTGTGGTTGCAGCATCTTCCTGAGTATTACTACGGATGTCGTTCAAGAGGTTGTCCAGAGTACTGCGGCGACGCGACATAAGAGGCATGGCCGGCAACTCGCAATGAGTGGCTTGTCATTTGGCAGCGGAGCAGCAGGGCGTCAACGAGAGTAGCAGGCGTTCATATGTCGGATGGTGGTGGAAAGATGGACTCTGTGGTTATTGAAGGGGTGCAGGAAATTGGAGATGGCGGGTCCGGGGGGTAAACGAGCGTGTCTCTCTCTGTAGAAAGGAATAGCGGACTTTGGACACGCGGACTTGGGATGATGTCTTGAGATTGGGAACAGCAAATTAGATTGGATGCAGTGGTACAGCAATTGGACTAGAAAGAACAGGACTGGTCTCAGCGTGACTGCCTCGTCAGCACCACGCACAAGGCTTGCAAAAGGTCCCACATCCGCGAGCAGGGAAGGCGCGAAGGATGTTGCCAAGTCCAGTCCCTGCCTCTCCACAGCCTCCGGACGCTCCGCCCATCGAAGCTGCGCCTTTCTCGCAGTTGTAATCTGATCAATCTGACTGCCTGCACAGGCTACGGTAATACTCGTCCAAACAATGCGCGCCTCGTCGTTGCTGCTCACAGCAGTCTCGACTCTGCTGGCGCCGACCGTCTATGCAGTGCCCTCGCATCCGCAACCACCTCCGCCATCCCAGCAACCATCGCATCGTCCGGTATGGCGTTCCGTCACCGACGCCATAGTTCGCAACATCTGGAACCCGCCAGTGAACTCTCATCTTGAGCCCGCTGTCAATGCTCTACCACACCACAAGCACAGTGAAGATGTCGTTGTTCGTTTCAACATCAGCAATGCCCGGGATGCCTCAAGTCTCGCCGATGCTGCCGACACTCTCTTCCTTGACCTGTGGGAATTCACCGATGACTGGGTCGACATCCGAATGCAGAAAGACTTGATTCCTTCGCTGCTCGGTTTGCTGCCGTCATCCCTGCACCAAGCACATAAATTGCTCATGGACGAGTTTACCCTTCAAAATGCCATTTCAGATACATACCCTTCTTCTCGCTCCTCCCGTATGCTTCAATCCAATGCTCCAACCCACCATGATTCCTTCGGGCCCAAACTTGGCTCCTCCTCGTCTGACAATATCTTCTTCAACGACTACCAACCGCTATCTGTCATTCAGCCCTGGATGCGACTGATGGCCTCCCTCTTCACCACTCACGTGCGTGTAGTCAATGTCGGCACAACCTACGAGGGCCGCCAAATTTCTGCCCTGCGTATTGGTGTTCACCCTACCAACAATGATTCTCCTCAACGTCGCAAGACCATCTTGATTACCGCTGGCCTGCACGCCAGAGAATGGATCTCAACTAGTACCGTCAATTACATTGCATATTCGCTTATCACAGGTTATGGAAAGAGTCATGTCATTACCAGTCTTCTCCAAGAGTTCGATTGGGTTCTCGTACCCACTCTCAACCCGGATGGATACGCCTACACCTGGGAATCTGATCGTCTGTGGCGCAAGAACCGTCAACAGACCTCCCTGCGTTTCTGCCGTGGCCTTGACCTCGATCGAAGCTTCTCTTACCACTGGGATGGTGCCGCAAACACAAAATCTAACCCCTGCAGTGAGTCTTTCTCGGGTTCCGCGCCTCTGGAAGCCTTCGAAGCCAAGAGTCTCGCTGGCTGGATACACAATGAGACTGAGCACAACAACGTTGATTTTGTTGGCCTTCTCGATTTGCACTCTTATTCACAGCAGATCTTGTACCCTTACTCCTACACCTGCGACGAAAGTCCTCCCAACCTGGAAAACTTGCAGGAAGTTGCTGCCGGTCTGTCAAAGGTTATGCGTCTTTCAGGCGGACGCTACTACCAATCTGCCCCTGCTTGTGAGGGTAATGTCGGTTTCGCCACTAACGGCGACCGTCAAGTCTTCCCTCGCTTCGAGACGGGTGGTGGTAGCTTCCTTGATTGGTTCTACCACGACATCAGGGTCAAGTACACCTACCAGCTCAAGCTCCGCGATCGCGGCACTTATGGCTTCCTGCTCCCCAAGGACCACATTGTGCCTACCGGCAAGGAAGTTTTGGATGCTGTCATCTACTTTGGAAAGTTCCTTAGTGGTGATTTTAACGTTGCTGCTGGCGAGGAGAAGCAGAGTAACCTTAAGCAACCCGAGCAGCCTATTCAAGATGACGAGTTTGGTCAGGAAGCAGAAGACGTGCCTGATGACGAAGACGATAGCGTCATGTGGGAATTGAGGCGGCGAAGACGTGTTTGAGTATGTAATTAGTACTTTCCGCTTTTGCACCTTTTCATGTCGATACTTCTAATCCCAGATCTTTTACATTTGCTTCTGCACAGTCTGCGAGATACACTCATATTCAATGTTCGTGATAGAATCGTTGATCCAGGATTTGCACTGGATCTTTGAGACGAGGCCGTTGTTAAAGCTGTTCTCGTTGAATCTCGTATCTGCCAGGGTATACATGAAGGTCTGTACAAATGCTCATACCAGGAAACCGCAATTTTTGGGCATCGTGAAAAGCCCATGAACCCCCAGAACGCCATCGCTGTGTGGAAGAAGAAGAGAAAGAAAGAAAGTACACCATACCTCCCTTGGCGCCACATCGAAATCATAATATCAACACAGTCTTCCATGCCCCTTCAAAACTCGTTATGTCTAGGTGGTATCAGCCTGCATGCATGCTTGGTGGCCTCCAGTCCATCAGGTCGAATGCCTCTTTACTCCATGGTCCAATGTCTTCGTTCTTTTTCTGTTCTGTGGCTACAATTTGAGCCGTTTTCGTGGATATCACAGGAGCTGCTTTGACAGTCAGAGGCTTGAATGATCTTGCTGTAGTCGTACTGGTTGCCCTAGCAGTTGGTCTTGCAAGTTTCTCGACTGGTCCCTTGCCTGGTCGTGTAGGCGGTTGGGCGATCGAGTCGTCAACGATAGGGTCGTCGAAGTCAAGAGGAGTAATATCCGCGAATTGAAAGTCGGCCAATGAGGGATCCTCGGGTGAGTCAAGTCGAGACATGACAGCAGAAGTAGTTTTACGTAAACCAGTATTACTGTTCGCAGCCTTCTCAACAACAGGACGTTGCTCGGTCACGTCTGAGGAACTCCTTTGCAACACCGGTTTCTTCTGTTTCTTCTCGATCCTTGCGAGTCTTTCTTGCATGCGTCGCTGAAAGACTGAGTCCTCGGGATTTTGCTCAACTGCTGGTTGTTTTGCTGTGAGATTGACGTCCATTCTCGCCTGCTCCTTAGCTGGAACAACATCGCTCTCTTGTCTTGATCTCTGAGCTTTGCCGCGCGAGGCACTTTCAGTTACAGTCTCGGAGTTTGATGGGCGTGAAGTCTGTGACTGAAAAAGTAGCATTTTTCTAGGAGCCCCACCAACAAGCTTCAATGACTTTCCTCGCATCTGAGAATCAGACCCGGCTGCAAGAAGTTCACTCCTTGGAGGCTCATCAGCTACCACTTGGGTGCTCTCCTTTGTTGCCTCTCGTGGAACACTAGTTTCCTTTCTGGGTCGAGCAGTATTAGATGTAGGAAGATCGGCATGCCTTGGTCGATCTGACACTCTGGCCGAAGGAGACTCAATGGAGGATGGCTTCGCTGCTGTAGGTCGCCTATCGATGGGACGAAAATGGTTGGAAGTAGTTTGTCGAGGAGCTGGGCTTTCGAACAAACGAGCGGGAGAAGATGTCGCCAACAGCTCAGCGTCAATAGCACGGCTTGCGGCTTGCGCTGCAGAGATATCCTCAGTGTCGGAAGAGAGATCAATGACTTCGCATCCAGGCTTCGGACGAGAACCAGGGTTCGCTTGCTGATGAGCTGACGGTTCATTACGACACTTCGCTGCCATAGGCGTTGTCTGAGCTGGAGAATCAAGCCTCTGTCGTTTACGCTCTCTCGGGTCCTGGGCTTCAGCAGCCTGCAGATCTCTGATTCTTGCTTCGTAGGGAGATTCTGTCGGGAGAGATGCCTTTCCTATGGGTCGTCTTGACCTTCCGAGTAAAGCATTAAGAGACTTGTGTTTCATAGGTGTGGTCGAGACAGCATGAGGAGTTCTAGGTGTAATAGATGGAGCAGCAGCATATGGTGGTCCATGGCGCGGCAATGTTCTTGACGAGGCAGGGTTTTTAGCCGGGGTCTTGTCCTTTCGCTGTAGCAGGTCCGAGAGATCTGTCTGTATAGTGCCTACTCTTTCAGAGACTTGGACCATGATACCACCCTTCTCGAGGGTCATCTCGTCACCCTCTTGAAGGTCATCGCCGCTGGTCCAGTGAAGGTCGCCGAGGAAATTTCTAGGAACATCGTAGACCATGACACGCTTGTTGAAGGTGTGGTAGCGTAGGAAGCCATCTTGCCATCTCTTTTGCTTTCGCCTTAGGTCGTGTGTGTATAGGCAGTTGAACTCGTGGACTGGAGCAGTGTTCTGGGTTTGAGGAACCGCGAGGTTTGGCGAACTACGCAGGACTGCTGCCGTCATGATCCTCGGTGGTGATTTGAATGTGCGATCGTCAAAGCCGTCATTGCGTGAAAAGACAGTGAGCAGTTCGGACTCAAGAGGCGTCGATGCAACAAGCAAATGTCTAGAGCAGGCAGTCGACCATTACGGCAACTACGATGGCGGCCTCCCGCAGTGAAGTGCTGTTCTTGGCGCGTCACGCACGCGTCATCTCGTGTCTGCTCCGCTTGTGACAGTTGATGAACATTGCGGAGCGTGGTTTCATAACTTCATCAAAGAGAAACTGTAGATAATCGTATCCGTCTTGAAGACCAACTTGGCACCGCGTAATCTACTACAGTTTAACATTATGGCATAATGCATATGACTAGCGGACAATGCCTGTTTGTCACCCGCTTCCAGGTTCTGCCAGGCCGAAGGCTTGGCCCCGCTTGCAATACACGTAGTCTCAACAACACCGACCAGTCTCGGAATCCTTTGACTTGATTGTGCGCTCTTCACTCGTTCTGCTTCTTGCTTTAATATCTCTCCTCTTCTCGACCGTCAAGATGCAGAACGTGCAGCGTAAGTTCGGGAAATTGATGAAGCGATCTGCCGACAGATCAGATGTCGGAGGCATTCTAAGTGAATTCAACACTGCGGACCAGGCCCTTGGTAGTGTAAGGAGGAACCTCTTTGCTTCAGAAGATTTCATGGGTATTGACCAGCACTATTTATAGTTCATCGATGCAACAAAATCATGGAGGGATGGTTTAGACGAGACTTTGAAGACACAACTCTATGTCGCAGAGACATTGCACTTATTGTACAAACCCATCGAGGTCGAAGATGATCCGAACAATCCTACACAGCAGAAAGCAGCTCCAACACCGCGAAAGTACTTAGAGAAGGCTGGAGATTTGCAGACAATCTACGCACATCTTCAAAAAGATCTGAGCACTGAGGTTAATTCAATCGAACCCAGACTTCTCAGACCTGCCATGGATGCCAAAGACTCTCTCAAGATGCTCAAGAGATCAATCAAACGAAGAGAAGATTTGAAAGTCAGTCAAACCCATCATCGGTAGTCATGAGTTGACACACACACTGACCTTGTCTTTTAGCTCGACTATGAGCGTTACAACTCACGTGTAGACAGCGCTCGACGCAAGGAAACAAGATCTGCTAGAGAGGAGAACGCTTTGATGAAGCATGAGGCCGATCTTGCTCGCACAAGTGCCGTAAGTGATGGTTCAGTTATGTGTGTTCAGGACATGGCTCACAGTACTTTAGGACTATCAAGCTGCCGATGAGCAGCTCAAAAAGGTGTTACCTCCTATCTTGGACGGCTTATCAAACCTTCTCCCACATCTCCTTGCTATACAGATCATGATTCAGTACCAGCTGGTGGGACAAATGTATACTCAGCTCCACGAGTATTGTCAGACACATGGACTGCCTTCGCCCGCTCCAGCTCTGGAGCAGGTTATCTCTACATTTGAGACCGAGTTTACCCCGCTGAGGGAGGGAATTGAGCGTAACATCAAGACTATCTCGGCTGGCAAAGCCATACACCAACCTATGAGTCTCCCAGACAAACAGCAAGGCACTGTTACCGGACTTGGTCTGCGCAATCACTTTGCTCGTAGAACGAGCAGTTCAGGTTCATTGCCTAAGCCCAGTGTGGTTGGAGGACAATCACGCACCGGAGCGGTCGACATTGATGATGAGCCAGCACCAGTCAAGCCTCCTAGACCTGGTCGTATAGCTTCTAGTACCAGACTGCACTCACACTTCGAGGACACAGCTACACCCAATACTCATTATGAGGACGAAGAGGCACCTCCAGTGAAACCACCTCGACCTGGAGCGGCTCCTAACATTGACATGGGTAGCAAACCAAGAATTCCTTCTAGCTCCAAGCCTTCTCCAATGATTACGCCAGATGGATACGGCACTGGCGGAGCAGCGCGGCCTATGTATTCAGCCTCAAGTACACCTAGCACGTCATCGACGCCTTTCTTGACGCCGTCTTCTGTATCGCATCAGAATCAGGGGTCAGACTACTTCAGTAGAGAGAGCAAGGCTTCTACGTCTTCCGGAACATTCAGTGTGTCGGGCAAGAAGAAGCCTCCACCACCTCCGCCCAAGAAGAGAGCTCAATCGTTCCAGGGCGAGTTCGTCACAGCCATGTATGACTTTGCTGGTCAAGGTTCAGGGGACCTTTCGTTCCGTGAAGGCGACAGAATCAAAGTGGTGAAGAAGACAGGATCGACGGATGATTGGTGGGAGGGAGAACTTAATGGAGAGCTAGGAAGCTTCCCTGCCAACTATGTCAAGCTTGATTAAGGTTGTACAGGAGATGCAGACGTGTACAGTAGAGTAGGTTAGAGAAGCAGGAACCACAAACGCAGAATGTGTAGAAGAGGCTTGGCTGCTGCAGTGCCAGTGTGGACAGTGCAGTGTCGGTGATGATCTGCAGGGACTGGTGGCTGAATTGGGTTCCTCAAGCGCGGGAAATGGCGGGGATGGTGCCTCCGTCGTCATGGGCGTCGCTCTTGTTGGTGGGCGGAGGGCGACCTCTGGCCTCTCTGAAACAAACGACAGAGATTCGCTCATCTCTCTTGACGAGGAAACGATCCTCGCCTGCCAATGTACCCGACGTCGTCCGACGTTCGCAATCTGATTCACTTCTCTTCTTCTGCATCCTCTGCAATTCACTAGCCGGCGACTTTCTCAAATTCCCACCTCCGTCCACGAGCCTCAACCATAACGTCGGGTAGGATCCTCTCAGGTACCAGAAAAAATGGACTCTGTGCTTCTCGACGCACCACCGACCAAACAGGCTCCGCCCAAATCGCCGCCTCTGGCTTTCCAGGTCACCTCTAACGACTCACTCTGGGCTCCCTCGTTCAATCCAATGGCCATGCAGTCTTTGTCTCAAGTCTCGTCGCCATACTTTCTGGGTACCTCTCCTACCGAGAATGACATGCAGGCCCAGCTCGACAAGCTGCAGGAAGCACTGCGTCTGCAACATCAAGCTTTCGTCGCCGAGCGAGAGAGCTGGCAAATGGAGCGGGACAGAATGCAGCGTCGGGTTAGCGCTCTTGAATCCCTGCTCAAATCTCCCAATGGTCAAAGGTAAATGCTACACCAACACAACATCGAGAACCGTAGCTGACCCGTGTCCACAGTCCAGCACGCAGTCCTGCCATCTCTCCTCAGAACGGCGTCAAGCCTGCTTCATCTCAACTCCCTAGTATAGCCGAGGTCGACCCTTCTCGCTTGTCTCCGGAGGTGCCTCGTGTAAAGAGGGACGCTGCCCCAGTACACATCGATATACCCACGTTGGCAGACGCCTCTGTATTTGACAGCGATGCCCCCTTGACCGAAGTTCTACATGGAGACCTGCCTGCTTCTCCACCAGCGACTCGTAATATCCTCAGCCCTCCACCGCCAGCCAACGTAAGACATGCCGGCCATACTCCTCTCAAGGCTCCTCATCCTGGTGAATTCAGCCCTGCTTTGAGTACACGTTCCGACAAAGTCACCGATACGCCAACTCGCACAAACACTCTTATGAATGAGGTCATGTCACAAGACGATGGTGCCGATGAATCCTTAAAGGGTCCCTTGCACATGCCCTCACTACCCTGCAATCCAGGCGCCGAGAACTTCACCGTGGACATGCTGAGTGCAAAACTAAAAGACATTTCTGAGCATCCCGAAGAGAACCAACCAATAGTTTTACAAAGCACGAATCTGGTTCTTGATGAGCCTTCTGAGGCCTCCCCTGCTCTCAACGAAAAAGTCGACTCAGCGAGCAGCGACCCCCTGGAGAAGACCGAATCGTCTGGTGCAGAAAGCAAGGACAAAAACACTCTCGACGAAGGTATCCGTCTGCGCACAAAGCCGAGTTCAAATTTCGGTGCACCCCTTGGCTCGATGGTGGGTGGATGGAGGCGTTAGGACGACTCCCTCTTCTGAATTATGGCTGGCTCCATGTTCTGATTTATATGTCTTTATCATTCTTATCAGATTCTTGCATTGCGATATCTACTAGATGGGTTGCATAGAAAGAGAAAGACATGGCTGGGAAACGGCGTTTTCTTTTTCTTTTTTTCTTGTTGGCTTAATCGCTTGATACCCCCTATAAAGCCACTTGACGCACGCCAAAGGACTATCGCAGGCAGCAATGCGAAAGATAGAAGAACAGGGTTTTCTTCTGGACCCTTTTGTGTGAGGAATGCAAGAAATCTGTTTCGGGTCTTATCGGCCTGCCCTCCTTGTTCATTCATTCCATCCCTTGCTTTTCAGGCTTCTACTCAAGCTTTCTCCCTATCTTGTGTCTTTTTCCGCGCGGCCAACGCTTTTGCTTGTACGCGTGAGGCGCTTGACATTCCTGAGTAAGGTAACGCCACCTGTCACTTTGACGACGGGAAAGGCCTAATTCTCCGATGGTCGCGACCTTTTTTGCTTGACTCTGTGCTTCACGAGCCGTGTTCTTGGTAAGTCAGGACTCGAGTTTTCATGCACTGGTTTCCAGAAGGGGTGCAAGAAAGGCTAGACAGGTATGTAGCTTGTGCCATGTATGAGACACTGTCATGATCGAGATAAGGGATGATATGATAGATATACGGTAGGTGGTCAGCATACACTTTCCTTCTCTTTTCTTGCTCGGGACGGTCAGTGGTTTGCTTTTCGTTCTCCAACAACTCTTGAGTCTTGCCTGAGGTTGTTTTTATCAAACATAAAACATAAATCATTGTTGAAGCTTTATCCTACTCTGCTTTGCTTTGATATCTTCTTTTGATCACCGACAAGCAAAGAGGATGGCACATTCATCTCACCTCCTCATCTTTCTCACCTTCTTGCTCTCTTTCCTCGCCATCTCTACCTCTGCAGCTCCCACAACCTTTGCAGAAGTAGAGGAATCATGGCAAAGAGGTCTTTCCGAGGTATGTTGCTTCTTCACCTCACCTTTCCCTCCTTCTCTCTCTTCCTCTTCCTTTTCTTCTCTTCACATACCCCCTTTCCTGCCTCTTCCATAGTAACCTTCCTATCAAACAGAAAGACATCCACACCGCAATAGACCAACACCCCACACCATCCTACCACTCTCAGATACCTTATTCCCACCAACACGCCAGCGATGAAGATAAAGAAACGGGCTTTCAAGGCATGTTAGACGAACGCACCATGGCTGTGCGCAGAAAGCTCAACAGTGTCATCGGTGAGAAAAGGAGAGGGTTTGTGGCTGTTTTGTTTGGTGGAAGCAGAGAGATAGAGGGAGAAGGGAATGAGGGTGTAGAGGTGTTGAGGCCGGTCAGGAATAGACGGTGGCAGTTTTGAGAAATCTTGGCTTAGTGGTGTTGGTGACTTTTTTTGTTGTGGACCCGAAGGGTATGGTTATGGGTAACGACTAACGGCTCTACACGATAGATAGATTGAGGAAAGCAAGACAGAGCAGAATGTGACAAAACTTGGGTATCTTGAAATTTGTTATAGAAAGTTGCAATCTCTGCTTTGCTAATTATATTATATGGATTGTGTTTCTTGTTGGAGTGGTGAATGGAAATGCCGTAATCTCGTGAATCCCCTAACGCCCGCCTAATCTCGAGCCCATCTCTCTTATGAAACACCAAAAACACCTGAAGTGAATGTCTGTCAGAAACCAGCAAAGAAAACTTCTCAATCGTTCTACATGGCCATGGTGTTGTCGTGGTCAATACCAGGAGTGACACTAGCCATGAACTTGAGGAAAACGATGAGATATTGGTCGACGCGGATGGCGACCTCGTCGTCCTTGCCATCATCAGTCAAGACCTCCCACTCATCATTCTTCTTGTCGTCGGATTTCTTGGCATCGGTGTTTTGCTCGTCCAATTTGAGTCCACTGGTCTGATCGACCAAGCCCTCCATGCCTTGGCTGGAGACTTCTTGGCCGTTCTTCATCTTCTGGATACGCAGTTTCAGAGCGGCGTCTGCGCGGTCGAGCAAAATCTTCATGACACTGGCATGGCGGCATGGATGGATGGAGGCGGTCTTGATGGGTGGAGAGACAAAGTTGAAGTCCTCGAGGGTAACAGTCTTGTCCTTGTAGTCGCCGACAATGTCTTCCATCATGGCCATGGGTGGGAGGGGCTCATTCGAAGATGAGTAGCCTGAAAGATAGAGTCGTGGTGTCATGTAGTATGTTGAGTAGGTGATGTAGATGGTGTAGTTGCGGAGGGTGCTAAATCAGGGAATTAGTCTTGTGAGCTGTTGGCAAGGCAAGATGACTGCTCACTCGTTCGACCCATCTTGGGCTCTAGGATCACGGATGATGGCATCGGGATCGTCCTCCTCATCCTCAATGTCGGGAACATCCTCTTCGTAGTCACCACTGTCTTGTTCGACGTGGCCGTCGTCGTCAACGGTGCGGATATCGCCAGGGCGGGACTCGGGCTTATGGATGTCACCGCCGGTCCTCAGCCAGCCATCGTCATCATCTCCGGTCGGGTTGAAAGCGTCACCCTCCTTGACCAAGTCATCGAGACCCTCCCTACCAGCGAAGTTGTCGTTGAGGCGTCTCTTGCAGGCAACGCCACGAGTGACAAGGTATTGCTTGTCTTCAGGCAGATACGAGACACGCTGAGCGGGAGTGGCAGCTCCAGACCACGACCACGAGGTGAACTTTGTTGTGAGAAAGTCTCCAGCCAGGACAAACTCGTCGGGAGTGAGCTTTCCAGTCTCGCGGAAGTTGGACGTGGTCGAAGGTTTGGCGTAGTCGCGTATTGAGTCGAGAGCGGTATGGATGTATTTGTACATGATTTGAGCTTGTTGTGGTTCAGTGGTGGAAGAGGTCGAGGTGCAGGAGGGAAACAAATGGCGGTAGAGTTGAAGATGCAAGACAAAGCGGTGGGTGAATCATCAGGGTTGTACCAGCTGAGCGGGGCAACACGGCGATAACACGAGCAGCTGATAAGTCCACGCTCTGTCATTATCTGCCTAATCCGGTCACTCTCGACAACATCAGGTCGTCGTCGTTCTCGGCATTACTAGGCTGCCATTCGCTGTGAAATGCCAGAGATCGAATGCAGAGTTCAATTTGTTCTGCCTTGCTTTGAGGCTTGAAGCATTGATAGTGCACTTCCTATGTGATGGCTCATCTCGGCAGGCTGATCATCATGATTATCGCAATCAGTAATTCGACTTGTCCTTCTCATCACAACTTGTTCTCACGTCTCAGACCTTCGTACATTGACCAAGCAGCCAACGCCTTGCTATCTCTGCCTCCTTCACGGAACAGCTCCTCCAGTCTCACCACTTTGAGAGTGATCTTCTCGCCATGATCACGTAGTCCCGTCAACTTGCCCTGCCAATCCTTGAGTTGTTTGCGTGGGATGCGCTGCTGGTGCAAGAATATGGGCACAAACTCATCGCATCCGCCTGCACTAGGATACATTGCCTTTTGCAGCTTCTCTCCATCTTGAGTCTGCTCATCTGAGCCGAAGGTGAGCTTTGTCAGATCGATGAGTTCATCTTCTTTGATCTTGAGGCCAGTCTCTTCTTCGATTTCTTTCGCAGCACCACCTGAAAAAGTACCCGCGTCGTCGAGCATACCTGCAGGGAGCTCTGAGAAACAGAGAGATCCGGCTGGTATGCGGGGCTGCACGGTCAGAATGACATGCTTGTCTTTCTCGGAGCCTTCCTCGACATCATCAGGTTGTAGAATAAGCTGTGGATCTGTTAATAAATGATGTGCATTCATAGCTCATGCTGTGCAACTTACCAGCATTGCAACACTACCTCCTCTCAAGAACACAGAGCCAGGGAACTTTTCTCCATTGTCGTTCGAGACCTCTGCCTTGAACTTGATGAAACCAATGCGTTCACCGCCGAAGAAGTCCACACTTTGAATGTCGATGCGTCTGAGCTTGTAAGGTGCCTCATGGAAGGTGTGTGATTTTGATTCCTGTTGCTTAAGCGAGTGTTGGAGCGTCTCAGACCAGTTCTTGAAGGCTGGAAATGATAGAAGTTGTTCTTTTGTGAGATCGTTCGTCAAGTGGACTGGGCACTCTGGCGAGGAGCCTGGCAGTGTGAATGTGCTCATGATTCTGGCGCTGAGGTTGTGTTTCAGGACCGTTCTGCCAAGTTGTCGAGTGGTGTTGTGATGGAATGTCGTAAGTCTTGATTTTGAGAGCATGTATCTTCGATGTGAAAGTACAGAAGAATTGTGCTCGAAGTTGAATCGAGTTGATCTGTATATCGATGACGTAGCGCTTCAAGTGAAGCTCTACTTCTATCACAATCACACGAGCATACTCCATAAACTAAACATAACACGTATCCATAAACCAATACATCCTGAGCATCAGCGGGGTGCTCGTCAAGTCACATAGTTTTATATCTAGGATCATTATGTAGTGGGTTGTCGTCAGACGTCTGCCTTTGTGCTGAGGAGTCTCGGTTCCAATGCCAAAGACAACCAGAAGTTATTATGAACTTCTATTATGCCTCTACTGTCAATGGACAGTCACAAGATGCACAAAGTATACTGCTGATGCTTGTAAACAACCGTCTGTAGCCTTATATCCATGATTGACTCACTGCAGTTGGTGTGAAGATATATTTGCTAGGAAAATTGTTCAGTGACAGGGTGTTACCGTCAGCCAGATGGTCTGTCAAACCCTAAGATTGTGGGGCGGAAAGTGGGGTGGACGATGCAGCGCTTTGAGGTCAGCGACCGAGGTCGGTCTTTGTCCAATGACGAGCGATAGGCGATTGCGGGCAGAAAAAAGGGCAGGTGGGTTAGACTCATATTGTCACTGAGTCGAAACAATAATGGCTAATAATTCATACCAGAGCTTCTTCTTGTTTTCCAACTATCTTTCCGTCTTTAATCCACAGCCACCATGAAATACGGTATGCCCCCAGATGACAATGGCACTTCCATTGACTAATACAAACACAGAACGAGTGACTTCACAACCAGAGAATCCATACTCCAAGCTCATCCCCGAACAACATATCGCCGTTATCCCAGAGTTCAGCCTTGAGAGCGGTGGTGTCCTGTACAATGTACCGGTAGCATACAAGACATATGGCACTCTGTCGCCTGCAGGCGACAATGCCATGGTCATCTGCCATGCCTTGACCGGTAGTGCTGATGTTGGCGACTGGTGGGGTCCTCTGCTTGGAGGGCCTGGCAAGGCATTCGACATGTCGCGTTTCTTCGTCGTCTGTCTGAACAGTCTCGGCAGCCCTTACGGAAGTGCGAGTCCAGTCACGAGCAAGGATGGAAACACACAGAACGAGCATTACGGTCCTGAGTTCCCCTTGACCACTGTCAGAGACGATGTCAACATCTTCAAGCTCGTGCTGGACGATCTGGGTGTCAAGCAGATTGCTGCTGTTATTGGTGGCTCCATGGGTGGTATGCTCGTCCTTGAGTTCGCCTACTTTGGCAAGGACTACGTACGCTGCATCGTGCCCATTGCGACGTCGGCTCAATACAGTGCTTGGGGTATCAGCTGGGGAGAGGCCCAAAGACAGAGCATCTACAGCGACCCAAAGTATGACGACGGTTACTACACCTTCGAAGACCCTCCATCGACTGGTCTCGCAGCCGCGCGCATGTCAGCTCTCTTGACCTACCGCAGTCGCGATTCCTTCGAGTCCAGATTCGGCCGCAACACACCCGACCCTTCGCGTAAACAGAACATCAATGGCTCCTTCAGACCCTCCACTCCTTCAAGCGACCACTTCGCCATCCACAACGAAGGCCACAAACACGCTGGCTCTCCTCGCTACAGCCGTGTCAACAGCTCCGCCGACCTATCTACCTCAACCGAGTCCCTACTTCCAACCAACACCCCTCCCCAAACAATCATGGACCCTCAATTCCACGGCACCACACCTCTACCCACCAACGCCGCTCCTCCCAACCTCAGACTAAAGCGCACACCCACCTACTTCTCCGCCCAATCCTACCTACGCTACCAAGGCGAAAAATTCATCAAGCGCTTCGACGCAAACTGCTACATTGCCATTACCCGCAAACTAGACACCCACGATGTATCCCGCGGCCGCCTGCCCGCCGACTCCCAAACCACCACTCCAGTTGCCGATGCCCTCGCTTTAATCGAACAACCAACACTAGTTCTCGGTATCCAATCCGATGGCCTCTTCACCTACGCAGAGCAAAAAGAACTCGCTGCTGCAATTCCAAACGCAGTGCTTAAGAACATCGATAGTCCTGAAGGCCATGACGCTTTCCTGCTTGAATTTGAACAGGTCAATCGTTTCGTGCTGGACTTCTTGCATGAAGTGTTGCCGGATATGATGGCCAGAGAGCCTGTAGACTTTAGCAATACCGACGGCGTTGAGGGCGACCAAGCAGTAAAGACATCGACCTTTGGAGAGGCCGAAGTTGGTGATATCACCGCTTGGTAGAACGAGGGGAGGAACAGAAAGCCACGATATCTTATTTTCAACCTTGTTTATGTATCTAGACGACCTTTTTCACGACCAACAAATATTTCAACATGAGTTTGGACAGCGCGGAGATTTTAATGGCATAGAAAAACATCATTACCTCGAATCATCGGGGTTTCTTCTCACCTGGTTCTTTTACTTGTTCCACAGAAATATAGTGATTTTGTGTCTACTCCAGTGCTGTTGCGCCTTTGAAAGTCTCGACTTTCGATCTAATTTGAAGATCCCACATGATGTTTACATGACATGATCAAGAAGACTCGCATCGTGAGAGGAAGATTGAACATTTACTACATCTACAGGAAAGGCTTAGGTAGTCTAGACCTCTAGAACGTCGTCTGCGCAAGTCGACTCGCAGCATTCCTAGCATCGATTCTATCTTCGTCGTCCTCGTCCAAGCGACCCAGACTGCTTGCACTACTAGTAGCTCGCTTCCTGCCCGTCGTACCTTCTTCAGCTTGCTCGGCTTCTGCGTCTTCAGGGACAGTGCCTGTACCGGCAAAGCTGCCGCTGATGCTGCGGTTCAAGCCATCTGGTCTGCGTGGGACACCGCTCCATGCGTCACCTTTGGGTCCCTGACTGCTGGCAAGACTGGTGCGACGGATTACGGGGTGGGCTTCACGACCAAGGCGTGAGAGACCGCCCGAAGCATCGATGTTGCGGACGTCTGGGCGGACCTGCTCGAGTGTGGCTAGGGTGCGACGTTCTGCTTCAATCTCGCGCATGACGTATTCGCGAATAGCAGCGCGGAGGTCAGAGGTTGTGCGAGCGGTCCACTCGCGACGTTCTTGGACGAGGTTCTCGGTCACGCGATCCGTCTTTTCTTTCAGGTGGGCTTCGTGAGATCGGGCTTCGTCGAGGGCAGCAAGAGCCTCGTCGACCTTGTCGCGCTTGACTGAGGTGGAAGACTTCAATCGGTCAACAGCGCTTGTCTTGCTGCGAGTAGATTGTTGCGCTTGAATGAGCTCGCGCAAAAGAATGTGACGGTTGGTAAGAGTTTCCTTGACGATGAAGGCATCGCTGGAGTGGTACTGCAGAGGATCGGCCAAGGTTGTGGCTTCAGCAGTACCTTGAGCAGCGTGGAAGTCGCCAACGGCTTGGATGACCTTGCCTAGCTTCTTGTAGGCATTGCCCAAGCCTGAATGCGTTTCCTGGACCTGCATGTGACCCATCTTTACACCAAAATCGGATTCTGCCAGACCGAGAGCTGCAGGAATTAGCATGTGGCTTGAAGATAAGAATGATCATGCTGCCTACCTCTGCGCGACTTGACGACCTTGTCAACTTTCTGGCCAAGATCCATGGTTCCGAGATAGAAGGACTTGACCACGGGACGCGCTTCGAGAAGCTCAGGAGTGTCATCCGGAGGAGGAGCAAATTGCTTGATGTACTTGCGACGAACACCTGTAGCAGGTTGCTTGCGCCTGACAACAGGACTGTAACCGAAATCACTTTCGACGAAGAAGACCATCTCTTCGTCACGCATGAGGATATGATTGGAGCAGACAGTGTTCAGCCAGCGCTGCATTGAAGCCTTGACTCGCACTTCATCTTCTTCAGTACCAACACCAGCAGCAGTGAGCGGAGGAGGAACGGCAGGGACGAAAGCCTCAGGGTTTGACGAGATCAAATGGTCGGCAAACTTGACGAACTCGGAATGGGTGCGTCGCACGTCACGGAATTGGGTGGTACGGAATTTGGGCAGGTTGGTCTGAGTCAAGGGTTAGTTATGTTCAGACAGCACCTCCTCTCAGCAAGCGGCATACATAAACGTCGAAGCGCAAGACGGGATCCTTGCGACCGGTACGCTCTAGGGCAGTAATCTTGGCTTGAAGCTTGTATTGTTTCCTCGGTTGTTGGGGCTGTTGCTGTTGCTGCTGTTGTTGGTAATTCTGTGGTGGTTGCTGGTGGTGGCTAGGCTGTTGAGGGGGGTGTTGCGGACGAGCATGGTGGTAGCGCTGGGGCTCTGGGCGAGTCGAGTTGTCGTAGGGCTGCGATTGCTGCTGTTGCGAGGCGTATTGGTTGTTCTGGGTAGGCAATTGAGAGTTGTCGTCGTAGTGTTCGTCGTCACCGTCAGGAGCCGGAGGCTGGTGCGACAACGAGCTGGTAGGTGGGACCTCGTGGTTGTTGGTTTGGGGGAAGTTGGAGCGATCATGCTGAGGCGACGAGGCCCATGGGTCACGGCCCGCGTCATTGGCTATGGCCGAAGAATAGTCCATCTTTGTTGGTGAGGGTCTTCTTGTCGCTGGGCATGTGTCGCGGACAACAGCTGCTTGAGACCATGACATCGTGGTCGATGCCCCGGACCGGCTGCCCGCCAAGAGCCGAAGGCGGAGAGGCCGCGAACATGTCCATCTGCCAAAAGTTGCTGCCGGCGCTTCTTGCCTCTCACTTTTTGACGAAAGTCATATTCTGTTTTTAACCAGATCTTTGATCTGTTTACGGTTGGGTATTCATCCTGGGATGCTGCTCAGATTACAATGGCCTTGTCGCCGTGTGCACCACAATGCTAAGTCTCTGGCATTGATTACTGCTAGATCTTTTGCTTCTTCAACGCCATATCGCAATGACCTGGCGACATCAAAAACTCGTAACATTGGCATTATAGCCCATATTGATGCGGTATGTCGCAACACGTGCTTTTCTAGAATGTAGGTACTGAGTATGTAAAAGGGAAAAACTACAACAACAGAGCGTATGCTCTACTACAGTGGTTTCACGCGTAGACTAGGAGGTCAGTACCTGCGTGCCACAATTTCCTTGTTATCTGTATTTGTTCTTGGTGTAACGCATGTACTGAGTCTTTCTCAGACGTCGACGAAGGCTCTACCGTGACGGACTTCTTACCTGCAGAACGTGCTAGAGGTATCACGATTCAATCAGCAGCAGTGACTTTTTCCTGGCCACCAGCTGCTTCTTCAGCTACTGATCTCTCGTCCAACAAAATCGTTTTGCCACGCTCCACGCAGAGCCATAACATCAATCTGATAGATACCCCTGGTCACGCCGATTTTACTTTCGAGGTCCTTCGTTCTCTGCGTATCTTGGATGGTGCTGTTTGCATCCTCGACGGAGTTGCCGGTGTCGAAGCTCAGACCGAAAAAGTATGGACTCAAGCAACACAGTATAAGATCCCCAAGATCTTATTCGTGAATAAGCTTGATCGCGAAGGTGCTGCATTCGCGAGGACCATATCAGAAATAGGCACACGTTTACGTGTTTGGCCAGCATTGTGTCAGATTCCGTGGTGGCGGCCTGGTGATCTCAAGCTTCAGGGCGTTGGCGATGCCGTCGGTCTTCGTGCTTTGCTGTATGAGGAAGGTGGCGACGGCAAAACCCTCAAAGTGTTCTCACTCAAGGATTTGGAAGTCGACAATTCTGCTTTCGCAGAAGAAATCAAGAAAGCGAGAACGGCCTTGGTCGAACTGCTCAGTGAACATGACGATGAAATGGTCGAAAAGTTCCTCGAATACGACGAGGATCATCTGGCCATCCCATCTGTCGAAATTACAGAGAGTCTTAGAAGATGTACTCTGCAGCAACCACAAAAACTTGTACCTGTTTTTTCAGGTGCGAGCTTCCGCAACGTCGGTGTTCAGCCGCTACTAGACGCAGTCGTCGATCTCCTTCCATCACCGCAGGAGCGACCTGATCCAGAAGCTAGTGTCGGTCCTTCCAAGTACGGGTTGAATGACCTCCTTTCAGGCAAAAGTGCTTTGCCTGCAGCCATTGAGGCCAAGAAGCAACCCAAAACCAAAGCATTGGCGGCAAGCAAGAACATGTCCATCATCAAGAGTCTTGAAGCTTGTGCACTAGCCTTCAAAGTTGTCACTGATCCCCGTCGAGGTGTCCTGGTTTATGTTCGAGTATACTCTGGAACGATCACCAAGAATGCTCCTCTATTCAACACGAACCTTGGAGTCACCGAGAAGGCCCCTCGTTTGCTGAGAATGTACGCTGATGAGGCTGTCGAGATCTCTTCGATTGAGGCAGGTCAGATTGGAGTAATTCCTGGGCTGAAGTCCACACGTACAGGTGACACGCTTATTCTGTACAGTGGTGTCAACCCAAAGGTTGGTCCTCCCTCGCCGATAAACACTCTTCAATTAAGACCGATCGCTGTCCCTCCACCTGTATTCTTCACGAGTGTAGAGCCGAACAGTTTGGCTGAGGAGAAACGTATCTCTGAGACCCTGGCACTGTTGCTTAGAGAGGACCCCAGCCTGAATGTGAGAGAAGATCCCGAGAGTGGACAGACTCACTTGGCTGGCATGGGCGAACTTCATCTGGAAATCGCTCGCGACAGGCTCATCAACGATCTCAAAGCAAAAGCCAGAATCGGCAATATTCAGATCGGCTACCGCGAGGCCCTCTCCGCTCCTTCTTCGGACGCTTCCGCAATCTTTGACAGAGAAGTTGCTGGGAAGGCATCTAAAGCCGGATGTACTGCTAGCGTAACGCCTTTCGAAGAATCAAATTTGGATACAGCTGACGACCATACGCATGTGTTCGCCCTGCTGGATGACAACTATTTGATTCTGAAGACACCTACCCTCTACCCAGATGGCTCAGCAACGGACTCTGAGCTGCCACCTCTACCCTCTACTTTGCCGATGCAGATGCTTCAACAGGCCATGCAGACTGGTGTTACGGCAGCCCTCGCGCGTGGTCCTTCACATGGTTACCCTCTCCACTCTACTAAGATCATCATTACCTTTGATCCTTCCGAACATCTTTTCCCAACCACAAATCCTGCTGCTATCTCTTCTGCGGCTCGTCTTGCAGTACAAAAGGCCCTGCGTGAGGCAGCAGATGCTGGATCTGGTACAGCATTGATGGAACCCGTCATGAATGTCACAATCACAGTCGACGAACCCAGTCTCGGAAGTGTTGTACACGACATCAGCTCTGCTAGGGGAGGACAAGTCGTATCTCTCGGCGCCGACGACGAAACCGGCGCCTCAGAAGATGATCTGGAAATAGACCCTACAAGAATATACTCACCACCTGATCCATTCGGTGGCTCAGCGTCAAGTATTGGTGCAGGTTCTGTTAGTGTAGGCAATCAGATGCGCCAGATTGTGGCTAGAGTGCCTCTCAAGGAGATGGTGGGATACTTGAAGCATTTACGCAGTCTGACCCAGGGAAGAGGCACGTTCGTCATGACTGTTGACCGGTTTGAAAAGATGAACCCTCAGAGGATGAAGCTTGCACTTTCTGAGATGAGTGGCGGTTTCTAGACGCGATCATCTCAGTTGTATTATAGACATGTATCATAGAATCTCACATATGGCGATGAATTTTTTGTCTTCGGCTCTATTTTAGACTATTCAGATGCATCGCGATTAGGATGAGATGAACAGAGTTGTTCTTCGTAGACTCGTCGGAAGTAATAATTCGTTTGAAAACTCTTTCCCATAACGCCGTTGCACTAGAATGTGTCAATGAACACTTTGCGGTGTCCGCGTCCAACATTCTGCCTCATCAACAAACCAACTGCACCACCCATCTCTTGACAAGAGTCCACCTTGCCACAATCAAATGTCTTGATTGCAATGGCACGAGAAAGAATCTTCAACGATCCTACTGGCGTTTGATAGCATTGTGGATCTGAGCATGAAGGTTAATCTCGCCCTGCAAAAGCATCTGATCCAATCCACCCAGAGCACCAATAGCGCCGTCAATAGCAATAGAACCACCATATCTACCTATATCACATATAAGCCCCAACTCACCCACAACACTCAAGACAACCAACGACTTACCTTGACCAAAAGTACCTTGCAAACTGTTGGAAAAGTTTTCGTGGTAGAGAACTTGGTGACGACGATTGGTAAGGATGTTTTGGGCATTGGACACGGCTCTGCGCATTTGAGAGACTGTGGAGGTTATGTTGGTGTAGCTTGCTTCTAGTTGGCGTAGCATTGCTTCTTCGAAGACCGCGAAAGCTTGTTCGCGAGAGTGGTTGTTGTGTTCGCGCTGCTGGATGGCTTGGGTACGTTGCTGGAGTGTTTGCTCACGCTGCTGGATAGTTTGCTCACGCTGTTGAACAGTATCTTCGCGTTGCTGGATAGCCTCCTCACGCTGCTGGATGTGTTTTTCGCGTGCAGCCAATGCGTTGAGACGCTCTTCTAGGTTGGCTCGTGCAGCAATAAGGCGTTGCTCGCCATCGTGAATCTCCGTGCTACGGATGCTCAGTTCTTCCTCACGCTGGCTGATGTTACCAAGCATGTTTTTAGCTCTGGTGCCGCCCATGGCTTTGCCGTTGATCGAGATGGGTGGTTCTGCGACGGTGCCGGTGTGGTAGTGTGCGTATCTGTATGATGTCAGTCAGGTGTCATACATAGTGTATACTGAAACGTAGCAATAGCTGGAGAGAGATTGAGGGGCAGCGGGCTCCCAGTGCAAGCGGGGGTGTTAGACGTTTATGAAAAGGCACAGTTGCGAGTACTGTTCAGGTCATGTCTCGAGAGAAGGCGTGAAGGAGTTCATCTCAGTGGACGGCTTTCAGATCCCAAAATAATCATGCCTTTCGGCAGCCAACTGTGTATGACCAAGCTGATGGGAAATCTCTACAGCCGATTGCAATCGAAAGTTCAAACTTACAGGCACTTATTGTCGGGCTTTTTGCATGATCCGGTATGATACCAGAAGAAGCAAGTGAGAGGAACGCGAAAATCCTTAGGTGCCACGGGAGGCGCAATCTGGGAACCTATGTTCAATTAGTGAGGTCAAGCCTAAGAACACCTATGATAGTGCTACCAGTAGACGACGAAGGAGTCTGAGCGCAGAAGGGTGTAACATCGCCCTTGGGAGAGGTGACGTTCTTATTCGATAAGCTGCTACGAGTGCTATCACGACGAGTCTGGATGTAGCGTAGCTTAAGATTTGGTGAAGAGCATCTTGTGGACTTAGGGGAGGCGCTGCGTCCGTCACGCTCGCGGAACGACACTAAACCAAGGTCAGCGTGAAAGCGGTCCCATTAACCTCAGAAGACGCTGCGTACTACTGCTCTTCTCCATGTTATGTTGATAGTGCGTTGAAGATCTTCGTCGTCTGTTGTGTGTGTTGGTATAAGAATAAGGACGCCGTGACGACCCACGACGCGACCGCGACCCTCGACTGGACATGTCCCGCAAGCCCGAGCTTCTTGTAACCATTGCAGACTATCGAGCTGATACCAATCATTGAACATGCCACTACGCTGGTGCATCTGGTTAGCATATATGTGGTCGGGTCGTCTAATGTTTGCCCTTACCTGTTTGTCTGTAACAAAGAACGTGGTATACAAACACCCCAATGAGCAACACACACAGCCGCTGATCTTTCATTAAATATGCATGGACACATTGAAAACTCTTCCTGATCTTTTTGTGACTTTCAAGACTGTGCAGGGAGTGTAGTACGCCAGGGCAATACTGACCAACACAGGTTGCTTACTGCTTTAGAAAGGAGGAACACGCTACATACCGCATGACACTAGGCTATAGCTAGTAACTAACTTACTCTGTCAAAGTATGGTATATATGCTTCAAGAGCAGGGAATACGAATAGGCGCAGTATGAAGATGAGAGATCACTCGAGAGCGTGGTATTGCTGACGGTCATTACTCAAGGATACCAACAGCTCACGTACCATCAAGTATACTGCTTGATGTGCCAAGAAACGTAGTAGAGAAAGGGTTCATCTAGAGGTTCCTTCATCATCAAGACTGAAATGTCTGGTGAGGATGAGATGAATAGCAAGTGAACGAAGTCGAAGTTGGGTTGAGTCGATGGGAGGACCGTGCATTTTCAATTTCATGCTGTCGCGTCTACACGTCTCCCGCGTTTGCGCCCATCTGACTTTCCATCCAACGACCTGTGTACACCAGTTTTTACCCATATCATCGCCATGTCAGGCTCCGAGAGTCCAGAGAACTCTGAGCTAGTCTCTGCAATCCAAGACCAGGTGGAAGAATGTAAGTCATGCAAGATCTGCTTTATGCGTTGCAGCACCAAGCTAATCAGAGCTCAGGGTCGACCAGCAGTAACGATGCGCTTCGCATCTCGATATACCGCGGTGATGAGGTCGTCTCAGAATTTGGACCACTTTGCACGTATCCCATGTTCGGCGAGGAAGAAGTCATCTTTGGCTACCAAGGACTAGACATGTCATTGTCTTTGGCTGCACACAACATGAGGCCGCATATGGACATCTCCTGGGACAAACAGTTTACCCAGCTGGGCGACATCAAGGCATCTGACATCCGTGGTGCCCTCGAAGACTTTATCCCCGAATCCGCCTTCGCAACAAAATCACGAGCCGAAGCTCTCACCGACCCAAAAGCCGCATCATTCACACCACCAGGCACACTTCTGCATTCCTACACACACGAGGGCCGCAAGTTCGAAGTCTGGAAGGCCGCTTTGTCCGACGATGGAGCCAGAGAAATCATGGAGAATGTCCAGATCCTGGTACCTATGTTTATCGAAGGCGGCACTATTCTTGCGCTAGACGAATCTTGGGTCGCAAACCGCTGGACGCTCTTCATGCTTTATCAGGTCGACCAAAAGCAGGCAGACACGTCACCATACATCCTTGTTGGATTCTCGACATCTTACCGCGTATTCACATTACCTGACCGTCGGGACCCCGCAAAGCACGATCTTGCTCTCCTCCAACACGAAGAATCAGACATGGACGCAATACTTCGCCGATGGAACTCTGAGACTAATGGCGAGGACAATGACGTGGTCAAGACTCCCCTGCAACTACCCAGCCGCGAGCGTATCTCACAATTCTTGATCATACCATCCCATCAAGGATCTGGACATGGCGCTCGGCTCTACAATACCGTCTTCGAAAGCCTCATCACCCCTGATAACATCTGCGAATTGACCGTCGAAGACCCCAACGAAGCTTTCGATGATATGCGTGATGTTTGTGACCTGCTCTGGCTTCGCAACAACAACGAGGATTTCGCATCAATCAAGATTGAGACTCAAATCGACAGCGCAAAGCTCAAGATGAATGCGAACATTCCTGTGGACGATATTGTCTCAGGCGATGCCAAGGCTCGCATCAAGAAGGCTAGCAAGATCATGCCTCGTCAACTAGGAAGGCTGATCGAGATGGAGACATACTCAAAGATACCCAAAATGAACCGCTCAGTGAACAGAATCTCAAGGAAGGAGAAGAGCCCCAACGAGATGGATCGGGCTTACTTCTTCTGGCGGCTGTATGTCAAACAGCGTCTCTACATCTCTAACCGCGACGTACTTGCACAATTGGACCGCGAAGAGCGCGCTGAGAGACTAGAAGCAACCATCGAGAACATTCAGGTCGATTACGACCGCCTTCTTGAACTTGCAAGAAAGCGCGCTTCCTTATTCGACAAGCAGACTGCAAGCGGCACTGCCGGCTTGAAGCGCAAGAAGAAGGTTGTTGTCGAATCCGATGAAGGAGAGGATGCTGGCGCTGAAGCACCCTTATCTTCCAAGAAGAAGAGAAAGACCACCTAGGAGAGACGTCGCAACAGGAAGCTTGAAATGACATTTGTTAACTATAACCAAGTACATCGCGGGTGACGGAGGCCGCGGAAGCCTGTATTGCTCCACAAAGGATACGGGGTCAGATCCGACAGAGGCACTTATTTCCATGAGAGAGGAGGAATAATCGCTAAGCCACGAAAATTAGAAGCAACAACCCTTGATAAGCCAAGGAATTATTTTCGTCCGGTCCACTATGCTTCTAATATTATGTTACGGGTGAGTCAAGCAGTAGTCATTGAACGACGCATTCACGCTCCAAGATGCCATTAATGATAGGGCCAAGAAGTGCAGTTGGCGGTGTGAAAGGTCTTGCATCCGGATCAGCGACATCTGACAGCTTCAGCCAAATGCTGGGCCACGTGCCGGATGCTTAGAATCAACAGGCTGTAGAAAACAGGTTCAGGTGAATAGAGGATTACGACTGCTCATAGATACTGTGTCAGGATATGCAATAAGCCGAGAAGTCGCGTAGGAAGGGCGAGGGCGAGACCGTTGCGCGATTTTCTCACTCTTTTATATACCACGCACGCGTACACCAGCGATTATGGTACCTCGCAGAGATTCGCAGTAAAAGCTGCATATACGGGTCGGCAGACTGCAGGGTAGCGGTGCCACTTAGCGCATCAGGCGAATGGTGAAGAAGTGGGCAAAAGGAGTGTTACATTCTTCGAAGTTGAGCAGGCAAGCAATTAGCGAGGAGAGGATTGACGCGACAGCGTTTTGACACCAACTTGGCTGTCGCTTTTGATGCGCGCAGTTATTTCCGAGGAGAGAGAGTTCTGTGGAATCCTGCAACACAAGCTCGATGATTATTGATATATGTATCATGGGGCATTCGGAAAGCAGCGGTAACCAGTGGATGAAGACGATGCTGCCGCATCCAAGCTGAGTTTATTGACTCCCATGTCTTGCTCTGATATCAGCGGCAGATGATGGATCTTCAATGACGCAGCGGTTTTTGACAATTCAAACCCGCTTTCTGCTGGAAATGTGGAGAGCATGAGGTACCCACGTATGGACGCCATGTGTATCACCTTCCATCTCTTTGGCCGAGGCTCAGGCTGAGGCTGTGCGGCAAAAGGAGATGAGTGAAGGACTCTTAGACATTTGATGCTCGAGGCCAAAGATGGTTAGCGATGGCGGTCAGCGGTTGGACGTCGTAAACCCCTCGTACGGGAAGGTGTAATGTAGACAATTGCTTGGCAGAAGAAGCATTATGAGCGGTTTTCGGTCCACGATGCACCTCCGTAAAGTGGGAAAGCGCGATCGCATTTTCTGCACTTTGAGCACCCCCATTGCCGGCTGACTTACCGCTTGGCTTGCTACATCTTCCCTCTCTGGTCCTCTCCTCTACCCTGAACGGTGCCTTTGGTTATTTTCTCATCCCTGCACACGTTCGGTGGCTGAAGGCTTGTCTCTGGCTTGGTCAGTTGGCTGCGTTCCGGTTCTCGTCGCGCCCGAAGTTTGTCAGCAGTGAAGCAACGTCACAGCCACAATTCACTCTCTGTGGCCACGCCCTTCAGCACTCTCCGGTAACACCAACACATCTGAGATCATACACTGCGCCCGTCTGACACCTGGATTTGGTATTCGATCGCGAAAAAGACCGGCCTCTGCGGCCTCCTGCCTCATCTCTTAAACAAATCCACGACGTGACGTCGTCTCTATATCCTTACACCATGGCCGTCGCTACTGAAGACTTGAAGTCAACATCACCTTCAGTGCTCCCTTCAAATGCTTCCTCGGTCAGCTCTCAGACTTCCTTGCCCGCTTCAGCAGCCGCAAGATCCCCTTCCAATGGCGAGACGCGCCCAGCCGGCCCGCCTAAGAAGCCTACTTTTACCTCACGATTGAGTCGCATGTTCTCGGCCAAAGACACCAACGAATCCTCGCGGGAACCTACGATCAAAGAGAAACTTGGCGACAAAGTTCCCGAGACTGCAGTGGAAGAACCCGAGGCCGAAGCCATTGCAGTCCCCAAACCCATCAGACCCGCCAATCCCTCTAGGCAATCATCTCAGACCGACAAGGCTAGACTGGCTGGAACCGTTTCAAGAAGTGGTAGTGATGCAAAGAAGGACAAGAAGGAAGCGGAAGGTGCCCCCACTCAACATCGTCGCTTCTGGATTGATGAAGATGGTAACCATCATCACCAGCTTAAAAGCGCCAGACGACAGGAAAAGCTCACAGACATGGTTCGCGACTTCCTCGGAGGCAAGAAGAAAGAACACCACGAAGAACAGCCTCTGTCTCTTATGGCCAGTTGGGTGGACCAGTTGAAAAATGAAAAGAACCGGGTCGCTTCGGACCAGAAGAATGGACCTGCCGGTACCGCGACGCTTGTCCAGAAGTACGGCAAGTGTCAGGAAATCGTGGGTCGCGGTGCTTTCGGTATTGTCAGGATAGCGCACAAGGTGGATCCCAATGACTCGAAACACGAGCAGCTATATGCTGTCAAGGAATTCCGCCGAAGACCGCAGGAAGATGCGAAGAAGTACAGCAAACGCCTTAATTCGGAGTTCTGCATCTCGTCTTCTTTGAGACATCCAAATGTCATCCACACCCTTGACTTGCTCACTGATGCCAAGGGCGATTACTGCGAAGTCATGGAATTCTGCGCCGGTGGAGATCTCTACTCGCTAGTACTCGCTGCGGGCAAGTTGGAAGTCGTTGAGGCGGATTGTTATTTCCTGCAACTCATGCGTGGTGTTGAATACATCCACGAGATGGGAGTCGCACATCGTGATCTCAAACCAGAGAATCTCCTTCTCACGACACATGGTGCCCTCAAGATCACGGATTTCGGTAACGGTGAATGCTTCCGCATGGCTTGGGAGACAGAACCGCACATGACAGCAGGCCTTTGCGGCAGTGCACCTTACATTGCACCAGAAGAGTACACAGACAAGGAGTTTGATCCTCGTGCAGTAGACGTCTGGGCATGTGGTGTTATCTACATGGCCATGAGAACTGGCAGACACTTGTGGCGTGTAGCCAACAAGGACGAAGATGAGTTCTACGAAAACTATGTGCAAGGTCGCAAGAGCGATGCTGGCTACGGACCAATTGAGTCATTGCATAGAGTAAGTTGAATCTGGTCGTTACAACTTAGGCAACTGCTAACTCAGCTCTCTAGGCGCGATGCAGAAATGTCATCTACTCGATATTGGATCCTAACGCAAGCAGACGTATCAGCGCACACCAGGTACTCAACTCAGAGTGGGGCAAGGGCATCAGAGTCTGTCAGGCCGGCGAGGAAGGGTTGTAACACTAGTTTCAGGGCAACTGGCCCCTTTATGTTTCCTTCTGATGACGGACGGACGGTCTTGGGTTATGGTTGCGACGGATAGCCACCTTATGGCTTTCTGTTTTGCGCGGCGTTTGGGCGGTTCTATTATTGATATGGCATGAGGCGGGACGCACGACTCTGGTACAATTATGTCGGCTATCAGAGCCATTCTGTCGCTTCCTTAGAAGATCATCAAATTTACGAGCGATTCATGATTGAATTGAGGCTGCAAGCTGAGGTCAAGGCTTCTTGAAGTCAGTCTGCTTCCCGTCCCCACATTCGGGACGGAAGTGACGATGGAGTGGCCGAAGGGATCAGAAAGTCCAAGGAATTCCGAGTAACTTATCACAACGCATCCCGTTGACTTGCAGGAGGATGCGCCTAAGTAATGCAGCGAGCATTCAGAAACGGCAGAGCACTGGCGGCGCTGCTGTTTTCACTCTGCTACCTGTGTCTCGTCGCCTCGGCACAGTCTGAAACCAACAGCAACAAGACATCTGGCCCTGCTGTCAGCAGCAATACCAACGCCATCACCAGCGTCAGCTCTTCAGCACAAGATGCACGCAACAGCGATACACGCCAGACCACATGTCGTACTGGCACCGTCAATTATATCACTCATTCATTGCCTCAGCAGTGTCTGAGCCGCTCTACCCCGACCTCGAACTCGACCAGCCTCTCCCCTGCCGTTACCCTCAACTCTTCCAGTACGCACTCGATCTCCCTGTCAAGTAGTGTCGCTCAGGAAGAGCCTCATTCGACCTCATCGGAGACCCAACCTTCTTCCGCGACGCAACCTGAAGCCGAATTCGAGACAGACTCACCGCTAGACAATGCCAACTTCTTATCGTTCGAGGAATGGAAGAAACAGAACTTGGCCAAGGTTGGTCAATCGCCTGATCATGTCGGCCAAAAGTCCAATTCTGGACAGGACAAGCCTCGCAATCCTCGCCCGATTGACCACGCCCTCGATATACTTGGTGAAGACTCGGAAATCGAGCTGGACTTCGGTGGCTTTGGGAGACCAGACAGTCCTTCATCGTCGATTGCCAGTTCTCAACCCACTGTGGCTTCCGAACCAACTCTTCGAAGCAAAGATGCTGGCAAGACTTGTAAAGAACGCTCCAACTACGCTTCATTTGATTGTGCCGCAACTGTGCTCAAGTCCAACCCTGAATCCAAGTCCGCCCACGCTGTCTTGATCGAGAACAAAGATAGCTATATGCTTAACATCTGCTCGAGTTCTAACAAATTCTTGATCGTCGAACTGTGTAATGACATCCTTATCGATACTATCGTACTGGCAAACTATGAATTCTTCTCTTCGATCTTCCGCAACTTCAGAGTTTCGGTATCTGATCGATATCCTGTCAAAGCTGATCGTTGGAGAGAACTTGGTGTTTTCGAGGCCAGGAACACTCGTTCAGTTCAAGCCTTCTTGGTTGAGCAGCCCTTGATCTGGGCCAGGTATCTTCGAATCGAGTTTCTAACTCATTACGGCAATGAATATTATTGTCCGGTCAGTCTTCTCAGAGTACATGGTACCACAATGATGGAAGAGTTTCGCCACCAGGAGGAGCTTGCTCGTGGAGAGATTAGCGATGATTTAGAGGAGTCTGTCATGCCTGATACATTACCGTCTGCTGCTCAGGAACCTCCCCAGAAAGCCCCTCAAGAACCCCTCCAGTCTTCGAAAGAAGCCGACAAGTCTGTCGTAATGGAGTCTGCTCGTCCCATCGAGACTTCCACCGAGGCCCCTGCTATCCTGACCCCATCTGGCTCAAGTGCAGAACCTGCAAATGCTTCATCAACATCCACGTCAACGCACCCCGAAGTACAGCCTTCGACCACGAATAGCAATCACATATCGACTAGTACTAATGTCCACGCGCCAAGTAATGCCAATGACACGCTACCACACAACATCATGACAACAGAGACGAACGATACCACGCAAACCACTGCAGATATGAACACACTCTCGAGCAGTAGGAACCTGACGTCTACATCCCTTCGAGCTGCTTCAGGTCCAACCAACAGCTCGATGGGTGTTACGGCATCCCCTGAGCCTATCGTCACAACTCAGTCACAGTCATCCAATGCAAGTGCGGTCACTACTCCTATTTCCTCTCAGCAGACATCCGTAGAGTCCAGCAGTAGATCTGTCTCTGTCAACTCTAGCTTGAATGCTTCTGCTGACTCCAGTGCTCATATTAAGAGTGTAAATTCGAGCATCAAGCAGTCATCTGTAGCCTCCGACACTCATCATAAGCCCAGTACATCGACTGTGTCTTCAGCTCATTCCAACCCCACTACTCAGGAATCTTTCTTCAAGTCTATCCACAAACGTTTGCAGATGCTTGAAAGTAACGCTACGCTGTCTCTACAGTATATTGAGGAACAGTCCCGCATTCTGCGTGATGCTTTCATCAAAGTTGAGAAACGGCAGATCAAGAAGACCGAGGCATTCCTCGAGAACTTGAATGCAACCGTGTTTGCCGAGCTCCAGGACTTCAAACAACAGTACGACCAGTTGTGGCAGAGCACGGTGATTGAGCTTGACAACCATCGAGACCAATACCAAAGGGAGATTCACGCCGTCAGCGTTCGCTTGAGCATTGTCGCTGATGAGCTGCTATTCCAGAAGCGGATGGCTATAGCTCAGATGACTGTCTTGATGGTTTGCCTGGGTCTTGTTTTGTTCGTACGCACAGGAGGCGGCACGAGTCTGGACATGCCTATCATTCAGCAGATGGTCAACAAATCACATTTTGGGAGAGGCGCTTATGATTCTCCTCTAAACTCACCATCACCAGATCAGACTTCTCCGCCGTTTACCAACGGAGATGTTAGACGTAGAAGAGGATTTTGGAGAAGCAATTTCCACTCTCCAGCATCATCACAGAGACCCATCTCTAGAGGTAACGGAAACGTTTCCGAGGCATCTATAGAGGATCATTCTCAGAACGAGAACCCTGATTTGAGATTCCAACCACCGACTCCAACCCTGGAAACCAGCCATGGCACAGATGGCGAAGACGGTATTCTTGTATCGCCTTCGACGTCGTCCTTGCGTGCAGAAGGCTCATTCGTAGACGAGGAACCAGAGAGTGACGAAGAAGAAGATCTTGAGAATTCTTCAGCATCACTACCGAAGGAAACACAGTCCTCACCGTCGACACCCAGTGGGTCGCGAGATCTCAAACTGCAACCATGGCCAGCTGGTGGGGATGGCAGTGGTATTGCTAGTGATGACTGAAACCATGCCTGTATTATGACGAGTTATGTCCCTTTACTGTTGTACGACAAGGATTAGACGTGATCAAGGATTGCCTTGATCTGATGACCTGGAGTGAATTCAGACTTTTCCCTATGAGAATGTAATCCCGGTCCACCGTCAGCAGAGCACGCTATAAGTGCCCTGGTAGCTATGTTTCCTTGGAATCAGTTGTTGTGAGTGATGAATGTGTGGCTTGCTCTGAGTGCAAAGTCACGTCTTGTGCAATTTCCAAATGTCCAGCAAGCACCAAAGTAGGCGAGCAACCAAACAGGTTTCGTAGATAGCACAGCCTACTGCGTGTGCGGTGGCTTGTACCATTCTGCAAGGTTCTAGACTGTTGGGCGTGAAGTTCGCATATGGAACGTGACGAAAGTGGGGAGCTTCGATTGGCAAGACCCTTGTTTTTGCTGATCAGCACCTCTTGACGATCGACTGCACCAAAATCCCACGCGGGTTGCCGTGTCGAGCAGGATTCTGTTCAACCGCTACACGGGAGGGGAAAGGAAAGTGTGGGTTTCTACTGGGGAGTATGACGCAGCTCGTGGTGTTGCGATTAGGGGACTTGGATGCTTCTTTCCAAACCTGGTTTTCTTCTTGATACATAAATGAGTCGTTGCTGCTACTGTCCAACGTGGTTACTTTTTTTTTATTTTGATTAATCAATCTGATATTTGAACGACGCATACGATCCTCCAACAATGTCTCACAACAACGATTACAGCAGCAACAATGATGAGTACGGCAGTACTGTATGGTTCCCCTCGCATATCCCTTATCTTTGATCGTCCAGCTACTTTGGAGCTTCAGCTGGACCTATCATAATATTCCGTTGATACCCCTCTTTTTCTTATGCAAATCATCACTCCTTCTGAAGCTGTTGTATCTAACCTGCGTATCTCTATAGGGTCGCCAAGGCGGTTTCAACGACAGCACCACTGGCTCAGGAGGCTACGGCGTAAGTTAATCTCTCACTGGTCAAATGTGAAGATCTTTGCTTACAAGCGGCACAAACAGGACTCGAGCTACGGAAATGACAGCCTGAGCAGCGGAGCAAACCCAGGCAGTGGTCTTGGCCGTGACCAATTCAACGACTCCTCAAACTACAACCAAGGAGGTGCTTACCAGGGAGGTGCTCTCGGTAGCGACGACATCGCTTCCCGTGGCAACAACTCTGGCTCTGGTTTCGGATCTTCTGGAGACAACTACGACTCTAGCAACACTGGTGGCTATGGCAGCAGTGGAAACGACAACTTTGGAACCAGTGGACTTCACCATCAACCTTCTGCCACTGGAAGCTTTGGCGATGATGATTTGGTAAGTTACCTGATTTTGGTATTTGATCGACATGAGATACTGATTGGATGATTAGAAGCCTTCTCATGGTATCGAGAGAGATACACACCACACCACTGGTGGAAACTACCCTGTAAGTACTTGCATGAGAAGGAATCCTTTGAGTTTTGCCTTATCTTTGTACATCTATCTTGCTTCCCAGCATTATTGTATTTTCTCCTTTCTGTTTACACATTGACACTTACCCCACCCATACATCGAAGTCACATCAAGACAACCATGTTGAAGAAGCTCACAGTATGGACGCTTTGTTCATGATCTCAATACGTATTGCAATACGAGCTAAAGCTAACTCAATCCCACAGTCTCTCGATGACAATTACGGCTCAGCTGCCACATCCGGTGCAGGTTTCGGCAACAAGTCATCATCTGACCGCGATTCTTATGACGACTCGAGCAACACTCGCTTCGGCTCCTCGGGCGACACCGGTGCATACTCTGGTGCTTCCGACTATGGATCTGCAGCCACTTCAGGTGCAGGCTACGGCAACAAGTCCAGCTCTGGCCGTGATGACTTCGGGGATTCTAGCGATACTCGTTTCGGATCTTCGGGTGATACTTCTGCATACTCGGGCTCGAACCAGTATGGCAGCGGAACTACAGGGGGTGCTGGCTATGGCAACAAATCGTCGGACTACACGTCGTCCAGCGATAACCAGAACTCTGGCAAGTCCGGTGGTATGATGTTGCTTCCTAGGTCCTCTGAGATGATATATGCTAACGTGTGGCTTTCAGATTCGACGGCTGGAAAGCTGATGAGCAAGCTTGGTGGTATGATGAACAACGAGAAGATGGTTGAGAAGGGCGAGGCCAAGCGTGAGGCAGCTGGTGCCTACAACGACCGTTCCGACTACTAAACTGTGTTTCATGTCGAACACATGATGATGAGAAAGTAATAGCTCGGTCGCAGCCAGTATGATGTGCAACCAGAGTATTAGTTTTATGGCGTAATGACCAATCATGATGTTTTTCTGTTTGAGCCTTCTAGTCCAGAATTGCTTGTGCGAGTGTCGAGAGTTAGACTCTTCCTAACGGACGTATTTGCTCATGAAACGTCTGTGGAAGTCTGATCTCAGCAAGTCGTTGACAAACTCCTTGCCCTTCTTGTCTTCTGTTCCCCTGGCCTGGTTTTTGAAGACAACATCGTCGTCCCATCTTCGCTTGACGTCGTATGCTCCTAGGTATATGTTAGAATAGTCGAACAGTATCACGAGACATGAGATTATCTTACCCTTGTTCAGGAGTGGGTTTCCAGTAGCGATATCCCGCATCTGCTGTTCTTCCTCCTTTGCCGCTTGTTCTGCAGCTTCTCTGGCAGCAGCTTCTGCACGTTCGGCCTTGATCTTTGCCAACTCGCGCATCAGCTCTGCTTCCTCATCATCGTCATCGTCTTCATCATCCGAAGAATCAGAGTCTTCTTCTGAACCATCATCTGAATCTGCATCCACATCACGCGTCTCTTCTAACACCCTCCTCCTTTTGGCTTCATAGTCTTCCTCTTGTTGATCTCCCTCTTGCCCCTCTCCATCCTCCAAATTGCGCTTTAGAGTCTTTCCTTGCTCGATGGCGAGTTGTGGTGTTGCTTGTTCTTCTTCTTCGGGAGACAATTCACGACCTTCCTTTTTGGCAAAGTGGCGGCGTTCGGCGCGGAGCAGTTCGGCGCGGAGGTCGCGTGCTGAGTGCTCGTCGGTGGTTCCTTGGGTTGCTTGTCGGAACTTGAGGGTCTTGTGGGCTGGCAGTAGACGTTGGTGGTATCCAGGACCGCGAAGGGCTTCTTTGCCGCGGGCGGGGTCGAAGGTGGGACGATGGGCGGTGGTCATGGTTGAGTTGTTGAGATGTGTGACGAGATGAGTTATAGCAGGTTGAACAGAAAGATGCGATGGTCGCAAAGAGTGAAGAGAGAGTTGTCGACCTGGTTGCGCGGCAGAAGCCGAGTCGGAGCTTGCAGCGGGCGGCGGAGAGAGTCGATTGGGGAAATGTTCAAGAGACAAAATATAAATCGCATATTCACGTCATACTGTCCAACACTACATTGCAATGCCACGAGAGGTCGAGCCCTCGCTCAATGAGCGCCAATTCATCCGCGACGCACTCTTCGAAAGCATTCGTCTTGATGGCCGTCAACTCGATCAATACAGAAATCTAGAGCTTGAATTCGGCGACGTCTATGGCGTTGCTGATGTTCGATTGGGCAAGACGAGGTCTGCAACCACCAATACACCACACAGAGATCACACTGAATACTAACATGAGTCCAGAGTTGTCGTACGTGTCTCTGCCGAAGTAACAACACCCTTCCCTGATCGCAAGTTCGACGGCGTCTTCACAATCTCCACCGAGCTCTCACCCATGGCCTCTCCCGCCTTCGAAGTCGGCCGTCCCAACGATGCCGAAGTTGTCCTATCACGTCTACTAGAAAAATCCATTCGTCGCTCAGGAGCCTTGGATACGGAATCCCTCTGCATCATCGCCGGCGCAAAGTGCTTTGCAGTCCGCGCAGACATACACGTTCTAGACCACGATGGAGGTTTAATCGATGCCTGTTGTATCGCCTTAGTCGCCGCTCTACAACATTTCCGCCGGCCTGAGGTTGAAGTACATGGAGAAGATGTCACAGTATTCGATATTCGCGAGCGCGAACCTGTCAAGCTTGCTATGCAACATCATCCCTTCTGTGTCTCTTTCTCCTTCTACCATGGTGGAGAGACGGTCCTGCTGGATGCAAACCTCGCAGAAGAGAGTGTGCGCGATGGCGAGATGATTGTTAGTATGAACCGCCACGGCGAGGTCTGCCAGATTGCAAAGTATGGAGGTGTGCCTGTTGATCCTCTAACTACTTTGAACTGCTCAAACGTTGCGCTTGAGAAGGTCAAGGTTCTGCATCAGTTTGTGCAGTCAAAATTGGATGCAGACGAGAAGAAGAGGGACAAGGGCGGTCTTATGGCTGAGCTGAATGCTGCAAACTCGAGAGAGCTTGCTAACATCCCTGGCTGAGGTTCTGGAGTTTCGTTCTCACGCCACCTAGCTACTGCCTCCTTCGCTGCCGAAAACTGAGGCTACGAGACATCGGACAGCCGCCTGTACTCCACGGGACGCCACCCAGGAACAGGCACCATACTCAGACGGAGTCATCACTTGTCTCGAGAGCTCCACTCTGGACGCAACGATATTGTAAAGATACATGGTCGCCATATTGGCTCCGGGTTGCCTTGCCAATACCATGGCAACATCACAACATAGATCACAAAAGGTAGAAGGATTAAAGCTGAATGATAGAGGCTTGAAATCGTCGCTAAGAGGCGTCGTTCATCTATCTTCATTCTACCACGCTCGCAAATTGTTCATAACCTTGTCTCTCTGTCTGACTGAATGATCGAAAAGCAGGTTCCAGTGGAGAACTGCTCTGTACAAGAGACTCGATCTAACCCGATGTAGCGCTGAAAAGGCGAGGCCGTCCGAGGTAGTTTCTCCTGATAATGTCTCCTTCGAGAGTGGCTCAATCTAGGCCGAGGGTCCCAGTCCTTGCTCTGCTAACCCACTACGTCGCGTCATTGCATATAAGGCCTTTGGTACAATAGCGCCGCAAACAGTTTCGATTGGCGCTGTTTTGGTGTTGCGCTAGGCAGCTGGCAAGCCTACGCAGAATAATTTCCTTTTGCTCCATGTTGTGATTGACCATCCTACACTCTCAGAATGGTGCTCATTGGTGCTAATGATTCCGGAAATTCTTTTTCTGGTAGAACAGATCCGTCCTTGAACTACCCAGATTTATAATCTTAGGGCAGCCATCTCTGTCCTTTTCAAGCCGGGTGCATTCGAAGCAGTAGAAGGCGTCGGAGATCCCCTGAGGTTACTTTGTCAGCTACATGCGTAGGAATGAAGAGTCAAGGATGGGGTGTAGTTTTACCTCGCCACCGCAGACAACGCATTTGTTTTGGTAGTTTCCGAAGGAGCATTCGTCGCAGATGCGGACGAGGGTTGTAGGGCGGACGTAACTGTCGCAGACGGGGCACTTGCCGTCGCATTTGTCGCAGAGGCGGCCGATGGCGATGCCAGCGGTCTTGCGACACATGACCAAATCACTGTGTGCCAACAATCAGTTTGTGCCTCTTCAGTAGATTCCACGATGAACGTACGGGTGATGGCGCGACATGATGGCGGTCCAGGAGCGGAGAGTCGGTGGTAATTCCTGAGTCGCGTATAGGATATAGATACAGTCGACTCGGTTTTGTGAAGTATTCAAGAGAAAAGTGTGGCGTGCGAGTGGAATCTGCGGTCGAAGTTGTCGAAGCTTCCCAAGTGAGCAGATGAAAGTGCTCGTGAGGCAGGAGGGCCAGGCACGGAGATAAACGGGGCTAAGCAGCTTGCTCTCAGAAACACCGATGTCATCCAACTCTCTCCGCTCTACCTAACACAACTGCCAGGCATTGTAAACACTCGACTCACACACTCTCGCAATCATGGTCGAGACGGCAAGCAACTCTCTGCTGTCTACCAGCACCTCGGACTCCTCACTGTCAGTCCAGCTGCACCCTCTGGTTCTGCTCACCATCTCCGACTACATAACGCGCCACTCCATGCGCAGCCAGCAAGGCCCAATCATTGGTGCAATCATCGGTCAGCAAAACGGACGTACAGTCACCATGGAACAAGCCTTCCAGTGCAAGATCAAGGAGGACGGAGATAAGGTACTGGTGGACGAAGAGTGGTTCGCCGAGCGTCTAGAACAGTGTGCGTATATCTCCTCGTATTCACCGCACCATCACCGCTAACCATGAATCAGTCAAGGACGTTCACAAATCTCCCCCTCTTGATCTCGTCGCCATCTTCACCCTCGCTCCTCCCTCAGGTCCTCTCCCCGACCATGTGCCAATCCTTCAACAACTACAACACTCGTACAACGATTCGCTTATGCTCCTTCTCTTCCACCCTCAGACGATCCTTGACGGCTCTCTTACTGGCGGAAAACTTCCCATCTCAATCTACGAGTCTTACTACGAGCCTGGCAGTGAGAATGCAGACAAGGGCATGCAGGTCGAAGGATGGGGCATGGGTCGCCAATTGCAGATGCGCTTCCGTCAACTACCCTTTGAGGTCGAGACTGGAGAAGCTGAGATGATCGCTGTCGACTTTGTTGCGAAGGGTAGCGGCTCTGCTGCTGTCCAAAATTCTGCCACACCTGCATCGAAAGGCAAGTCTCGCGCTGAGGGAAGTGCTGCTACCAACGATGTTCAGCTCAGTTCTGCAGATGAAGAAGGTGAATGCGAATCACATCTCTGTGTAAGAATCGCAGGCTAACAACTCATAGTTATCTCATCTCTCACTGCCAAGTACAACGCCATCAAGATGCTGCACCAACGCATCAACCTCATCAAGGCCTATCTAGCCGAACTACCACAATCATATCTGACCGATGCATCCATCTCAGCCGGCACCAGCGATCCTCCTCTCAACCATCAACTCCTCCGCGAAATCTCATCCATGCTCTCTCGCCTACCATTACTCGCTCCTCCCGTCTCTCAACCCTCCACCACTATCCCAGTCCCGGGTATGCCACAATCATCACTCGCAACAGCCTCGTCACAAGAACAGTCAGATGTGCACATGGTATCCCTGCTCGCTTCTCTTACCCGCACAGTAGCTCAAGCGAAGGACATGGGTTCAAAGTACTCGATTGTCCAAAAGGCAAAGACGGACAGGAACAATGTCGGTATGATGGGTGGTGGTCGTGGTTTCAGCAACTATGGCCCTGGACCTGGTGATGACCCTTGGGGTACCCCTGGCGAGTCTAACGATTACGCTCCAATCAACCTTTGATGTAACCTTCTTGACGGCATCGAAGGAGTAAGCGTTTCTACTCTCATGACGAATCTTTAATGCATAGCTGCGGAAAGGCGTAAATGGCGCATTAGACCAAAGACTGGGGGCCTTTTTTTCTATTTTCTTTCTCTTTTGCTTTTCTAGTAGATGTGTCATGCATTCAAAAGACATTGCACCATGAAGTCAAAACGATATCCCTTGAACAAGTGTTTTCGTGTATTCGTGCATGTCTTCAAAGGGTTACTTATTAAAGCAGGTGTAGGCAATGGTAATGAAGGACTTGGATAGATTGGAAGAGAACGAAATCAACACAGAACAAGGACAAAAGAAAAAGACCGATGGAAAGAGCAAAGTGTCTATTGTGTAGCCAGAAGAACGACAAGAGTCTAGAAAATCCAATTGAATGCATATCACGAATGCTCAACCTTTTCACATTGTAAGGAAGTCCGAATTTCTGTTTGCTGCAGAAACCTTGCAGATCTAGAAACAGTTTGGGCCAGGCACCCAGCTGGTAATGCTGAGACTGTATGCAAAATCATGTTAATAAACATCATGAAATGAGGACAAACGGGAACAAGGAGAGGAGGGAGAACATACGTTGCAGTCACCGTCTTTGTGACTCGAGATGTCCTGGTAGTTCGTTTGGTGATTGTGCGAGTCTGATTTCAAGTTTGTTAGGTCTGGATTCTTCGAGGAACATAAAAGGTGTTCTGTGCTTACAGATGTTGGTGCAGTCTTGGTGATTGTGGTTCCGGTCGCGACGATGGTAATGGGTGCTGGTGTAATTGTTGTCGTGCTTTCGACAGTTGCTGGAGATAAGGTCAGTCTTCCGTACACCTTCGTTGATTGAAAGGCTAGAAAGCACTCACTAGTCGATGTCAGAATGACAGGGGAAGCTGTAAAGCTAGAGGTTACAGAACTCCAGTGTGCTGTATTGGTATCCGTTGAGGTGACCGTAGCGCTATCAGGAGTACGCTTAGCAAGATTGGCTACATTGCGTCTCGCAACTTGCATAACTTTGGTGATACCGCGTCTGATTCTGGCACGACGGGCTGGAGCTGGGGTTGCGCTTGCTGAAGCAATGGCGGCGGAGGCAATAGAAAGAAGACCTGCATCGGCTGTAGGATCGGCTACCTCTGCTGCGAAGATGTTTGCGCAGAGCTCAGTCTCGGTGTAGGTTTCGACCGTGTAGGTGAACCTTGTCTTGGTGCGTGTGACCGTTGCCGTTGACGAGGTCGTGACAGTCTGGCGAGGCGGATAGGAAGTAAGCGTTTGTGTCAATGCATTGCTAGCAAGACTGGTAACTGATGAAGGCGTCAAGGTTGTCGATTCTACATCTGTGATCGTAGCATTCACGGTGGAAGTAGGCGTTTGGGTAACGCTCAGGGTTATGGTAGGAATGACGACCGAGGTGACTTGCTCGCCAACACTGAGATGCAGGAGACGTTGGGCGTTGAACGTGCTACCATTGCCGTTGTTGTCCAGAAGTATGAGCTTCCAATCGCCAGTGTACATCTGATTCTTCGAGATAGAACAAGTTGTAGTTTCATCAGTGTAATCTGGTGAAGTTGCGACGTCCGAGCAGAAGATGGTTTTATTCTTCGGGGTAATCAAGACAACGCGAGCAGGCTCCTGGCAGTTGTAGAACTCTGAAACGGCGGTGAAAGAGTTATTGGAGTTGATGTTGATGAAATAGTCTCCATTGTTCTTGAAGTCGACAGGGAAAGATTCACAGGCACTGGCAAGCTGCAAAAGCGCAAGCCCGATGGCTAGTATGGATGTCCACATGGCATCGATGATCCAGAAGATCTTGATCAGAGGAAAGATTGCAGTGTCAAATGCCCTCAGAAAGTCAAGTTGTACCTGAGATCACTTTATACTTGAGATCGCGAGGCGTCGAGTTGGCAGCAAATCCATCGTCTCTTCAACCAGACCTACCTCCTCAGCAAAAAATAGCACACATACTTGAGACTGTCCATACGTATCTCTACACTGCCTCGCAAGAGGATTCTCGTGGCATGGCCAGCAGACCTGCAGACTCGAGTCTGACATCAGAGACCAAAAGGAGATAAGGTCGCCGAGTAGCGGTTTCATGATAGCGAACCTCATGATCGGAGCCTATTGAGACCAACAATTTGTCCCAGGAAGCAGCCTTACACATGCATGTAGAATTGTCAAGAATATGATGATGATGCTGCTGCCACGATGCAAGTAGGTAGATGTCGGAAGAAGGCGGTGTGGTACGCGGCAGAAGACATGCATGCATCTCGGAGGCTCGGGGAAGGCGCGCGCCAAATTTGGACTTGGGAAGCAGCACTCCTGGCTGGCCCTACCACTCACAGCTTCACGTCAGCGAGATATTAGAAGTGCCTAGCTCTGGACTTGCTAGGCAGCAGGTATGCCATCATCCATCACGGGACGCAGCTGGGCACCGTCAAGCTGCAGACTCTGAAATTGTATCTTTTGCCTTTTGCGATATGCATCCGGGACCTTACTTGCAATATCGTGAGAAAGCAATCGGGACACGGCGCATGACCGAACCGGAGCTACGGTATAGCTACGGTATACTCTTGTGGATGGTCCAGCCATTCTGCAAAGCAGATCCACCCATCGAGTCTTCGATATTAGATATCTGCAAAGAATGCATGGCCGCCATAACCTCTTCTGCATCCACCCAAGACAGACATCGTACACGTTTCTGGTGCTTGTTTTTCTTTTGCCTGTGGAAAATTCCTGACGCGCAAGGATAAGCCTGGCTATCGTGTTGGAAGGGAGGATCTATTTCCGTTGAGGAGAACTCCGAATAAGCAACAACTCTCCGAAGGTCCCGTAGACACTGGATACCCATAAGGCTGACCTTGGCGACCAAGCGTAATAACCATGTTTTGCATGCTTTCAAGTACAACTTTCTGACCCACGGCTGGTATGCGAAAACCTCAGATCACGAGAAAACGCCATGTTAGGTTCAGTCCATGGTAGAGAACGAATCATGCCAGTGACTACTGTGATATTCGTTCTCGTCACGAACGTGTATCCCCGAAGGTACAGATCTGAGGGAGACTTTGCAATGTCACGCTACAGCTCCTACATTCTCTTGCATGGCAGAAACCGATGCAATCCATCCGCGAGGGATAAGGATTTGCTCTCCAGAAAGAACATCGTGTTCCTTGCACCTGGACCCTTGTCATGATTAGAGGCGAAGCATTCATCATGCTATGCAAACAAGGGCCTTGTGAGCCACGTACCTTACGTCGGAAGATACAACCTCGTCTCACCTCAGAAAGTTCTTACGGCACAACAATCACCCGACATATGCCAATCACCAATCAGGAACATTCCAAGTGCTCTCAATTTTTTTAGTGATGACTTCCGACCAGAAAAACACAGCCCAGCATGATCTTGTTGCTAGAATACTACATTCTGAGTCGTCAAGCTGGCACGCAGACTGGATGCTGACTTCGCAGCAGTCTATTGGAAAACAGGCAGACCATCTGACCTGCAGCCCTGCCATTCCCCCGATCAAGGATAAGGAGGTCATTTCTATTATAATGATCGGGGCAATGCTTTCAGCGTCTACATGACAGTTGTACTCTACTGTACAGAGACCAATTTCCAGCATCAGCCCTGTGAGCAACAGTCTTTACTTTGCTAGACAAGTATATGTATATAAGAGCTGCTTATCCACATCAAGATGATTACAGTACCTCAATCGTGCTCAAACACTCGCAAGCATGCATCTCCTGCGTACTCTACCCCTGTTCGCTTCCTTGGCCGCCTCTGCTACTGCTTCAGTAGCTTTTAAACGTCAAGCCTCCTCAACATCTTCTGCTGCTGCCTCTGGCACAACTTTGACTCCAGATGATCCTGATCCAGAGTGTACCAACACTGCTAGCAGCCGTCAATGCTGGGTATGAAGTTTGGTATTCTCCCAGTATCTCATGCTAACTCGGACAGGGCGATGGATTCTCTATTGCGACCGACTTTGACCAGAAGTTTCCTGACACGGGTAAAACCGTCTCATACACATTGGACATCACAAACACAACTCTCGATCCGGATGGCACAGGTGAACGTATGGTCATGTTGATCAACGATCAGTACCCAGGACCTGTCATCAGAGCTAGCTGGGGAGATTGGCTCGAGGTCACTGTGAACAACCACTTGCCCGACAACGGAACAGGTGTGTCGGTACCAAACTGCCCGCAGGAAGCCAATAAGCTGATTGAATCTAGGCATTCACTGGCACGGGATAAGACAGTATGAGACTTGCGATCAAGACGGTGTCCCAGGAGTAGGTTGACCAACAGTTTCGCCTGACGAGAAAATGCTAAGTATCGATATATTTTCAGATAACCGAGTACCCTATTGCTCCAGGATCATCTCGCACTTATAGGTTCCATTGTACGCAGTATGGTACAAGTTGGTATCACAGCCATTGGAGTATGTTTGTCTCTATATCAATGCGGTGTCAGTGCTGACCAATATTACAGGTGTTCAGTATGGTGTAGGAGTTCTTGGTCCTATTGTGATCGATGGCCCTGCTACATGGAACTACGATGAAGATCTTGGCCCCTTCGCGTTGACGGACTGGTATGATGAAACTGCCTTCTACAACAACCCTTTGTCACGCATCGCACCTCCCCAGGCTTACACTGGTCTCGTGAACGGCATGAATGTCAGCCCTGACGGGACCAAGGGCAAGTACTTCAATGCTACATTACAATCTGGCAAGACATACCGTCTGCGACTCATCAACACTTCTGTGGATAGCGCCTTCATGGTTTCTATCGATGGTCACCCCTTCACAGTCATCACTAATGACTTTGTTCCCATCATGCCTTATACAGCGGAACGTGTTTTCGTAGGCATTGGTCAAAGACTTGATGTTATCATCGAAGCGAATCAAACAGCAGGCAACTACTGGTTCCGGGCAGATGTCCCAACTGGGTCTGTGATTGGGCAATGCGGCAGCAACAAGAACCCCAATGGTATCAGGGCAATCATTCACTACAGCAACTCAACGTTCGCCAATCCTGACAGCACTGCCTGGGACACAACTGGAGATAATGCAGATCGATGCACAGACGAATCCTACAACTCGAACAAACTTGAGCCCTACTGGGACAGTTTCGTGCCTGACAATGCCTTGACGGCAAATCCTGCATTGTTGAGTGTACAAGCTGATCAGGCTGGTGTCACATCTGACAACAAGACTATCTTCAGATGGGCTATTAACACCACTGCACTAAATGTGGATTGGAACAAGCCAATCCTTGAATATGTCCAGGAGAAGAACACAAGCTATCCAGTATCAGAGAATCTGATCAATGTGCCGGATACTCCCTGGACGTATTGGGTGTTGCAAGAGATCAAAAATCCGCAAGGAGTTGCCATACCTATTCCCCATGTAAGTTCCAAACATCTTTATTTCCCTGCGCAAACAGTTCACTGACTATGCTCAGCCAATTCACCTCCATGGGTTTGTCCAGGCTTCCAATTCAAAACTGTATTATCATTAACATAATTGCAGGCATGACTTTTATGTGTTGGGCGCTAAAGAGAACAGCAACTACACCAACGACCAAGCGAGCGAGCTGAACTTCAGAAACCCTCCTCGCCGCGATACCGCGATGTTGCCAGCTGGTGGATGGTTGGTTCTTGCTTTTGAGACGAACAACCCTGGTGCTTGGATCATGCACTGCCATATTGCATGGCATGTCGCCGACGGTTTGGCCACACAATTCCTCGAAACACCTGACCAGATCCAGCTCGACTCTTCCTTCAACGATATTTGCGAAGCATGGCGCGATTTCTACCCCAAAGAATCCTACTGGAAGAAGGACGACTCTGGTGTCTAAACCAGTCAGTACCATCATACTCACTGGGTGGTGGTGAAGGCGTACTTAAGGAAGAATGGAACTTGCAGTGCTCGAGAGGCTGAGGAAATAGATTTCGCACATGGAGATCTCAGTAATAATTTCATTTGTATGCTCGATGCTCATTTGTTCCTCCTGATTAGATGGAGGAAGATTATATATAACACAGCTCTCACTTCTCCGCTATAAAGCTCCATCCCTTACTTCATTGAGCTCACCCAGGTTGACATGTTGATGAATTAGGGGGATCGGCGACACTGGATACCTCCTTTCGCTACATATAAGCATAACCAATCTCACATGTTCTCCGATTACTTTGAGAAGCCTCGACTATTTTTCGCTCCTTCCATAAATAGGCAACACAAATTTTCACATCCGCCAGGATGTTACAAATCCAATCAGGTAGTCGCGAACGTCGGATTTTGTTGTCAGTGCGCAAGAGGCTACAAAACTGTTCTCAATTGAAGATGCATGAGGGAATCATCATCTCTAACCATGTGCGTTGCTTCTCCGTCTCCGATGCTGGCATGGTGTCCTGGTCCTGAGGGTCTTCTGACTCCATCCTCTGGCGTTCACTTGTTCGGGTGCTTGGTAGGTCGCTTATGTCTGTATCTGTTTTTCCTTGCGCGTTCAAAGATACCAAATGATCATCTGTACGATGGCCTGCTGATCTAGTTGTTTGGTTGCTTGAAAGCTTGGTAGGGTCTGTAGTTGGTTCTAGATCACCCAAGTGTGTCTGTGATTGCTCATGGAGTTCGTCCAGAGGCTTTGCAGTGGCTGCTGCATCATCATTTGTAGGACCATTTGTGTGATCGCTTGCTAGAGGACTTGGATCCACTTCTGATTCGGCGTGTTGCTCGCCAGACTTTTTCTGCAGCTCTTCCTTGTACGCATGAAGGTCTCTCATCTTCATAGCCACGAATTCCTCGACCTCCTTTTCGTCTGGAATCCCGACTTCGAGTAACCCCCTTTCTCGGAGAAAGGGTTCCAGGTGTGGCCATAGCGCTTCTCCGTCAAAGTTGAAAGATTGCAACAATAGTTGTACGAACCAGAATGTGCCATCTTCGAAACTCTGACGCATAGCAGTCGAGATACGCTGCTCATTTGGTTGTTCGAGGGCAAGGTCTTTCTCTCTTCTCGATTCTGCGTCTTCTAGGGCTTGAAGAAAGATTGTAAACTGCTTCTTGAACTTGACCTCGTCGGACTCGATCCATGATGTAGGGGTTCCAAATACTAGCCAAGAAGGAGGTGTGACCAAAAAATCATGGGGAGCAGCATATGTCCACTCCCAATCGATGATGGCAGTGATCTTGTATGTGTTCTCATCGACTAAGATATTTCGAGGATGCACATCGTCACAGAAGAGAGTGAATGGTCCCGAGTCGAACTTGGAGGTGAAGTGAGGTACAAGTGCTTGCAACCTTCGGCGAAGGATAAATTTGCTCCGTGCATCCTCCTCATCATCGACAGAATTCCTCTGCTTGTACAAATGCGTCATGTTCTGTTGCAAAAGATGCTTCATGTAGTCAGTAACATTGTCAAAAGGTGGCGCGGTACAATCTGAAAGGGATTAGTCTATTTCCATGTCAAGCTCTGGAAACAGAACATACCATCCACAACGACGTATCCTGCTCTTTGAATCTCATTCATCTTGCGTGTCAACGGCCTTGTGCAAATTGGCCATGAGGTCGCTTCGCCGTCCCCGTCTGGTATAATCAGAGCGCCGATTTTACCAAAGTCATGAGAAGCAAGTTCCAGAAGAATGTCCGCCATCTGAGAGTAAATCTTGTAAAAAATGTCATCATCGATGTCGTCTCGTAAGACTGGACCCCATTCAGGACGCGGTAGCTGTTCCAACAGTTCTACTAGTGGCTTACCACGAACCCATTCTGAGATCAGATAGGGCCCGATTTCTGGATCGTGGTTGTCCGAGGCAGAGCCATATGCGATGAGTTTTGGTACAGGTATTTGAGTCTTCTCTTGGACGAACTTTAGGACAGCAACTTCCCGGCGGACCTTTTCTTCTGGATGCATGACCGACCCAGCGATAGGAAATCGGACCGCCCACATTGCACCATCATCGAAAAGAACACAGAAGCAGATGTTGAAGCCTCCATGAATGAAGCCGAGACACTCGCAATGCTGGCCATCTCTGTATTGAGATGCCAGCTTCTCAACACCAGCAGGGCCGTAAGATCGATTGTAGTAATCGAGCCATGTCCGCGCGCGATCCTCATGGAGGGTGTTTAGCTCGTCGTCATCCATTTTCGTTGGTTTGTTGTATGTGTCTGGTCTGGGGTCAGAATACCAAAACAAACACCTCTTTTGATATATCACAATCTTGCCAAGCTCGACACGGTCTACGGCGCAAGCGCTGGCGCGTAACGCGTGCATGTGAAGCTACGTGATTGGCTTTGCTTCAATGCTGCAGATTACTCCGTACCGTCGACATGCCTCAAGCTATTGCATGCACGGAAGCGCGGTTTGACGATGCACTTTCGACAGCCTCGGGTTGGTCCACGTATCTTGCGATAGTGAATTCCCAATCACCGAACAGTGGTAATAACATTCAATCTATCCAGCCAGGTCAACTTGTACATCTCAGCGAATGAGGCTGGCGGGGCATCTCAGTGCCGCGCGCCTCATGCGCTTCTACGTGGCAGCCTCTTAGCTGAGACAATTTGACCACGTAGCTCTGTGTCTACATATGTATGGCCTGCACGCCTTCCAAAAACCCTTCTCAAACTGCTACTCGAATCATTATCAGTGTTCCCGATCGTCCTCACCATAACTCATCATGCCAGAATCTGCTGCAGAAGCTAGAGCCGCTGTCACAGCCGGCCTTACAGATCCAGTTGTCATCCAAAACCTTCAAGCGACAGGATCAGCAAGTCAAGAAAAACGCAAGCAACTCCGAGAGCAGAGAGCAAAGATTGAAGAGAAGGAAAGAGAACAGAAAAGTAAATTGCCTTGCCGAGAAAGATTCATCTTAGCTGATCTATCATACAGAAAACAGTTGAGACATACCCTGAACCTTGGAAAGTCTGCTAGTGCACATTAACTTTTGTCTCGCGATTCAAGTTGCGGCACACGATGGGCTCGGGACAGATTTTCAATTGGCCCATGTTGTATCGTGTTACTCAAGTCCCTCTTTTACAGTAAGGTGGCGAACGTCTAATGAGGAGGTTTTTGGCCCTGTTGAATTGTCATGAAGTGTAGTGGAGCTGATTCACTCGATCACAGTGGGAAGATGGTAGGCAGAGCGTGCTCGGCAGCTTTGTCCAAGCAGAGATACAGATCCAGGATTCTTCATATACAATAGTTTTGGACATCTAAAGCTTTCCCTTGGCCATGTTCGACAACATTTCCCTGCCAGTAATCCTGGTGGTGTGCCAGAGAGTAGGGAAGTCAAGAGTGCTGGTAAGACCATCGGCAAAACCGAAACCAAGCATAGGAGGAATCCAACCACGAGCGTACTCCAGAGCGAAGCAAGCGTCGTCCATCTTGTACTGCTTGACCTCACCACGACGCAAATGGTGTACGCTGCCTTGGGGGTAAACCTCGGGCTCGTAGTGGCCGGCAGCAGGTGAGTAGGCAGTCTGAGTACCCTTGAGAATGTGGAAGTAGTCATCTGCAGTGTGGCGACCAGTATGTCCTTCGGTTCCAATGGCAGTACCTATATGTTTGTTAGTCTTTCATAAAGTCTACAAACGATATTCGCAGATGATCTTACCAAAGATAATCAGGTACTCAGTGATACTGGCGTGGATGATGTACATGGCACCCATTGCGCCTCCAGCATTGTTGAAGACCCATTCCTCGTTCAGGTTGACATATTCAGCAGCAGGACCCTGGCTGAGCTCGCCAACGATCTGTGCAACAACAGCCTTAGTGTCGTTTCCATGGTTTGCGATTGCTCTCTTAGAAAGGTCGTGAAGTTGTTGTGTGTCGAAAACATAGAAACTTTGAAGATTTTGTTCCATATAGTAAACAATGGCGGAAAAAAGGGCGATGAGGACCGCGATGATGGAAAATGTGTTTGCGCGGCTGCTGCCTTTCACAGGTTTTGAGCCGCCGTTCTTCTTTGCTGCCATGTTTGGTGTATAGGTCGTCTAGAGCCAGGAGAGACAAGTTCAAAGTCCTAGTATTTCCCCTTGATCCATGGGTTTTGTAACATCGAAGACATCAACAAAAAAATCAGCCCATTTCATATCTCCGATGTCAATCTCCGGGTTGTTAAGGTCCGTGCGTAAGGGGTTTCTTCGCCGGCATCCGCGGCTTCTCGCAGGGCTGAGCGCAGTGAGCAGAGCATTGTGATGAGCTTCATGGTTGTTGAACGAACAACATGAACATCTTGAGTTGCAGCTTTTGCTTCATCAGGGAGCCCAGAAACTTTGGCCGATGATGGTCTTGTGGCTCAGGAGACTACACATTGCCATCTTTGACAGGTGTCCTTTCCTTGAAAGGATAAAGTTGCTTCTTCCTGACCAACCAACGTGCCTGAATGTTACCGTGTCACTGACAGGGTTCGGTGAGAACATCAGCTTGATGTATATCTGGGCCAGCCTTGGGGCCCTTTCCGTCCTCGAGACTGTACTGGGAATCCTGAGGCAAACATATTGGCTGACCATCAGAGTTCTGAACTAATATACAAGCTATTCTCGACCATCATAGAAGCGGCCGCACCCATTTGGGGTACTGGTCATCAGCACGATAAACTTCCAAAATCAGCTCCAGTTGTGCACTGCTTACTGTCAACTGCAAGCCTCAATGCACTTATCGAGAGCGCGCCGACCAATAGATTGCATCGTAAGCCATTCCGGTACTTCCAGAACAACTCACACATGTTGCAAAGTAAGAAGGACCCCCAGATTTGATTCTCCGAATCTCACCTTTTTCCACTTTGGATCGTCACCTTGGCTCCCAACCTACCTCGAAGCCAGATGATTGTCATCGAGAGAGATAAGACTCGAAAATCGAGTTAATGTCCAAGTTTAAGGATTTATATGATCAGGATAGCTCTTCTGATTTGGTCCCCTCCCGATACATCGAGCGGGGAAGGAGCGCCATCATGAAGACGTAGCTGCATGTCCAGTAAGCGAGTTGAACTCTCACAGGCAAGCATCAGCCTTACTCGTCGAGCATGCTCACAGCACACGAGCTGGATGTGTCAGCTCCGCGTTACTGCAAGGCCTGCATAGTACGATTGACTTTGTTCTTGTAGCTAACCATGGGTCCGAGGGAAGATAATTCAGGGAATACCCTCTTGTCTCACATCTCTTTCTTCCGTGACTTTCTGTACACAATTCGTCGACCGTAGTACACCAAAATGACCAACCAGCCAAGGAGTTCTGGGTTCAGGTACGTCTGGCTAGCTTTGACATTGATATATTCTGACCAAACAAAGAGAAGCAATTTCTCCTTATGACGAACACGCACACTTTTCATTATCGTCGACATCTTCAACATACCCGCCATCATACCAGCAATGGCCAGATCACAATGTCTCCCCTCAGGAGCCCACCGATATGAGCTTCGGCAGCAAGTACGAATCAATGTATGGAGTTGCTGTCTCACCAGGTCTTGAGACGGTTTGGGCTGGCGAAGGTGACAAGGAAGTCGTGATGGGTACAGCGCTACCTCTGGCGATACCTACTGCAGGGGTACCACCTAAGAAGGAACCGAAGCGTAGGTTCTTCTGGATCTTGCTGGCGGCTGCTCTCATAGTCGCGATTGCTCTTGCTGTCGGGCTAGGCGTAGGACTCGGAACGAGACACAAACATAAGAAGTCGTCCCCGGAGTCGGCTCAGTCGTCTGATTACTACATCGGTGGTGCACTCAATCCGGCCTACTTTTCGAAGGAAGGTGCTTTCAATGGTAGCGGTTTGGCACTGGCTTCTCAATCTTTTGGCTCAAGCGAGTATGGCGATATTGTTCTTTACTTCCAGCATCACTCCGGATCCATCAGATGGCAGAGGAAAACGGATAATAGCAATGGCGGCTGGGTGGGAGGAACTGCAGCAGAAGTCGTAGTAACGGACGCCAAAAACAACACGCCCCTGAGTGCAGTAGCTTACAGCTTGAATGGGGTGTCTACTGTAAGATTGAAGATACTTGCGACATTATCTCTCGCTAATTCACTCTAGTGGCACCTTTTCTATATCGACTATAAGAACCAGCTGAAAGAAAAGACCAATAGCAACGTAACGAACATTTGGGTAGATGGTCCCTTGACGGCAGGCAACTACACAGTTCTGGATGCCGATCAAGTAGGCATGCAAGCTTGTTGGTATGGCAATGATTACGGCGATGCCGACTATAAGCACAGTCCCCTGCCAAATCAAGGCAATACCACCAACAGCACGTCAGGCTCCAATACCGACGTGGGTATGCATCTCTGGTATGCTTCCGATGCTTCTACCTTTCAGCAGCTAGGGTGGCGTAACGGTGACAACAACTGGACCTTCCAACAAGAGTGGCACAACAAGAACGGCCATGCAGGCTTGGGTTGCTACTCTTGGGGCCCCGGTACGAGTACCTATGTCATGATGGTCAACAATGAAAATACTGTGGAGGTGTGGTGGAAAGATACCAACACAAACAGTTCATCGACAGCCAGCCACCCAATCAATCAATGGACAAACAGCTCAATAGCCATCAACAACGTCTATCCTTCAACGAGTCTTGGCTACACCAACGCCTTCTACGCCCAAGGGGACGACGGCTGGATTAAAGGATACAACATAAGTTGGGCTTCCGAAAACACCACAATCGAGAACAGTTTCCCGGTGAACTCACCCGGCCTCCGGGGAACGCACATGAGTGTCACAACTCTGCCAGACCCGAGCGGAGGAGACAGTTTGTGTGTCTTCTACCAGGAAACTGGAAGCGACATCACTTTTGCAACCAGAGATCTGCTTCAAGGTACTTGGACGTCGACAACACTGGAAATCCCTGATTCATGATGTTGCGATGCTTCAATATTCGCGCCGAAGCAAGTTTCAGATCTACGAGTGGTTGTCTGATATGGGATGTCAAAATTGAACTACGTCGTTTAGCGGTTTGTTTTGGTCTTGTGGTCAAGTTCTTTTTGTCACTCGCTTTGTCAGAAGGCAGTTGTGGCTCTCTGATGTGAGCCGCTGTTACAGTCCTTTCCTGCTTAGGTCTGATCAACTCTTGAGCATTAGGATAAGAAATCGATAAAGCGCTCGTTCTTTTTGCTTTGGTAAAAGTATTATACATTAAACTCTAAACACTCCCAACAATCCTTATTTCTTGCATTTTGACAAAGCCTTGACCTTCGTCGTCATTGTCAAGTTTGCAACATCCTTGACATATTGCGACCAGATGGGCGAAAAGTCTTCATATCCACTGCTACTCGTGATGAAGGTGCCATTGTAGCCATTGGCAATGACGTTCTTGGTATCGGAATTCAGTTTCTTAGGTGACGATGCTGGGAAGTCGTGAATGATAATTGTGCTCTTTCCTCTCAAACACTCAGGAATCTTCTTATGGCCAGTAGCATTCCAATCTGCGTAAGAGTTCTCGTACGCATTGACATAATCCGCATAATCGTAAAATTTGGCATCAATAGGGATACCAGGGTTCGTCCAGACTTTTTGGTGATATTTGGGCATGGTTCTGTGGATATACTTTTGGAGGTCTTTCATGTAAGATAGATATTTTGTCTCATAAGGTGCTTCGTCGATGAAAATGCCGTCGAGGTGGATATCTGACTTTGCTGTTTTCTTCCAGGTGGAGTAGGTTTTGATATCCTTGTGTACCTCGTCTGCTTTGCGTTTGGCGTATTCAATGTGCACGTAGCCGAAGAGTTGGACGTTGCTGTAGGAGCGGAGCGTGCTGACTGCTGAGATGATGTCGGGCTGAGTAGCCCCGTTTGAGGGCCCTGAGTCGGGGTTGATGATGATGTTGAAGGTGGTGTCTGGGGCTGCTGAGATGGAGTTGTAGAGGGGCTGCCAGGCGTTGCTGGTTGGCCAGATGTACAAAGGTACAGCGACCGCCATAGCTAAGTTGACCATCTTGGAGATGTTCGAGTGTTGGTAGGCCGAGTGGTGTTTCCGAAGGCGACGCGAGGATTCAGGTAGGAAGTTACAGCAAAACAGTGAGATGGACAAGGAAACTACGTGCGTGAGGAAACGGATGAAGAAGGAGCGATACCTACTTTTCAATACATTCAAATCAAGTGCAAAACATTTACGTTGTCACTGCCTCATCCTTCGAGAAAGACTGGCTACAAGGTCAACTTTTAGGCTTCCAATATACTCATAGGGGCAACAAACGGCTTCTATAACGGTTGCTAGCACGCGCTCCAGACACACGTGCCATACCACTGCTGGCACTACCCCAATAAATACTATAGGATTTTCAAATAACCATCATTTTGTGCATGAGGAATATCCAAATGGCCAAACAGTCAAGTTCCTGTTTCGCTGTCTTGCTCGATAATCGTGGTGCCATTGAGCGACATGCACGAACCGAGCACTTGACGATCAACCTGCACCCAGAAATAGTCAGATGAGAGCTTGGAATCTGTAATATGAAACCACGAGATCAAATTGACATAAATGGAGAAGTAGCAAAGCCTCGTTCGATGACGAGTCGGAGAGGGTTTGAAAAGAGAAGAAAAGAAATGGCTTCCCAGACAGCGCCAAGGGAAGTTTCAAACGAAGCCTTCGAGGCAGTGTCGATAGTAACATGATGTAGACGATGAGCAACAGACTTGCCAGTCAGTGTTGAACCTCTCGCAAAGCCTCTTTTCTTGTGCTTCCAGAATCGCGATAGCAAGAGATTCTGGATACAAAGTACAATAACGGAGTGTCACAACAGATTCAACACGATGATGACTGAAAGCGTGTAGATGTATGATTTAATTACATGAATGTCTACCGAGACTTCTTTTATTTACTGATTGTCTAAAGCAGAGCGATGCTGAAAGATAAAAACGGGGTGCATTAACACAACAAAGTCAAGCCGCCAGAAAACTCCTGCTGAGACAGCCAATTTATGCATCGACATCAATCAACTGGCGCGCCTTATGCGCCTTTTCGGCCTCCTTAATTAAGATCTCAAAGTCGCCAGACATATCACACATGCCCTTGAAGATACCATTCTCCATTCTGATGAGATCCCAAGGGTTGCCGAACTCGATCAGTTCACCCTTGTCGAGCACCAACACCTTGTCGTAATCGATGATGGTTTGCAGACGATGAGCAATGGTGATAGTAGTGTTCTTGATCTCGCGGATGGTCTCTTGAATCTTGGCATCTGTAGCGTAATCGATAGATGCGGTCGCTTCATCCATGAGCAGAACCTTGGGGTCTTTGAGCAAGGCACGTGCCAGACAAAGGAGTTGACGCTGGCCTTGTGAAAGATTGCTACCTGACTCTGCGACTGGAGAGTAGAGGTTCGTGAAGATGTTCTTGTTCTCCAGTGTGGCGGGATCGGCGACTGTCTCAGCGGCTGCGCCTTCGAAACGAACGCTACCAGTGCCGTGTGTAGGCGAGGGGGCACGCGACGGCTCAGCCGAGGCAGCACCAATAAGCTGTGTTCGTCGCAGGGCAGTGAAGATTTCCTCATCAGTAAATAGACCGAAGGGATCAAGGTTACTTCTGATAGTGCCGGAGAAGAGTGTGGGGTCTTGAGGAACCATAACGATGTTCTCGCGCAGATCTTGAAGACCAATCACGCTGACATCAACATCGTCAATGACGATGCTTCCAGTTTCGGCCTCGAGAGCTCTGAAAAGAGCAAGAGCCAACGAACTCTTACCAGCACCAGTTCGACCGACAACGCCGACCTTCTCGCCTGGCAAGATCTTGAAACTAAGATTCTTGAGAACCATGTCAAAGTCACTGCGGTATCTAGTACTGTAGTCCTTGAATTCGACAGCACCCTGGCTAGGCCAGTCAGGCGAGGGCTTCTTGTCTTCAATCTGGTAAGGTGCTTCTTGCTCGACCTCGAAGTACTCCTTGACACGCTCAACAGCGTTCATGTTTTGCTCATTCATCGAGTAGAGTCTGACGAACCACAAGACGTTCTCGGTAAAGGTAACAGCGTAGGTCATGGCCAAACCAGCAGCACCAGCATCAAGCTTGCCAACGCTCAGAATGACGAAGGCACCAGTGAAGAATGATACCAAGGCACCAGTTACATCGACACGGAATGCGAGCCAGCGGTTAGCGCCCCAAAGATAGATGAAAGGTCTCGAATGGGTGTTAACCTTGTGCATGTTCTCACGAATGAAGCGGCGCTCGTCGCCATAAGCTCTGATGGTTGTCATACCAGACAAAGTCTCGCCGAATTGCTGGTACAGCGGACTGCGCTGTACAGACTCCAGACGCTTGAGATCGCGAGACGAGTTGATGTAGAAAGCACCAATCATGACGTACAAAACGCTGATGAAGGCACCAGCAATCAAGAAGCGAGGTGTAATGACCGAGATGAGAATAACAGTAGTGATGATGGATGCCATACAGTGGACTACGCCAACTGCGACAGGGGCAATTTCCTGGTCGATGGCCTCAACATCCTTGGAGAATCTGTTCATGATTTGACCGAGGGGTGTAGAGTCGAAGAAGCGGAATTTGGCGTGAGTAATAGACTCCATAAGCTTTCTGTGAATTCTCTTAGAGGCGACCAGAGAACCATAGAAGATAACACCTTCACGAGCGACGGTGATCAGCATGTAGATAAGACCGAGAACACCGTAGACAGCAAGATAGTAGAAGACGTCAACCCTGTTTGAACCCTCTGAACGGATAGAGAGGTCGCTGGTGTTGGAAGTGCTAGAGAGAGGCAGACCCCACAGACAAGATCCACTCTTGATGCAGGAAGCTCCACTGCCAATACCGCTGAAAACGTGAGTAAGCTGGCGAGGTTGAGTGTAAACACCCATGACAGACATCTCCCTATTGTTGGAGTATGCGTTGGCCCATTGGCGGATCCAAACATTGGTCGAGACCTGAGAGACCTGCTGGAGAACGAACATCAAAGCAGTCACGCCCCAGTAGTACCATGTGCCCATATAAGAGAAGTACATGAGAATGACCTTGAAGCTGACACTTCCGGTGGCCTTGGTTTCGGTGGGCAAAGTGACATCAACATCCTTGTTCATGCCGGGGATATCCTTCGTAACAACCTTGTGAAGAGTGTTGTCTTCGTAATCGGCTGTACCATTTGTGGCTTCTCCGTTGGCATGACCATTTTCACCAAGAACCTTGTCGCCACCGATACCGGAAGGTACACGAGATGGTATAGTTGATGCCCCTCCTTCAGACTCTTCCAAGACCTTGCTAAGATCCTCTGTGAGCTTGCCGGACATGATAACATCCCTAGCACTGCCCTGAGTACTAACTCTGCCGTTATCCAGTACAGCGGCAAACGCAGCATGAGGGAGACATAGAGTTGTGCTGTGGGTAACCAAGATACAGGTTCTGTTGAGCATGAGAGGGCCCATAAGAGCCTTCTCGAAGATCCATTTAGAAGTATGAGCATCGACTGCACTCAGCACATCATCCAAGAGGACATGTCTGGCATTGCAGTAAAGTGCACGAGCAAGCGAGATACGCTGTTTCTGTCCACCAGAAAGTGTGACACCCTTCTCACCAACAAGAGTCTGGTCGCCACCATCGAGAATCTCAAGATCGCGCTGCAGGGAGCAAGCAACGATGACATCCTTGTAGCGTCTTGGATTCCAGGGGCTAGCAAAGACGATGTTCTCCTTGATGGTTCCGTTGACAAGCCAGGCTTGTTGAGCACAGTAGGCGACACTTTCAACCAGTCCAGTATCCGGATTAACCTTGAGATCCTCTCTGCTCTGTCCACCAGGGAGATATACATGACCATCGAGCAGAGACATTTCTCCAAGAAGTGCCATAAGAAGAGATGTCTTACCACTACCGGTAGGGCCAACGATCACGTTCAGTTGACCGATTCTGAAGCGCATGTTGAGGTCAATCATTTTGAAGTCATCAGCTTCAGTGCCGCCACCCCAGCTGAAGGTTGCGTTCTCGAATCCGATGACATGGTTTCCATCCTCATCAAAGTCCTTGTCCTGAAGCTGCTTGTACTTGTCGGTCTCGGGCTCGTTGAGATATTCTTCAATACGATCGACAGACACCTTGGATTCCTGGACGTGAGCAACCATATCGGCGAGCTGGTCCAGAGGAATGCGCAAAAGACTGAAGAGCGAGAGTGCGGTGAAAGCAACGGATGGAATCAGGTCCTTCTTCTCGACCATGGTGTAGACAAGGAAAGTCAGGAAAGTGATGATCACGGGAGCGCCTCCCCAGATGGTAGCTGCGACGGCCCAGACGATGTATCTGTTGCGAAGATTCTTCAGTTCGACGGCTCTCTTCTCATCGACCTGGCCAAGGAAACGCTGCTCCCAAGCAAAGTACTTGATGATACGAATATTGGTAAGCACTTCATTAGTGGTGTGAATACGAGCGTCGGTGGCCGCCAGAATTTTCTTTTGAGCTTTGGCGAACTGCTTGGCGATAAAGAGATTGACAGGGAGAAGGAGAGCCATCATGAAAATGCCAGCAATACTACTGTAGCCCAAGATACTGTAAAGAAGATAAATGGCAAGGGCAAACTGAACAGGAGCCTCTGCCCAGAGGAAGTGCAGATAAGCGCAAATTTCGCTGACCTTGAAAGAATCGACGGCCATCAAGTTGATGATGGTACCAGAAGTGACCTGCTCAGTGCTCTCCTCCTTCTTCGGTACGTCCTTGGAGGCTTCTGCAGTCTTTTTGCCCTTGTAGAACGACTTTACCTTCTTGAGGAAGGCTTCCTTCATAGAGCCTTTGGGTGCAGGAGGCTCGTTATCCTTCTTCTTCTCTTCTTCGCCGAGGACCTTGTCGCCTGCTGCTGCTGCCTTGCGACGCAAAGCCTTAGCATAGATCTCGCCGATGATGATGGCACGAAGACGAATGCAGGTTTTTCTGCCGATCCACAGAGCTTGACCGGCCGAGAGAGCAGCAACAACTCCGGAGACGAACAGCAAGATCACGTAGAACCATGCAGCGTTGGCTGGGGTATCGACTGGGTTCTCAACGTATTCTAGAATGACCTTGAGGAGAAGAGTGGGGACGAAGAGATTGATTCCAGAAATGACGGCCCATGCAGCTTGGATGAGCAAGCCACGCTTGAAGTACTTCAACAAGTGCCAAGCAAGAATTGATGTCTTCTTGACCTGGCGGTAGTTGGCAAGAACAGCTTCAGCCTTGTCCTTAGCATCGAGATTCCAAACGTCGGACAATTCAGTAGACTTCTTGTATCCCTTCCAGACGATCGGGTCGACCCAAGAAAAGGTGGCGAGAGAAAGCACGCTAGCAAGAGGTTCACGAGATGGTTCGATGTCGCCTTCGTACTCGAGCTCGACAGGCTTATTACCCTTACGCGAGGTGAGCATAATCAGAGTCAGCAGAGTGGTAAGCGCAAAGTGAGTGCTCGTAAGCGCTTGGGCACCCATAGAGACAGGGTGGATGATTGCTGAGCGGAAAAGAAGGAAGGCGCAGATCCATTGGACTGCGTAGAGGAAGCCGGTGTGGTACCAAAGGTTATTGAATGAGTAGTTGTTTGTGCTGGAGAAGTAGAGACGGAGAGTGGTCAAAACTGCAACGTACGACCAAAGAGCGGTACTGCAGATGACTGTGACCCTGCTCCACCCCCAAATGCCAGTGGCACATGCAGCAGCATGAATGCCAACCTCGGCCAACACAGCGAGCTCTTCAACGATAGGCAGAAGGAGCTGACCTCGTGGCTTATCGACGACGGACATCTCAGTATTACGAGTGCGGACGGTGTGGATGGCGAGATGTTCGTTTCTGTCAAACTCGTCGGAATCATCGTCGGTGTCTTGATCATCTTGAGCTGCAGGAATGCGAAGGTCCCAAGGATGGGGATGTTTGGGATTAACAAGTTTATAGGCATAGGCATATTTCGAGTTTAGGGCGGTCTGAATTAGTTGAATGGTAAGATATAGTAGGGAGAGTGCGGTCGCGATGAGGGGAATGATTCCCATAAGGTAGCTGGCACATGGTCAGTCAAGCTGTGTCTGTGGCGAGACATGTCTCTGGGTTCGGCGAAGTAGACTCACTCATTTTGAAAGCAGTCAGTGAAATCGTCACTCCGCCAGACAGGCCCCTTGCATTGCCCCCAATTCAACATGGCGGGGATTGCGCCAGGACGTGGCAGCGCGAAGGTTGCTGAGTGTTTTCGCCGCTCTACCAAGCAATGACTGTAATGCGGCCAGCTGCTCCACTTGTGCAGTCTCAGGCTCGCTCTAGACGACAACGACAACAACCACCAGAACTTCGATGTCTTGTGCAACAGCGACGCTGCGATGAAAATGTTGATGAAGGAAGCTGAAAGCCAATCGCGCTCGCTTCGGCCTGATTGACCGTATCTGCGTCACTTCGGCAAGTCTTGACCCAAAATTAAGGCTTAAGGCTCGCCAATCCTGACCCTCTTGACTCGTTGGATTGGCCCGTTTTGCTGGAACACCTGGGGAAAGAAACACACGCTTCGAAAGAGACTCGCGACTCGAGGGCGATGGCTATTATCATATTACAAGCATTCATGAGTGCACGTACGACCATTGCAGCCTTCATGCAACACGTATCACCGCTCTGGACAAGGTCTTCCTCCTGACTCATCCACATACGATACACTTACAACGACCTATCACCGGCTTCCCAATCAGGCAGGACCTAAAGCTTGCGGAGTCCTACACGAGCATAGCTCAACCACAATTCGAGGAAAAAACGATCATTTCAGAGATACGGCAAAATTTGTTAACAGACCGCTATACGCCATTTGATACTGACAAAGAGAATTTAATTGGTTCGTTGGGTGAGGATTCCAGTCATATCACCTGCAGAAGTGGTCGTTGCCGCATTGCAGCAGCCACTCTCTTATCAGCTTTTAATGCTCGGAAGGGCGTAGACCGCAATCCTTCACGCCCGCCCCGCTATTGAACCCTAGAAAATGCCGCGCATGCATTCGCTTAGTTTCTGGGAGCAGCGACTGGTGTCCAGGGCTGGTACTTGTTCTTGGTACTATTTCCGGTTAGCCATTCAATTTGTTGTAGTATCAACTTCCTCGTGACTTACGTGTTGAAGGGTCTGTAAGCACTTCTGCTCCAGGTCAGGCAGGGACGGTGCTCTGCAGGCTCCCATGGGCGAACCTGTCTCTGGAGAAGGGGGTCTTGGGATGGTGCCTTGTCGACCATGTATGACATCCAGGCGTGCCTATGATTTCATGAGCCATGCCCATGCAACGTTCTAGCATTCTCTCATACCATCCGGGCTCGATCTGGTCACTGTTTGATATTGAGTCAGTCCTCCTGCTGATTTAACCAGTAACATGGCAGAAATATACGCACGGGTTGAACTCCTTGTCCTTGTAGTCGCACCATCTTGTTCTCACTAAAACCGCATCGTCAGATCCAAACTCTTCCAGTGTCCTGGTCTCGGATAGACGTACGAGGCAGGTCCTCCATGTTCTCATAGTACTTGTTGCCGTAGCGGTCCTGGCCGATGAGGGTTCCAGCCTTGGTGTCACCTGTACTCCTTCAGTTGCGGTCGCAAGATGTTGAGATTGTTGCACGTCGTACCCATGTACTATAGCGGCGAAGAGTCGTGTGAGTTATCGTTCGTAGAGAGGGTCATTCGTATGTTCCAGAGCGGCGGACGTACCTGCATCTGATGGCCATATTCCTAAAACAGGAGTCAGCGCAAGCAATTGAGACAATGGCCATGGTTCCTCACCTTGAGGCCAATCTTGCGCAAGTTGCGCAGCGTTCTCATAATAGTCGACATGATGTGTGATGTGTGATTTACAGCCCTCGCTGCTCTCGTCGCTTGCTCGCGATGGGATGCGGCAATCGATGGTCAGCAGCCCGTTTGACTTGTTTGTTTCAACCCGGATCGCCAGCCTTGGCATCAAATGTTGGTCGAAACATTTATCTATCAATCTAGTCTCCTTGGGATTATTCTTTAATCTACTGGTCACAAGTGGAAGGATGTTTGCAAGATGTGTTCCGAGGCAAGCAGCCCGTAGGGCAGTGAGATCGATCAGGTCCTCCCACCAGATGCCCATGCGAAGACGCTACTCGAATTCCAGCGTCGCTCCTACAACCAGTACACCATCTCCCGGAGCAGCATTGGGCGGTCTGAATACCGAGCTAGACAAGCTGTCTCCTCGCTTTGACATAACTTCTTCTCAAATTGAGATTCTAAGGTCTCCCTCCGACTTCTATGAGACCTTGAAGGCAAGTTCGACAACCGCCTTTCATAATTCAGCAAATTCCTTCTTCCCATCACCCTTTCGAGTTGTTCTACTTCATGTGAAGTGATTGTGACCTTCTTTTCATCTAAATTATGGAACCGAGGCTTCAAATCAGTCTTCTCGTAGCCATCAGACTGACTGAAACAGAACAAAATCAGAACTGCTGAAAGCAGAATCTACCTTTCTACTCTGTACATCGGCAAGTCCGAGCATGAACTGGTACGTTGGAAAATTATCATGTTTTTTCCAGATCTGACGAGCGTCTCAGATACAAACTATCCAAGAATCTCTCAAGCGCAACCCCAAACTCAAAGTCTCCTTCCTGACAGACTCTCTTCGAGGAACCAGAGAGACACCCAAAGCATCATGTGCCACCTTGCTAGCAGCCCTGATCGACGAGTTTGGCCCAGACCGTGTTGAAGTATGCATGTACCACACACCAAACCTGACTGGTTTGCGTAAATCCCTAATCCCTAAACGCATCAACGAAGGCTGGGGATTGCAACATATGAAACTCTACGGCATTGACGACGAGATCATCATGTCAGGTGCAAACCTCTCAGATGACTACTTTACCAACCGTCAGGATCGCTACCACCTGATCTCTTGCAAACGTATCACCGACTATTTTGCAAAGGTGCATGACACAGTGTGTAGCATCAGCTACCGCGTAGTACCGAATGCTTCTGCACCTGGTGGATTCAATCTCAACTGGCCAGCCACAAATGCGCATCCGGAGCCTTTGGCAAACCCCAAGGAGTTTATTGTTCAAGCCACTAAATTGCTTGCTCCTCTGCTGAAACCAGCTTCTTCTACTCCTGCTCAGACGCCGACAACGGATACACAAATTTATCCTCTGTTGCAGTTGACACCTCTTCTCAAACCCGACACATCGACTGAACTGCCAGCTCTTACCACAATCTTAAAGAGACTGGCAACCCCAGCATTCGCAGGGAGCAAATGGACTTTTACAGCCGGCTACTTCAACATGACACCCTGGCTGCGCGACTTACTCCTAGCATCTAATCCATCATCTGCGAATGTCATTGCTGCCTCTCCATGGGCCAACGGGTTTTACGGCTCTCCAGGAGTATCAGGTATGCTACCAGCCGCGTATACACTTTTAGGTCGCCGCTTCCTCTCTTCAGTCCAGAAAGCCGGGTTGGAAAACCAAATCACGCTCAAGGAATGGAGAAAGGGCACTGTGAACACACCAGGCGGGTGGACGTATCATGCTAAGGGCATTTGGGTGACTCTCAAGGACGAACCGGGTCCAAGTGTCAGTTTGATCGGCAGCAGTAACTACACAAAGCGTAGCTACAGCTTGGATCTGGAGGCGAATGCGTTGATCGTTACGAGGGATGTTGAGTTGATGAAGAGATTGAAGGAGGAAGAGGAGTGGTTGCAGGAGTATGCTACCAAGGTTGATCAAGGGACGTTTGAGAAGACGGAACGTAGGGTTGGGTTGCATGTGAGGATTGCCATGTGGATCGTGACGCTGGTTGGTGGTGCTTTGTAGATGGTGATGTGGTTGATTGAGCATCTGTACGATATGTAGAATAGAGACTGTTGGTTAGAATGTCTCACCTCAGATTATAGCCACATATATGATTTGGCCGAGTTCACAAGTTCTCGGCAATCTTGCAGCAACAACGAATAGCGAACAGTCAAAGATCAAGACAACATCACAAGCGCAGAGTAGACGAGGGAAGTATTCAGATGGCCTTTTGAATCATTTTTTTCATTCCGGCAACAGCATAACCCAGCCAGCAACAACTCCTCCTTTTCTATGATATCAAGAGAGAGATTGCAGCGAGACGCTTACTGCTGGGCCTTGCGGGCCTTGGAGCCACGGAGCTTGGTGGGGGCAACGGTGGCCTTGACCTGGCGGGTCGACTTCTTGACGGCGGAAGCGCGCTGGACGGCCTCCATGTGCAAGTCAGAGCGGTAGCCCTTCTTGGTGGAGCCGGAGACGGCGTTGTTGATGAGCTTGCGCGAGGGGGTGGTGGCCTTGAAGGCGACCTTCTGGTAGGACTTGCTGGGCTTGTTCCAGTTGTTGCCGAGCTTGGTGGTGACCTCGATCTTGTTGTCCTTGGCGTTGATGCCAATGGCCTGGGGGTTGGCGAGCGAAGAGTACTGTTGTGTACAAACTCCGATCAGAATTTTGGTCTCAAGGTAGAATTGGTGGAGTGTTTCTTTACCTTGCGCGAGTGGAGGTTGGTCAGGTTAAGGGGGTCCTTGGAGAACTGAACACCACCAGCCTGCTTGCGCTTCACGAGGAAGGCATTGTTGTGGCCTTATTAATTGCGCGCGTCAGTCACAGGTCCTCAGATGTTCAATTGTCGTCCCTCCGAAGCGTATTATTTCAAGGTCCGTTTCCTTGCCCACGGAGCGTCCATCTCTTTCAATGTTCGGAGCGAGCGGGGGAGCACATACGGATGGTCTCCCAGATGAGGTCGTAGGAGTTGTTGTCGAAGTTGGTGGCCATTTTTGCTGTGATATGAGATGATACTGGATATCTTCAATATGAGAAGCAAAGAAATCGTGTAATATTCAGTGTGGGCGGAAGCGCTGAAGCCCCGGCTAACCTTCCCTGTTTGGACAGCTCCCAGAGACGCAGCGTCGGTTGTGCTTGCCGACAGAGTCTGGGGTTGCGGCCAAGCATACAGATCCGCTGCAGTGCGTAAGCTGAGCCTCCGCCGCACCCGTTTGGGACTCTTGTCAGCAGCAATCTCCCCTGTCTTCGTCGTCTGCTTCTTTCTTAGTTCTTCCGCCAGCCCTGTATGTGACTGTGTATACACTTTGGCCTTGCTAGGCCTTGATCCAATTTCCTACACCTAAGATCCAACTCTCAGTCAGAGCACTGCTATCTCCGACAAGCCCGCTATTCACCATCTGTTTCATCCGTCCATCCCGAGTCTACGACAAGATCGCGCATTCCTTTCCTGCCTTCCGTCACTGTTCAAATCGCAATACCGTCACAATGGGATACCTCTTCTACTCAATAACTTTCCTTTTCCTCGTCAGCGCAACCGGTATGCTTACTCGGTACTCTCCCTCCGCTAAACCTCCCACTAACACAAACCTCTAGCGCTCTACCTAACAAAACACCTCTGGATCGCTCACGCACCACCGATCCCTTACCTCACAGCACCCGGCCGTATCCCTGAGCCCCTCTGGCGCTTTTCTCAATCTGTTCAACGACTCAATCCCTTCGCGCGAAACGCATATATCAGTCTCGGCCAGAACAGTTTCGAAGACGACATTGAAGCCGGTTTCAGCAGCGCAAACTTTGATTTGCGCGAGAATGTCGAGGGTGGGGATAGTAGACAGGGCTTGGACGAGCAAGGGAAAGAAAGAGTCAAGGCGATTATGAAGAGCAGGGGTTGTGGGTTCGATGAGGCTAGGAGGATAGTCATGGAGGAGAGATTTGGAAGGGAGAATATTGGCAAGGATGGCAGGCCGAGAGATCCAAAGGCTGTCATGTTTGATCGCATGTGAAGCCTTGGGAAAGGACTGCTGCTCTTGCTTTCTCTTTCATCTGCCTTGGGCTGCTTGTTTCCTACAGTGGAACATGGTCTGGCGTTTGCACATTTCTTTTGCTTGTTTGCTATTCAATATACCATGGTCTACGGACCAATCTCGTTTTTTCTGACTTCGATCGAGGGTCGAGACCTTTGGGCCGCCCTAATTTGCATCTCAATATACATTTCCATCTCCTCTCACCATGCAACCAAATCCCGAGCATGCCATGAACGCCTCGCTAAAAACAACAGCTTTTTCCTTGAATCGTAGATGAAACCATTTAGCCCAGCTGTAACCATATCATCGTCTCTGATAAGCATTCGGAGGCATTCCTGGCGGTGGAGCAGGGAATCCGGGAGGAGGCATGCCAGGCATTCCGAAACCTGGTGGTGGTGCAAATCCAGGTGGAGCTCCGTTGGGTGCGAAACCTGGAGGCGGAGCAAATCCTTGAGGAGGACCATTGTAGCCACCTTGGGGTCCGTTGTATCCACCAACGCTTGGGGGTGGTCGAGCAGGCACACCAGCAGCTGCAGGAGGAGGTGGAAGCTGATTTCTGGCAGCTGGGGGAGCGCCGTATCCGCCAGTCACAGGCGAAACGCCGTAGGGAGCAGCTGCCATGGGTGTAGGCGGCGCAATAGGAGTAGCGATTTGAGGAGCCAGCAGTTGCGGAGGCAGAGGTTGCACTTGGGGTTCGATGTTGTGTTCGCGGCCAGCAGCAGCGAGGGCACGCTCTGCGGCGTCTCCGTGGCGTTCACCCTTGCCATCCTTCTTGAAAGCGTACTGAACGGTGATCTCCTTGTTCATGAGGTATTGGCCGTGCATATTCGCGATGGCATCGTCCGAGGCTTCGAAGGTGGTGAAAGACACGAATCCGTATCCCTTGCTGAGGTTCGCATCGTCACGGGCAACCTGAAATGACATTAGCGACTCGAAAGAGCAGGTCAGTGAGACGGCGCATACCTTTGGCGCAGAAGTCAGGCTGCCGAAGCGGCTGAAAGTCTCAAACAGAACGCGCTCGTCGACCATGGGATCCAGGTTTCCAACAAATAGCTCAGCACCCACATCCAACGTCTTCTGCTTGTCTGCCGAGGCCTTGTTGACACGAATAGGCTTTCCCCAAAGACGGATCTGGTTCATGATTTTGGCGGCATAGTCGGCATCTTCTTCGCTAACGAACTCGACGAAACCGAAGCCCTGGTGTGTTTGGGTGACGCGATCCTTGGGCAGATGAACATTGACGATACGGCCGGCTTGGAGCATCAACTCCCAGACGAGCTGGTCAGTCACGCGCTCATCGAGGTTGCCGACATAGACGGTCGCTTCCTTGTCTTGTTCCCTGGACATGGTGTTAGCTTGAGCTCTGGGTTGATCGCAATATGCGCCCTCGGCAGCGGATGAGCAGCATCGAAGGTGTGTCGCAGAGAGGTTTAGAACACGACATACCAGTGCTTTCCTCCCGACGCCATGTTTGCTCTCGTGAATGAGTGTGATACCAAAGAGCAGCGTCCTGTCGCATTCGCTGGAGAAGTTGAGCAATGACGGAAGGCTCCGCTGCTTCTTTTCGCCGCAAAGGCCGAATCCAACGCCCGTCGCAAGTGACGATTTACAGACAAGAGACGACTTCTTCTTGTCCAGCCACTTTGTTACCCAACCCAGTGTCCATCTAGTCAACATGCAGCTTTCCGAAGAGACCAAGGTACGCTGATGCTGTGTATAGCATGCTTGTCGATTTCTGGCTGACCCTCGTCTAGGAGCGCATCTCGCGCGTCATTGACATTTCTCGTGTCGCTGTTCACTAGTACGTTCGCACCGTCTTTCGCTTGTCCTTTGTCCTCTGGAATCGTCGATCGTCAATTTTGTTATACTGCTGGGAGTTTGGAGAGATGAGAAAGAGCAAGGACATAGGGCCACCAAGAACCGAAGCATTCAACTATCGTCTACACCGAAACCACTCGCTTGATCTTCATGAAAGAACACCCGCTGACAGGCATTCTTCTAGCGGCTACCTTCCTCTGATCATCTACTTGGGCTACACCCGCAGCGTGCCCCGTCCTTCGCTGATCAAGTACGGCTCCACCCTCGACATGTAATGTACCACAGAACGCTGACTAGCTTCCAGGCTCTTCTCTCCTCTCGCCATCTAAGCAGAATAAGCTGGTCGGGAATTGTACGATAGACGAAACGAGGCATGAAGTCGTGTTGAGGGTTGGCAAAAGGCCCATCGAGATGCAGGTCAGCTAGCGGCCTTGACCACTAAAAAAAAAAGCTACCACCTGCCACTTCTTTGTACAAAATAAAAACATGCCACTTTTGATGAAACCACAAAACATTTCTCTATGGGTATCCTATCACGACTTCTCCGTTAATGCGCTTTGCGATCCATCGTCTATGAAGCATCCTTGTCCTTTTTGAACCTGCTCGCAAAGGCCGGGAAGTTCATAGTCGGCTTCTTGTCAACTGGACTGGCCGCTTGAGAAACTGCAGCTGCCTTCTGTGCCTCGACTCCCTGGCTGACCTTCTCCAGTAACTCGGCTCCATTCATCTTATCCACCTTGCCAAATCTTTTGCGTCCCTTTTCAACGTCAAAGAACTCTTCTTCCGCGCGACCTTCGCCTTCCTTGGCTACAGCCATGAGCTCAACTGTCTGGCGCAGCTCATCAAGGCCCTCCATGAGCACTGGATTGTCGAGACTGCGGACAAAGTTGATCAAGTGCTCGGTGTCGAGGCGGAAAGCTGTTACGCTCTGGGGCGAGAGACGGCGAATGGAAGGGTCGAGCGGCAAAGCAAGAATGGCATTGCTGATATGACCGAGGGCGTCAAAGTAGATAAGCTCTTTGATCTGCACCGGCAACCCAAGCAATACACTGGACATGACGTCGGAGAGATAGCGTGTCAATTCCTGCATGTAAGGTGAAGCAGCTGGTGGCTCGTAGGTGGAGCTCCAGTCATACTCGGCCGTTTCGATCAAGTCATCAATCTTGCTGTTAACAAGCTCGAAGATGCGCTTCTCGGCTGCCTTTTTGGCTGTCGTAAATTCTTCTGTCGCGGCGAGCACGATTGGGCCGGCTGCGCTGCTTGACGAGCGGGCTTCCGCGAGCAACTCTTGCAGCTCGCGACATGCTGTCTCGAAGTGGTCGAGGTTGGTCAGGATTTGGACAATCTGTCCGGGATATTGTGATGAAAGTCTCTCGACCAGTGACCTGCACACTTTGTGGCAAAGAAGTTCGTCCAAAGACTGTTTTGAAGGATGTCAGTCAGCGTTTTGTAAATCTTAGGCTTTGAAAGTATGGTTGCTTACGCTTTTGAGTGTATCGTCGATTACTGCAGAATTCTGGAAGTGATCGTCGGAGAACAAATAGATCTGGTTCAAAAAGTTTCGGATGTCTATGCAACAAAGCGGGTACATCTGTGAGAAGGGGAGAACACAAGGGAAGCTGTACGAATTAGCATCATAACTCTGCTTGCGCCGGGTGCATAACCATACTTTTGCTGCTCACGATCCTTCTCTGGCGTGTACCAACTGACGTTGATGACCTTGTCGTACTCATCGGGGTTGTTGATGGGCATGGGCATGTAATCGTCGGTCGAAACAATCTGTGTGTGAAAGTGAGTTTACGCACGCAACACGAACCACACCACCGGGCTCGCGAAGCCTGAACACTCACCTCCTGGAAATCCTCGCTGAACCTCTGCTTCAGTAATTGAGCGTACTTGTCGAAAATTTTGAGGAGCAGCCTATCGAGACTATCAACAGAATAGCCCCAGCTCTGTGGTTGCTTGTCAGCATCTTCGCCAGCTCCCAGTCTGATGGTAAAAACAGTACTCACTCCCATGGTTTGGACAAAGAGCGCGATGACACCCTTGATTTTCAACAGTCTCTCGTCGTTGTCGATGGTTGGAAGGGCCTTGCTAACAAGTGTGATAGCACTCTGGCACATCGAATCCCACAACTCCTCAACCTGGACATTGTCAGCAAACTTTCTGGACAGCTCAGGGGAATGCGCTCACGTCTGCTGATGATCGCAAGTTCTCCGTCTTCATCATGGTAGCTTTCTCTACAATGGCAAACCCAGCAATACTTTCTAGCAGAGTACTCAACTCGCCTGCGTCCTCATCTAGCAGATCCAGAGTCGCAGGTAGGAGCAGCTCCTTCTGTCTCCTTCTGGTTGCCGAATAGTCCTGGCGAAACTTTTCGCTCTGGCCCAACGCGTCATGTATGTGAATAGCTTCGAACAAAGGAGAAAAGTCGACCTGCACCTCTTCGTTGTTCAATACATCAAACTCCTCGCTCTCATCAGCAGCAGCTTCCACGGCTGAGTTGAGTTTGAAGTTGCCGAGATCAGGGTTTTCCTCGAACCTCATCTTGTGTCTGGTTCGACGCATCTCTGTATGGTAGAATGCAACCTCCCCCAGGAACTGTGAAGTCTCTCGGATTCGGAAAAGCCATGTGTTCAGGTCTGCCATTACAGCCTCAGCGATCAGACGCTGGGTCGCGGGTACTGAGCGCTCAATCATGCCTGCAATCATGTAGCGGGTAACCTCCCTGAGATGAACATTCTGCAGCTCATCCAAAGCTCGGAGTGCGGCGTAACGGTTTTTCTCCTGAAGCAGATCATGCACTTGATTTGCTAGCCGCAATACCTCGAGGCAGTCTTTTAAGGCTTGGGTAGCATCATCAATGTTTTGCCTGACACCCCTGGAATCGACCAATGCTCTCTTCTGCTCGGCGAGCTTTTCGGTACTGGCCTCGATGGACTGACTGAGACTCAGAATTTCAGCTGTCAAAGTGACGGTGCCTTCCCGGACGCGCTGAAGCTGATTGACAGAGTTGATGAATTCTTGATGATTGGTATTGCAGATACGTTCAATCTCGGCTTGTCGATCGTTCGAGACTTGTGTCAGAGCCTGGATGAGATGATTTGCACGTTCCGAGTTTCTGACATCACGCATCACCGGAATCAACTGGTCGATGTAGTCTGTCTCTGACGATGACAGGATGATCTGTACTTCATTAGCTTGGCCCCAGATCTCAGGGCGACCGCATTCGGTACCTGCTGAACGGCACCCATGAACTCATCATGAGGCTCAGTAATTGCCGGCATCTCTACTGCAATTGGAATTCGCTCGGTTTAGCCTATTTCAAGGCGCGCCTTTGCACGAGACACGTCCTTTGACACGTATCTGCCTCAGATGCTGGCAGATGGAATCTCCTCCAAACGAGTGAACCAACAACAGTGAAGCAATCTCTCTCACAACTGAGCGAAGAGATCAATGTGATCAATCTACCGAATCGCTGATCACGATTGTTGTTGGACTCGAGAAGCCAGAAGCACTCCATGATTTGGTGTTCGAGAGTAGGTGATGGTCAAAGCGTCGCGCTAGGCATAGTTTCCGCAGAGCCTCAATCCCACATGGCGGATGACCGGGCTCAAACTGCCAAGCAAGCACTGCAGACTGCAGACAAACATATTTGAAGCCTGCCTTCCAGATCAAAGAGAAAGAATGAAGCCTCTTTCCTTGCTGAGATACTTTGGATGTATATGCATTCGAAGGACTGAACATATTGAAACCTACTACATATAATCATGAAGGATATCCTTCAGCTGTTTCGATCGCTCGGATGTTAAACTTACATCATGGCGTGCGAGCTCACCATCAAGGTGGAAGTACCCTTTCCATCGTTGTCTCGAAGGACTTCTTCCACATAACCAGCCCATTTTCTGCTCCATACCATCCCTCCTTTCTCCCCCTTCCATAGAATTGTCCGAGGTTTTACGACGTCGAGCGTCTGGCCAAGCCGATTGAGTTGATATCCACGATCGCCTACTTTCGACCACCCCTTGGCTCTTTACGGAAGGTTCGAAGATTCGCAACTTCCTCGAGAGTGACCTTTTCGAGCACCTTCCTCTGTCCGAATTCCTTACCACGCCTAGGTCAACCTTGTTGAATCTTCCTTGAGCCTCCTCACCAGTAGCTTCAGCGTTCGGTCACTCGCTTGGTGTTCTCACTGCTATACAGACGACATCATAGACGCTGGAACATTACCTATAAAAGTGGTTCCCCCATCAACCAACTCTCTTTTCTTCCCTCCACCACCTCTACCAATCTTCAACACTGCGCGCCTTAGCACAGTGTCTCCCCTCTTTGGTCAAGGCTATCTTCTTCTTCTCCCATCCCACATCATTCATCAATTGTCAGCACACCACCATGTCTCCACCTCAGTCCTCTGAGATGCTGCGCAAGGATTCAGCCACATCGAACGATGAGCGCCAGATCCTCCAGAACGCCGCCGCTAAGGCGCAGTTTGTCCCATCGTCAAAGGTATGTCTTGTTTCATTCTTTCTTCTCTCAGGCGTACTTGCGCAAAACGTAACCTTCTCTACCTCTGCCATCTTTCTCGTTCCTTGTGCGCACTTTCAACTCTTCCCTTTGCCCCAGCACACTCTCTCGGACGCCAATTCGCATCCTTTGGCTGCAGCACTCTGAGGCTACACCCTTGGTGTCCCACTCTACGAGCTCTTTGCCTCAGATGCAGTGTATCTCATCTCTCGTCCTCTGGCCTCATCCATCTCATACACTTCTAAACCTGAAACACCTGCTCTACTGGATTACTCATCCTGTCTCACCTCATTCTATCTTTACCTGTCTCATCTATCACAATGCCACTTCCTCTTGTACCTTTTCCATTTGATACAGTTGCACTCCTACTTCTCCTATCATGTACCTTCATCTTTGTGGCTCATACTAATACAATTCTTTCAATAGCCCAACACTGTCTTGAACCCCTTCGGTTCAGAGTTCACCCCTGGCAAGGGTTTCTCGGTTGTCAACGACAAGGAGAGAGACAACGCTAGTTCTTCTTCTAGCACTCTTTACACTCCCGCCAAGAGCAGCGCCATGAAGCTGCTCAACATCGGTTCGACTCCTGATGCGCCTTCCACCAAGAGCTCATCTGTTTCTCCTGTTAAGCCTATCGGCTCCGGCTTCTCGTCGCCTTCCCGTCAGTCTCTTCTCAAGGATGGCCCTGCCTTCAGCACCGACACTGATCCCAACGTCGCCGAGACTCGCTTTGTGCGTTTCGGTTTGGTTCCTACCGAATGGCTTCAGGAGGGCACGCTCCAGGAAGTTCTGGAAGGAGTAAGCTCATCTTCTCGTCTGTGTTCCGATTTCTTACTGATCTTTTCTTAGACCAATTTAGTTGAACTGATCGAAGACTGTGTCTATGCTGCCGATGATGCTCCCGGTTGCTTCGCTCTGTACTGTCGCTTCGACGACTTGCGCGCTGCTGCCGCTTCCAAGACCATGTTTGAGAGCGCTCTGACTACCGTCAGCTTCGCCTTCGTCGATCACCACGAGTACTTCGGCCACGACCATACCAACGCTCGTGCTCAAGCTGTCTCAGCATATGATGGACAGGTCGAGATTACCGCCACCCCCAAGAGTATGATGGAGTTCAACATCAATTCCATCTTCGCCGAAGTCCGTGAATTCGCTGAGGCATTTGGCAACGTGCGTTCATTCGCCTACATCGAGACCAAGGGCTTCCAGGCCCCTCGTTTCCGTGCAGAGTTCTTCTCGGTCAAGTCTGCTGAGAACGCAGTCGCTGTCTCAAACCAGAATGACTCTGCTTGCTTCTCCGTAAGTACTTATCTCTCTTTACTTCTCTGCCGTTTCAGCATTGTCTTGAATCCTCCAATCAAATCCCCCGCTAACAATTTCAGGACTCTCTCACCGTATCAGTAAAGGAATACGCACCTCCGGGCTACATGCGCTACGTGCACCCTGCTGCCTCCATGGTTCAGCTCGTCGATGCTACTCAAGGTCTTGCCGTCTCTGGTGAGGCTGATGATGAGTACAGCCACTATACCACTCGTCGTTCCAGAGGTGACTACTCGGAAAACTCTCGTGGTAACTCTGGTCCTCGTCGTGGCCGTGGTGGTTTCCGCAACTCTGTTCCTCGCAGTCTTCAGCCTGCCTGGTGGGTTCCCTCTGACGATTCCCCTGTTCACCAGGTCGACATGGAGTATTGGAAGTTCAACCAGCCTCAGACTGTCAATCTGAGAAAGATTGAGGCAGGTGTTGACGTTCGCACCACCATCATGCTACGCAATATTCCCAACCGTGTGGACTTTGAGGACTTGAAGCTCTTCCTTGACGCCACATCTGAAGGCCACTACGACTTCTCGTACTTGCGCATTGACTTCTCGAACAACCTCAACGTCGGTTACGCCTTTGTTAACTTTGTACGCCCTGAGTTCATCACCAACTTCGTGCAGCAGCGTGTTGGCAAGGAGTGGAGCATGTACGGCTCATTGAAGAAGTGCGAGGTCTCTTACGCCACCATCCAGGGCATCGACTGTCTGCTCGCCAAGTTCCGCAACTCTGTTGTCATGGAGGAGATTCCTCGCTACCGTCCCAAGCTCTGGTACCACGTCGACTCTACCGACTTGCCTACTATCGCTGGTCGCCCCGACAACGAGGCCATCGGTACCGAGGCCCCTTTCCCTCCTCCCAACAACGAGCAGAAGCGTAAGCGCTCCAGAGACAACGCCGGCACTATTGGACTCTTCCCTCCTCGTCGTGGTAGAGGTCCCTACGGACCTGGCTCTCACTTCCGTGAAGGTCAGTACGACCGCGGCACCTCTTTCGCCATCGAAGAGGAGCGTCAGCACGAGGAGCAGCGTCAGCTCCGCTTCAATGAGCGTCGTCTTATCGGCTACCGTGGCAATGACCGTGGCCAGCGTCCTGGTTTGCGCAATGGTAGAAACCAGCAGTCTCGCTACCGCGATGACTATGACGACGAGGAGGATGATTACTTCGATGAAGAGGACCCCTACTTCCGTGGTAACCGCCGCTCTCACTACCGTCGTTGAGCACTGCTTGGACTCGACGCGATCTTCAGCTACTAAACGCTAAGATTTGGACGCAAAGATTGGTGCTTGGAACTTGGTTTCCGTTGCATGAACTTCTTACGTCATCACGAAGAAATGTCCCATATTGTCACGAGGTTGGCATTCGCAGGAAAGAAAAAGAAAATACGTAGGCCTCAGGCTTCGGCAGCATCAGACGTGTGTTCCTCTGGAAACATCTCGTTTCTGGACAGCAGTTTGGAAGTGTTGCCTCTTTCCTGGAGAGCTCAAATGGATTGAAAAAGGAGGATGGATTGATCAGATGAATTGCCGTTGCTATAAGAAAGAAGATGGAAGATTGTGCATTCTCACAGACAGATACTTCTAGCTTAGCTTTGCTTTTCGAAAGATATACAGAACAATGCACGAGGTTGCCTTGATTCTTTTCTCTTGTCCATATGTGCTTGTAATCTGAATATGAAGATGTTGTTGGTTGTATGGTGGTTCTGTCTCATGTTCTGTAAATCCGATAACTCCGAGGCTGGAGTCATGCCTGGCCATCTTTTTATTCCTCGAGCCTCCCACCTAGTACACCAACCCAGAATATTCAAGATTGATACAAAGCCCTCATACATATTGACATCATCCAGCTCTGTATTGTGGGCAAGTCTCTGTAGTAGCAAAAGCGACATTTTATCGCGACAGACGAAAGCAAACGCGAGAGCAAGAAAACCTTTTGGACTTCCGTTACCGAACAAGATCGGACAATCTTTGAAAACCAAAATCATCAAAACTTCTGCAAAAACATTGGAAGCAGGCGTCTGTTTGAGCTGAAATCTGCCAACTCTTTTTGCAGTGACCAGAAGATTTTCGAAGAGGTATATTCATACCACAATCCTCGAGGTCGACAAATTCTCTGGACATCGCCTGCGCCCACCGACAGACCTTTCTTGACTAGAGTCTCTCACAAAAAGATCAATAAGGTTGTACGTGGTACAAGTTGTTGAGCCATCTGCCGAGTGCCGGGTGTCGTGGCTATCTTTCGCAAGCACGAGCTTTATTACTGGACCATCACGACGATAGACAAAACAGCACCTTGTGACTCTACACCATGGAAACCAACCCAATAACTACCATAACCGACCTCGCACCCCTCAAACTTCCCTCCTCCTCACAAACCGCCGACCTCCAGCATTTGCATGCATTAATGCACCTCCTCCACCATCGGAACCACAATCAACATCGCCGCAGCACTTGGTATCGCCACTTCAACATCTTCCGACGACATCTGGGCACGATGCTGGAAAACCTCACGACTCTCTCACATGTACCTACCACAAACCTCGCTCGACACAAGAAGAAAGCAGAGGATGAGGCTTTGCGACTGAGGATACAGCAAACAGTGTCTTTCTGGCGAGATGTGCTGGTGCCAAAGACACAACATGCATTTGGGCAATTGATAGCGGATGGACGATTTGCAGTGCTGGGTGTGGTACTAATGGCAATCTTGGGGCACGTGTGTAGGGTGTTTGGGCTGATCTCTGTTTACGAGGAGTTAGGAGAGGAAGAGACTAGGAAAGCCATCGAGGTCTTTGCTGCGGAGGGATGGGGCGAGGATGAAGGATTGGGTGTCCTTGTGCCACGAGAAGCAGAGAAGAGAGAAGATCTGGGCGAGGTCTTGACAAGGGAAGACAGCGAAGACGAAGAGGATCTAGTGGCTACAAAGGCAAGAGCAACGGAGAAGGAATTGAGGAAGGTTGAGAGTGGCTGTCTGGCTCCAGAACGTGACATGCTGGAGCAAAGTCGTAAGGCACTGAAAGCCATGGCTACCGGCAAGCCATTTGTCACATCTTCGCGAGAATCCAGCATACCTCCGCCAACAAAGACAAAACCGAGCACGAAGCTCAAGACCATGGAACCCGACAGCAAGCCGAAGATCACAAAGGTTCTGCCTGCTGTCAATTGGGACGACAATTCCACGACAACTCTAGCGAAAACATCATCGAAGAATGCTACAAAGACTTCAGAGCCGATTGCGTCTTCAGCGACGACGAGTTTGAAGCCTAAGAAGAAAAGGCCAAAGCCAGAGGAAGGAGAAAGTTCTAGCGGTGCTGCAAAGCCAGTCAAGAAGAAGAAAAAGAAGAATGCTATCGACGACTTATTTGCTGGGTTGTAGACGGAGGATACATGAAGAGCTTCGGCCGTACATCTGCACTACTTCATAGCTATCAACATACTTGTCTTGTACATTACCACTAATGAACATCCGTCCAGAGATCATGTTGCTCGACAGCCCATTGCTATTGGTGAATTCTGGAAGCAAGCAAGGTTAGGAAGAGAGAAAGAAAAGGAAAGGACTCATCCACAGGAAGACTCTTGCTGGTCGGCCAATGGCTTCGAAGGCAGCCACTGTTGAGCGTGTAACAACATTCAACAACATGTATGGTGGTGTGAGAAATGAATGTGCTCAAGAAAACGCAGGTTCAACATCCCGAATGTTTTCCCTCCATTATCAGACACACGGAATGACTAAAGTGTAACTATATATTTGTATCATGATCAGGATATTTGCAGCAACACCTGAGCAAATTTATGGAGAGACAAGAAGAAAAGATCATATATCTGACAGGGTGCTTCCGTCGACAAAAGAAGGAAAAGTGAGTCCCAGACTTGGTGCCCAAGAGTCTCGGGCCGGCTTCGGCAAACTTTCCTTGAACGTCAAAGCCTGCAGAGAAGAAAGAAATTTCTTACCAGAGATCTAGAACAGAAAAAAATTGTTATACCGAGCATTGCACCGGCAAAAGATGATCACGCCAGGGGTCGAACCTGGAATCTCTTGATTCGTAGTCAAGCGCCTTGCCATTGGGCCACGCAACCAGTGCTTGTTTGATGTAGGATGGTATAGTCAGAGGCAATATGTAGTCGTTGTGTCTAGGTGTATCATCCAATGCTCCAATGCGTATGACTTATGTACAATGTTGACAAGAAGGTGAGAACATGCCATGCATACTGACAAGCAGTTGCTCACCCTCGAACTCTGGGGCCATGTCCGCGTTCGCCCAATGCCTTTCCCTTGAGCTCATGGGGAGCAGGGATCTGTGGTTGAGGAAGGTCTTCTTCCTTATCACCGTTGGCAGCTTGTTTCTTTTCCTCCTCTTTACTCTGACCGGGCTTCCTGTTGTTTGCAAAGGATTGAACGCCGCTGCCAATGGCACGCATCTCGTCCGACTCTTGATCTTCTTGGCCAATGGGCTTAGCAACATGCTTCTCAGCAATTTCCAGCTCTTCCGTCTCGTTTTGAGACTTGCGTTCCTGGTGCCAGTCCTCGTATTCTTGCCACCACCAGGTGTGAGTCTCGCCATCACGACCAAGGTAGCCGGCAACACCGTCTTCGCTCACGCGCTTAGCCCAAGGCTTGTCGACGATATAATGTAAGCAAACAACCTCTTCGTCCCTCCAGATGTTCTCGTGCCAGTAGCGCATCGTCTTCAGAGCATTGAACTGCCAGCCCAAGCTCATCCATTTGTTCTTGAAGAACTCGGCCAGGAAGTCTTGATCGGGGAACTTGAACTCGCCCAGCAGAGGGGTTGTGTTGAAGAAGTCGATCATACGGTCCCAAAGCTGCTCTGAGGCGACAAACAAAAACATGCCGCTGTTGAGCAGGTGGTAGGTGCCTCGCGAGTCTGGTGTGATCGGAGTGGGTTGATCGAGAGCGCCTGGGTGTGATACAGCAGTGTAGGCACAGTTTTGTTTTGTCCAGTCTTCAGGAGCCCATGGATCTTTATCAAGGTTACAGACGCAAGCGTGGTTGGCAGCGATCCAGTCATCACCGGGTAGTTGCTTGTCAAAGATGTGGTCCATGTTCCTGCGCAGAATCATGTCGGCGTCGAGGTAGCATATCTTGTCATAGTTGTCAAGCTTGTACAGCTCGAATACGCGTAGCTTTGTCCAAGTGTCGGCAAAGCGCTCGGCGATGAGGTGTACATGGACGTTTTCCCGTGGCAGTAGGGCGTCGACACGGTGGAGGATAAGCTTACTATGGGGGGCTTCAAGCTCTAGGGCGCGGACGGAAGAGGCAGGTAGCGTGTCGGTGTAGAGAACAATGAGAGGATATGCGCTCTTGTATTTGGCCAAAGTATGAGCTAGGATCAGCACACCAGCAAGGTACGATGACCGCGTAATCAGAGTACAGTAGGCGTAGTTGTGACCAGCCATGATGGGAGATTGATCAGAGATAGCAATGCCCGAGAGATTCATCTACGAGCAGAAGAAACAAAGAGCGAAACATGTTTGACGGTTGTGGACAGATACGTGTAGCACAAAGTCAATGACGTGAGTGCTTGGACGCTTGGACTCTTCGCTGAGCCTCAAAAACAGTCGAGTGCATGTGGGGGCATATATATGGGGTTCAAGCATGTCAATTGATATTCTCTTCGATCTTTACTGAATGCTTCCCGAGTATCAACATTGTCTGTTTGAGAGTGAAGGCCACAAGATTGAGTGCCAATCAGCTCGGATCAGATCCCAATTGGGCTAACGCCTCGTGATTTCGCGTTGGAAGGACATCGCTGCCTGATCGGTCTGCTGGCTGCCCGGAGTATTGGCAGGGCAGCTGAAGCGGAGCACATTTCCCTTGCGTACACTCGATAGGTGTCTCCCAACTCCAATTTCAACTTCGCTCTCAATTCTCATTCAGCTTTCTTCAACCGTCTTCTCTTTGTTGCACACCGTGAAACACTTGCACCTGTCAAAGGACTTGCACAGTCCAGAACCCCAGGAACAGGCGAGATCTGCATTGTCCCGGATCTCGGATCTGACTCGCTCGTGAATTCCTTCGGCCGCTATCTCCGAAGCGCTTCTCCAAGATATCCCTTGGTGGCAAAGGAAGACTTTCTATCCAGTGAGTAAAGAAAGCTGGTCCTTTCTTGTCGCTGTTCTTTCATTCCGAGCATACCATTGCCTTGTCTCGGGGCTTTGCCTCTGTCTTTTCCTTTTCATCGTCTTTACCCTCTTCTTCCACTCGTCGCTCTAAACTTCCATCATGGCCCGTCAAACCCGTTCCTCTCTCCGTGGTCAACAATGTATGCGGACTCGCAGCCACTACCTTGTGTGAAAATACATCTGACTAACACATGATAGCCTTTGTATCTGACAACACCCCCTCCATGTCTACTACAAGAAGCACTTCCCTCTCCAAGAGATCCACAACAATTCCAGACTCGGACCAGGACAGCAGTGACCAAGATCAAGTTCCATCAATCGCCACCACTAGGACCAGAGCAAAGTCTGAAGTTCAAGTCGTCATTCCAGTCATGTCTTCCCGCGCAAAAGCAGCCCTTCGCTCCAATAGTCCATCATCACTGTCCTCAGCTGACAGCCATGACGCTCAACCTATCGATACCCCAGCAACCAGTGCTGGCGTTACGCCAGAACCGCTGGCACGTAGTCGTTTGGGAGGCAAGAGAAAGAGAGATACAGATGATGATGCTGCTCTTGCTAGACAATTGCAGGAGGAAGAATGGGCCGACATTACACAGCCATCCAAGAAGATCAAGGCCGAGTCTTCAAACATCAAAACTGAATCCACGACAAGATCCAGGAGGTCATATGTTACTGTGATCGACGACTCAGACGGTGAAGACATGAGTGACCTCTCGTCTGCTGTGTCGTTCAAGACTGAAGAGGAAGTCGAGGTATCCACCTTCAAGAAACCTAAGAGAAGGGCTCCGCGACAGGCAATCCCAGAGACAGACGACGAAGATGAGCTTCTGGAGTACAAATCACGCTTGTCCAAAGCACGTGCTGGCAAGAAGGCGGTTCTGCCCAAGCCGCGAACCACGGTCGTCGTTCCTGATAGTGACAGCGAGTTGTCGACCTTCTCGGAACTCGACGCCAACATGATGACTGAAGATGAATTCCGTTCTGAGGACGCTCTCTCAGGTGCTGCCGAGACTTCGGATGATGACGAGGATGATATACCGCTGGCCTTGACAAACATTCGCCGTAGAAGAGGTCAGGCAGAGTTCCAAGACCGCGATCTCGGCGCTGAAATCAAGAAGATGAGACTGTCCAGAAAAGACCGCGAGAGGCTGAAGTTGGAGAAGGCACATCCTCAGATCAAGACGATGTGGCAGGATCTTGAGGCTATTCCGATCATCAAGGGAGTCGCCGGCGTGCAGCCGCCCTCCATCAACCGCAAACTCAAGTCGTACCAGCTCGAAGGTGTCGACTGGATGATCAAACAAGAGCAGTCAAACTACAAGGGTGGCCTGCTTGGAGATGAGATGGGCATGGGAAAGACAATCCAGGCTGTCTCCCTCATTATGTCCGACTATCCCCAGAAACAGCCCACACTGGTCTTAGTCCCTCCAGTCGCTTTGATGCAATGGTCTTCGGAGATCGGCGAGTACACCGATGGAAAGCTCAAGGTCCTTGTATACCACGGTACCAACGCGAAGTCCAAGAACATGACGGTGAGTGACCTCAAGAAGTACGATGTTATCATGATCTCGTACAACAGTCTTGAATCACTCCATCGCAAGGAGGTCAAGGGATGGAGCCGTGGCGGAGACCTTGTCAAGGAGGCATCTCCTATTCACGCCCTGACCTACCACCGCTTAATTCTGGACGAGGCACACAGCATCAAGACCAGAACTACTCAAGTCGCCAAAGCCTGCTTCGCTCTGAAAGGCAAGTACAAGTGGTGTTTGTCGGGAACCCCTGTCCAGAACCGCATCGGCGAATTTTTTTCTCTGCTTCGCTTCTTGGAGGTCCGACCTTTCGCAGATTACTTCTGCAAGAAGTGTCCCTGCTCACTTCTGCACTGGTCTCTGGACTCTCAGCACATGTGTACAGAGTGCAAGCACACCGGTATGGAGCACGTCTCTGTCTTCAATCAGGAGTTGCTCAACCCGATTACCCAATCCGAGGATACCCAGGCTCGTTCGGAAGCCATGGACAAGCTGTTCCTTATTACATCTCGCATTATGCTTCGTCGCATGAAGCGTGACTATGTCAGCTCTATGGAGCTGCCACCGAAAGAGGTCATTGTTCACAATGAGTTTTTCGGAGATATCGAGCGTGACTTCTCCCAGAGCATCATGTCCAACACTGCTCGCCAGTTCGACACCTACGTCTCTCGTGGTGTCATGTTGAACAACTACGCCAACATCTTTGGTCTCATTATGCAGATGCGCCAGGTATCCAACCACCCAGACTTGATCCTCAAGAAAAAATCCGACGAAGGCATGAATGTTTTGATTTGCAACATTTGTGACGAGCCTGCTGAAGAGCCCATCCGATCCAAATGCAAGCATGACTTCTGCAGAAGCTGTGTGAAGAATTATGCTCAGTCTGTTGAGGAGGATGCTGGTGACGTCGACTGTCCTCGTTGCCACATTCCACTTTCGATTGACTTCGATATGCCCGAGCTTGAGCAGAACGAGGAGGCTGTCAAGAAGAACTCGATCATTAACCGCATCAAGATGGAGAACTGGACTTCATCGACCAAGATTGAGATGCTTGTCTATGACCTTTACAAGCTCCGCAGCAAGAAGCAGACGCTGAAGTCGATTGTCTTTTCGCAGTTTACTTCCATGTTGCAGCTCATCGAATGGCGTCTTCGTCGCGCTGGCTTCAGCACTGTTATGCTTGACGGCAGCATGACTCCTCAGCAGCGCCAAAAGTCGATCGAGCATTTCATGACAGACCCTGACGTCGAGGTGTTCCTTGTGTCTCTTAAGGCTGGAGGTGTCGCACTCAACCTCACTGAAGCTTCGCGTGTCTTCATTGTCGACCCTTGGTGGAACCCCGCCGCTGAGTGGCAAAGCGCAGACCGGTGCCACCGCATCGGCCAGAGACGTCCTTGTGTCATCACTCGACTGTGCATCGAAGATTCAGTCGAGTCACGTATTGTCATGTTGCAAGAGAAGAAGGCAAATATGATCAACGGCACAATCAACAACGACAGGGTGGCTATGGAGAAGCTCACACCTGAAGACATGCAGTTCTTGTTCCGCGGCAATTAGAGTGTCCTGGAGCAGACACTTTGCTTTTATTACTCTCACCACACGCCAAGCGGTTGCTTCTCATTTTCTTTTCCTTTCCTTCTTCTCATGCACTATACACGGTTTCGGGACGTTTTAGAAGATGGACCGAGAACGGCGGTGGTAAAGCGTCAGTTTCAGCATGGTTATACGGCATTACGATTTTCATTGCGTTTCATTTCTCGGTGGAGGACATTGCTCACTTGCTACTCTTCAATCGGTTTTCAGCATTTGTTAAATAGAGTAGGATTATACCCAAAAGCATTGCGGACGAGCGTTGAGTTTTATCGAGTAACTTTCAAAATTTCCTTTTGGTGAAGATGGTGAAGTCCAATCCTCAGGAAATAGTCGTCTAGGAGATAGTCAACCTGTCCACTCTCCTTTTGATAACATGCATTTATGCTATAGAACGAGATGTGTCCAGTTGACAGCACGATCTGATAAGCGATAACCGGAGATGTATTGTAGCAAAGAAGTGGAGCTCTCCCCAGCTGGGAGACGCTTCAAGTTTTGAGTTTGGCTGGAAATCGGGCGGGTGGACAGGCCGCGAACGGGCACGAACCACGACATGTTCGTGACAAGACATTGATCGAGGCTGAGCAAAATGTACAAGTGAAAGCAGCCAACCATCTCGCCTACTACGACGACTCTTGCGCGACCATGTCGACACCTTCATCGCGTCTCTCAGGCTCGGGAGTTAAGAGCTTCCTGCCATTGTCCGATGAATCCGCTCTCTCGACCCGAGGCCAGCACCTTCCACAGCTGATACGCGAACTCTCGACAACCAATGCTCCTGGCTCGGCAGGACGCCGTCGCCGCTCGTCGTTGGATGGCAACTTCGCTCCTGGCACCTCGTTCGAAGACGCAGCTGCCGTCAGTGATAATGAACCCCAAACTCCCCAGCAGGCTCGTCTCAGAGCACCTGCCGCCGACCAGAACCCCGATATCTCGCGTCGTCTCAGCTCTGGCGCCGCCGCCCTCATGACCCCCCAGATGCGCAGTATGCGCTTGATCGGCAACAGCAACCCCCGCTATCGCTGGGAGAAGTACTTCACTCCAGACGAAGAGCTCAAGAAGATGAAGAAGCCCATTCGTCAATACTACGAGAGAAACAACTTCCTCATCCAGCAGTATCTGTATATCGACAGATTGCTGGACTCGAGTCTGCCCCATGACTTGATCCAGGAATATCAGTACAACGTCCACAGCAGCTCAGGATCTGCCGCCGTTCCACCCACTATCAGTGAGGAGAATGGCGGTACGAGTGCTGACGCCTCTGCCAGAGCCTCTCCTGCCATTACTCCCCTCGAAGGCAATGGCAATGGCAATGGCACTCTCTCGGCAAATCAGAGTTACAGGCTGAAGAGAACCCCCAAGGCCTTGTATCGCGTTGCTGATGAAGAGACGCCTTTGATGGCTGACGACAGTAATTCCATATTCAACGCTGGAGTCCCTGCATGGGAGCCTGATGATGAGACCGACAGTCAGAGCCGTATCGTTACTGTAGCCATTTACTTGAACCTGGTCGCCAACACTGTACTCCTCGCCTTAAAGATTGTTGTCACTGTCCTCACCTCTTCCGTCTCCGTTCTGGCTTCCTTGGTCGATGCAGCCCTGGATTTCCTCTCGACCGCAATCGTATGGACTACCACTAGGCTCATCAGCCACAATGACATGTATGCCTATCCCGTCGGTCGCAGACGTCTAGAACCTATTGGTGTTCTGGTCTTCTCCGTCATCATGGTCACTTCTTTCGTCCAAGTCGCCATTGAAGGCTTGAACCACCTCACTTCCCAGGACCACACCATCGTCCAACTTACTTATGCCGCTATCGCCATCATGTCTGCAACCGTCATTATCAAATTCGGATGCTGGCTGTGGTGCAGATTAATCCCCAACAGCAGTGTCCAAGCTCTGGCTCAAGATGCAATGACCGATGTCGTCTTCAACATCTTCTCCATCATCTTCCCTCTCTTGGGCTACTACTTCAGCATCTGGTGGCTCGACCCTCTCGGCGGTATTCTCCTTTCCTTCTACGTCATCCTCGGCTGGTCATCCACCTCTCTCTCACACATCCGCAATCTTACCGGTGCAGCCGCTTCTGCAGACGAGCGTAACGTGCTTCTCTACCTGACCATGCGGTTTGCAAAGACCATCAAACAGATTCAAGGATTACAGGCCTACCATTCTGGCGATAAGCTGAATGTAGAGGTTGATATTGTGCTTGACGAGCACATGTCGTTGAGAGACAGTCACGACTTGGGCGAGTCTTTGCAGTACGTGTTGGAGTCTGTGCCTACGGTTGATCGTGCCTTTGTGCATCAAGACTATGCTAGTTGGAACTTGCCTTCACACATGACGCAGCAAGATTAGAGTGTTTTACTGGCGAAAAGAAGATGTATTTGTGTGTATTCTATTCAACTTGGAGTTCGAGAGGAGAAAGAGGAGGTTCATGTGTAGAAATACCCTAGGTTTTGCTGGTTCGTTTTCTTTTTGCTGTGTGCCTTGTGTTTCTTCGCTTGTTCATAGATGGAGTCAATTGACTTGTTCAAGACGGCTTGCGTCAACCTTTGTCAATTCTTTTTTGGTGCTTAGTCGTCTGTCCAAACCGAAGTTGTGTGCTATCTGCTGTGAAGACAGCCGGATCTTCGATCTTTGCTTCGAGAAAATGGGAAATGCATGCCTAATCCGGCAATGAAAAGACTAGCGGTCATCTGTTCATGGATATAAAAGCTCGTCCTCGCCCTTGATAATCTCTATGGTTTTGGTCCTTTCTTTGCTTTTAGTCATGAGAGCTGTCACAGTGCACTGGCAACTGATAAAAAAGTAGGCACAAATAATTCACGGGTGAAAAAAAAAAAGAAAAAAATGGTTTAAGATTTATGATGAGATGGGCCACAGATGGCTCAAATCCTCCCTCTTTTCCTCGACTAAGACATCCAACAACTCGCGAGTTATCCTGATACATTGGCCGAAAGCTTAAGCGGAGGCAACAGCCTGAGCAACCTCCTTTCTCTCAGCCTCAAGAACGCTCTCAAGGACATTGACGGCATCCTTTCCGACCTGGTTCAACTCGGCATTAACCTCGGAAAGACCAAGCTGCTCGTCAGTCCAGAGGGGCTCGTTGCCGGTAGTCTCCTGACCGACACCGAGGAAACCTCCCTGGGCAGCCCAGTCGGAGGTACGCTTGATACCGAGCTGGTTCCAGACCTTGTCGAGACTCTCAACCAGGTGGTCGCGGTACTCGCGAACGTGACCGGGGGTAGGAGTGATACGAAGACGCTCCTGGCCGACGGGGACGGTGGGGTAGTTGATGGCCTGGACGTAGATGCCGTGGTCCTCAAGGAGCAGGTCAGATGCCTTCTTAGCAACCTCGGCATCACCAACCAAAACAGGAATGATGTGACTGGGGTTAGGAATGACTGGGATATCCTTGGCAGCAAGAGCATCCTTTGCAGCACGAGTGTGCAGCTGCTGAAGGCGGCGGTCACCCTTGTATGCCATCTGGTACTCGATGGCAGCCTGGGCACCGGACATAGTGGCTGGGGGAAGCGAGGTGGTGAAGATGAAACCAGGAGCCAGAGAGCGGATAGTGTCAACGAGCTTGCTGGAACCAGCAATGTAGCCACCAACACAACCGTAAGCCTTTCCAAGGGTACCAGTGATGATGTCAACACGGTCCTGAATGGTGCCCTTAGGCTGGCCACCGTTCACGTAAGCGTCGTAGTCGAGGTGCTCAGCAACACCAGCACCGTTCGGGCCGTACATGCCGACAGCATGGACTTCATCGAGGAAAGTAATAGCACCGTACTTGTCGGCAAGGTCGCAAATCTGCTCGATAGGTCCAATGGAACCACACATGCTGTAAACACTCTCAAAAGCAATGATCTTGGGGGTCTCAGCAGGGAGCGAGGCCAGCTTCTGCTCGAGATCAACCATGTCGTTGTGCTTGAAAACCATCTTCTTGGCGCCCGAGTGACGGATACCCTGAATCATAGAAGCGTGGTTGCTGCTGTCAGACAAAATAACACAGTCAGGGAACTTTGAGCCCAGAGTGGCCAAAGTAGCATCGTTTGCAACGTAGCAAGAAGAGAAAACGAGAGCAGCCTCCTTTGCGTGAAGCTTGGCGATGGTTGCCTCAAGACCCATGGCGTGCTGGTTGTGACCAGAAATGTTGCGAGTACCACCGGCACCAGCACCATACATGTCAAGCGTCTCGTGCATCTTCTTCAAGACCTGAGGGTTTCTTCCCATGCCGAGGTAGTCGTTGGAGCACCAAACAGTGACCTTGTCCTCGGGAGTGTCCTTGTGGGCGCGAGGGAATTCCTTGGCCAGGCGGTTGATGTTGTTGAAGTAGCGGTACGACTTGTCCTTGTGCTTCTTGTCCAACTCGGTCTGGTAGAAAGCGTCGTAGTCAAAGCGATTGGTGCTCGGAGGGGCTGGAGGAGCGCCGTGCATCTCCTTGGAAGACTGCTTCTGTGCCTGTTGCTGCTGGTGAAGTGCAGGAGCATAGCGGACTAAGGGTGGGTCAGCAAGAGTCAATTGGAATCCTGTCGCAGTTTGTTCGTACCATCATCGCGTCTGAGAGGGCTGTTGTCTACAGCCTGGGCCTTCTCAGCACGGGTAGTGTGCAGGTAGGCACGAGGGGCACGGGTAGTGCGAGTGCTGTAGGCTCTGGAGCCACCAAAGGCGCCGGAGAGCAGGGTGTTGAGGCGAGTGCTCTGAACAGCCATTGCCTTGCCCATGACGGGGCATTGGCCGGCAGTGACCTGCAGGTTGGACATGTTGGCCTGGACAGCATTGGTGCTGGTGCTGAGCGAACGAAGCGTGGCGGGCGAGGTCTTGTGCAAGAATGGGCACATGCCGCGCGATTGACGGAGAAGAGCCTCCATGATGATAGTATTTCTTTTTTGGATAGTCCTTGTCTGGATGTTGCAGAGGCGAGGGGGTGGAGGTGTAAAGGAAAGAAAGAAGAGAGGACGTCGGAACGCGGATGCAGTTGTAGTGATGTGTAATTTTGATCAGATTCCCCCGACCATCGAAGCACTGAGAATGAACCAACCGAACCATTCCATTTCTCGATTCGATTCGAGACCCCGACGTCCGCCAGTCACGGCAAACGCCCTCGAAGGCCTTGCCGTTTCGTTTCGGCCATAAGACGAAATTCGCCACTTCTTATTGGTCCAATTTGGTCGCTTTCTCGGCGATCCCTCGCTGGTGACGCTCAAGACAAAGCAGACGTCCTGCCTCGGCGCTGATGAGAGTGCCCGTCAGCACAAGCATCTCCTATTTCGCACCGCATTCCGCCGTTTGCTCGAGCCGTACAAACCCCGATCCTCGCTTTCAATTCATCTATCATTCCCCGTCATCCATCTCTCATCGTATGATAATTAGCATCTTCTAAAGACTCCAGAAGTGCAAGGTGTCTTCGCTTCTCCCGCTCGGGGTACAAGTACATGGGCGTTTTTAGCCTTTTGATCAGCACATCTGTCTCATAAAACGAGCAGTGCACGCTGTGAGCATGTGCGGGTTACCTTTTACCCCTCGCGCCAAATTGGGGAAGCGTTCACATAACGCTCCAGACATGCATGTCTGGGATAAGCTTACCACAGCCTTGGTCCTTCGTCTGACTGTACCTGCTTTCTCTCCTTGTGGTTGTCCCTTGTAGTTACTGTTCTCCGGCAGTTGTGATTTGTCGCACAGTTTGCACTCGTACAGAAAGCATTAATGAACGCTGAACGGTTGTTGCCGCTGTCTACTTGTCCACGCAGCGAAGCTTGCAATAGGGACTTTGTACTTTGATGTCCTTCTCTGTTCGAAGCTCAAACCATCCACACTGGATCGACACGCCTCATCAAGCTACCACAAGCTGATGCCTCGGTATGTTTCTGCCCTTTGTTCTCTCCCCTCTAAATCTCCGCAAAGCCACGAGGAGAAAGGTGGAGAAGGAAATACGTCCGTTGATGATCACCCAAGAGACTATTGACATCCTCTCGCGGGCACAAAGGTCGACTTTGCTTGCATAAAGCTTTGCACTCGTTCAGACCACCGTAAGAGGGCATGAGAACTCCAATACACTTGATCTGAGGACCCAAATGTCTTTTCCGTTTAGTCATATAAGCTTAGGGCAATTGCTGACGACGATTCAGGTTCGTGTGTACCAAAGCCTTCTAGAGTAATCACGCAGATGTGTTCAAGACGGAAGGTGTTCAATAGAAGAAAAAGGTTCATACAACTCATTAATGCATGTTATCCATAGAGAATGTGCAAACGAAACCCAACCGCCCAATATGCATACTGCCAAAAGGCAACAAACTCCGAGCGCAATGCAGGTCTCCGTCCCATTCCCATCCTATCGGTTTTGTACCATTCCCATCTCATGTCCAAAGGCTCTCGCCAAAGACCATCGTCAATAAACTCCAGAAAAGGCAGAAAACATCCAGAGGGGAAAAAAAAACAGAAAAAGAACCAAAAGACTCAAAACAGAAAATACATCAAAAACACAAGATCCACACCTTAGAAACACTTTTTGTATCGTCTCATCAGGAAGGTTCTTCTTTCCACCATTTGTTCGTTTCGTATGCAAAGTTGTCGACCCGTCATGCTGCTAATACAGCCTCATAGTCGTGGGTATCATAGTTTGATGTTCATGATCAGTATCCTGCGCAATCTATACGTTGGGATTTGTAGAGGCTCCGGGCCTTGTCGTGTTGAGTTTAGAATCTCGAGGTGATGCTTCTGCTGATGCTAGGGCGCTGAGAGCGCTTGGCGGGGCTGCCCATGCTGCCGCTTCCGGGGTTGGTAGGCTGAAGCTGAGGCTGCTTGGATCCGATCTTGCCAAATTCTTGGAGAATGTCAACGCCCTGCTCGTCAAAGATATCATCCTGAATGCCCAGTCCGAAAAGCTCGTGTCCATTGTGTTGAGGGAAGTAGTTGTCAAGAGACAAGTCCAACCAGTCAGGAGCGTTGACAGTGCTCTCAGATACGCCGGTAGAAGGAGGAGCCATGGTAACACGCTTCAGAGGGGAGCCGAGCATGACAGGAGAGCGCAGTTGAGCGGGATGTGTGGCCTTCAAAGGAGTAAATTGGAAGTTGAAGGGGCTATCGAGGCCCATGGCGTTGCCCTTGCCAGAGGTGATGTCGGCCAGGACACTAGTGGAAGTGACAGCACGTTCGATGCGAGGACGCTTCTTTCCGGGGCTTCCACGAGCGCTGAGGTCTTCAAGGGCAGCGTTCTCGTCAAAGACATCGTTGGTATCGTTCGATGCGCGCCAGGGAGTAAGGTCCTTAGCGGGAGTGAACTCGTCAAGGTTGAAAGCAGGGGAGAAGGGGACCAGAGGAGTCCAGCTCTTTGCAGGGGATTCGCCGAGGAAAGCCTTGATGTTGTTGCGATGGTTGCGCAGACTGGTGTTGGGAGAGCAGGATTGCGGAGGCTTGGCTGGACGCTTGAAGACAACAGCAGGAGTCAGGGGAGCGACAGCGGCAGCAGAAGAGGTAGGGCGCTGAGGAGAGGTGTATTCAAAGTGCACAGAAGGCTTGCGCTTGTGAGGAGCGGTCTTTTGCTTTGTAGGGCTGTCGTATGATGAGCTGCGAATGCGTGCAATCTCCTCCTCTGCACGGCCACGCTTGATACGGCGGTGGTCCGGGTCGGCGTCGGAAGTGAGGGCGACGTGTGAGATAGTAGGGTTTCTGACGGCCGATGACTCGATCGAGGAGTAATAGCCACTGTCCTGGGGGGCATTGAACTTGCGCTTGCGAGCACCGCCAGAGTGTGTCTCGGTAGGGAAACGTAGACGCGAGGGGCGAGGAGGAGTGTCTTGCATGGGAGGAGGAGACGAGCCGAAAGCGGGAGGAGGAGAAGAACGCATTGAAGTGCGTGCGGCGGGAGGAGGCATGGCAAGTTCGTCTTCTTGGAGGGCGGGATCGCTGGCAGGAATTGTGCCGTCTGACGAGAAGTGGTCCTGAGGGAAGGAGGCAGAGTCTACGGCCTTGGTATCGGTCTTCTTGACAGGGTTAGGGCCAAGGGCAAAGCGGCCAATTGCAGGGGTAGTGACAGGGCGAGGAGCATTGCTGGGAAGAGTCTGCAGAGGCATCATCTCAGAAGGAATTTGCACCTTCTTCAAAGGACGATCCTTGCAGAACTGACGCTCCATGCCAGGCTCAATTGCCCAGTAGTTACCCTTGCCAGGATCATCCTTGGGACGCTCCTGCTTGATGAAAGCCTTGTTCAAGCTCAGATTGTGACGAATGCTGTTTTGCCAACCTGTCTCAGATGCACGGTAGTACTTGAAGTTGTCAGAGATCCACTTGTAGATCTGGGCGAGTGTGAGGCGGCGATTGGGTGCGCGCAAAATGGCCATGCCGATGAGGGTCGCATAGCTGAAGGTAGGCTTGTTACCGTCGTCGTGTACTGACGGCATCTCTTCGGGCTCAGGAAGGACAAAATCATATTGCTCTGCTGGCTTGACAGGCTTTTTGCCAGTCTTGTCGGCCAGTACCCGCTTAGCAGGGACGGCTTTTTGTGCGGCGTAGAGGTGGTGGTCGTAGGGGAACATGTTTTCCTTATTCATGTTCATGGCGGAAAAGAAGCCGCACTTGGCGGGTGAGTCTGACGGGAAGGTTGAATGTAGCGGAGAGGGGACGGCGATGTTGTGGAGCGAGCGTCTGCCGAGAGGAGCGTCGGGCGAGCTCGAGTGGTTTCTCGGTAGACCGGTGGTGGCCGAGTTGTGCGTGGGACTGAGCACGAAGCCCGATTGTCTGAAAGGTTGCTGGCCAAGGGCGCTTAAAAGAGCTGCCTCGACCGAATCTTGTGGGAGATCGTGGAAGTTCGTGGACGGTAGGACCGGCACGGGGTCGTGGTATATGTTGAGTGTGTGATAATTCGTCCGACGCGTCGACGCCATGGACCAGGTGTGCAGGTCAGAAATTGGGTGGAGAGGACTGCCGACGAGGGGGACGGAGACGGAGCTGAGCTTTGCTGCGTGTGTTTCGAGTTCAGACAAGCCAGAAGATGGAGATGGTGGTCGGGCTTGGCGTGCTTTGTGCTAGGTGATCGGTCTTGTGCTGCGCTTCGAGTTGAACAGGCCGCTTCGGTCTTGGGGCACAGCCTTTTTTTAATCTTTCTGCAAGCCTTTCTGCAGGAAAAGGAGCTTGGTTAGCACGAAGACCGCCAGCAGGCCCTTACAGGCTTGCAACTAAGATTGCACCCGTTAAGGGCAGAAGGGGTGCCTCACGCTTGGGCGTTAAACAAAACCGTCCTGCCTTGCTCCAATCACGAGCTCGGGCCAGCGATCAGGACAAGATCTGAGAGTCGGACAGCGATCGCCCACGCCAATTGTCAATCCGCGTCACGCCAGAAGTGCAAGCGGTGAACAATGGAACTGACCGCGCTGGTGGTACAACTGTGCGAGGTAGCAAAGAAGAAACCTGCAGACTGCAGCTGGGGAGAGGGTCTTTTGTTTATGCTTATGCTCGACTTTGTTGACACGCCAAGTTTGGTTCTGCCGCTCTCACCTGCAGCTTTCAGCGCATCCTTCCCTGCTCTCCTCTGCCTATCTCTTCACAACTTCAGCCGTCTCGTCTCCTCTTTTGCACAATCTGCACGACATGCAATCCGACTCGTCAAACCGGCGGGGCATGTCAAGTCTCGCTCCTCCCGAGGCGTAGCCATTGATGTCATTCTTTGGAATGCCTTGCATGTGCCCTCAACGCTAACCGCTCGTCTGCTGCCTCTTGTCGGAGCTCGTCCGTCTTGTTCCTATCGATTGGCTCACAGACTGGCAAGATTGCGGCAGCACAGGCCAGACACTTTAATTATGCATTGCCCGTGAACAATTCCCTAACCGCGTCCTTACTCCGCCTTGCTTGCGCGAGCCTCGTGAACCGGCATCGAGATCACACTTCACCCTTCCCGTTCCATGTGCGAGCATCGGCGCGATGCCAACATCCAAAACCTGCTCCCTTGTTCCATCTTTTCCACTACTCAACCCTACCATTTCGTCTACCGAGAGCGTAGCGAACAGGGTTTTTATCTGAGATACTGGGTTGGATCAGGGGGGAAGGTTAAAGCGCCGGAGCCGAATGCTACCTCTGGTGAACTCGAGTTTGGCGTACATTCCGCGAGGACGACTATCGACCGCTACAACATTTCTTCCCACACCAAGCCGGCCTCGACCTTCCACCAAAGCCAAAGATATGTAGTTAAGGAGGTCGGCTGGTCAAATCCCACAGGGTAAAAAGACCATTTTTCCTTCGTCGGCAACGCGCGCGCTTGACAGCCTCATCCCCTACGTTTCGCCGTTTTATCCCAACTTCCTCGACCCTGACCCAGACCACGTTTGACCATCATTCCCTTCTCTCGCCACTTGGTCATCTCGGGCAAAGGCGTTGTATTCCTCGGCCAGCATGACCTCTTCATCCTTAAAAAATGTGCTCAACGGATTGTTCATGCTTACCGTAATTCTTGGTCCTTTACCGCCTACGTAGTAGCCGCTTGAATGCTTGATTCGTGCCAGGTCCGCGCTGAAACTACCGGCGTTAGGCATCCATAACCTCTCAAACTTGGGGAAGTCGATGATCCGTGATTCTTGACGTGTCGGGTATCCTTCGAGAAGGAAAAAGCAAAAAATTCTATCGGTATGGCTTCAACCTTCGTCGATTTCCATGTCCCCATCTGCGACTTCTGCAATTTCATCGCCTGGTGTCAGTTGCTGTTGTGACGTCGAGTCCTCCCCTGCAGGCTGCGGTGTCTGCTGGTCTCTGCTATCCTCGGCGCGAGGAAAGCTTAGATGTTTCCAATCTTCGATCTGTACAAGACTATCAATAGATGTGTAGTAGTGCATTTGATGGATCACTCACCTCCTCTATGATGCATCGCAGCCGATCACGAATACTTTCGACGGCGAAACTGCCCAAGAGAAGACGCAATGGTGGAAATGAACAATGACCTAATTGCCAGGTAAGTTCGGCGCTCTTGACAGCACTTGTGGGCTGCTGATTGCTAAGCCATTGAACCACGCGCTTAGCATGCGCGGCAGGAGCATTCTGGCTCTCGTAAGGCTGAGACGGCGACTTGACCAGGAAATGGCCATAGGTTGGAAGGCGGCTCTTGTCAGCTGAATCCGAACCCTTGTCGTCCAGTCCCGTGGGCTCGTCGAGACGGAGATGACCTGGGGCAACGAGGGTGGCCTTGATATTGAAAGCATCGACCTCATAGAGCAGGCTCTCAATCAAACCTTCGACGGCATATTTGGTTGCGCAATAGGGACCGAGGCCCGGGACACCGAGTGCACCGGAAGTCGAAGAAAAAATGAGATATCGGCCTGCATTGCGTTTGCGAAAGTAGGGAAGTGATTGCTGGACAATGTTGAGACAGCCAAAGAAGTTTGTTTCGAACTGGGCACGAAGATCGGAAACGTCCTGGTCTTCACAAGCTCCAATGACACCATATCCAGTACAGCTGTGTCGAAATTAATGATGAGATCGAGGGCATCAGAGAAAGATTCGAGAAGCAGTACTGACTTGACAATGACGTCCACAGCGCCAAAATGGCGGATTGTGTTCTCCATGACAGATGAGACAGTTTTAGAGATCCTCACGTCGCACAAGAGGCCGAGACAAGAGTCGTGCCAGCCTTGCATCTGCTCAAGCGTATGCTCACCAATGCGGCCGACAGCAGTGACCTTGTCGCCATGAGAAAGACACGTCTTGACAATTGAGCGGCCCATGTGGCCAGTAGCACCAAAGATCTGTAACGCCTCATCAGCATACAGCATTCAAGCAAGGCAGTGTCAAACAGACGATCCATGTTTTTTGAGTGGGAGGGTTCTCTTCTCCGGGAGGATCACATGTCGAAGGTAAGGTTAGACCAGAGGTCGCAGTTGACGGAGAGGGGTAGTCTCTAGAAGTAGGCATACGATGCGGAGTTTGATATATAGGAAAGAGTGATGGAAGCCTAAATATCAAACAACAATCTATGGTGCTATATCATAAGGTAGGACGAACCATTTGTCAGACCCCGCGTAAACTGCCCGCTGTCGGGGTTTCTTGGCTTCCATCTTATCGACAAGACCAAAAGTGCGTCATGCACTATATCTTTCTCGCGACTTGAGAATTGAACATGCTTTCCTGAGTCATTGAGTAAAAGGGAGGAAGCTGGTGGAACATGTCAAAGGCAAAACAAGCGGCATACGGTATGCCTCTTCAATCGCGTCTTAGACAACGTCACTGACTCTGGTATAGCCGCGACGCCTGCTGCTCAGTCTGGGAGCAGTGCATCCTTCGCCCAAGGCTTCGTGCTAGGCCAATTGACACTGGCTCTGATCCTGATATTCCTGATCAAATTCTTCATCTTCGGTGAGCCTCCGTCAGCCGACAGTCGTGCAGCAACACGAGCAGCCCTCCGCCGACAACGAACCCTCTCGCACGCTTCGTCTTTGCGCCGTCGCTCCTTCTCCGACCTCCGTCTACGAAAACGCAGTTCTGCTGCTGTGCTCGCTCCACGAAACATCTCTGGCGGCGCGGTCCTCACTACAGACAAGATCTTGGAAAAGACCTACTACAATGTCGATGGACACCAGCCCGAGAGCTTGGACTGGTTCAATGTCTTGATCGCCCAAACAATTTCTCAGCTGCGTGCAGATGCCCTAGAAGGTGATGCCGTGCTAACCTCCCTTACGAACGCCCTCAATGGCGGACACCGACCACAGTTCATCGATGAGATCAAGGTGACCGAGATCTCGCTGGGAGAAGAGTTTCCTATATTCAGCAATTGTAGGGTCATTCCCGTTGATGAGAACGGCCAACCTGTCAAGCAGATGCCTGCCAAAAAGGGCACAAATAGAGGGGGCTTGGGCGAGAGCAGATTGCAAGCACGCATGGACGTCGATCTGTCAGACGTCGTCACCTTGGGCATCGAGACAAAACTCGTCCTGAACTATCCCAAGCCCTTCTCCGCCGTGTTGCCCGTCGCTCTAGCCGTCTCGGTCGTCCGCTTTTCTGGCACTCTTTCGCTCTCCTTTACACCCTCCCAACAACCAGACGCACCCACCACTGAATCCGAGTCTTCCTCAGCGAACCCATCATCCTCACCTACCACACTAACCTTCACCTTCCTGGACGACTACCGCTTGGACCTCTCTGTCCACTCTTTAATTGGCTCACGCGCCCGTCTGCAAGACGTACCCAAGATCGCTCAACTGGTCGAGCAGCGTATTCACGCTTGGTTCGATGAACGCTGTGTAGAACCTCGTTTCCAGCAAATTGTTCTACCTTCTCTCTGGCCGCGCAAGAAGAACGTTCGTGGAGGCACCGATGATCTTCCTGAGGATGCCGTAGTGTCAGATGCAGAAATGGATGCCGTGGCTTCGTCATCCAAATCGCGCAATCGCGAGCGCAGCAGAGATCCTTCTACTAACAAACGCGACATTCGAACTGACCGATCACCTGCTGCTGCCGCAAGACCCAAGCCCTCGAGGCAGGCTTCACGGCAGACCAAGCCAGAGGAATTGATGACCGAGGAGGAAAGGTTAGCGGCTGCTGGTGAAGAGCTCAGGGCTGCCGAGCAGAGAGAGTGGTCTAGAGAGCGTAGGAGCAGGGAAAGACATAACAAGAACAACGAGGAGACGGTCCGACGAAGGCCGCGACAGAGTCAGCTAGCCAAAGAATTGGACGTGCCGTCATAGGATGACTAGTACTGATGGCTTCCATCTCACGAGACAGTCGTCGATATACGAATGTGCGAGTAGTATAAAATAAGAAAGTATAACGCTTTGACGAATGCTCCGCTTGTCCCATCTTTTTCTGATCGGTATATCATTTCAATCGAATATATATTTTGTATTTGTGCAAAGTAGCTCACGCAGTCTCGTTGATCTGGCTTCGAACAAGCTGCAAAGCCGACCGCGAAATTCTATATCCGATTTGAACTCCCATAGATACCGAAAATCATGTATCTCAAGACTTTGTCCGATTCTTGACCATCATCGATACCATATTAGGCACCGTCTAGAATCACAGATCTGTCGTAGCTGCAAATATCCCATGATCATCTTGAAAAACCATCGTCGAGGGTACAACCCTGTCCGAGCCATCACTCACACCTCCAACTCTCATGCACCCACCTTCATCCCTCTAGCACGTCACACCTTTACACGCCACTCTACGCCATCAAGGATCCACCAACGGATACAAACGACCAGCTGAAACTCTAGAGACCACGACATCATGCGCAAGAGAAAAAAAAAACGATCGTGATCCCGACAAACGAACAACAGCTAAACGTGTTGCCCGGTGGGAAATGAGATTGGCATAACGGGACGTGCATATCCTCATCATCCCACCACCAGCACTGCCCACCTGAGAAGGTCACTCATAGACGACGATGTTATAAATATCCTTTTTTTGCCTTCACCGGTTGCTGCTCTAATCACTGGTCAAATCGTTTTTTTCAGCTGCTAGACGTTTCTTTGATGATTACATCGATCTCGATATGGAGGAGTTCGGATATGATAGCATGGGTATAAGTGGATCTTGGGATTACAACGTGAAGCGGAAGGTTGACTCCGCTTTTGGGCTGTCAGAAGGCAAGTGGATATGAATCATGTGAAGGGTTGCGTGTCGCATGATGAAAGAGGCGGTGGAAAGGTTGAAGAATGCACATCTTGAGCGTTGACGGCTGAAGATCAATCTATCGTCGACAGGGTCATGTGTATGCTTGCTGCCTGATGGTAGTTTCGTGCTTGATGCTCATATGACGATGCATGATTTGACTGGGTCGGCTGACATGTCTCCTTTGCTTCGTACGGTCGTAATCAGCGTAGCTCTGCTGTATGTACATTATTGACCTTCGGGTATATGCTATGTTCTCAAGGTAAGATGTAGCCTCCATCAATGACAGTGTCACTACCGGTTTGGTAGCTGCTAGCGTCACTGGCAAGGTATAGGTAGAGAGCCTTAATCTCGCGAACATCACCCTGATAGAACATGTCAGTCAATTTCTCGCTCCAACAATCTGGAAGATACACACCTGTCTGCCCATTGGAGTCATGCGATATGCCTCGTTGATGACACTTTCTCCAGCACCCATCTTGGTATTGAAGAAGCCAGGTGAGACGATATTTACGCGAGCAAACTCGCGCCACTCTCTAGCTAGCGATTTGCCCAGGTGAGTGATGGCTGCCTTTGTGGAATTGTAGACCTAGAACATGTGTCAGAGAGGTAGAGCATGACACTGTACAGGCCCTGTAGACTCACGGGCTGGTCAACAGGAACGTTGACGATATGTGCTGAGATACTCGATGTGATGATCAGGTTGCCTTTGCCCTGCTTCTTGAACTGTTCGCCAGCATATTTGGCACAGTAGAAGACACCATCGACTACCACTGCGTCAGCATTGTTCGACTGCGCCGGATAACTTCCACTTACCGTTGACAGCAAACTGCTTCTTGTACTCTTCGACACTGGTCTCCAAGATGGGCTTCGAGATGGCCATACCAGCATTTGCAACCATGACATCCAGTCTTCCAAAGTCTTCAACGACCTTGGCAACCAACTCTTTCACCTTGTCCGGGTCTGAGATCTCAATCTGATATGCCTTAAATTTGTTTCCATGCTTCTTTGCTAGCTCTTCGGCTTTTGCGATGGCCTTGTCGTTGGATCGGTACCAGAGTGCTACATTGGCGCCTGCTTCGGCCATTGCATCTACGACGGCGCCGCCAATACCTTCAGCGGCACCTGTGACGACGACAACGCGGTCTTTGAGGTTGAACTGCTCGAGGACATTGTCTGGACCTGAGGGGACGGGCTTGGGCTGGCGAGGAGCCTGAGCTTCTTCGAGGGTCATTGACATCTTGCGTGGTAGTCGATTTGTGTTTGATTTGGTGTCTGCTGCTTGTTGAGATGATGTCAAGTGTTGGGAAGGCTGAGAGTGCTACGAGAGCTGCAAAAGAGATGAAGCAGAAGCATGACGATACAGATAGCAGAGGGAGATAGTCGACCTTGGTATTCAGCCTAATTTGTGTATTGACATGAACCTTAGGAAGCTTCGATGGATTGATGGTGGGGTTGCTCAGGGCTGGCGGGGCAATCGCGATTCAGTTCGGGAGAAAGCAATCCGAGTAGACTTCAAAAGCCATTCTCTTCCACTTTCAACCATATTTTTCTGCGAAGGACGTACGATCAACGTCATGACAGCAGAAAGATGAAGAGCAGGAGTAAAAACGGTCAACAAATACACTAAGAACTGGAAGCAGGAGAGAGGAAAGCAGTAGTACCAGCAGCAATGCCAGCGAAAGCAGCGGCGGCAGTTTCCAGAGCATGCATACGCTTCTCTTGTTCATCGTTACGTATCTGTAGCTCAAAATTGCGCGTCTGTAGACCCGCAAACTGCATACGCTCATATCAAGCCTCTGGTAGAGGACAGTGACGCTCTCTCCATAGTGCGGCACAGTCATGACAATAGACAAGCTTGTAAGGCACCGTGTAGAATCTATCAAGGTTGATAGCAGAGCTCCTAGCATATCGTCTTGATGGCAAAGCTCTTGATCGGGTTCAAATAATCGAACCCAATTATCGGTTGAGCGAGTGTCCAGAGGCTCATTCTTCGAGCATATATACTACATCCAGCTACGGACAATCTTCCTGTCTTCACACAGTATATGACTGCAGTAAGTTCGTCACTTTTCACAAGTATGTTGCAGTGGCAATGAATAGTAAGAAGGTCGTTATCATTAAACTTTATATAGGAATATTCGTAAGACGGAGAGGTAATGTCGTAACTCCGTTTTTTTGTCATGAGTATGCTTCCACCACTAGGGCTCAACGATGTTGGTTCCGATCAACTTGACATCGGCACAGATGGAGGAAGTGCTGGAAGCGTTGTTGGTCTTCCACAACAGCTGGTATTCAGGACCGAGTGAGAAGTATGGGGCAGTGCCGTTGACGTGGCACAGAGCAAAGCAGCCGTCGAAAGATTCAGGAGCTGTGGAGTTTGAGCCAGACCAGGCAAGAGTCGAGTTATTGAAGTAGAAGCCAGTGGTAGGTACACCAGATACACCCAGGGAGATGTAGTCATAGCCAGAAGGAGCATTGGAGTAGACGGGTTGTTGTTCAAAGAGGCTGAGGTTGAAAGCGTAGCCAGGAGCTCCATTGACTGTGATGGGCTGCTGGAGAACCGAGTTCGAGAGGACTAAGTATTGTCGTTAATATCTGTGTACAATCTCGAAAGGGCCTTGGTCAGACTTACCCCATCCAATGGCCGTGCTGCTGTTCTTGGTTCCTATGACAGTAGATTGACCAGCACCAGTATGGAAGGAGGTCAGAGTTAGGTCGTTGAATGCCGAGGTACCATTGACGACTTCAGTGTGAAGGGCGAAGGGCTTGCTGCTGTCGAAAACAGCGGCCTCCTCGCGCTGGTTGAGAGGGAGGGCTGCCACAAGGGGCAGAACAATGGCGGCGGCCAAAGTCTTGATTGAGGTATACATTGTGATAAGGTTGATGATTGTAATGTGTTTGATGGAACGTGATTGATGAGATGAAACTGATGTCTTCGTAAAGTTGCTTGTGCGGAGTATGAAAAGCTGTATTTCTGGACGGAAGGATCAAGCAGAGTTATATGTCTTGAACTGCAGGCAGTCGGTGAAGGAAGGCACGGTCGACCAGGGGAACGTCACCGTACCTGCCAAGGCCGCTGTTCCAGGCTTTGCCAGCCACATACATGCACATTCATGCAGATGCGACCCACTCCCTAGCCCCAAAGTGGAGATAGTCCAACTCTAGCATGTATAGCGCTGCCTATAAGCTTCTCGTACCCTGGTCTGCCCAGCGTGTTGAGAACGTCGTCGACGCCGGAAATAGCTTCGTACGATCGAAATTTGCCTGGACGCTCCGCAAACCTTACGCGAATCTCAGAGTTCTCAACTGGAAACACGGCCGTCTTCCATTCAAATCCCAGCAACAACGCACGACTTGACCTGGTTACTAGCCCCGGTGGGTCAGTCTCTACAATGATTCTTGGCAAGAAAGCAGATGACTTCTTTGTCGCTGTCAAGCAACATCTGGACGGTATCAAACCTGGCCGACTGGATAGCAGCCTCGACGCCTTCCAACAAGCCGCTACAACTCTCGTCGACTTGTCTGGAGACCTCAAAGGACAGGACCTTGCTCATCTGATCTACAATGCCAAGGCCACTCTCCTTTTCACTCAGATCTACATTGTGCTAGCCATCGTGGTTGGGGCTTTGCTGATCAGGAGGTTGGGACGATTCATCCACCATGTTCGCAAGAGCATGAAGAACCTCAGCGACGTGACTGAGATCACGAAGAATATTCATTACCAGACTCAATTCGCTGGTGCGGTTCATCGCTTCATTGAATATCAGCATGTGTTACATGAGAAAGAATATTCGGTGGACCCACAGGATGCTGTCTACTTTGTCTATCATCCTGGAAACGACTGGCATGCCTCGTTCCATACTGAGAATGTCGTGACCAAGGGCTTTGGTGGCGTGTATGACGACTTCCCAGCACTCATCGAGCATCTACGCACTCTTCGCCAGAACCCCGAGTTCAGTGCCGTCATCTACGTTTTGCTTCCTTCCGCCCATCGATATGAGTTCACTATTGATCTCCGCTCTGATACAGCTCTTTTGCCTCTCAAGATTCGAGGTCAGAGAGACTATAGCGGCAAAGCACTATGTCGCGGTCACATTAGAGGCAAGCCACCTGGAGTCGAGCTGAAAGATGTTGATTCCGCGCCAAAGAAACCGAGACCGTACTGGCCGATCATTTGGCCCTTGTTTGGCTTCGTGGTGATGCTCATGGTGTCAATCGCTACCTCAGAGTACTTAGAGCAATAGTTGGGGTGATTTTACAGTTGGAGCAGCTGTGTCTTTGGCCGTAGGTGTTGCTGAAATTGCTGGTGTGGTTCATTGGTCCATGGTCAGACAGAGGCTGGCAAACAATCATGCTAACTGTGCTTGATTGTCTGACTTAGATGTTCCTGAACAAAAGACATTGGGTTCGTGTTGCGCCCTCTTCGCGAGCATACAGGATAACAAAAAATCACTTTGCCCGCAATTTCAACCTTCAGTTTCCTTTTTCCCTAGTGCAACAAGCAATGTCCTCTGCGGTAGGTCTTTTCCTCAGCTTTGCTCAAGTTTATGCGTCCAAAAAGTCACGTTCTTCAGCGACTGACAGATTCGAACAGACTGAAGTGGTTATGAGAACGCCCAAGACACCTACCAAGCTCTCATTGCCGGGGCCAGATCGCAAGCGCCATCCCAGCACTGGTTTCAAAAGAGGTCGTCGCGCCAGACATCTGAGAGGCGCTGTATTCTGGGAGCTTACGGACCGTCGCCACTACCCTCCTTCGCCTCGCACAGGTCTCACGTACATTGACCCAGTGCCCTTTCCTTATGAACCCTCGCACAAGCGACCAGGCAATGAAGATGGTGAAGCTGGAGCCATGAATCTAGACGGCACAAACGATGACGAGGACTCTACATTCGAAGACGCCAGAGAAGATGCCAGAGAACTTCGTCGCGAAAACGGCTACCCCGTCACCTCATCACCCACCTTCAAGAAGAACGCCCGTAAGCTCAAAGATCAAGAAAAGGAACCAGAGCTCTCCAATCACCTTGATGCCCTTGAGCTCGACTCCGACACGCGCAAACAATATCATCTCAGCGCCAAACACATCGACCGAAAGGAAAGGATCAGAAACTCAAGGACTGTTCGCGGCTTCAAGTTCCCTCGGCCCCGTGTCGATCGCATACAGAAGAACAAGGACTTGAACATGTACCAGCTATCGAAGTGGGCTGGCCAGGATGCAGAGAGAAAGAAAGTGGCTACCAAGCTCTTGCACGACAGATGTGCGGACAGGACCGAAGGACTCCATGATCCATTTGCAAGCTGCTAAAAGATCACAATGTGGATACAAGGCTCTTGGGATACGATCTACTCGCATTTTCTTCTCAAATTTGTATGCGAAAGCGTGACACCGCCACGTCCTCTCAGAGCCTAGAGTCTTGGAGATCTTCAATCGGAAAGTAATATCGATGATCTGGATTCGACTTCTTGAACCTCCGGTGAAGTAACGAGGAGGTGATTAGATCTTTCGATGTTCCTTCGCTCTCGTCTTTGCGCATCAAACTTGGAATAGAATAATTACGACTTGATACAGACGCTGATCGCTTCGTTAAAGTCTCTGAACACTATGCCTCTTTCTCTGTGCCCACAGCCACGATCTTCTCAAGATTGTTTTTGTATGACGCACACCACTCTTGATATCTCCTCTTGTCTCTTGCATGTATTTGTCGCATCATTCGTCCTTTAGATATGGTCTCAATCTCATGTGTCTATGTCGATACCAGTAAGGCATCTGAATCATGTCTTTCTCTCTACCCCCTCGCTTGACTACTGCGAGCATTTGTGCAGCATCTGCTTGTTTGATGACGCGGCTTCAAAACAAAGCCTTCAGAGCCATGACTACCTACCATGTTGGCAACCTTTCTGTTCTTTTCAAATCTTCTATCTGTTTCAAAACACCACTATGTTCCCTTTGCATACCATCTTCGTAATCAGACGGAGATGTATCGCTCCAAGTCCATAAGCCACAGTCTTTAAAGAACTTCTGGTTTGCCTCTTACTTCTGCGACATGCAAAGATGAGCGCTCTCACGAGTAGATGAACACATGTCAAATTGTGGTCGAAAACTTCATCATGCCACGTTGACTGATGACCAAGCATACTTGGGGGGTCTCGACATGACTTCACGACCTTGCGGCTACAAAATACTGGACAAGCTCAACACAAAATTTGGAAGTTGTCACCTCAATGATTAGCTGTGAGTGATGAGCGACACAATATGGTGAGTTAAGGAACGGGTAAAATGACAAGAAAAGGCAATTCAATTTTCATCCTTTTTACTTAGCTAGAGTTCTCAAGATCCTCAAGCCGCTAGCGCCATCCTCTCAGAAAGAAGCATCTCTTCGATGCAGACCGGCTCAGATAGTACAGTAAAGGGTCTGTCGCTTCTTGACGATGCTTACCAAGCAGCATCACCAGCAGAAGCACCCCAGGGGCCAGCCTCAGTAGTAGCAGTAGCAGTGGCATTGTTACCAGTACCCCAAGCATCAGCGGCAGCAGCAGCGGGAGCGGATCCAGTGCCCCAGGCATCAGCAGGAGCCTCAGCCGAACCATCGGCACCAGCAGCAGTGACATAGCCGGGCTCAGCTTCCTCCTCATCGTCAGTCACATCCTCTGTAAAATCAGGCTGACCATTCTCGGGCTTGAACTGCTCGAGGAAGTCAGGAACAGGCTGTTCGGTTTCAAGAAGAATGTTGACCAGGGCGGGAGCAAGGTCCTCGTTGCGTTCATTGTAGAATGAAGTCGCATGACCCTTGTGTCCAATACGACCAGTGCGTCCGATACGGTGGATGTATTCAGAAATGCCGCCGTACTCGACGCCGGGGAGGTCGTAGCAGATCACATGATTGACCTGAGGAACATCAATGCCGCGGCCGAAGACGTTTGTGGCGATCAGGATGCCATTCTGCTTGCTCTTGAAGCTTCTCATAGCATCCTCTCTCTCGAGTTGAGAACGGTCACCGTGCATGAAGAGGGTGGGAAAGCCCTCGTTGTAAAGGTAGTCATCGAGCTCTTCGACTCCACCCTTGCTGTTGCAGAAAATAAGAGTGCGGCAGGCGTCTCTAGACATGAGCAGGTCACGCAAAGCTTGCTTCTTCATGTTACGCTCAACAAAGATGATGTCTTGGCTGACATTCTTGTGAGTAGAACCAGCACGGCCGATGCGAACACGAATGGCGTCCGGATTCATGTAAGCCTTAGCCACCTTGCGTGATTCCTTGGGAAATGTGGCTGAGAACAAGAGGTACGCGTGATCAGGGTCCTCGTTGGCATCTGGTAACGTCAGTATATGCTTAGAGTGTGTAGATACTAGATGACTTACCACCGCCAGCCATGATCTTGGCCATCTCGGTATCCCAATCGCTGGTGAGCATCTCATCGGCCTCATCAATGACCGTGAACTTTACACGGCTCATTGACAGAACGTCGGGCTTATTCATCAAGTCTTGCAAGCGGCCAGGCGTACCAATGAGGAGGTCGCAAGCCTTTCCGAGCTCCTGGAGGTTGATGCCCATGGGAATACCGCCGTATGCGCAGACAGGGCGCAACATGGAGCGGTAGCAGAGGCGGCGTGCCTCATTGTAGATCTGCTGAGCGAGCTCGCGAGTAGGGACGACAATGACAACAAGAGGTTCTGCACGAACGCGACAGCCTTTGGCAGGACGAGGTCCCTGGAGCTTGCGGACCTTGCCCATCAATTTGGAGATGATAGGCACAAGATACGCGGCTGTCTTGCCCGATCCGGTTTGAGCAACGGCAACGAGATCGTGGCCTGCCAGAATAATGGGGACACAGTATGCTTGAATGACCGTGATTTGATCATAGCCACAAAGCTTCACGTTCTCGAGGACTTGGGGGTGCAGACCGGCGGAGTCGAACTGCGAAGAAGTGAGCACGATGTGTCGCTTGTGTGAGAGATGAGGAAGGAACCAACGCTGTCAATGGGCTTGTACTGCTTGGGCCCGTCGATGATGGCCTTGAAGTTCAAGATGTGATCAAGCGAAGTGCCGGCTCTGTTGTGTTCTCCACCGAACAGCTGGCCTTCAAGCTCAGCGTCAGGGGGTCCGATGTCACCCTCTTCGCCAGTCCATTCGTAGACTGCAGCGGCGCCGGCCCAGGCTGGGGTGGTCTCCGAGGTAGGAGCGTTGAAAGCGTCATAGTTGAGCTTCTCATTCTCCATCCAGCCATGAGCACGAATGGCAGCGACATTCTCAGGGCTAGGGCCAACAGCTGAAGGGGCAGGGCCTTGCCCAAAGACCTCAACAGAGGCGTCGTAGTTTCCGGCGTCGGACATCTTGAGAAAGCGTGACGATCTGATGTGGGTGCAGTGGTTAGCAAAGATGCTTGATAACCTAGATGGATGTAGAGTGATCAGGCTTGATGTGTATGGAAGACACAGATCAAGAAGTGGTAGAGGAAGTTGATGGAAGAAGGTAGAGACGGAGAAGGAAGTTGAAGAAGTAAGATGTTGGTGAAGTAAGGTGGTGATCAAGCAAGGGGGTGAAGAAGGAAGGCGATGTAAGAAAGTGGTTGAGAAAAGTGATGAAGGAACACGATGAAGAAAACAATCGATGGCTCCGAGATGGAGGAGAAGTGACAGTGAGTGAAGGGGATCAGAGATCGTCGGAGTGCGTACAGTGAACTGGCAGTGGCTGATGGGCAAGCGACTGAGGCGCCGAAGTGCGCTGTGTGATGAACGCACGTTGGTGATGATGGAAAGATGAGTGGGATTGGTGTGGATGGAAGAAGATGAACAATTTTTGGAGTGAGGGAGAGTGACTTACAAATGCGTGAAGTAAAAAGCGCAGGCTCAAGTGCGTGGGGTGTCTGGTGAGAAGAAGCGCGATGAGAAGAAGTGTGCAGGCTGGCGGAAGGCGTGTCAGTAATGTTGGTGGATGCGTGCACCAGAGGACGGAAGGTGGATTGAGTTGAGAGAAGATGGAAGCGAGAGGGTAGAAGGGAAGAAGACTTACACTGCCTTTGATGGATGCTAATGTTTGTGATGAAGTGGAAAGGTGGAAGGTTGGAAGAAACCTAAAGAGAAGTCTGGAAGAAAGAAGTGACGCTTGGGCGAACCGCAGCTTCCCAAATCAAGCGCCGCGTTCGTCAAGCAAACGTCTACCTCGTTGAGATACTGACTGATGACTGCTGTCAGCACAGAAGTGAGTAGGGAAATTGATCCTTTTCTCTCAATTTGCTGACTGCCGCATCGAAGTGTCCGGATACGTTTTCCTCGGTCGAAGCCGACTTGCCATTTGCTTCTCTTCGTCGAAACAAGGAAGGAAGATGCCCAAGCAGAGAAAGAGCAAGGAAATACAAGCACCAAGCATGGGGTTGACCATACCCCTCATGGCACTGTACTTGGCGCACGAATACTCCTCGACGTGGGAGAAGGGCTACTTCTGACTGTCCAAGATGGGGACAGGGGCGAAGAGTTGATGCACCAGTACATACCTATACTGTCCAGCAACGTCTGCGGTTGATAAAGTGGGAATTAATGGGCATCTACTTGCACTATTCATGTATCTCGGTTGAATACTTGAATACTGGGTCGAGAGAGATCCAGGCATCTAGTAGTCCTTCATCTAGAGGTACAGGTAGGTATCTGCGAGCAAGGCAGCTCAAAGACAGACCAAAGATTGTCAACACATTTCTGCTGAGGGCCACAGTAACTGGTGCCATGGTTAGAGCCATCACGCTTGCAGGTGGATAGCAGACAATGGCTTCGCATGCATTCTGGATACTTCTTCTCGTTGACTCCTGCCAGAGTGGTCAGTATGTGTGGGGGCTACTCGGAGCAAGCTAATCTAAGGTTTTAATGAGAGATGTCTTTGCCTGTTGCTTATACGGCCCCGGGCAGGAGCGGATGTTGAAGTATAGGGTTAAACATGGAGTGTTTGATGTCAACTAACATTTTGCGTTTACTAGTGTGGTGCACAGCTCTCGCTAATCGAGAGAGCCGCATTGATGGCATCTGTCCGCATCTTGAAGCCTTCATTGCTTCTTGTCTACTGTGCCTCAAGAGTCCGGGACAAAGGTTGATGGAGATGATCCAGGGCTCACCAGGCTGTACGATACTCTATACATGACTTCAGGATATCCAGAACCCTGACAAGTTGTCCAAAACCTGAATGTTCTTCCAACTTCTCCAGGTTTTTGCACCGCCACAGTTACAGATCACACGCTATGGCCATGCGTCTTACGTACCTTGGCAGGAAAGCTTGGTTAGGTCACTACGAAAGTGGCTTGACTTCTAATCGATTATATCCCGAGCCGCCCTTGTGTAACATTTCCTACATGACCTCCTAGAACCTGCATATTCGTAGTTTTCCTGTTCGTTGAATGTAGCAAAGTCATTCTTCCAGGGCATGTATCCAGAATTGAATACACAGAATATTCTGGACCCTACGAGAGGATGAGCGACCCCATTGACGAGCCTATCAAGCAGGCAGCGGATGAGTTTGAATCAGACGAAACCCGAGGGCAGCATCAAAAACGAAGAGATTCTGGAGATCTTGGAGAAGAACGCGACTACACAAATCCGAAGTAATGTTTCCCTTTTAGAATTCTCAAACTGCAAATTGCTGACACTCTACCTTGCAGTCGGTATTGGTTCGAATCAACAGCATGTCCTCTCATTGCGGGTACATTCGGGCCCATGGCTTCCGCCTTTTCCATATGCGCCTTGTCTTCCAGTTGGAGAGTGTACATACCGCCTGGAGGTACTGTGAATAATTCAACTACCATCGACGACCCAAAATGGTGCTTTGCAACACAAACAAAGTTAAAAACGAACTTCCTCTGACGAGAAATTATTAGGTTACTTGCAATCAACGCCGTCTCACTAGTTCTCGCTCTCCTCGCGAATGGAGCTTTGCTACTCAACATGGCCCATCGTCTGAAGTTCTCGATAGCCCAACCGATCACTATTGTTGGCTTCGTTGTCTCTTCTGGACTTCTGATTGCGGATCTTGCTGCTCTGACCGTATCTCACACCTATCAGCTTCCTGCCAATTCTCCTGCGGCACCTGCTGCTCACCATGCTTTGACGTCCGCTTTCTACTATGCGATCATGGCTGCTGCCATCTATCTCATCATTGCCATTCTCATGTGTTTGACGGTTTACGGTGCTTGGAAAGGGCACTATGCAAGACAGTTCAATCTGACAGCAGCACAGCGAACCTTGATGCTGCAGACAATGAGCTTTTTCACATACCTCCTGCTCGGTGCTCTGATCTTCAGCCATGTCGAGAAGTGGGAATACCTGGACGCCGTATATTGGGCAGATGTGACGCTGCTTACTGTCGGTCTCGGAGACTATTCGTACGTCCTAATGATCCGTCAAAGGGTTTGCAAGACTTGCAACTAACACACAATCTACAGACCAAGCACACATACCGGTCGATCTCTGTTCATCCCATACGCCATCGGAGGCATTGTGATCCTCGGTCTGGTCGTCGGCTCAATCAGAACCCTAGTCCTCGAACGCGGCCAAAAGAAGATCTCCGCCAGAATGATGGAGAAGAAGCGCCTTCGAGCCGTCAATAGCGTTGGCGATGGGCGAAAACGAATCCGGGTCAGCCGTTTCCAAAGCATGAAGTTTGTTGAGAGCTACACCAATGCTGCTCAGAAGAGAGAGCAAGAATTTAAGGCAATGAGATTGGTTCAGGATTGTGCTGAGAGAGATCGCAAGTGGATCGCTTTGGCTGTGTCTACGACGGCTGCTTTTACATTGTGGCTGGTCGGTTCTGCTATTTTCCATGTGGCGGAGAGGGATCAGGGGTGGACTTATTTTCAGACGATGTACTTTACGTACGTGTGTCTGCTCACGGTACGTTGATGTCATCTCGAGACTATGTCGGCATTGCGGAACATGAAGTTGAAACTTTGCTAACATTTCTGCTGCAATGTAGATTGGCTACGGAGACTTTACACCAACGGCAAACTCTAGCAAAGCCTTCTTCGTCTTGTGGTCACTCCTAGCCGTTCCGACCCTCACGATCCTCATCTCAGACATGGGCGACACAGTAGTGCAACTGTTCTCTAACGCAACAGAGTATGTTGGTTCTCTGACCGTTCTTCCCTCTGAACAAGGCATTAGAGTCGCCCTGAACAAAGCCTGGCGCACCCTCACAAAAACACATCCAATCCGCCATAGCCATCATGACTTGCATCCCGGTGGTGTAACGCAGACAGAAGGCGCAGAGGGTGAAGATGGAGATGAACACCTCACAATGACAGACCGTATAGCCGACCGCATGGCCAAACACCTGGAAGCCGAAGAACTCGACGACGCTCTCTCCGCCGAACAAGCTGGCGATTTCGAGGAACGCGACATCCACTTCTACAATTTCCTTCTGGCGCGTGAGACACAAAGATTACTCAAAGATCTCAATGCATCCCCGCCCAAACGCTACGAATGGGGAGAATGGGAATACTTCCTGAAACTTATGGCGAATGATGCGGACGCCACTGATTTGAATGGTGATGTCTTGGTGCCTGAGGAATTGAGGTTACCAGAAACCAGAGAAGAGTGGAAGAAGAAACATGTCGACCATAGGTGGTCGTGGTTGAGTAGGGCCAGTCCTTTGATGGGACACAAGTCTGAAACAGAATGGATACTGGAAAGACTGGGAGCATGTTTGGAGAGAGAGTTGAGAGAGTCGAGACTGTTGCCGTATCGGACCAGAGAAGAGAGGAGGAAGCCTCCTGTGAGTATGGCTGATATGATAAGGAGAGGAAGGAACAAGCAGCAAGGAGAAGACAACTCATGAGATCGAGAAAGGTTTCATAGTCGTTGATGGTTTATCTTGAAGACGGAGTAGATCTCGGTCAGTGTCAATACTCTTATGATTATCCTAATGAAAAGTTTTCTTTGCAAAAATTTTAAAATGGTGTCATTGCAATCGTGTCAAAGGGGTATCTTAGAATCTTGAAAAATGTAGAAAGGAAACGTAGTTGACCTCAACCCTTAGACTCGGCCCTTCTTGCTTTGGCACTATCCTTCAGCTTGGAGTAGTATGCTCTGAACTTGGCATTGTCATGTTCGAGTCTCTTGATCTCTTTCAAGGCAGCTTGCAGCTCATCATCTGATTGTCTAGAAGTGTTGGAAGGAACAGCCGAGTGAGTCGTTCGTACGCTGGCGACGCTGTGTGTCAATGCAGCCATCGAGGCATCCTGAGCGTGTGACTCAAATGCCTGCAATCGATGGCTTACATGGTCCAGTGCTTGCTTGAGCGTGTCATTCTGTAGTTGTAACTCTTCTTCGCGTTCGGAGATTAGGCCGCGATTTGGTTGTTTCGTAGGTTGAGTCTCTTGGGCATCGACAAATTCGGCAGGGTCATCTTCGCTGATGTTGGAGAGGTGTTGGCGACGGGCATAACGCTGCTCGCGTGTGACAATATTCGCATAAGACGCAGTGCCGCCGCTCGTTGGTATGACATAGAAACTTTCGCCAGGCCCAATATGACCGTGCTGTTGCAGGGCATTCAAGGCAGCTGGCGATATTAGATTCTTGACATCAGGATCATTCGAGGCCCTCGCACTTGTCTTCTGGTGCCGTGATGAGGTTGGCGAGTCTGGCTCAGTTGTGTCGGACAGAGGGAGAGCAGTGAAAGCAAGCATGGAGGATAAGCGAGATAAAGGCCCAGTGGTCCAATTGGAATAGAAGCGGGAGAAACCGTCGTCTTGGTCTTTTAACTGAGTCGAGGTGGCAGAGCTGACAGTCGTTGAAGGGACGCGACGGTCGACAGAAGCTGCAGTAGGGGTGGTGGATGTGGATGGGGCAGGTTTGCGAGGGTTAAGTAGAGAGGGCTGTTGCGGGATGCCTCTGCGTGTGGCTATATCTTTGGCAAGCGCAGGTGAGGACTCGCGACGTGACGGATGTATCCTGGCGACAGGTGGAGGGGGGCCGGATGAAGGGGCGACGGGCGGTGAAGCGATGGGTACAGAGGTATCTGGTTCAGCAGAGTCGACGTGGTGGGCGTCTTGTACAGCTTTTGCGATGGTGTGTTTCGACTGGATGATATGAGCCAGTTGGCGGTGATGTTCTTCTAGAAGCTTGAGCATGCGTAGTGCTTCGGGATCGGATGTCGAGGGCTGTGCTTTGGCGTATTGTTCAGCGGCAGCAAGGTGCTCGGTAGCAGCGACGGCGAGGTGTGACTTTGACGTTTCGACGGCCGCCTTGCGCGCATGCGAGTGCGCCTGGTTGAGGTCAGCAGAGGCACTCGATAGCAGACGTGTATTCTGACCAAAGTCAAAGGGGCCTCCTCCATGGTGGTGCCTGATCTGCAGCATAGATGGAAGATGGCGTTGCGATAAATCCAGATAGGCAAAATAGCAACACTTAAACAGCCGGCATGTGACAGCCAAATACGTCATGAAACATTTCCCCGCAAACTCGTTGAAGGATGGGCGCTGGATGCAATCAGGGTAGGGCACTCTATTCTGCTAGTCCAGCCATCTATATCCCACTTAGCCCTCTCCACCTGTTTCACCTAGCTCCGCAATCAGACACTGCTGCTTCTGACCTACGCCTCGCTATCCTACTCTGGACCTTCATCGTCGCCGTTCAATCTCCACGAAACTCCTCGCACGCGCTTCTTTCGACTCTTTCCGCCGGAATGCGGAACCAAACACGATAGACTTTGACCAGACCCAAACCATGGCGACTACCGATGTACCTCGTCGCAATCTGTCGATAAACCTTCGCCGAAGTCGCAAAGATGCCGACCGCAACAACTCAGCCAGTTCGATAGGCAGCGGTCCTGCCGACGACCAAGTCTCGGGTCTGAAGCCATCCATTGACAACGTCTTCGCCAAAGTCAAGGAGCGAAGAGCTCGCAAGTCGCAAGACCTCCGCCGGAACAGTGACGACTCGTCAAAAGGTTTGCGTGGCCTCTTGCCCTCGTCCAAGAGGTCGCGCCGCAAGAGCAGCACCCAAGACAGCGACCGCCTCTCGGCGTCCGGCGACTTGATGGCAGACCGTCAACGGGGAGTCTCCCCCAACCCAAGCGAGCTTTCTCTGGGCAATCAAGGCAGTGGACATAGCAGTCTACTGACCGAGGATGAGGAAGACCAAGCGTAAGTTCATCCTTGTCATTCAATCCTCTCCCTTCGTGATGCTATTCAAGGTAAGGGCTATGTGCCAAGGGTCCGAGCGCCATGTGTCGTCGTAACGCCGATCGTAACAACATGCCTGGTCCATTCATCCACCACTTTTGGCCTGTGCAATCACAATCGACCAGGACCCTGGTGGCCCGGACCCGCTGCGTATTTACACCGTACATGTGCTGGATACGTGATACGGCCACAACTTCTGCTCATTATTAGCCCACATAAGAGCTCTCGTTTCCTCGCTTGCTGACTGCCCAAACCAGTCCCATCAGACCAACCCTCTCTCCTCACCAGTCCCATACCGGCTACTTGACTCTCTCCTCTCCCCTGATCAACGCTACTGCTACCAGCAACCCCTTGCCCGAAGACATTCCAAATCTTGCAGAGAATCTGGCTGCCCCATCATCTCTCGACAAATCAATTACCTCTCCTGATCGCCAGAAGTCGCCTGTCGATAGATTCAAGGGCGCTTTCACCTTGCCCAAGAAGAAGCCTGCGCTTGAAGCATCTACAGAAACACATGAGGTCTCCCCAGAGCTCGATCTTGAATCCGAACACCCCGCTGTGGCCTCTCCACGCCCCTCCACCCCTCAATCGCTACCGCAGAAACCCACAATCATCACAACCGTGCCTTCTACGCCTCCCAATATCGTTGAGCCTCCCACCACTTTCGTGACGCCTCCGACACCCACCGAACCTCAAACCCACTTCTCAAATGCTTCTGCCCAGTCGCTCAGCTCTCCTGTCAATTCTCCTCCGTCATACGTAAGCGCTGCTGCTCAACGACGTAAAAGAACTGGAACCTTCACCTCGAGCAAGCTCTCCGCTGCTCCCTTGACTCCACACATTGAAGAAGCAAAAACACCTGGTGGCACAATCACTGCTCCAGTCACTTCATCGGGATTCTTCTCCTCTGTCTTCAACGCTGCCCAAAACGCCGCCAGCCAGCTCAGTACTAGTCTGAACACGTCTATTGCTTCGAACCAAAAGAGCAAGCCTGCACAGTTGGATCAGACAGATACTGTCGGCGGCGAAGAAGTGTTTCCTGGTGTCGAAACTGTCGGTTCACCAGAACTTGAGCCAGGGGCTAAACGCCAACTAGCTGTTGAAACTCTTGGTAGGGGCGACCTTAGTTTAGACCAACTCGGCATCAGTGCCGAAAGCTCAGACGTCAGTCCAATGAATTCCAACGTGGATCTATCGGGTGCGTCACCTGCTCTTTCGCAACCAACTAGCAATGGCCAGAAGCAAGAAGAGATGGCTGCACAACGCGCGGTTTCTACTGCTTATGACAAACCTGTAGAGAAGACAGTGAGCCAGGCCACTGGCGGAAGACCTCTTTCTGTGGTCTCGGATGATGGTTCGGCTGCAGGCTTCCAAACACCCCCCAGAACCTCAGGCACCTTCGATAGCGTCAAGCGTGCCAGTTCGGTCAGAAGTAAGCTCAGCGGTCGCAGAAGACATCGTGGCAGCTCTGCCGCTACAGGTGGTACCCTTGCTGCTGCCGTCACTGCTAGCAGCGCTACCCTTATTCCTGGCGCAATCGGCCAAGGTCATCGCACGACTGGTTTCGCTGTGGCCAGCAGCAAGCGCAACAAAGACTTCCATCAGCTATTCCGGAGCGTGCCAGAGGATGACTACTTGATCGAGGACTATAGTGCAGCTTTACAGCGTGACATTCTTCTTCATGGCAGGCTTTACATATCGGAAGGCCACATCTGTTTCTCTAGCAATATCCTCGGCTGGGTGACTAATCTGGTCATCAGCTTTGACGAAGTCGTCTCGGTCGAGAAGAAAAGCACCGCCGTGATCTTTCCCAACGCAATCGTCATTCAGACTCTACATGCTCGAAATGTTTTTGCCAGTTTGGTGGCCAGAGACTCAACCTATGATCTCCTCATTGGCATCTGGAAAATCAGTCATCCCAACTTGAAGAGCTCTCTCCATGGTGTCGCAATAGATGATGCCAGCACTGGCGATAAGACAGAACGTGCCGAATCAGTAGCGTCCGATGGGGACAGCTCAGATGGTGCGACTGAAGACGACGTATATGATGAGGATGAAGACCATGATGACGGTAGCTACTTTGAACCCGGTGGCAGCGTCGCAGGCAGCGAGTTTGGTGATCCTGCTGTCAGTCGGAAGACTTCTGCTGTTCCCGTCACGGCTGGTGTTCCATCGGCCCACGGACCTACAAAGGGTGCTGAGGTTATCGAGGCAGCTGCCCCTGGCGCCACTGCTGCTGCCGACTTCCCTGGGCCAGCCACACATGCTCCCACTGAATGTGGAGATGATGCCAATCATTACGACAAGCCATTGGCCGACACCACGATACCTGCTCCTCTGGGGAAGGTCTATTCCTTGATGTGGGGTCCAGCATCAGGTACATTCATGAAGAAGTGGCTGGTCGACGACCAAAAATCTCGCGAGCTTTCGTTCGAGAACGAAAAGGGTGGACTGGATGATACCCACCGCAGCTTCACGTACTCGTACATCAAGCCTCTCAATGCACCTGTCGGTCCCAAACAAACAAAATGTATTGTTACGGCCACTGTTGAGAACTTCGATCTGGAGAAGTGCGTGAGCGTCAACTGCAGCACAGCAACGCCCGACGTACCTAGCGGCGGTATCTTCACGACAAAAACCAGATACTGCATGATGTGGGGACCGAATAACACGACCAGACTCATTGCCAATTGCACAGTCGAGTGGACTGGCAAAAGTTGGTTAAAAGGTATGTAATGCCGCTCCTTCCTTTCAGACTCTGCTAATACATGCCAGGACCTATCGAGAAAGGTGCTAACGATGGTCAAACACAATACGTCAAAGATCTGGTCGCTGCGCTTACCGCTGGTGTGGCCACGAAAGCTACAACAAAAGGTGCTCCACGCGGCAAAGGCAAAGGGAGACGAAGAGCAGATACCGGCGCACCAGTCGAAACCGAGAGTGTCACAGTCGCCTCCAAGAAGGTACCGGAAGAAGCGAACTGGGGACTGTTTGAGCCTATTCGTGGGCCACTGGAGCCTGTTGTCAGTATTTTCCAACCTCTATTCTCGACACAGATCATCATTACGATACTGGCTCTGCTGTTGGCTTGGACGTGGCTCTTTTCCTCTCGATCACGCTCCTCAGGAGTCGGGTTTGCCATCGACTCACCCGGGAGACTCGCTGCATACGAAGAACTATGGCGCAGAGAAGAAAGCGAACTGTGGGACTGGCTTGAGGATCGTGTTGGCTTGAGCAATGGCATTCCTGTTGGCGGTGCCTCACAAGAAAGAAGCGACAGACAAAAGGTCCTGGGCACTAAACAAATGGGTCGCAGACTTCGCAATCATGACTTGGAAGAAAGGCAAGTGGAAGATGCGATCAGAGTCACCGAGGAAAGGTTATCAACGCTCAAAGCTGCCGTTCAAAAGAAGAAGAAGGACGCTGCTGCCGCGCAAAAAGGAGAAAAGAAGTAAACGGCTGAATTTTATCCTATGTTGTCAATTTTTCTTGCATTCCTTCACGACACGATCGTTGAATCTTCAGTTTTTGAGCGAGCGTAAATGCTTCTTTTGTGTTTTATAGCGATCGCTGTTCCCTTTTGTACAATTGAAAAATAGCTTGGGCAACGAAGAGAAACAATTGCATATTCTGAATCATACCTTCCTGTGTGCTAAGAATAATCACAATTTTGCAACTAGGCCCTTCTCCACCTTGAAGTCTAGATTCTATTGTAAGCTATCGAACTGCACAGTTTCAATTCGAATATGGATCTGGTCACGGAGACAGCCCTCGAGGGGTTGGTCCTCTCCTCAATGACCACATTCTGTACGAAAGTATCGTGCTTTCCTGCAGATGTATTGCGACAGTCTCAAGTATACGGGAGGTATCTTGCATTCGTCGTGAACCTCGGTTCCACCAAGTCGAGCCATCATGACACCCGCTCTCTCTGGACGATGTTGTGAACCTCCAATCTACTGTGCCTTTTGATAGTCAGAAAAGGAGTGTGCATGGGAAGAGTCAAGGTAAGATAGAATGTTATTGAAATATGCTCATTGCAGCAATAATCTACCGTGATGCTGCTAGACGAAAAGTCAACCCCTTGACAGGCACACCTTCTCCATGCAGGATGATGTCGCATCGGACGACTTCGTAAATGTTGGTTTCATATAGGCGCAAAGCCAGTTCCTGATCCTCAGACTGAACCATGAAAGCATGGCCATTCACACGAGAGTTGCTGCTGTTCACTAGTGCTCGGTACTGACCTAGAGCTGTGATCTTACCGCCCAAAACGTGTGCACGCTCTAAAGCTGGACCAGGATCGTTTTCGAGTTCGAGCACTCGCTTCAAGATCTCAGGTTGTGCGAGAGTACCGTAGAAGAAGTAGAGGACAGGAAACTGTTGTTGTTTGACGAGGTCCCCAGCATGGTTTAGGCGATGCTGTGGCATAGTTGTGTCGTCGACGCCCAAAGTAGGCAATGTCGAGAGGTCTTTTGCTGCGATGTTGATGCTTACAAAGCAAGGTTCGAAGCTGGTGCCACGATCGCTAAGACCTTGTCTGATTCGATGCTCCTGGCTGGCTGTAACATAGCAGAAGCTTCTTTCAGATTCTTCGGATTCGGCGGTGACAACTGTAGGCGTGAACCCTGCGATATCTTGGACATCTTCTGGGGTACTCAGAGGCCCACCGAGAATCAGACCGCGTAGAACGCTGTTCGGAGATGGTGGATGGGCTGAGTTAGTGATGGGAGCACCTGCAGAGTATACCTTTGAGCGACAGAACAGGGCATATTCGCAAGATTCGCGGTCAAAGCCTTGTGCTTCCTTCGAAGCTTTGAGCTCAAGCCATAACTCTTCGGAGAATCTCTGGCGCTCAATATTTGCCCTGTAGGTCTTGAGATTGTGATGAGCGTCATCGTATGTCATGGAGAAGAGAGCTTGCCAGCGCTTGATGTCAATGTCGCTGATTTCCTCTTCGAAGCTGTCAATGGCGTTGGCTTCCATTCTCTCGAGCTCTTCCATCAGAAAGTCCATCCTGGATTGTTTTAATGTTTTTTGTTCTTGTTCTTGATGGTCGTGACAGAACTAAGCGTATCGATGGAACTTCTTGACCTCGAAAGGAGCAGATTGGGTGTGATGAAATGTTTATGGGCACCTGGTGATTTTAAGCATCAGAACCAACTCATGACTCACCAAACGAACACATGTATCGAAGGTTTCGTCAAAGCTAATGCTTCAAGAACCTACGATAATAGCTGAACAAGCAGAAATAAGTCCCTATGTCAGTATTTGTAGCCGGTGTACTCGCTGTCGATATTTCAGAAATGCATGGCGGGCTACCGAAACAGGCATGCTCGATTACAATCTGCTGGGCAGGCCTTATTCGACTTCCGAGCAAGCTTTCTATGCGGTACGCCAAGTGGCAGAGCTGGTCTCTTGCTATTGCATGTCTCGACATCTGTAGAAGTTGACGATAGAAATTATTCCCGGATATCGGCCAGCCGGAGATGGTGCAACGCTCCTGCCTATACAGTCGTGCTCCAGCGAGAGCCACCTCTCACCTTCATTTCTTACAAAACTCTGTTCGATCTTTTGATATCCTCGAGTAAACAGCCATCTCAATTCCATTCATTCTCCATTTCCATCGCACCATTCTTACTCGCATTGCTCTCGAGGATAACGGAGATTGTCTGTTAACTCCATCTCCGCAGCTCAGATAAGCTTCCGTGCTCCACTCCGAGGCTCTCGAGGCTTGATGATCCGCCTCGAGTCTTGAGCATTCGGTACCACCTTCGCTTGTTCACTAACAGACTTCTCACACCGACGAGATGAGCTCTCCTTCGCATGGCCAGTCAGAATCTTCTGCATCACAAGGAACTCCAATCTATGTACCAACAACAGACGATTCTTGGGAAGACGATGACGACATGGATTTCGAGGATGAAGACGGCACCGAGTATGCAACTGGAGATGAAATCTACTTTGCTGGCTCAGACGACATAGAGGAGACCGAGTTCTATGGTAGTGCTCACGCTCATATTTGAGAGATTCAAGGTTGTGGCAAAAGCTAACATATAGTGATTAGACGCCGACGAGGGACTCGGACCAGTCATGATAGACTTCGAGACGACCGACGATGACGACGAAGGCAGAGAAACAACGGCAGGCGCTGAATCAACAGCAAATGAGAACGAGGAGGAACCATCACAGGCAGAAACAGCTCGGCCACAAAGACAAACCATTGCTCGTTAGTGGCAACCCAATGCTACTCCAAGTACAAGTCGGCTGATAGCTCGCAGTCACACAACAGCAGATTCTACAACTTCTTGGGAACGCAGGACTCAGAGGACTCTTCGCAAATGTAGTTGGCCAGCAACGAGGTGGACTTGTCGCCGACGATGACGATGATTACGAGGACGACTCATACCTTGGCTGGCACGCTATGGGCAGAAGGGCTAGGAGGCCTAAGAGAGAAGGCTCTGGATACCCCAAGGTTCCAAGTGAGGCTGGAAAGAAGCTGATGGAGTCTGGTACTTTCGGCACCACCGAGCGCCTACGTGGAACATATGGTCGTAAGAGGAAGCTCGCATACCGAAACATGATGCGTGAGCTTGGTGTGGGTGGCTACGGTGCTCAGAGGAGTGCCAACAAGCTCATATCTCAGACCATGATACCCTCAACACAGGCCGACAGCATTATCAACTATAACCATCGATGTTACTCTGGTCAGTTTTCCGATGATGGCAACTTCTTCTTCTCCTGTGCGCAGGACTTCAAGGTTCGCATGTACGATACCTCGAACCCATACAGGTGGAAATACTATAAGACGGCACACTATTATGGCGGTCAATGGACTATTACCGATGCAACCTTGAGTCCGGATAATAGATTCCTGGCGTACAGCTCCATCAGAAGCGCTGTCTGTCTTTCCCCTACAGATCCCGACAACACCATGGATCCCACTATACTCGACTTTGCTGATATGGGACAAGCCACGAGTCGAAGGACTGGACGTGGTTGGGGTCATTTTGGTATCTGGTCACTTCGATACTCTGGTGATGGACGCGAGATCGTCGCCGGCACCTCAGATTCGAGTGTGTATGTATACGACATCGAGACGCGACAATCAATACTCCGGATCCACGGTCATAGGGACGATGTCAATGCTGTGTGCTACGGAGACAAAACCTCACCACATATCTTGTACTCAGGATCAGACGATACGACGTTGAAGGTCTGGGATCGGCGATCAATGGGTGACGGACGTGAAGCTGGTGCATTCGTTGGTCACACCGAAGGAATCACTTACATCGACAGCAAGGGTGACGGCAGATATGTGCTCAGCAACGCTAAGGACCAGACGATGAAGTTGTGGGACCTGCGTATGATGATGTCTACCGAGCGTTTCGACAAGATTGATCCAGAAGAGCACACGACAGGTTTCGACTACCGGTTTGCACCTTACGATGAAGAGGAGTACGAAGCTCATCCTCACGACTGCAGTCTGGTCACCTTCCGAGGCCACAAAGTGCTCAAGACGCTCATCAGATGTCATTTCTCGCCACCAGGCAGCACAGGTGGTCGCTATGTGTACAGTGGAAGCCACGACGGCTCGGTTTACATCTGGAACATGGATGCCACGATAGCAGGCAAGATTGACGTACTAGAGGCAACCAGAAACTCACGGCCCGAGCGAGACGAAAGATATGTTGACCGCTGGGAGCACGGCGGTGGCCGCAGCCAATGGAGTACCATTGTTCGAGACGCAAGTTGGCATCCTAATGCTCCAGTGTTGGCTGGTAAGTAGAGCACCTTGACAAGTTTATATCGATAAACTAACATTCAATGTAGCAACCTCATGGAACGGATGGGACCACGGTCTTGGAACATGTACGGTACATACTTGGAACGACGGCAACGACTCGGATGAAGGCGAACCCAAGATGGGAGCACGATTGAACCCACAGCTCGAGCAAGACAGCCGATACTACGAGGGCACTACTGCAAGCACTGGCCGTACCACATCATCACGACGCACGAGGTTTATGACGCGAGCACAGATGGCTCGGAATGACGAAGAGGAAGAGTAGACCTCTTCTGAAGACCTTGACACTCTCGGCTTAAAGCCTCTGGAAAGACTTTCTTTGGCATACACCGAGAAGTAGCAGAGTCTCTTGCTCGGTGCTCGGTGGACTCCATATCGTAGCAAAATCTCGGGAACACTCCTTTTTACTTTCTCTTGCTTCTGTCACAAGGAGCTAGCTGTATATATGGGCATTACCTCCTGTGGTACAGCTTCTGGAATATTAACACACTCTTTTCAAGACCAATGATTTGCAACCATTCATGCCTCTCGGAACTCTCATGTGTTTTTGACGTGTTTTTTGTATTGCGGATTGTGGTATCAAGATAACTGTTTGACAAAGAGAAGAACCATATTCTTCTTCTCTTTTTGAACGCCAGAAGATTGTCCCCCTTCGCTCTTTTTGGATGGGTGTGAATAGTAAAGAAGATTGTACAAGCAGGAAAATGCGGAAAGCGAGCAAGTGGCGTGGAAGAGGTATCAAGCGTGATTTCTTACGAGCAAGGTCGTCCTCCTTCCTGTCGAGGACCGATCGCGCGTCGCCTTTGCTGGGTCTGGGAAAGGGGGGTATGTTTCGAAACGGAAGGGTATATGGAGCTTATGCGCCACCGACGAGGATGTTGTTGACAGGGATGTGAACTGTGTTTTACACGTCAGATACCCTCTTCAGACGTATACACGAATCGAAGTACATACTCAACTTGACGACGTAACCAATAACGCCCATGACGAGGAAACCGACACCGACGGCCTGGCTGATCTTGAGGAATTCGCGCTTGTCGGGCTTACTGTAGTTTGCTTGTTAGTTTCGTGACTTGAAGGACAGAGGAGAGGAAGGTTAGCAGAGTGTGTGGTCACGTACGTGCAGCGGTTGATGAATTGAGTGCCGTCCTTGACGAACTCGCGAGGCATCTCCATGATCTCTTGCATTTGGTTTGACGACATGGTTGCGATTGAGTTGTGTGAATTGGTCGGTTGATTTGGAAGGAAGATGGGAGATGTTCGTTTGGATAACTGCGACACGGAGTTGGTGCTTCTAAGAGTACAGCTGGCTATCGCTTTGCGGAGAGAGTTGTCCTTGGTGGTGAGGGTCTGTGCGCCCAGGGAGATGCTTGCTTGCTGTCGCCTTTTCTGGGGCTGGAACTTTTTTGGCTTTCGTTCACATAAAATGCTTCGGCTGCTTCCTCCTCTGAGTAAGATATTACATCAATAATGAATATTTGATTGAGGCAATTTTGAAATCAGAATCTGCTGCCAGATACTCAAATAAGCTGCAGCTTCCGTTCCTGTGTTATATACAAAGAAAAAAAGTCATGTTCGTGACTGAGGAAACTCCAATAAACACCATGCATGCCAATGGGGATATATACTACTTCTTGAGCAACAAACCGTCGCTGGCCAAATCCTGTTCGTCTGCTTTCTTGTTGAAGTCCTTGCCACCAGAGTTGTTGGTTGCATAGATTTCAGCAATGCAAAGGTCGAAAGGTCCAGGAACACGGTCGATCAAGCCTATGCCAACACTTCTGACTTTTTGCCGCATCATATCGCTCTGAGGCTCGACAACCATGCCGTGGTTTGTACGGACAAATTCGCTAATGGGCACAATGACCGTCTCCCATTCGCCAGGCGTTTGAGCATACAAACGGTGTTGGTGAAGATCTGTCGGCACGATAGACTCGGTCTGGACATTGACAAAGTATTTGCGAGCGTCGCTTTTGACTTTCAGAGCAATGTAGCTGTACGAGTCGAGGTCCCATAAGCCCTTGCCAAACAGATTGCGACCCATGTCTCTTGTGCGCCAGGCAGCATATCCGGACCTCTGAATCTCTGGTCGGTTGGCGGGAAGCTCATTCGAGATAGTACCATGGAAGCGGATGTGTGAAGGTTGTTGGGCGTCTGCGGGAACAAAGTCGAAGTGGACTTTTGAGAAGCCGCCCATGTCTTCGTCGGACATGACTTTGCATAGTTCTGGAGTGTCGGGTTGATTGAAGGTAATGAGCGGGAAAGGTTTGTCGGGACGATTGATTGCTTCGGCCTTGAGAGCTGTGTGATGCGACCATGTTAGCTAGAGAAGCGATGATGGTAGAGCAGAAAATGAGAGCGAGGATACTCACCAATGCCTGACAGTCTCGAGAATTCCTGCAGACTACGCTTCCAGAAGCCTGGCGGAGCTAGTAACCGTCTCGTACACTGCATGTTGTGATGTGTGATGGTCGTGTGAGGAGAGGCAAAGGTGAGTGGGAGATGTGAGGATGATGGTGTAGATGATGTAGATGATCTGATAAGCTTGAAAGACCCTGGTGGTGATGGATGATGCATGACTCGCCGACTCGGCCTTGGATGATGCGGAGAGTTCGCTGTCGACGCCGCCCGGCCAGAATTTGGATGCTCGCAATTTTTTGGTCCAGGCACCATCTGTTGCCATCCACATAACACCATCACCACAAGATCAACCCAACCTCTTGAACCAGGGCGACGCCCCATCTGCCACACTCCTTCGTGCTGTTTCGACGACCAACTCACGCTACCTTCGTTCATGACAGCCAACCAGTCCATCGCCGCTGCGCGAGCCGCTTCAATCGACCCAAGCCCCATACCTCAGTCCAGAGAAACCGGAGACGCATTCCCTCAAAAGACACAAGATGGAGCTCAGCTAAGGTCGCAACCGCCTGTCGCAAAGTCATGGGCTCATTTTGTCGCTGGAGGGTGAGCTCGCATCTGCCACCTCTGCTCCTCCCATCTTGCTAATCTAATTGCCACAGCTTGGGTGGAATGACGGCTGCTACTTTGACTTGTCCTCTCGACGTACTAAAAACCCGCCTACAATCTGACTTCTACCAATCACAACTCTCCGCCGCTCGCGCCGCACGAGGCGTTCCACCATTGTCGCAACTCTCCTACTCTCGAACCGCTATCCTCCATATCCGAGAAACCTTCCAGATCCTGACCGCCATCCCCCGTACTGAGGGCTACCGCGCTCTGTTCAAGGGACTTGGTCCTAATCTCATCGGCGTCGTGCCAGCACGAGCCATCAACTTCTTCGCCTACGGAAATGGAAAGAGAATTCTGTCGCAAACCTTCAACGATGGCAAGGAAGCTTCATGGATTCATTTGCTGGCTGCTGCTGGAGCTGGTATGCTTACTGGAACTGCTACGAACCCCATCTGGCTCGTGAAAACGCGACTGCAATTGGACAAATCAAGAGCTGAGAAGACTGGCAGCGGTCTGGATGGAAGAAAATACAAGAACGCTCTGGACTGTACCATGCAGACTGTGCGCGCAGAAGGTATCCGAGGACTGTACAGAGGATTGAGCGCAAGTTATCTCGGCGTGACAGAAAGCACACTACAATGGGTGCTCTACGAACGCATGAAGAGCTACATCGCATTACGAGAAGAACGCATCACTCTTGCTGGCCGCCCCCGTACATCCTGGGACGAGGCCATCTCATGGTCCCTCAGACTCGGTGCAGCAGGTAGCGCTAAATTTGTCGCTGCACTCATCACATACCCTCACGAGGTCGTCCGCACACGTCTGCGACAAGCCCCCGTCACCACATCGATTGATGGCAAGCCCCAACTCAAATACACTGGCTTGGTACAGTGCTTCAAGCTGGTCTGGAAGGAGGAGGGCATGGTCGCTCTATACGGTGGCTTAGTGCCGCATATGCTCAGAGTCGTTCCCAGTGCCGCCATCATGTTCGGCATGTACGAGGCCGTCCTGCGTCTCCTCGGAACCGACTCGGGCGTGTAAAATATCTTGTCAAAAAGTAGCTGTTCAGGGGTTGTTTAAAAGCATTGGAGATCCGGCGCAAATCTTTGGAAAGCTCAGGGGAGCGTGTCTTATTTACTACATGTAACAATAGTGCGGGAAAACATATGGCGAGGAAGAATTCTGTACAAAGAGGCAGGCCAGCATTGGGCCGCCGCTACCCAACTCCATCAACAGGAAATTCAGCACGCAAAGGGCTACAATACTACTACTTTCGCAACTCTATGTGTTACTTCTCTCGACTGACTGACGTCTGAGCCAGTGTACTGTAGTCTGTATCTTCAACCACATCCCGAACACGGCAAAGACTAAGGATTACACTACAAAAAGCCACAATTGTGTCCAAAAACAGAGCTCTGTCCACAGAGAGTCGATAGGTTGCCGCTTCCAAGTGGGCACTGTCCTAATTACTAACAGGATTGTGCATTACTATAGCTACCGGTCACATACTTTAGCACACAGGAAGGATGTTGAGATGGCAATCATTTGCTTTCGCGAGACTGGCATTTCGAAAGCAGAAGTTTGTAGCGTTGAAAGAGTAAATGATTAAGTTATACAAATATATACAGAAATATTGCATCGATGACCGGTAACATCGACCACAACAATGAGAAAGAAGCTGCGCTAATGGTATAGACTCAAACAAGAAGAAAGCAAAACAGACGCTATGGTCCAAGAAGACATCCATCAAACAGCAGCCTCAGTAAGAGTGTAGCTGTAGGATCTTGAGACAGTGATGCGGCTGTTACCCTGGTACTGGCCATAGTTGGTAGCATATTGAGGAGACCAGGTCTGGTTGTAAAGACCACAGTGCTGCTCATAGGCAACACCATCCTTGCTCTGGATCCAAGAGTTGAAGAAGCGGCAGGTCTGGTATGAGCCATCGCTGGCAGGGTGAGCCTTGTTGTAGGCAGTTTGAGAAGTGCAGGCAGTGGCACAAACGCTAGGGTCGTATGTCTGGTCCTCGCCGAAGGGCTGGACGCGAACACCCATGTAGGTGTCGTGGCGGTTGCTGTCGAGGGGTGCGTTGATGGCACCGCCCAATTGTGTAGGGCCGTCGTAACCATCAATGGCGCTAGGAGCAGGCACCTTGTTGTAAGCATTCGAGCCAGTAATGACTACTTGGAACTGATCACGCCACTGGCCAAAGTTCTTTGCTTGAGAGGAAGAAACACCAGCGCCCCACAGCGTGCACTTGTAGTTGGTAAGACTTTGAGGGTTCGGGCAGTTGGTGTTGTTAGGGTCAAGGGTAGGGTCACGCTCGCTGTACATGTTGAAGGCCTCACAACCAGAGGTCTTGTCGCAAAGAGAGGCACAACCGATAGTGTCGTATGAGGTTAGAGTCCAGAGACCCATGTACTTGTTGGCATTGAGCGAAGCGTTCAGGCCAGTGAAGGCAGCAGTGTAACCATCCGGTGTAGGAGCGTTGGCTGAGAGAGTCTGAAGCTCGGGAATGGCGAAGAAGCCCTCGATAGTATCGGGAGAGGCAACAGGACCGGAACCAGCAGGCTGAGGTCTGCAGGTACCATCACGGCCGATCAAGGATCTGTGTTCGGCAAAAGCAGCGCCAGCAAGGGCTGAGACGATAAGAGCGGAACGCATGTTGTTGATCGTTGGTTTTGAGAAGTGGATGAGGTTGAGGAGATAAGAGAAAGGTGTTTGGACAATGAGGGAGATGAGATGATGAGGGAACCATCCTACCTCGAGGGAGCCATATCTTATATACAGTCAGACTCGAGGATTGATATCTACCATCGAGTCATAGTACAGTGGTCTTCAATGGAATACTTTGGTTCCCTAAGGCGCTATACTCACTCGTCGACATTCGCCACGTCTAGTGGGTCGAAGGATTCGACCACACTGAAATTAGCCATCGGTCGCGGCCATACAGGATCCCGGTCGAACTTGGTAGACCGAGAGAAGGGTTGGCAGAGAGTGTTGTTCATTCGCGATGTGGGCCCTCCGAATGCCGAGTAGGGTTCAACGGCAGCGTAGAAGCCCTCGTGGGAAACCACAACCGTTGTAGCGGCCCTGAGACTGAGACAAAATCCCGGCAAGCTCGTGTGCTCTGACTTTTTTGAAACCACGTGTACTCGTTCAAGATCTCGAAATACAATAGAGCTGTGAAGATCCGGGAACACCTTCTCCAAGATTGACCGGGAGATCTACAATATTGGTGGCTGCTCGCTGATGAAGGTCGATTTTTGGCTGCTAGGCTCGCGTAATACACACTGGATTTGGCAGTCGCAATTAACCATGCCAAGCGAGTCAGACATACCGTGGAGAAATTAGATCCATGACATACTCGGAGTCTGGCCGAAGATGAAATGACTGCCCATGTCGGAGGCTGTATCACAGTGAGACAATGCTATCGAGTATGAAATTCCCGTTTCCTACGGGAGCTGTTGGCCGCAAAGTATGGAGGTGGACATGAGCAATTCGTGTCGGGATGCCTCATATTTGACAGACCCAAGACAACAGGGTCGATAGAGGTATAGAATTGAGACAAGAGGTTGCGACAATGACGTGCATCACCAAACAGCTGTCGAACTCTGTAAGCAGTCTCCTAGTTTAACACGGGACTAATGAATGGAGGGTGCCCTCAGACGCAACAATCGAGTGGCCAGCCATCATTGTGTACCTTGGAAAAAGTAAAATTCGTGTATAAACCATTCAGATTGGCTCATGAGTTCATGCGAATGCAACAAGAAGTCATATTAGGCGAGCCAGTTTTCCGAGCGTCCTCTCGGCAGCTGGTAGGATACGCCATGCGATCGTCCAGATAGCGTAACTGGATCTGCGAGGGTACGAACACCGTATCAGGTCAGTAGATGACCGTGTCCTCATCAGCCTCGACTACAATGTCGCCTGTATCATCTATACTTTCTTTCCTCTGCCGATCAGCATCGTCTGCCGCTTGCTCTTGAGCTTGTTTGTCTTCTGTCGACTCGGTTGCTATTGCGCTTAAAGTTGATGCTGGTTCCGTCTCCGGATCTGCAACTCCGCCTTGGTCTTGGTCATCTGCTGGCTCTGTTGTTGATACAGCAGCATGATTCGTGCCATTGGATGCTTCTTGCTCGTCTCTAGTGGCGGTGTCTTGGTAATCAGTGTGTCCATTGGCGTCCTCTTTCTGCCAGCGTTGGCGGACTTGGTCAAAGTCGTCAAGTTCCTGATCTATCTGAACGTCAACGTCTTCACGTTGGCGATTGATCTGATCCTCTTGTTCCGGAAGTAGCTCCCACGGCTTGAAATATAACTTGGGCTCAGTCGAAGTGACCAAGAAATTTGACATGGCCTTCATGCTCTCATGCTTGATGCGCATGCTGGCTTCATCGACTCTCCGTTGTTCCTTCCTTCGCGCAACATTGAGGAGCTCAAGTCGTTCTGTTTGTCGTTCGCTAAGCTCCTGCTCTTTCTGGCGTCGACGTTCTTCCTGTTCGGCTCGTCGCTTGGCTGCTTGCGCGTTTGCCGGTCTTGTCTGGCCCAGTCCACCGAGTAGACCTCCAAACAGCCTCTGAGTGCGCTTCTTTTCATCGACGGGTTTCACAGGGCGTCTTTCGCGAGTTGGTCGGGCATTTTCTTCCTGTCTGGACCTGTCGGGCGAAGGCGACAAGCGCTGTCGTTTGGGAGAATCACGACGAACAGACGACTGGCGACGTTTGGTTCCGGCGCGTGGCTCTGGGGTTTGCGATCGGTCAGGCGAGCGGCGTGGTGATGATGGAGTTGCGTCGGGCAGCACGACAGCTGAGGCTACAGCTCTGCACTTGGTGTTAGTCTCATCGTCACAATAATCGATGTATGCTGATCAAACTTACGAGTCCGTCATGTCAATGGATCAGTTATGTTCGGGATGGATGAATACTGGCGCGTTGCAGTCTTGACCCGAAAGCCGAGTCCTGCATCTCGACCCTTCGATGAAGCCTGCCCCGCGCTGTCACCAATTTGACCTTGCTGACATCACAATGAATCGCTTACACAATCAAAGAGCTTCGGCAAGAGCTCCTGACCTTCCATATATATCTTTTGGTGTCCATTGAAAGCTAACAACCAGTTCCTTCCTCCCACTCAATCAATCAGTCATCCCTCTTCCAGTACCAACACATCACAATGGCAAACACTATGTCAGACAATGCCAACAAGGCGGCTTGGATTATTGAGGCCAAGCAGAAGCCTCTCAAGGTTGATCACGCTCCCATGCCAACTCCTGGTCCAGATGAGGTCGTTATCAAGAACAAGGCTGTCGCCGTAAACCCTGTCGATTGGAAGATACAAGACACTGGATACTTTATCAAGAATTATCCGAATATTCTGGGTATCTTTCCCCGAAAATTTTGCCTAGAGGACGGCAATCTGCAGATGAGAGTGTATTCGTCTAGCAAAGCCATAGTGTTCTCCGAATCCGGCATCGTGCTAACATACCTTTGTTTCAGGTACCGATGTGGCCGGCGAGGTTTATGACGTTGGATCAGATGTGAAGAACTTCAAGAAGGGCGACAGAGTCCTTGCGTAAGCCTTGTCTCTCCATGATATTGTTCCAGAGCTGATAGAATACATAGCCACTGCATTGGTCTCGGCACTGGCAAGGCTCAGAATGCCGGTTTCCAGCTGTTCTCAGCATGTCCCGAGATCCTGACTTCCAAGATTCCAGAGCAGACCTCGTTCACTGAGGCTACCGTTTTGCCCTTGGCCATCTCGACAGCATCAGCTGGTCTCTACCAGAAGGGTTATCTCGAGCTTCCCTATCCCGCTGCTTCTCCCAAGCCCTCAGGAAAGGTCATCCTGGTATGGGGAGGATCCAGCAGTGTCGGCTCAACCGCTATCCAGCTTGCCGTAGCTAGTGGTGTCAAGGTAGTCACCACTGCTTCCAAGCACAACCATGACTACTGCTCAAAGCTGGGCGCCTCAGCTGTCATCGATTACAACAGCTCTTCGGTGGCCGACGACATTGTTTCCGCCATCAAGGATACCGGTGCAGAGTTCGCTGGCGTCTACGACTCGATCTCTCTGCCTGAGAGTTTCAAGCACTGTTTCGAAGTCTTGCAAAAAGCTGGTGGTAGCAAGAACATGGCCACCGTTCTCCCACCTCCTGAAGACAAGCCTTCTGATCTTAATGTCAATGGCGTTTTTGCCATCACTATTGCCACTCAACACAAGGAAGTTGGTGACGCTGTTTGGCAGAAGTTCGTGCCTGGTGCTATCCAAAGCGGAGATCTCAAGTGCTTGCCCGAGCCTTTGGTTATTGGTCAGGGCCTAGAAAGCGTGCAGAAGGGTCTCGACAAGAACAAGGCTGGTGTCAGCGCCAAGAAGGTTGTCATTGAGCTGTAGGAATGATCTGTTGCTCGAATCCAAGGGCCTCTGAGGTTCCGGGCACACGGTCTAGCAATAAATTGAAATGTTAGTCGTCTGAAGCTAAGAACCATGAATTTGCTTTCAAGTAGCTTTCTATCTGTGTGTTTACATGTGTACACAGAATAATACAGAGGGCCGTATATTTGGTCTTGCAACCGTAGAAATGTGTTGTCACGCTGATGAGCATCGAGTGCGACAATGCGAATCCACTTGAGGCGGCACTGTAGCTAGCGGTAAGCTGGATCGCATGAACAATCGACTATTTGCGTACATGGCGACTTTATGAGCTTTTTACTCTGCTTGTTCCATGCAAGTATGGCAATCGGCGAGTTGTGAGCTGGTTATCTGGCATTTCGGTTGTGTTTTGAAAGGTCGAAGCTTTGTCTCGCGACGTCGAAAACGTGAAGCGCAGCCAGCCTGAACTACTTCAATGCTCTTGCCAACCACAACAAGACCAATTTGTACGAGAAAGTCCGTATGAAAAACGTCAGACAGCTTCGAGATTGAAAAGTTGTATACAATGCCGCGCGATCTCCGCTAGCTCAATTGCTCTCCATCAAACTATACCTGTTGCGGAAGTCTGGAATACTGGACAAAACATCGCTAAAGATGTCACGATACCTTACGCCATCGAAGATATGCATACTCCTTTTGGTGCAATTGTATCGTGATGGAAATGTTCCTTCGAGAAGTACGATACCACTTCTGTCGTTCATCTCCAAGCACACCATACACAGATCACCACTCAATGCCACCGACCAAAAGCCGTTAACTCCACCATCACTCGAGGATTTCGAGATATTACTAGGATCGCATGAATCAGCAGTGCCAGGTCGGTCTTTGTTCCATCTATTCATCGACCAACTATGGGCTATCCACGACTTCGTTACGTTCACTGCATTCCTCCAGGACCAGACTTTGGTGACGACTTCGCTTCAAGACCAAGGCGAGGGCAGCAAAGCCAAGTTTGTGTGCAGTCCAACAAGTCCGATTGGCCAATTTGCGAGAAGATGCCATCTGGAGTCTGTGAGATTGCAATTCAGTGATGCCTACCAGCTCTGGGAAGATCTGGTTGTTTTCCGCGAACCGACCAAAGGCAATTATGTTGAGCGCAACCCTAAATCTCCCTTTGCTAGCTATTACCCTGATGCAGCATCGGCCAACTTGTTACAGCCAGATCAGCCTGGTGCATCAGCCATTCTCCTCGATCGCATGAACAAACAGGAAAGTCGGCCCACCGTACCATCAAGTCTGGACGATGTGGAGAAAGTGATGCACTTCCAGCTAGGACAGCTGCAGAAGTTTGGTAGCAGAGTGTCGGACGAGATGAAAGCTCAATTGAGAGCTATGGTAGAACAAGGGGCGTCGAAGCCTTCAGACATGCACTTCATCAAGTACGTTGCCTCGCTGAAGCTCAAACACGTATGTCTTTGCTAACAAGAATAGTTTCTTCGACGCTTGGAGAAGTGGTGCATACAACAAGGCTATCGAGCTTCTTCATCGTTATTTCGAATACACCATGGAGAGCCAAGGCTCGGACACCATCAAGACATACCATCAGTATGCTTTACTTCATCTTGCCGTCCTTCACGCAGATTTCGGTTGCTATGGTGAAGCCATATCTGCCATGAACGAGTGTATTGCGACTGCTCGTGAAAATCAGGATGCCCGTTGCCTACATTTCAGTCTTTCTTGGCTCGCCCATCTCCGAAAAGCATATCCTGAATTTTCTCGCCTCGAAAATGGCGGCGAAGGTAGTGAATTAGCAGGCAATGAGAGCGACATCATCACATTCTTGCAACAAAAAGCAGTCGAGAACAAGGATTGGGCGACACTCAGTAGCTCTCTGCTTAGCCAGGCAGAAGTCAACGTCGAAAGCGGCGGCAGTGTAGCCAGAGCTCTGGAACAGATCTACCAATCTAGCTACCTCAACAGCTTGCACAATGTGTCTAGCATGGTACCTAGCCAGCTTCGACTTCACTCGGCCATATTCAACAGACTCGGTCAAATGCCTCTAGCAGAACACTACTGCAAGGTCATGTACGATATCTTTCGCCAGGACGCTTCAAAACCCGACGTGCTCAATGTAGTACTGCAGAATGCGCACACGCATAGTATCCTGGGTGGATACGAAGAAGCATACGAAGTTCTCAGACAGAACGACCCTTCAAAGGAGAAGACATTACGTCTCGACAATACTTTCACTGCATTCGCAGCGATGATTAGTCTCAGACGTGCTATTCACCAGTAAGTTCGCAGATCAATCCATGATATGTCTGTCCACTGACTGGCGTTAGCAATGACTTCTTCGTCGCCGAAGAATACCTTCGCCAGCTGAAGCCCATAAGACAAACGGCAGATGCAGGCGTAATTTTCGAAACATACGTACTCGAGATCGAACTCTTGATGCGGCAGGGAAAACTTTCCAGTGCATTCGATTGCATTGAGAAGCAGGTAGCCGAAGCAAAGGCTGCAGAAAGTGCAGGTACGAAGGTCCTGCATGATGCATGCCTGACAATTACTGACCTTTGGCAGATATCGTACGACGCATTAAGCTACTAACTCTCAAGGCTAGGCTCTTTGCAAAGGCAGGACTGCCAACCAAGGGCTTCAGCATTGCGATGCGAGCAGCTTCGTCGGCGCAGAGAGCTATGATCATGCCGGCGATGTGGGAAGCGATTGGCGCTCTTTGTGTTGTCCTCATTGACCTTGGCGAGTTTGATGCGGCCAAAAGTCTGGTTGATGCCATCATGCCGCAGGTACTTGAAGGCGGCAACACAACTACAATTGCGCAGCTCTATTCCATACTCACTGACTCCTATGTTGGTCTTGCCGGCAAGGCGATCGAGACGAACCCGAATGAAAGCTCAAGTCACATTGATGCGGCATTCATGTACCTCGATAGAGCGCATGAAGGTATGAGTTTCTCGAGTACCGGATGAGTTGCAGAAGACTAACTAAAGACAAACAGCATACGTCAAAGTGGAGGATCTGGATGGCATTCTAGAGAGCTTGACGAAAAAGGCGATGCTGTACAAGCACAAAGATGATGAGGACATGATCGAGGAGATGGATCGTTTATACAACAGCACAGTCCAAGAAGCCGAAAGAAGGCAATTGGCGATGCAAGGGCAAGGAGCCTAGACAATAGGGTCTTCAGAGGAACACAAAGATAGCTGACAAACGAAACGTTAAATAATAGTTAGATGCATGGCCTCTGCTATCTGTACAATTGGCGCGAGGTGACTCCTGGGTTCTACGGCTCTTTGAGCGCAGGAGCTGTTTGGCTAAAGGACAAAAATTGAAAGGGTTCTCAGAGATACGCTTTGTTCATTCCAGATATCAGACGAGAATAATTTACTCGTCAGACTTCTTGTGGTAGTTGACGGCGTCGTTCCAGAAGATGGTCTGCAAGAATAGCACTGTTAGATATATGTCGTGGGTGGCTTCCAGAATTGGTCCGGCTCACCTTGTCACCGTCACCCCAGAAGAAGTTCTTGGTGCGGATGTTCTGGTAGGGGTACTCGGGTCTCTCGGACTTGGGAGGAAGGTGGGCCTGGTGCTCCCAGTGCTCAATCCACAGACGGTAGGCGTTGACACCACCGAGGATGATCGAGGGGATGACGATGCTGTTTTTCAAGATTCTCGGTCAGAGTTTCTGGGCTTTTTCTCGTTCAATGTTCGTAGAGGGATGGGATCTCTTTCTCGCTCGGTAGAAGGACAATGGGACGTCGGGTATATGGAGGATGCATACTAGATGGAGAGCTTGCGCCAGAGGTCTATAACAAATCGAGTCAGTATGATTCCAGAGCCGATTGAATTGCGCAAAGTAGCGTCCAGCTCAAGACGTACCACTGGTGGCAGCAGCGTGCTCCTTGACGGCAGCACGCTCGCGGTTGAAAGCGTTGTCTGCAGCGCCCTGGAAGCCTGACTGGCCGGCGCCGTGGAGCTGGCGGCGGCCGAGCTGGCGAAAGATGGGAGAGCGCAATTGCTTAGCGGCGCGTGTGGTGAACATGGTTGCGGTATATGACGGTGAGTGGAGAGTGGTCAATTGCTATGGGCTTTTGCTGTGACACCTGATTGACCGTCGGGTCACGCACAGCGCGAGGTTCCGGCGGGCTTGGCATTGGGTCACCTCGAACGAAAGCTGCGACCTCCACTCCGCTCCGCTCCACTGTCACGGTCGCTCTTGCTTGCCGCGGTTCGGTGGCACGTCATAGTGCCTTCGTCACGTCCTCCTGCAAATGGAAGTCGCGTGTCTGGTGGTTTACAATCAATCTTCCGATGAGTTCTTGATTTCTCATTCGCATCCTAATATGTTCGACCTCGATGTGAACCTGCAATTGACCCTACTACCTCCATCATCATGAGACTCACTACCTGGAATGTCAACGGCATCCGTAATCCATTTTCTTACCATCCATGGAGTATCACGAAGACTTTCCCGGCTATGTTCGATATACTCGAAGCCGACATCATCGTCATGCAAGAGCTCAAAATCCAGCGAAAGGATTTGCGTGATGACATGGTGATACTTGATGGCTGGGATTGCTATTTCAGCTTGCCTAGACAGAAGAAAGGTTCGTTCAAGAGGATTCTTTAATTCTGAGATACTTCTTGTACTCACATGTTGTAGGTTATTCAGGTGTAGGTATCTATACTCGCAATGCTACCTGCTCTCCCATCCGAGCCGAGGAAGGCATCCTTGGAGTCTTGACGCCACCAAATTCAACAACTCAATTCCGCAGCCTACCAGAATCTCAGCAGATTGGCGGATACCTGTCTGAACTAGAGCTTGCAGAGCTTGGTGTTGATCCTCTGCTTCTGGACGCCGAAGGTCGCTGTGTAATTCTCGAGTTTCCTGCTTTTGTTCTCTTCGGCGTCTACAGTCCTGCCAACTCGAATGGTCTACGAGACGACTTCCGCTATGCCTTCCTCAATGCTTTGGATTGCCGGATACGCAAACTCGACAAGATGGGCAAACGTGTTGTGTTAGTTGGTGACCTCAATGTTTCTCGAGGCTTGAATGATACAGCCTCTGCGGCCGAAGACATCAAGAAAGCCGGCATGACACCTGAAGAATATGTCAGCACCCCCAACCGTCGCATATTCAACCAACTCATCATCAACGGTGAGGTCTATGGGGAAAGGGACGAAGGTCGAGAGCAGCCCATCTTGCTTGACACCACTAGAGAGTTTCATCCTGAGAGGAAAGGCATGTACACTCATTGGGAGCAGAAGATCAATGCTAGACCTGGAAACTTTGGTAGCCGCATCGACTTTGTTCTTGCTAGTGGGTCTATGCGCGACTGGTTTGTTCATGCCGATATTCAGGAAGGTCTAATGGTGAGCATGATTCTTCATATTTGCGTATGTCCCGACTGATCTGTATGCAGGGTTCCGACCATTGTCCAGTCTACGGAGAGTTCAAAGATGTTGTCAGTATCGAAGGTGATGATGGACGATCAGAAGTCAGTTTGATCGACATGATGAACCCTCCCGGTGTCTTCAACAATGGCGTTCGCCAGAAGGAGTGGAACATCAAAGAGCTGCCTTCCTTCAGTGCCAGACTTATGCCCGAGTTCTACCAAAGAAGAAGCATCAAAGACATGTTCAAAAAGCCTACTGCCCCTGCCGCGCCGACAACCACAGCTTCCTCGTCAAGTGGCCAGACAGGCTCGGCATCGACATCCAAATCTATTCAATCAACCAACGCGAACTCTGCTCTGGATGAGACCGCCGGTGCTTCCTCCACCAATGTGGTGATTTCTCCATCGCCAGAGAGAAAGCGCAAAGCATCAGAAACATCTACAACCCAATCATCAAAGAAACAAAAGCCTACACCCAGTTCTACATCAAAGACAGCTCCTGCCAAAGGTCAGAAGAGTCTGAAGGGCTTTTTTCAAGCAAAGCCAAAGCCGGAGGAGCAAAGTAATGGTTCAAATGAGGATGTGCCTGCTGCGCGCGAAACAACTGTCTCAAAATATGCACAAGAGACGGTAGGCGATACCACTGCATCCGAAGCAGCTTATGCATCTTCTACGCCACCCTCGATCAGCACAAAAGACTTTACACCTTCAATTGATGTCCGAGGTAGTCTAGTGGCGTCTGACACGCCTGCAAAATCTGTATCTCAACCTCTCCCTCCGCCTGACGATGCCGATGAGATGGTGTATGATCCAATTGTGAACAAGGAGTCGTGGCAGACATTGTTCCGCAAACCAGCAGCACCATTGTGCGAAAGCCACGAAGAACCATGCAAGAGCATGCAAACCAAGAAAAAGGGAGAGAACCAAGGGCGTAGCTTCTGGATGTGTGCAAGACCGCTAGGACCGTCAGGAAACAAAGAAAAAGGTACGCAATGGCGATGCCCAACATTCATATGGTGCAGCGACTTCAAAGGAGGAGAGATAAAGTAGACGAGTTAGTTGTGGTTGATTGCTATGGACTGAGAAAGCAGTATTTGCTTGAAGAAGAAGAAACGACGAAATGAGAAAGAAAAGAAACAAAAAGTTGAGATCATCCAATGCGCAGTACGCCGACCATGCAAAGACCCCTTTCCTCCCTAAGCTCCTCCTTTTTATCCTTTCTCCACAAAGACAACAACAAAGAACGATGATGATTGAGATCAGCCATGCTTGCAGAAGATGAGTGGTCTGGTAGAGCAAGAGATCAGTTGACGAACTCCATGCCCCACATGTGCTCAGGCATTTGCTCCAAGAACTCCGTGAAGCGCTGAGACTCGAGGTCGTTGTATTGGAAGCCGTTCTCGATAGCAGCACCAAGACCGCCATCCTCTTCCATGGTCTCGAGCTCGCGCGCCAGCATCTCCTCAAGCGAAGACTCGAAGTTGTTCAAGTCAGATTGGGCCATTGAGAGGTCGTTGCTGGTGAGGGTAGGGTTGGTGAGAGAGGCGCCGGCATTGCCGTCAGCCATGGCGGTGTTTATGGCAGTAGGGATGGACGTGCAAGCACCAGGAGCGCGGACGCTGGTGGGACCGTACATCATGTCGGTGTTGTGATCATTCAAAAGGTTGGTGAAGAGGTCGAGCTGGCCAGGCTGGAAGGAGTCGAGGGTGAAGGCAGCAAGGTCGCCATCGGCAGAGTAGCTGAGAGAAGGATCGTCGAAGTTGGCAAGGTCGACAATTTGAGCAGGCGAGGTGACAGATGAGAAAGGGCCAACGGATGATGGTGCAGGCGAGAAGGTGGTACTGTCGGCAGGGGCTTGTGCATTGGCAGATGTTGAGACAGCAGAAGCAGAAGCAGAAGTGGAAGGAGTGTTTTGCTGAGCGGCAAGAGCCATGGCCTTGCGCTTGGTCATGCGGCGCTTCTTCTCATGGGGCTTGCGAGGTTGGTATTGGTAGTCAGGGTGGTCGCGAAGGTGCTGGCGCTTGACGTTCTCGGCCTTGTCCTTCCATTGCTTCTTGACAGGCTCGGACTCGTCACGCCACATCTTGCCGATGATCTCTGCTGTAGTACAAGGTAAGTCATTGTCCATGAAGAAGAGTTGTGTGCAGAAAGGAAAACTTACAAATCTCATTGTTGTGAAGATCAGGGTTACGCGCCATGATGTCTGAGTGGTGATGCTTGCGACAAAGGATGAAGGCATTGGCAGAGCGGCTGACCTTGAGGCCTTTCTTGGGAGAGTCAAAAGATGCAGGAGAGCCAGGCGACGACATGGCAGTCGCATCTGACCGCTGGTGCGAGCCGGGAGACAGCACATCATACGGACTGACTTAGTCGCAGTGTCATCCTTGACCGTGACCTCCGTATTGTGGAAACTGCTTTGAGTTCCGTAGCCATGTTCCGCGAGGATGTAGAAGTTTTACATCTACAGTACCGGGTGGTAAGAACAATGTCATCATCGCCGAGGGAGTCTTTGAGGTCAGACGGGAAAATAATCCAAGTACCTGCTGCAGCACCGCTGAGACTTAGTCTTTGAAGTAACGATGCGCATCCTAGGTTCTGCGATGGAGCTGATGTCAAGAGAGCAGCCGAAGATTAAGCCACGGCGTGAGTGATAGCTCGAGATAAATGCTGGGATGCTCGAATCGTGTTCATAAAGCGGCCTCCAAGATGCGTGGTTTCTCTTGCGCTCGAACCGACGAATGACGCTAATGATACGGCTGTAAAAAGTGAAAGCAGATCACTTACAATAGGAAAGATAGTTGGTAGTGAATTGCGAGCTGATTGACCAAAGTTGCATGACAATACTAAGGCGGCAGGCTGGTTGTGACTGAGACTCACAACAATAACAAGGCACTCCTATTGATCTTGTTGGCAGCAAACACTCCTTATCTCATAGCAACAAAGTTCTGCCATCTTTCTTTCTTCCATCTCTTCATAATGTCTTCCTCATCCTACCGAACAACCAAAATGAGTCCCAAGATTGTTTATGTTGCCTTAAACGAGCTGGAATATCCTGTCTCCAGAGCTGGTAAGAATCATGCCTTTGCGCTTTCGTTTTTGGTACATCGCTGATTGCTGTGAGCTGCTGATGTAGAAGAAAATTATCTGGAAACTCGTATCATGTGCCAGAACATCATCGCCGATCTGAGATGCCTCCAGAAAGTGTACGCCCTCGAACCAAAGCACTTCGATCGTGACACGATCTACAAGCACCTGAAAGAGGTTTTGGTAGAGTATAGCATGCTCCGCAACGATGCATCCCGTTTCGCTTCCCAAGCCGAGTACAAAGACTTTCTGGCAACCATGCACACTTTGACTGCAGAAGCTGCTCAAGTGATACGCTCCATCAAGCGCAGAGATCAGGTCCGACTGAACGTCCAGGAAGAAACAGTCAAGGACATTGCCGATGAATCAACCCCTCATCGCAAACTGCATCTACCACCTTGGAGTCAGTTTCTCGCTCCTGGTTCGCCCTCTTTTGTCGTTGCCCGCTTCTTATCTCCTTTCGAGACACGACCTCCTTCAAACCCCAGCTTTCCAGACTATCGCCGCGTCATTCGCACCTCATACCAGACCCTTCCCCAAGCCGCCGCTGGGATCCTGGCGGTATGGACCGCTGAGTTTCAGCAAGCCAACGACTACTTCCACCAGGTATGTACGAACATCAGCACATAGAGAAAGAGATTGAGTGATGTGCTAACACTGTGGCAGCGTTATCCAGAGGAGAGAGAGTTTGCAGGAGTAAGTCGTGCTCGCGCACAACTTTCGATCGCAGTGCTAACGGAGGTTGAACAGCCTGTGCACCAGAAGCTCACTCCTTTCCGTCAGATGACTCTTACTCCGACTGGCTTGAAGACTGAAGCGCTTCGTTTCGTAAGTCAAAGACTGAGAAGAAAGCTCTATTGAAACCATGACTGACATCCACATAGCACAATCTTGGAAACCACCCCTATGCACAGGTACGAAACGAAAAATCGTGAAAACAATTCATATTCTAACGCGGGATAGGCAATCGAACAGGTCAACGGACAGGGCCGGGAGGAGACAGCTACTCTCGGTAGATTCTTGGGAGAGTTAGATGGACAAGATGCTGTGACCCCCTTGGCCGCAAACAGATGTTATGTGATCCGTCGTTGGGTGCTTGGAAAGATGGAGTCTTGAAGACCAGGTCCGTTATGGGATGAAGTTTGGAGGTTGAGGAGATAATACTTTTGTTCCTTATACCAGTTTTCGAGGTCTCTGCCTTTACCAACTTTCCTGGATAGATTACAAATGATAGTAGCCCTAGTGAAGAGGCTTTCTGCCAGCAGTTCCTTTGATTCTTTCTGAGAGACCGAGATGATGAGAAACTTTTACCCTCGAAGCCAGTGAGAGCACGGAAAGTGAAAAGTGAGAGACTCGAGTGTGAGAAGTGAGAATGGTGGACCAAAAGCACTCACTGAAGCTCCGCTCATTTCGAAGCGCATACCAGCTTCTGTTTTCACCGAGTCTCAGACTTCCTTTGTCCTTCTCCTGAAACATTCCTCATCCACTTCCACATTCCACCGCACAGCCATTTCCGCTCAATTCTTTGTTACACAATCACCCCTCGGTCCCAAATCTCGCAACAATGTCTGCCGTCATGCCTGAGTCGATGGCTCTGCTCCTCGAGAAGTACTCGCCTGAACAGATCGCAGAGGTCGTCGATGCCGTGATGAAGATGCGCCCAGCCACCTCTCAGAGAGCTGCCGTCGCTTCGACTACCACTACCCCTACTGCTCCCGTCTCCGCCATCACTGAGCGCAAGAAGCGCGCAAAGAAGTCTACTGCCTCAAAGGTTGCGCACTCATCATCTGGCAGCATCGCACCTACTCGCCCTCTCAACTCTTGGATGGCCTTCAGAAGTAAGTTGTTGTCGTTTGGCGGTGCGCACAAAACGTCCTGACCAGTTCAACAGGTTATCATTCTCCCATCTTCAAGTCGTTTCAGCAGAAGGACATCTCTGGCTTCTTGACTCGCATGTGGCAGAACGACCCTTTCAAGGCCAAGTGGAGTATCCTCGCTAAGGCTTACTCAATCATTCGCGAGAGCAACACCAAGGACGCTGCTCCTCTCGACAAGTTTCTGGCCCTCACTTGTCCGTTGATCGGCATCATTCCCAGAGACGACTACCTCGGTGTCATGGGTTGGAGCATCGTTGACAGCGCTGGAGTCAAGAGCATGGAGCGCATGTACACTCCTGACATTTCTTCGTTCCCCGAGAACATCCTGACCACCAACTTGTCCTCCGAAGAGATCGTTGCTCACTGCCAGCGTGTCAGCTATATTGACCATAATGACACGGACGTCGCTCGCAACCAAGGCTCGACTGCTGCCCTCGCCATGGCTGCTCAGCCTATTTTCGAGTCTGCTTCCGATGAATCACTCGCTCGCAGCCACCACGCCGGCCACATCCAGCAGAACAACAACAACATGATCAGCAACTCGGCCTCGGCTGCCACCTTCACCAGTATGGCTGCTCAGCCTGCATCCAACGAGGCATCGTCTTCTCCTTCTCTGTTCGACTTCTCCAATCCCGAGTCTCCTTACCAGCCTGATGGTCACGACTTGTTCGTTGGTAGTACCACCATCCAGGGCGCTCTGAACCAGAACAACAACAACGCCATGGGTGCCAGTGGTCCTGTTAGACAAACCGTTCACGACCTTTCAAGCCAGCAATACCCCTTCATGGACGAGTTTGACCCTTTCCAGTCCAGCTCGCTTGACTTCGACCCCTTCAACATGAACCAGGACGCGGCCTTCGCCAGTAACAGCATCGGCACCTACCTTGCTCCCAGCAACAACGACTTTCCCGAGACCTTCAACATTGACGACTTATTGAGCAGCGACCTGTTCGACATGACCAAGTAAGACTACAGTCATGCGTTTGTCGCTTGGCTGCCGTCCTCGGAGGAGCTCAGTCGATACAACACTTACGCGACTGACATGTCGCATTGCGAGTGATGGTTGTGTACATAGATGGAGGGTTGGGTTGTCAATAGGAGGAAATCCACAGTAATGAGGAGGAATGAGGGCGTTCTGGGAAGGAAAGAAAGGGAATGAGGGGTCGCTGGCGTTCTGGAGGTGCGGAAGCTCGGGCATGGGCTTTGGTGTAGCTATCACGCGCGACCTTCCTTGTACATAGGCCATACATCGCCTTTACCATCTACTGCAAGCGATTGAAATGCAATTCGACTCGTAATCCGCCACCCCTTCCCATGCAGCGACCGATATGACCTTGAAATCGCTGCTGCTGGCGTACGTCGTCGGCGGTCTGACCTTCATTCCCCTGCTCGCCCTCGTCCTTGGCGCCTTCGCATACGTTGCATTCACGAAGCCCGTTGCTCCCGTATCCACTGCCACGCCTACCGATCATGTAGAATCGACAAGCGCTGCCAATACGACAGACGATATCGGTGACAAGAGCAAGGAAAATGACGGTGAACTCGACACGGCAGCTGCCTACTTTGCTGTCTGCAGGGAGTATGTTCCTGGTGGAATCAATGGCAAACCTCCAGAGCGCTCGACGCCTGCTGGTGAGGTGCTCATAGCAGAGAGTCCGAGTGTCTACCAAAGCATGTACAGAAGCATCTTTGAGCGAGGCAAGACATCGATCCCAACTATCGAGGCCGACAAGCGTGACGGCAAGACCGTCAAGAAAGCCCGCAATGTCTTCTACGTTGTCTTGAGGCACGGTCATCTCATGCTCTACGATGATTCCGAGCAGGTCGAAGTACGACACGTTGTCTCTCTTGCCCATCACGATATCGACGTATATGCTGGCGGAGACCCCGTACCTGAAGGAGATCTGTGGATCAAGCGCAACTGCATTCGCCTGACCAGGAAACCTCTCGCCGGCGAGCATGCTCCTTCATCCAAGCCCTTCCATTTCTTCTCTGATAACTGCTCCGAGAAGGAAGACTTCTATCATGCTTTGCTACATACCCAATCTTCCATTATCAATACTGATCCACCTCCGCTGCCTCAAAGATTCGAGACTCCAGACATCATCAAACTTGTTCAGAACTTACACTCATCTGACGCTGATGCACATTCGCGCTGGATCAACGCTATAGTCGGCCGTATCTTCCTTGCCATGTACAAGACCAAAGACATCGAGAACTTAATTCGCGCCAAGATTAACAAGAAGATCTCACGCGTACCCAAGCCAAACTTGATTGCTTCCATCGACATCATGGATATCTACATGGGCGACAGTGCCCCAATCATCAGCAATCCCAGACTGAAGGAGCTTACGGTCAATGGTGATATGACGATCGAGCTAGATGTAAAGTACAATGGCGGTTTCAAAATCGAGATGGGAGCAGTTGCACGTATTGACCTCGGAAGCCGCTTCAAGGCTCGTGAAGTCAGCCTGATCATGGCAGGCGAGCTGAAAAAACTCAGTGGTCATCTCCTGATCCGTATCAAGCCTCCACCGAGTAACAGAATCTGGATGACCTTCGAGACCATGCCACAAGTCGAAATGAGCATTCAGCCCATTGTCAGCAGCAGGCAGATTACCTACGGTGTTATCCTACGTGCGATTGAGAGCAGAATCCGAGAAGTTATTGGCGAAACGATCGTCCTTCCAAACTGGGACGACAGTCCGTTCCTGGACACTTCGAAGAAAGAGTACAGAGGTGGTATATTCGAGCCTTCACCTTCAGACGAAGAGCCTACTGGTATCGAGAAGGCTGCACAGGCAGATTCCGGCTTGGTTGAAGCTGCAGCTCATGAACTCACTAATAGCGCCGGTGATGGAGACTCGGAGGATATCATCATTCCTACTCTTGCCGAGACTGGTGCGAAGACTTTGAGTATGCCCAGCCTGCTAGAGCCAGTGCAGAAACTCAACTTCCGCAAGAATGCAAGACGGTCCGCGACTTCTCTTCTGGGAGAAAGTTCAGAGAGTCCGACGGCCGCGTCAACCAGTACGACTGCTGTAACACCATCTTCGCCGCCACTTCGTCCACGCACACCACCTGGAAAGCCTCGCAATTTACGTCAGAACTCGTTTTCCGCCGCAGCGACGCCCTTGGTTAGCACCGAAGGATCGAATATTGAGGCAGTGAGATCACACACCAAGAAAAAAGGACAGAAAGATGCAGTCGAATTGGTAAAAGAAGTCAACTCGAAGGCACAATCATCAGCTACATCTCCACGGGTACGCGAAACAGAGAATGTCCTGCCCATTGACTCCGAAACCTTCTCGACTCTTGCAATGCAGGAAGAAGAAGGAGAAAGTCTACTCGATCCTTCCATCCTACGTCGAAGCTCTGAGCCTCTAGAGCAGCACGCAACAAAACAACAGACCGAACCTCAGGCACCTGCTACTGCAGATGACTTTACAACGACCCCGAGATCACCATCCGTGAAGTCCTTAGATACCTCTGCTTCATCAGGCTCGACTCCTTCTCATCTCAGCACGGCCGCCAATGCTGCGAAGAAATGGGGGTGGCAAGTCCTGAACAGACAAAATGGGTCTTCGGCGTCAACATCAGGTAATTCTTTCGGCTTAGGCAAGAGATTTTCAACATCATCAGCCAATACTGGATCGTCCTCAGTGTCGTTGCCATCTCAGCCGCCTAATCCGGCTGCTCTCAAGGCGGCACTGTTGGCTCAGCCAATGGGTCGTGGAATGCCTTTGCCGCCACCCGGCACTCCTTTACCTGGACCTCAAAAAAGCCTTTGGGCATCGTCAGGCTTGAACTTGTCCGGTCTCAAACGCAAACCCGTAGGGTCACAGCCAGGTTCTCAGCCAAATACAATGGTTGAAAAGCCTGGTCCTGTTGGTGAACAAGCTCGACAGCCACCACCATTGCCTGCGAGACCCAGACCTACGAGCAAAGAAATCAACCAACCGATAGTCCCACCTACTGGATTGGAGCAACAAGGAGCTGGTGATCCCGACTTGTTAGTCGTCGCTGCTCCTGTGGAGGACGATAGTATGCCCAATACACCAACAGTTGAAGTAGACCACAGCATACCCACAAATTCAGAGGAAGCGCAGGTAGCTTCACATATCGAAAGCCTACCACAAGAATCAAATCTACACTTCGAGCAGCCAACGACCGAGCAGGTAGCGGTACAAGATATCGCACTCGACCCACAATCCAGCCATACTAACACGGTAACTGAGACTATGGAAGGAACACACCATGACGAAAGACACGAGACAAAGGACGGGGAAACCAGCGACTCGCTCGAGGCGGCTGACGTGGCCGGAGAAGTGCGCTGATATCCAGGATATGCTCCCATGCTCTCCCCTTTCCCATAGTGATACGAGAGTAAGAGACAAAAACAAATTATCAATGTTCACTCTCTCCTAAACTATATCTTTTGTTCATCGGATCGTGCTCTCTATCAAAGTGGCTGCGAGACGTTATTCACAACCAACATCGCCAGGGTTGCATCACGAGTTTATCACAATGAGACACGGAGAAACGGAGGGGAAAAGTGTTTGCAAAGGAAACCGAAGAATATATTTGGTGAGAAGAGAAACCTCAGAGAGCAAAGTTGCATACTTAGAACAGGCAACACCACCACTCCGAGATTCGCAAATGTAAAAAAGCATATGAAGCAAAAGCGATTCCACCAGGCGCAGCCAAGATGGAAAAAAAGCCACCACTCAACCCCTTGAACTACTCAAGGCAGTCTAGTTGTTCTGAAGAGTGCACGAGGCCATGACGAGCGAACCATTGTTGTGTCTGGACATGGTGCAGGAAGCCATGACGAGCGAACCATTGTGTTTGGACATGGTGCAAGAGGCCATGACGAGCGAGCCCTTGTTCTTCTGCATAACGCACTTGCCGCCGTTGTGGGTGACGGAGCCGTTGGACCATGAGGTGAAGGGGTTGACGGGAGCGCCGGTGTTGGTGAAGTCGGAAGCGGCCATTGTTGATTGGATTGGTTTGGAAAGGTTGGTACTTGGAAAGCTAGAGATGCTTTGTGAGTTATGTGATCGTTGAGAAGAGTTGCTGTAAGAACTTACTAGCGAGTGTATAAGTTTGATTGTACTTGAGAAAGTGGTTTGGTCTCAGGTAGATGCCAGCTCTTTTTTATATGTGAGGTAGGACAATGGGAGATGTGTCTTTGGACAGATTAATGTAGTTGGTAGAAAGAAATCAAAGAACTGATGCGGTTTGATTTGTATGTCGAGAGTGGTTTCTGATAATTTCTACCGAGTAAGTATTGTGGTTGTAGTCTTAGTATTGTTCTGTATGGACAAAGACATCGAGGCAGAGGTCAAATTCGCCCTGTATGACGCTGCTAAGAGAAAATAGTCGTGCGTCTCGAACAAAGCACAAAGAGCGTTGATTTCTGAACATGAAGGTCGCATTGAAAATTGGCCTGTAAGTGGTCGCCGGCTTTTACTCGATGCTTGCAAGCATGAAGGACGTTATATAGATTAGCAGGTGAATTGATTGGCACTAGGCAGCTAAAGAAGCTCCCTTCACATAGTAAGCAGACAAATGAATATATGTGGCAGAGGGGGAAAAAAATTTGATTTCGTGTGATTAATTAACTTACTAGAACCAGTACTTGCAAAGTCCCAGCAAAGCAACATAAACGTGAAAGAATGCACTTACCTACAATTCCCTTATTCAAATTTTGCAGACTTTAGTAGTGGCAACCGGCAGTGCAGTACCAGCCGTGAACCTTTGAGTACAGCATGCGAGCACTGCATCTGGGGCAGTTGTACCAGAGATCATTGATGGGGCGGCCGAAGAGAGTGGGCTTGGTGACAGCGATAGAGCTAGTCTTTTTGTGAGAGCACATTGTGGATGTTGAAGTACGGTTTGAGCAGTGTGTAGAACTTTGTTGTTTGCAGTCTGGGATGGTGGGAGCAAAGGTCAAAACTTACAGATGTACATGCATCTATTTGTATGTAAGCATAGTACTCGTGTTCAATTTGTGATAGTATCAGCAGGCAAACAATGGACAAAGACCATCAGCAATTGTAAAATATTCGTTGGCAGGCTTGAAAGAATGGGAGATGGGGAGAAAGCGCGTCGATCTTAGACACAGGACAAAGAGCATTGGTTCTCGAACATGGGTCTTGAAGATTTATGCGTTCGAAGACAAATGGTATCGCATTTTTGACATTATGATATAGGAGCAAAGCAGGCTGCGCCATGTACATCTGCAAGCAGAGGCGGTGAGTTCGAGAGCAAGAGGAGGTGGAACGCCCAGATGTCGCTGAACCGCAGGAGAAAGGGACAATGGAGATCGTTAAAATAGGAGAGGGTATTCTTCTGGAAAGTGCAAAGAGGAAGTCGTCGTCATGGAGAGAAAGGCGGCAGATAGATCTACCAGGCGCTGCGGTCCCAGTTGGGATCTGGACAAATGAGTCAGCAAATGCATTCTACACAAGCAGCTAGTGAATGTACCTTGGACAAAACTTCCGAGCACGCGACTTCCTGTCTGCAGAAGAGGGTGGCCGACGACAATCTTGAGGAACCTCTCCAGACCTTTCCTGCGCTCCTCGATAACGGCGTCGTCGAATTTGTTGAAGTAGACCTTTCCGGGCAATGGGGGAATGGTGACACGGGCGCTCTCACGCTCAAGGATATCGCGGAAGTACTCAAAGTCTGAATAGCGGCGGCGCACGCTGCTGTTGCGCAGCTTGAACGAGGGAATGTTTGTGCTCAGACGGATCTCGTAGGTCGTGTAACGCGATGAGGGAGTCAGGCCGTGAGTTTGCGGATTGCATACCTGCCAGACGCACTTCTGTCAGCGCTCGTGAAGGACAAACACAGCGACATGGCTTACCTCAATCTCAAGAAAGTTCTCAGGTGGGCCGTAGATCTCCTCGAAGCTCTGTGATCTTGAATCGGGCATTGCTTGCATGGTCGAGGTTGTCCTCGAAGACGGACTTGGCTGAAACTGGTTCATGGTTGATCGAGGAATGCTGTCTTCGTCCGTCGGAGGTGTGTACGAGGCCGAGGCGCGCAATGAGTTGAACGGCTGGGAAAGACAGGTTGTTGGTGGTGGTGGTGGAGCGCGCAAGTCGGGTATGCCGTCGCTATCGCGTGCCCTAGCCTTACGCCATTGCCCCGCGATTGGCTTGGCCCGCCTTAGCGTCCTTCCGGCTTGTCACCTTCGGTCTTGCCAACATGCTCTTGCTGGTGGACTTCTGGTCCATGACTTTTCGCATGCCCATGGTCGTGTGCTTTTGCAATCTTGTGTCCTTTCGTGTCTTCAGCTTCGTTGTCTTGACCTTGTAACTCCTAGTCCTTCAATTGCTTGCGAGCCACATGATGTCCAGCAGGTGTCAGACTGAGATAAACCAAGACAGCCCAAGGTATCGCGGCAGCAAGTGTAGCTGGTCTTCTGAACATCCGCCTGAGAATATGCCGTCTGGTAACTAGGGTATAGGTACGAGGATAGTCAATAATGATGTGATCAATTCAATGTTTGGATGTGGGCAGTAGATTTTGAACCTTGACCTCTCGTTCTTTCTCACTCAAACAGAATACAGTTCAAGCTTCGTTGTCATTTCTGGAGATAGGAAGGAACACCTGCCATGGCAAAGCTAGATTGTCCTGCATTCTTTGATAACATCCTGAGAAGCAATGGCGATCACCAGATCGTCTGATCTTCTGAGATAAGATAAAGGTTTGCGGAGTTTCATCGGCATTAGGGAACAAAGACGACTTCCTGCTTGCATGCGTGATGTCGCATGAGTGAAACCCGAGCTCTGCATGTCTTTCTGGCTGTTTGCATCAATCGAATCTGTTCATTACTGATTGACTCCGGGTTGTTGAAGTCTGTCGTAACGAGACAATCGTCCACGATGAGTATGCAGCTTGGTTTTGTTCTGACGGTGCACTGTCAGGTTAGATGTTTTGGCGAGGACACAATCATCCTGCCGAAGATCAACAACAGACGTCTAAATAGAGTGTGAGCATTTACATGTTACACTGTATACTGAGGCTGAGTCGTCAACGCGGTGATGCTTATAGTCTGTGCAGACAAAGATGGAATTCATGTTGCTTGTCAAGATGTACACTGATGGAATGAAGCAAAATCGGAACACTATCAATTGCAAGCTAGGTTTTAGCATAGTCCAGAGTCGTCTGACTGTCCAGAACGAACAGGTGATACCACAGACTATCTGACGCAGACGGCCGACTGAGACAACATGGGTAGGTATCAAAGACAGTTCTCTGCAAGATGTGCAGACCATTTTGTTCTCTATGAAACACAATTCATATATCCATCCTGAGCTTATCTCTTCACATCTACCGTCGGTCTGTTTGCTAGCGGACTAAAAGACGAGGAGGCACGAGCTTTGAGCGCGCAGATTGTTGTGGTGGAAGTCGCGTTCAGCCGGACAATTCCACTTCCTGCCTTTTGTGGCTCAATTCAGCCGCGCGCAGCCTCACTTCGATCTCACATCTCAGCCGCGTGAATCCTCAGACTATCGACTGCTCCCGTCTGGGCTCAGGTATACCTGTCTTATCGTTTGAGACAGTATTCTCGAAGCCTCGCATATAAAGTCAACACCCCAGCTCACCCTGGCGAGCCAAACTCACTCCGGCCGCCGTGCCAGAGGTAAGTGCGATACTGCTTACCACCTTCTCTTAAGTACTGCCAGTTGCTCATTCTTTTCTCAGCTTGGCAGAGGCGTGCCGCACCTACTCTACACAACATCTCTGAGCGCCGACTCCCACTGGGCACTCCAGCAGATCGTTTGCTTCTGCGTCCCTCGAGACCTAAACCCCCTTTCAACCACATCAACGTCGTCAAGGCCGAAGATTTGGACCGCACAAGAACCCGTCAGGAACCTGCTTCATCACATGTTTCTTCTTCCTCCGGACCCTCGCCCAAATCTTCAAGAAGACATCTGGACTCTGACGACTCTGGCAAGATGCATGATCGTGATTTTGGTGCCGATGACCAGGTTCGTCTTGCTGAACTGGCGACTGCCCGGCTTGAGAGACAGAGCAAACGAATCATCGAGAACGATCCGACCATCCCTATCAGCAAGCTCGTTCATCCTAGGGTGGCACGGAAGAAAGTGTCCAAGAACTGGCAAGATCCCGACTACCCAGATTCAAGCGATGGTGATGTGACCTCGACAAGTCGTGCGTCCAGAAAGGGAAGCCCGTTTGATGTTCACGCCAAAGTATTCCGACCAGGCTCACGCGACAGCTCTGATTCCCACAGCCTTGAGGCGCCTCGAAAGGATTCTGCCACTTTCAGTGCAGATGACGGAGACTTCCAACTCGTCACTAGCAAGAGGACCAAACCCTTACCTAGACCTGCCGTTGGTCTCAACGCGCGCGAGGTCAAATCTGTTGAAACATCGTCTACTATCGCTGTCTCCTTCAACAGACATGAAATCAACGAAGTCTTTGGTAACGACCTTCCGCCCCTTACCTATTTCCAAGGCAATGTTGGGAACAAAGATGGTCAAGTTGGATTCGCAATGCATCCCAACGGTGACATTTCTGCTCAGCAGTGGTCACAGTCTGATTACCAATGGTTCAACATCGGTCAATTCTCCAACTCTCGCAGGCGTACTGAGGGCACTCTCGCTTCGCATCGACTCAAAGGCGAGAACGAACTACATTCACTTCTCCAGCACAGTCTTTGTTATTTCAGGGCGGTTGCGAAGCAGCATGAGGCGTCTTCTATGAAGCTGCCGTTCGGTCCGAAGGAGTTGCAAGCATATATGCCTAAGGTATCTATCAACCGTCCTGTGCGAAAAGTGGCAGTCACACCTGTTACCAAAACTCCGACCGAGTCGGAATCTGAACGACCCCTTCCTGAGACAAAGCAGAAGGCTCGTACGCCATCACTCGGACCAACAACCGAGCCTTGGGCACAAGGTTATGCCTCCCGTGCTCGTAGCAAGTCAAAATTGTCCGGTACACCCGTCGCACCGCCTTCTAGCAACCTTTCCTTGCAGAACGACTTCTTGCCCTCAACTACGAATTTCAGTGCTGTGCCGAACAACACACTCAACCAATGGCCGTACAGCTTGACTGCTCTCAATAATCTGTCCTTCGGAGCATACCCTAGGAACAGAGACCACGATGCCCCTGACAAGCCTATTCTACTCCCGACTCTTACAGGACCTACCGCGACGCCCGTAAGTGTAATTGAGAGTAGTCAATATCTGAAGTCGTTTCTTCCAAAGAATGTGCCACAGACGGTCACCTCACAGCTCGATACGTCCGTTTCTACGAGTGGCCTGAACTTCTCGAGTTTTTTCGAAAAGACACAACCCCAAACTGATTCATCTGGAAGAACACCCACATCTTCTCAGCGCAGTTTCACAAAGGCATGTCTGGACAAGATCTTCGACACCGCTGCATCTCGCAACACGAACAACAGTACAGCTGCTCGAACTGTCCTTCACGATCCATTCCAAAGCCAATCTCCCACGATTTCTTCGATCACCAAGCAAGATTCTGAAGTGAAGCATTATGACACCACCTGGTCAAATATTCCAATTGGCGAGGCAGCCTCGAGTTGCATTGGTCACGCGTCCTCTTCTACTAGCAACGACGATCCTGTCTTTGATCCTCGTGTTAGCGAGCCCGAGCCTGTATCCAAACCTAAAGTGATTGAGATCGTTGACATCAGCCTCCCACACATGACGACTGAGGAGCTTGCCATCTATTCGAGACCGAGTCCCCAGAACTTCAATGGCCCGTTCTTTATGGGTAGCTCTGGCGTCCCGAGTGAAGCTAGCAGAAAAAGCCATGAGCAGGAGCTTCACGATTGGTTCTATAGTGGACTTACAATCATCGAGCGTCAAAATGAACACTTCGAGTATATCAGAACAGCACATAATCAAGGCATCACGCAAGCAAAGGTCAATCCTGGACCCATTGGGACACCTTCCACTCGTTCTATGTCGAGCAAGAATCCAGAACCAGAACCATTCAACGAAGTCACAACACGCCTGTTTCTAAGTGTGCATGAGAGCCTCTCACAATACACTCAAGGTCCGGTTGAACAGCGTCGCGGATATCTTGCTCCATTCTGCGATCCACCTGAGTGGTGTATCGACAAGAGCGTAAATGGCAACAACAGCTTCTTCGGCGAGGATTGGAGCCAACCCCCTGAGCGCATCAGTCGAGACTCGCGCTACAGACCTCTACCCTTTGAGGGCAAATTTGGTGCTTACGATGGGCACCGCGGTGTTGGTGCTAGTAGTATCCGCCCCTCCTTGGGACGAATCAGATTCGGCTCCGGCTTGCAGTACTGAAGACGGTTATGGGACTTAGCTGAGGTGCACAAAGCACATGGATATGAATATGGCTGGGGCATGTGCTGCAGGTCAAGCGGATGGATGACTTATGGTTAGCAGATTCTCGATGCATTCTAGCTTTTTCTCAACTCAAGATGATTTGTATTATACACAGACAAGTTTACGCAAACATGGTGAATCAATAGAGTGTCGTGTGTACTTCCTGAAGCGGACGATTCGTATGAGCGTAAAATTTGAGGTGACAGAAGAAAAGAAGGCTTGGAGTTAAGGTATCTATACAGTTTGCAAACCAACTTTGGCTTTCTAGTAACCCTCCTTGCCCCACTTGTTGTACTTCTCGTGGAGCTCCTGGTCAAGGTTGTCAGTGTGACTCAGTTGAATGTATGAATATTGATATCTACTCACTCTGGGCAGGTTGACGTTGGGGACGATGACCTCGTTCAGAGCAGAGGGAGCGTCCTTGCGGGGCTTGCTGGTGTCACCGCCGGGGTGGTACTGGTACTTGGCCTCACCACCGGTCTTCCAGGGCTCGGAGTCGGCAGCCTTGCTAACGGGGTTCTCAGATGAGGAAGAGGTGGGGTTGCGCGAGAAGTGCCAGCCAGCGAGACCGAAGGCACCGGACATGATGGTGAGCAGGATCTGTTGTTTGCGAAGCCTTGTCAGTAATCGGGTATCCTGTTATTGGCTGGCTCACTCGGAGCACAGCAGCGGGTACGATGGTCGAGGGGCTTTAGGGCTTTCGGTATGTTCGCAATATCTTTCTAGATGTCTCGAAGGGCGTAGAGGAATTGTCGACGTACGTAGAGCTCGGGGTCCTTGCGGGCGCCCTGCTTGAGGGCCTGCTTGTCGGCTTCACGGCTGGCGTGGGAGGCAGCGTTCTCAGCGCCGGAGTTGACGCCCGAGGCGCGGAGAGGGCGAGTTGCGCGGAAAGCGGCGCGTCCGATGATTGAGGCCATTGTGAGGGTGTGTGTGGTGTGGTAGAGTGGTAAATCCAATTGCGTACAGGATGCTTGCGGTCGACTTGAATTGACGAGCTTCCGCTCCTCCAATGGCCTGACTCGGCCTTGGCGTGCGGTCATCGCATCGCCGGGTCGGGGTTGCACCATTCACATTGCTTCTTGACAATGATATTGTAATAGGTCATCAAAACCTAGAGTTGTTCTTTTGATATACTATCGATAGCATTTCTCTCCATGATTGGTGTTTTCGGCTCCAGGATTGCTGCATTGCGAGCCTTTTGTGAGCTTCAGGAACACATTTGCTGATTTCTCTTGCTTCATTCATGTTTGCCAACACAAACTCTACGCATCTTGCTACGCTCTCGTTCTTACAATCTCAGCTTATAACAACTTTGAGTTGATAAGTACATCATACGGTATCGATTAGACACAGCTCTTGATCAGGCAAAGACCTATCGATACACGTAAAAACTGCATGGTCTAGAGTCCCAAGCATGACCTTGGTAAATTAGCAGTGTTGATTAAGTTCAGGTGGCACGGACGGCCTGACTCTTGCAGCGCAATTTGGAAACGGCGCTGATCGTGGTTTACACACACTCGACGACTTCCTGCACAAAGCAAACAAGTCTTTGCGCTGTTCTTTTTCAGTTCAGATTCTTGTTACTTCGGAGTGCATCTGGAGGACCCGTGTGCCATCGACGTCGGCAACAACAACGAACACAGGTCGAACACAGCAACAGGACATGCATTGATCATCGCCGGCGCTTGACGATCATGGCCGACAGTGGACTTCCTACCAACGACCAAGGGCTGGACAGCGACCACCAACACACTCATACTGTCCTTACCACCACCGGACCTGTGGGAGAAGCAGGTCTTCCACCATCTCGTCCCACTTCCAACACTGCCAGTTCATCTTTTCGCACACGATCCGCCGCTCCTCAGGCTCGCATAGGCTCTCCCGTACCATCTCTAGGTGGTCGTGGTAGTGGCAGCTATCAGAACGATCCTTCTCGCCGTACCCATGTTCCAAATCTTATATCAAGTGCATTTCTTCCAACCAGCCCAAGACAACCGCAATCTCCACCTCCCACGAGTCCGCAAAGCCCGCAGATTCCGATAGCAAGACCAAGTACCGACAGTGGTCGCAAGACTCACCGTTCTCGCAATAGCAATGCGTCCATCGTGACTCTTGAGCAGAGCAACAGGCCTCGAATTGACCCCGATGCTCCTCCTTTGCCAACTTCCCGAGGAACTGGAACCACGAACTATGAATCCAGTCGCGATTTGCAACCGTTCGGCAGTGCCAAAAGTCAAGAGAGTCAATATCCTTTGCGAAAGCCGCCCACACTTGATATAGATGGTACCATAAGATCTGTTTCTTCGCTGCAAGCCCAGAAGTCGCCCATCTCCTTGCGTCCATCATGGAGCCGCCAGAGTCGATCGAGCCGGGCCAATGGTAGGAGTACCGACAGAGACGGCCACGAGAAGTTACCCTCTGTACCACCTTCACCTCTGAATCATCCGGCCACGCCTGTCGCCTCGGGCCACAAGTCGAGCTCCGGTAGAAACTATCAATATTTCAACGGCAATGCTGTTTTCTTTCTGCATGGCAGACTTATTAATGCTCGGCAGCGGCCGCTTAATGTCTTTACTGCACTTCTTGCTGTCATTCCTGCTGCTTTGTTCTTTGGCTTCTCGTAAGCATTCATATTCGAAGTTAAGCTGAGATCATTGACTGACCCCTAATAGTGCTCCGTGGCTATGGCATCACGTTTCTCCAGCGATACCCATCCTTTTTGCCTACGTTTTCTTCATCTGTATATCTTCTTATCTTCACGCATCCTTTTCTGAACCCGGGGTGAGTCTTTTTTGGATATATAGTTGTTTCTCTTTGCTAAGTCCATGTCACAGATCATCCCACGTAATCTTCACCCTCAACCACCCACTCCAGCGAATGAGGATCCCCTAGCCATCGGACCATCCACCACAGAATGGGTCACTGTTAGATCCTTTGGCCCGAACGCAAGTGGCAACGGTACTACCGCCATGGAAGTTCCCATCAAGTTTTGCAAATCATGCAACATCTGGCGACCTCCACGCGCTCACCATTGCCGCATCTGCGACTCGTGTATCGAAACTCAGGACCACCACTGTGTTTGGCTCAACAATTGTGTTGGGCGACGCAACTACCGCTACTTTCTGACTTTCGTCGCCTCTGGAACTGTCCTCGGCCTGTTCCTACTCGGAGCCAGTCTTACCCATATCCTCGTGTGGATGAACCGAAACCACTCAAACTTTGGGCATGCTCTCAACGTCTGGCGTGTGCCAGCTGCAATGTGTGTATATTCTTTCCTCATTGTTACATATCCTCTGAGTCTTTGGGGTTACCATCTCTTCCTCATGGGTAGAGGCGAAACGACCAGAGAGTATCTCAACAGCCACAAATTCCAGAAGAAAGATCGCCATCGTCCATTCAGCCAGCACTCGATCATTGCAAACTGGTCAAGTGTGTTCACAAGGCCCCGCCCGCCAACCTATATGCGCTTCAAACACCGCTACGAGGAAGGTGATCAGCGCCTTGGTGAGCGAAGGTCTAGAATGGCCAAGCCGTCCGAAAAGGAGGGCGATATGGAAATGGGCGAGATCAAGAGTGGGACTGCTAGCAGCAATGCTGGCGGGTACCAAGGACAGCAGCGAGCGTTGACTCCTATGAACAACACTCCTAGAAGTTGAAGACTCTCCTATCGATGCCTTTGTTTTCTCTTCGCGGCAATCTAATGTCGCAACAGTTGTACGACTGTTCACGTTCACCACGCCGGTTTTATTCCATTTGCTTTATCTTCTTAGTTGTACATATATATCTAGCTCCTCACTATACCCCTATCAGCGAATCAATACACTTCTCAAGACATCTTGTCACATGTTGTCCGAGCCGTACGTGGAGATGGTGATGTACACAGACATGTGCATGCTGCAGACATGTGCATGCTGGGCGGCGGGTGTTGCTAAGGAGAGCGGAATGCACAAAAGACGCGACTGAGGCGCGGGAACTTTATCCTCCACTCCCACTCAGCTCCGAGTGCCACAACAAACGGAAACATCATCCCTGAACACCCCTGCCTGCCGAAGAGAGCAATGTCCACTTGAACTCATCGTCGAACGGCAGTCAGAGATATTCGTCCTCGTCGAAAGGTCAGAGGTTTTTGTCGATCAGACTGAGCAATTATAGCAACGGCTCTTTAGTCGGCGCGTCTCTTTCTCGCGTTTCTCCCCACCTTGATTTCAACCACAGCATCTCGAACCAAAACCTCCTGCCGACACGATGGCGAAGCAGAGAAAGAGTTTGCCTGTCCCCAGACTGTCGTCAGGCTCGACAAGTTCGTCTTCAGCAGCATCAAACATCGAAGTCGGTGGTAGCGCGCGTGAAGGCTCGCTCTCATCGGCTGCTCTCGCTCTGATGTCTACGCCCCCTACCAGCGTCTCCGATCACGTTGGATCAGCAGTCGATAAGGAAGAGACGACTACGACAGAATCAGCAGATCTGACGCGTAGATCATCGTCACGTCGCAAGTCTGGTCCTGCGTCCTACAACCTCGGTATTCTGTCTGGCGTACGCCGTACTTCCGCCGGCCGTGAGATGGCCAGCAAAGAGTCTGTCCGCAACTTCTCTGGAGACACGCTCGTCGAAGATGCTCCTGGACCATCATCCAACACGCCCAACCGCCAATTGCTGAACGACGGTGTCAAGGCTCTGAACATGGACTGGGAGATGGACAACCTACCTGGTGACAACGCTTCCGATCTGCCCGACAGGAAGAAGCGTCGACACAGATCTTCCATGGACATGCTGATCGAGACGACTGGCCGTGCCCTTGGCAGAGTGAAGAGCGTGCTCGGTAAACGTGAGCGAGAAACAAGCGAAACCGACAAGACAGAACGCAGACAAAGTCGCCGTCTGCTGGCCATTGAGGCCCCCAAGGATACAAAAGAGGAGGTACAACAAGATGATAGTGTCGTGGAGCCACGGGAGCGTGTCGAGAGGCCCAGCAAACTTGCTCGTCTCTCATCGAGCTTCAGCATCACCATGCCGCAAGTCTTCTCCACCAAGCCCAAGAAGCCGACAAAGCGCTACGAGACCCAAGGGCTATACGCTGGCCAGACTCTCACAAGCTACGATGATCAATCTATTCCCAAGCCTTCGCGGAAGCCTACTGGCAAAGCTCGTCCTCTATCAACCTCCTTCCTCCCCGACGCAACCCAGCCTCAAAAGCGTAACAGCCTTGTCGCCTTGCCCATGTTTTCTTATCTCGAGAGAGAACGACCTTTCACCATTCCTTACGACGTCTTTGCTCCTGTTCACCACCAACGTGGCGAGGAAAAGCCGAAGGACTGGGGCAAGGTTCACAAGAACCGTCTAGTCGGTGACGCTATCCACTACTGGAAGAAGCCCTACTTTGAAAGATCTCTGTGCATTTGCACACCGCCAGTCCCTGGCTCTTCAGAGCCCGGATGCGGTGAACACTGCCTCAACCGTGCCATGGACTATGAATGCGACTCGAACAACTGTGGTCTTGGAGACCTATGCACCAACCGTGACTTCGCAGGACTCGCAGTTCGTATGGAGCGCGCAAACAAGGCTGACAAAAAGTCGGCATATTACCTCTTCAATGCTGGAGTTGAGGTCATCAAGACTCCGGACCGAGGCTTCGGTGTGCGCGCTTGTAGATCGTACGAGCCAAACGAGATCATTACTGAGTACACTGGCGAGATCATTACTCCCAACGAGGCTGGCAGAAGGATTAGAGAAGACTACAAGGATAAGGCCGTAAGTTTTGATGCTGAGCGAGGACACGATCGTGCACTAACACTTTCTAGGACTATTATCAGATGGAGTTCGATCAAGGTATGATTCTTGATGCTACGAAGGGCTCTATCGCTCGTTTCGTCAACCATTCTTGTGAGCCCAACTGCAAGATGCTCAAACGTTTTGTCGGAGGTCAACCACGTATGGCGCTTTTCGCAGGTGATCGTGGCATCCTGACTGGCGAGGAATTGACCTACGACTACAACTTTGAGTAAGTTCAAAAGAGCACCTCATCGAGCGAAACAAACTAATGCGAAACCACAGTCCTTACTCTGTTAAGAACGTTCAGGAGTGCCGTTGTGGTGCGACTAACTGCCGTGGTGTCTTGGGCCCCAGACCGAAGGATGCCAACAAGCCCGTGACTAAGAAGGAGAAGGAAGGAATGGCTGCTGGCATGAAGCGCAAAGTCGGTGAATTCTTCGGTGCCACTCCTGCAGTCGAAGTCGACAAGGACCTCTTCAAGAAGCGCAAAGTTCCTCAGATGTCCAAGGGCTGGGTTTACGTCGATGAGACTATGGAAAAGGCCAGAATTGAGGAAGCTCGCAAAGACAAGGAGATTGCACGCCTTCAGAAGGAGGGCATTCTCCCTGCAGATCTCGAAGTCAAGAAGACGACGACAACCACCACCATGACCAAAGACAAGAATGGAGCCAGGCGCTTCGTTCAGAAAGTGACCACCAGGATGACTGGTCACAAGCCCAAGGCCACGCCGGAAAAGAAACCACAAAAGCTCGGAAGGCTCTCATCCATCAAGAAGAAGGACAGAGGGACTCCACGAGCAGATGATGCAGGGGTCATTGGCTCGCGAGTGACCAAGCCGGCTCGTCGTAGCATGGACAACAAGAGCATTCCCAAGGGCTCGATGAAGGTCAGACCAGTGACCAAAGACGCGGTTAAGATGGCTCGCACCATGAGAGCAGTCAAGTCGGACGATTAATGGCGGAACGGGAATGGATGGATATGGAACAAGGTATACCTGGACTGGCGTCAAAGAGGGAATATGCAGGACATGCAATTGGGTATCTATTCTTTCTTTGCAAGGGTTTAACATGTTTTTAATCGTAAGATTTGGTCTATTCGTATCACAAAATATTCGATGATGAGTATTGTCCTTCTCAGTCTCCAGCAGTTGTTTAGCGCCATCATCCAGACCTTGCCAAGCCACCTGTGGAAGGTCGGACGGAGATTCGGACTCTCGGTCCATCTTTGGATGACATAACGGCAACATTTGCTTGCAGATACAGTACTTCCTACGTATAAACTACACACTGACGACTGACCAAATCTTTGTTGAACGAATAAAATTATAGGTGCGTGGTCTCGCTCGCGTCTTGAGTCTATCACTAAGTTCATACGGCGAAGCCGGAGAGAAAGCTCATGCTGACGCATCTTTACAGATACATACAATTCGTCAAAGGACCTCTCGCCTCACCATATTCGCACATTCAAACATGAGCTCATCACAAGTAAAAGTTCGCTCCCTGGTACGCCTGCTCCTCCCACGACGGCCTCGAACCCATCCTGCGCGAAAAAATAACCTTGCGACACCACGACGATTCGCCGCCGAGAGTACACAAAGCTAATAGTGTCTCGACACAGTACCGCAAGCTCTTGCGACAGGGAAACCAGTTCGCCGCATACAACTTCCGCGAGTACGCCACGCGTCGCACCAAGGATGCCTTCCGCCAGCACATGTCCGAATCCGACTCGAGTAAGATTCAAGAGCTTTTGGAGAGAGGAAACAAAGAATTGCAAATGTTGAAGGTGAGTCCTTAGACGAGCCGATGGGGGAATTCGTGCAGGCAATACTATGCCTAGTGGCATTAGACTGCATCAAGATCAGAGGCGAGAGTAGTCTTGGATCCTACCTACGGCCACTACATGTCTGCACATACGACCTTCCTTACGCATTTCATATACGGGCAAGTCACAGTTGCTGACTCTTGCGCTACAGAGACAAACGGTCGTCAGCCAGTTCTTCCAGCTAGACAGACTAGTAGTTGAGGGAGGCAAGACCGGCAAGCAGACTGGCAATAGAAACGACATCGTCAGACAAACCGAACACGGGTGAGTTCTTGCTGTCACCATTAGCATCCGAAGCACACGCTAACACCACTGCTAGCTGGGACTAAGCTTGTCTTCTTTTGGGTGTAACGGAGGTGGAGTCACGGTCTATATGCTTTCCAAAATACCAATCGTCCTGATGGGCTGAACTGTAAAATATACAACAACCACTCGAGTCAATATCATTGTTTCCTAAACATGCCACTTCGTAGTTCTTGCATCAATACCGTTTTGCTAAGCATCGATGCTGCTGAAGATCTAGACTGAGCAACCAGCTATATATGCCGAAGAGTGGCCGACCGCCGAGCCTTCCGCGACGACCGTCAATCGCGTCGTCGGACCGTGAGGGGAGACGCGCTGTCGCCAACCAAGCAACAGATGTTTATCACTCGCAAAAGTGCGTGAATAAGAGGCAGTTATCCGAGGCAGCAGAATTGTTATCAGGAGACACGATTCGAAGTTGATTGAGACTTGCGACTTGTCTCTGAAACTCTCCGACCGGGAAGTGTAAAAACGAACACAGTCATGGCTCCTGTACGTGCCTTATCCTTCTGTCCCACTCTTCGCCTTATTCCTTTCTGTTCGGCGCTTCTCTCTCTGACCTTTCCCTCTCACTACACCTTTTCCAAAATCCCACGCGACATGCTTTCTCAAACTCCCGCTGTCCCAATTGTCTGTCCCGAGCACCACATTCGCAAGAACATGAATCCCAACGTATCCGTTGAGAACATCGATCTTGAGATTCTCGAAGCTGCATGCATCTTGGTCAACATCAGTCACGGCATCCATATCCCAAAAACACATACAGAATCCATTTCTAATCTACCCATCTCTACCCCTTCATTTTCGTACGAAAATCACCTCAACAGCAAAACAATCCACCATCTGGAAGAACAAGCCATAGCTTTCTCAATTTCAGAACAAATCTCAGCAACACCAACTAACATCGATGGCTCAACAGTTTCGCGCTGGAGGCCGCAGCAATCGTTCTGGCCGCTCCCAAGCAGATCATGATGTCTTCGAAGGTCTGCCTGTTCGTCAATGGTCCCAGTCTGAGACCATAGTTGGCCTTCCACCCCCGACAGAGGTCACTCAGGGTGGTGACAATGCATGGCCTGAACTTCCCATGCCACGTGACTCAAATCAGCTTGCTCCATGGACACAACAATTGCTGCGTGAAGCAAGAAGACCAAGACTTGCAAAGCGTCCACAGGAACCCACTGAAGACGATAAGCAGGAAGAAGACGAAGAGGGCGAAACTGTTCAAACTGGTTGGCAATCCAAGAAGTGGAGCCAAGTGCCATCTCATCTCGAAAAGCCCGAGCGCGAGTTCCTTGCTAAGCGTCGCAAAGGTCTTCCTAGTCTGCATACTCAGATAGCACTGCAAGCAGCAAATGCCGCGGCATCGTCTGTACCTACAAGGAAGGCCAAGGTTATGAAATCAGATGCAGAGGGCAACACTACAGTCTACGAAGTTCTGGTTCCCGAGGGTCAAACTGTCGAAGGCGAAGTCACAGAGGATACTGTTATGGCTGATGCTGCGCCAGTACAGGCAGCTCCTGGAACTGTCATCGAAGGCGTCGGCATCGCTAATGCTGAAGGTGTCATTGTTGCAACCGATCTACTTCAACAACAACAGCAACCGATGAGACGTAAACCAATTCCTCCACGTAGAATCAGAAAGGGTGGACCTGGCCGCGGCAAGAAGAAGGTCATGTTCAATCCAAACGAGGGCCATAACGCTGCAGCAACCTCGACTCCTGGAGGCGGAGCCAGTGTCGCTACACCCTCGACTCTCAATGCAAATGCTGATGACTCTGCAATGGACATCGATTCCACTCCGAAGCTCGATGCCAACGACGAAGGAGATGAAGAAGATGGCGAGGAAGGTGAAGAAGGTGATGAGGATGACGATCGCGAGGACGGTGAACTTAGCGAAGGAGAGGAGCCTCAAGAAGAGGAATCTCTTGCCAAACCTGAGGCCACAGAACCTGTACCGACAGAACTCGCACCAACAGGACCCGTACCAACAGAACCCGCACCAACAGAATCGCAAGCAGAGGAGCCGCTCCCGGCAGCCACAAACCAAACAGAGGAGACTCCTGCACCTGTCACGCAAGAAGCAGAAGAGACTCCTGTGCCAGCTATGGTGCCCGTAGAGGAAACCCCTCTACCAATTACGGAACAAGCAGAGAAGACTCCGGTGCCAGCCATGGAGGAACCTGGAGAAGAAGAAATTCTTGATGTTACAGAAGAGCCACCAAGCGCAGTAGCTGTGGAGGAGACTACGCAAGAGCCGTCGACGGCAGTCTTTGCGGAAGAAGTCACTGAGAAGCCCGAGGTACCAGCTACGGGAGAAGTCACACAAGAAGCTCAACAGGTCGAGGAGGCTGAAGTACCAGAGCCAGTCCAGGAGCCCAGCGACAAGGAACTGGCCATTGACACGACAGCAGGATCAGAAAAGTCCGAAGAAGACACGACCATGAAAGAAGCACCCGAGAAAGAAAACGAAACAGAGGAGCCCTAGGAAGATTCTGAGGATGATGCTGAGGGAGAACTTGATGAATTTTAGGAAGCTTCTCATAATGTCAATCCTGTACTTGAATTTCGTCCTTGGGCCTACAAAAGAGTCCAGCTTCAGCAGGATAGCCCGCTGGAAGATGCGTTCGAAAAAGAATCAGAAAATTCATACGAAAGCTCCAGCGAAGAGTCTGAAAATAGTTCTGCCGGAGAAGCAGAAGAAGATTTTGATCAAGGATTGGAGGGAGACTCTGTCGATGGGCCCGATGGAGACTCTGAAGAAGGATCCGAGGAAGTCTCTGAAGAAGGATCCGAGGAAGTCTCTACCGATGAGTATGAGGAAGACTTCTCTGCTAGGATCTGGGGCGATATCTACCCTCCACGCAGCCTTCGTGGGTATCAACGTGAATATTAAACATGACGTCTGGCCGCCAACTACCATCTCGAGTTTATTGCACCACAGACGAGTGACTGAGGAAGCTCTAACAATGCAATCAATCTGTTTAGGTGCAAAGACAGCATGTCTCTCTCTCTCTATACTCAGAGCGACCAAGGAAACAACAGCGTTGATGGGTTCATATTGTATGTGTATAATTAGCAATAAACAATCTTGCCCAGGAACAATTCTTCTCCAGATGATGCTCTCTTTCCCCATGTGTTAGCTACAACCCACGACTCCATCTTACATGACAGATAGAGCATTATCTAAAATACGGGAGATGCACAATCACACAAAGCCAAAAAAAAGATAATGAAACAATATAATTCGTTTTATTTTCTCGCTATTCATTACCATCTGCATTGCTTTCTCCCTCAACTCCCCAAATCAACATCCTCATCACTCCACTTGGCATCCTCGTACAAATTTCTCCCATTACCTCCCGTCGGATCCAGTTTTGTGAAAAAATCAGGTGGGACTGTAGGAGTATACCTACGTTCTCTTTCACGATTTACACCTCCAAAGCCTGCGCCGTAGGTTACCAACATATCTGTTGAGGTGGGGAGGTGGAAGGGCAGTAACAAAGCGGGATCGACGAGATTGTGTTCTGGAGAGTCGTCGTCGTCTTTTTTGAGAGAGGGGGGTGGGGCGGGAGGGGCTGGGGTTGAGGGGTTTGCTGGTGTGTTTGGGTTTGTTGTTGATGCTGCAGGTGGTCCTGAGGCTTCTTCTAAGGCTTTGTGGGCGAGGTGCCTTTTGCTTTCTTCTACGTGCTTGAGCGCTGCTTTTGGTAGGATTTTCTCGCCTACTTCTGCGCGGTAGTATTTTACTGCGTGAAGTAGTTGTTTTGTCGTCAAGGCTGGCAGTTGTTGCAATGTCGTATCTAGTGCTTCGTCATCTTGACCTAGTGACGAGAAACACTGTAGCCATTGCAAAAGTTGTACTACTGGTGCCAAGTGTTTGCGAGCAGCTTCGATGATGTTCTCGCCTGTAGCATTCAAAGAACCATTCTCAAAGTGCTCGGGAGCTCTGTTGTTGGTTCTTGCCCAGTCTTCGAGTTGGGATATGTTCATACGGATTTGCATTGCTTTTGTCCTGGCGAGATAACGCTTGTTGGACATGATGCGGTTGAAAATCTCAGCACTGAGCCAATAAAGCAGTTGCGAGATGACTTGAGTGGTAATGACCGAATGAACATCGTAAAGATCGAGGACGAATAATGTGGATGAGAGGAGAGAAGTAATGTTTCTCGGAGACACCTGTGCGCGACGTTTGGGGGAAGGAGGACGGAAGCGTTTTTCAAGAGGCTCAGGTGCCTTCACTTTTGGCTTTGACCGTAAGAATTTCCACTCGTTCTGGAAAGCGATGTCTTCAAATCCAGGGATGGTCTCGTGATCCAGCATGGCCTCGTCCAGGACTTTGTCCATTCGCCTCTCAGCATCCCTAATGATGAGTACGTAGATCTCGTGGATCAGCTCTGCCATCTTAGCTTGGAATGTCGCAGTGACTTCGGCTAGTCCAGGATCCTTCTTCAGGTAATACAACAAGAGGGTCGTGTTGGACATCCAGAAAGCGAGCATAGTCATATCCCATTGATGCTTCTCTACCACCGCGTAGATCTTGTCTTGAGCTGCATTGAGCCACTCGGTTAGTAACTCCTGGCTTGAATGATAGTGTGCATATCTGGCTCCGAGGAAAATGATGTTGGCAGGTATAGGTTTTTGAGACGCTGATCGCTGAGGAGTCATCTCGGTGACAACAATGTTGAGAATGCGATCTGAGTCGTTCTCTTGGAAGACGAACATTTGGTCGTTGAGACACCTGTCCCAGATAAACTCCTGAGAATCCTCAAACTCATCCGCAGATTCCGGTTGCTCGTCCAAGCCCAGGTTTCCTAGATCAACCTCGAGGTTCGCAGCACTTTCCATCATCATGCGTCGCTTCATCTCGTTCTCAGCCATTTCCTCTTCGAAGCGATCCTGAGAGAAACCAGAGTTGTAAAAATCATCCGTCACACCAACATTCCCAATCGTGTAACCACTGTCGTTCAAATACTCCGACATATCGCTGTTTGGCGCAACAAAATCGAGAGCATTTCTTCCTGTGGATGACTGAATCTCGGTAGAAGCACCATGATCTAGCAGAATCTTGGCAATGTCCTTGTGTCGGTTGGTCATGGCCCACATGAGAGCGCTCCATTGGTTCTTATCTTGCTTGTCGACTTCTGCGCCAGCATCCAGTAACGCCATGACAACATCTTTGTGACCAAAGCAACTTGCGTAGACCAAGGGAGGAGTGCCTTCAGAATCGACGGCATTCACATCAATGTATACGGCGGGACTCCCTCTGACTAAGCGCTTGATGCGGCCAACGTCACCATTGCTGGCAGCCATGAAAAGGAAGTCCTGCAGCATCTGTCTCTTTTCGGCATCGGATAGGCCATCGTCATTGACGACGTTGTCTTCGGTATCTTCGATGTCATTATCGTCGTCGTTGCTTCGGACCTGGGTTGCCAACATGTGGGCCAGCCTGCTGTCGTGCTCAGCCAGGTCGTGTTCTGAGGGATCGAAGTTGTCGGGTTCGTTCAAGGAGAGATTGAAGTTGTTCGAGTGGGCTATGGTAGGGGCGGTAAGGAACTGAGACTGGCCTGTCGAGCAAGTTGGTCAGCCGGAAGGGAGGTGGTACAAGCAGGCGGGCAGGCACATACCTTGCCAGGCATCATAGTACTCGGTCTCGACATTGCCGTAAGCAGAGAAGGCCTTGCGGTCATCTAGTGAACGAGGAAGGTCGGCAGGCAGTTCGCGGGGTTTGGGTTGTTCATCGAAGCCGTGGTCGTCGCCATGTTCATGGTCGGGCGAGTGGTCGTCCATGGTGGATTTCGTTTATGAGTACAGGGGGTCGGCGGAAGCGATGGGTCGAGCGCATAAGTCGTTCATTGCACAATCGTAAAGCTAGTCGTGTGACAGAGTAGGCTCAGCAAGGGCACATGGGTGACAGCGACATGGTGCGACAAATTAATTGCAAACGTTGTAGATAAACAGCAGCAGCAGCCTCCATCATCTTCCACATGGTCGAAGCCTCCACTCTCCGTCTACGTTTTGTCCGTGCGGGAGCTCTCGAGACAAGTCTTTTGACAACCATCTCACCTGCTCTTTTAATGACTAATTCTTTTCTGACAACTCAATTCTGTATACACTTTCCCTCGACTGCTCTCGCTGCGAATTGAGCTATTGTATACTGTGTTGATATATGTCTTTGTCTTTCTGGCAGAGACATGTCTCCAGTTCCCCCGCCATGACGGGCCAAAGTTCCGCGAAGCGCGTCACAATGCGGTGGGGCGGCACTCCAGCGATAGCTCTTCCACTCCGATCGGCCTATCTGCAGTTGCTAAGCAGTCAATCTGTTCATATTCTCCCATTTCCTTTCCTTTGTCCTCGTGTGTCTATGCCGTAGGCTTGATATCACCTCACACATCCACTACTTGTACCCTACACCATCCCAGAGCCGAGCTTGACTAAACACTCGAGTGAACTCAATAATCATCTAAACTGCCCACTATGCCTTCAGAAAAGAGAAGCGAGCGCGGCATTCGCATCGCCATTGACCGTGGTGGTACTGTGGGTTGCCTTTCAGAATCCACCTAAAAAACAGCCAACTTACTGTACTGCAGTTCACCGACTGTGTCGGAAACCCGGGAACAGGCAACATGGAAGACGATGTCGTTATCAAGCTCCTGTCCGTAGATCCCCAAAACTACGATGACGCCCCTCTAGAAGGTATCCGCCGCCTTCTATCCAAGTTCACCGGCAAAGACATCCCTCGAGGCGAACCGCTAGATACGACAAAGATCGAGAGTATAAGAATGGGCACAACCGTAGCAACAAATGCCTTGCTAGAAAGAAAGGGAGAGGATATCGCAATGGTGGTCACAAAAGGCTTCAAAGATTGTCTAGAGATTGGCAACCAGAGCAGACCCAACATCTTCGATCTGGCCATCAAGAAGCCTGAGGTTCTGTACAAAAGAGTCGTCGAGATTGAGGAAAGAGTTACACTGGAAGATTATGCCGAGGATCCTACAAGAAATCAAACAGAGGCAAAGGCCATCGAAGAGGCTGGTGACGATGCTGAGCTTGTCAAGGGCTTGTCCGGCGAGGCCGTTCGCATTCTCAAGAAGCCCGACCATGATCAAATACGCAAGCAGCTGCAGGAAGTATACGACTCTGGCCTCAAGAGTATTGCTGTCTGCCTCATGCACGGCTACACATTCCCAAAGCATGAAGCTTTGGTTGGCAAGATTGCAAAGGAGATTGGCTTTGAACACGTCAGTTTGAGTCACGAGCTGATGCCCATGATCAAGCTTGTTCCTCGCGCTACTTCAGCTTGCGCAGATGCCTACCTTACTCCTGCCATTCGTAAGTACATTGATGGCTTCCAGAAAGGTTTCGAAGGTGGGCTTGGCACTGCCAGCGTCAAGAACGAGGAAGGTGCAAGAGGAGCGCGATGCGAGTTCATGCAATCAGATGGTGGTTTGGTTGATGTCGATTCATTCTCAGGTCTACGTGCTATTCTCAGTGGACCTGCCGGAGGTGTGGTTGGATATGCTTTGACCTCATACGACCCCAAGACGAAAACACCAGTTATCGGCTTCGACATGGGTGGAACCAGTACCGACGTATCAAGATACGGAGAAGGAAGATACGAACACGTCTTTGAGACTACCACCGCAGGTGTTACCATCCAATCTCCCCAGCTGGATATCAACACTGTCGCTGCTGGAGGAGGTTCACGATTGTTCTTCAAGAATGGACTATTCGTCGTCGGACCAGAGTCGGCAAGCGCACACCCTGGACCTGCTTGTTACAGAAAAGATGGACCACTCACAATCACCGATGCCAACCTGTTCCTCGGACGCCTTCTGCCTGACTTCTTCCCCAAGATCTTTGGCAAGAACGAAGATGAGGGTCTGGATCCTGAAGCCAGCAAGAAGCTCTTCGAAGAGCTAACAACGAAGATCAACCAGGAGGTCAAGGACAAGAATATGTCTGCTGATGAAGTCGCTTACGGTTTCATCAAAATTGCCAACGAGACCATGACAAGACCAATCCGCAGTTTGACCGAAGCAAGAGGTCATGATACCTCAAAACACAGACTTGCAACCTTTGGTGGTGCTGGTGGTCAGCATGCGGTTGCTATTGCCGAAGCTCTTGGTATCAGTCAGATCTTGATTCATCGTTACTCTTCAGTCCTCTCTGCTTATGGCATGGCCTTGGCTGATGTTGTTGATGAAAGACAAGAACCCGACTCAAAGGTGTGGTCTGATGATGGAGATGTTCGCAAATACTTCCAGAGCAAGATGGAGGAGCTCAAGAAGAAGTCAAAAGCCACTCTGAAAGATCAAGGGTTCGATGAAGAACATGTGCACTTCGAGGAGTATCTCAACATGAGGTACAGAGGAACTGAATCGGCCTTGATGATCATCCGACCGACCAAAGAAGATGCTGAAAAGAAGTTTGATGGCGATGACTGGGCCTTTGGCAAAGCATTTGTCGAGCAGCATGAGCAAGAGTTTGGCTTCACTCTCCCTGACAGGGATATCATCGTCGATGATGTCAGAGCTCGTGGTATTGGCAAGACTTTCGAAGGCTTGGAGAAGACCGTTGACCAGCAATTGCAAGAGGTCAAGCCCAAGGATGTCGGCAAAGACGAGAAGATCTACGGCAAGTCACAGGTGTACTTCGAGGGTGGTCGACAAGAAACGTCTATCTACAAGCTTGAGGACCTTACAACCGGCGACCGCGTCCAGGGACCTGCAATCATTGCTGATGGCACTCAGACCATTGTTGTGACACCTGGCGCTTCTGCTCTGGTTATCGACACACATGTCGTCATCAACATTGGTGAGAGTGACGGATCAGAGAAGAAGCTTGACACCGAGACTGTCGATCCGATTATGCTCAGTATCTTCGCACATCGCTTCATGGCCATTGCAGAGCAAATGGGTCGCGCATTGCAGAAAACCAGTGTCAGCACCAACGTCAAGGAGCGACTGGACTATTCGTGTGCTCTTTTCGATTCAAGCGGAGGTCTTGTCGCTAACGCACCCCATCTTCCTGTCCATCTGGGTAGCATGAGTACATGTGTCCAGAAGCAGGCCAAGATCTGGGAGGGCAAGCTCAAACGTGGTGATGTCTTAGTCTCGAATCATCCCATGTACGGCGGCACTCACTTGCCTGATATTACAGTCATCACACCAGCATTCAGTGGCGACAAAATCGTCTTCTATGTCGCGTCCAGAGCCCATCACGCAGATATTGGAGGTATACTTCCTGGATCCATGCCTCCTCATTCTCGCGAGCTCTTCCAGGAAGGAGCATCTATCAAGACCGAGAAATTGGTTTCGGAAGGCAGATTCAACGAGGAAAGAATCACGGAGCTTCTGCTTGACGAACCGGCACAACATCCTGGATGCAGTGGTACCCGTTGCCTTGCAGACAACATCTCTGATCTTAAGGCTCAAGTCGCTGCTAACCAGAAGGGTATCAACTTGATCAACACTCTCATCGATGACTACAGCGAGAATGTCGTGCAATTCTACATGAGGAGCATCCAGAAGAACGCAGAAAACAGTGTTCGCATGCTGCTCAAGGATGTCAGCAAGCGTTTCGAGGGTCAAGACTTGTCAGCGGTCGACTTCATGGACGATGGCAGTCCTATCAAACTGAATGTTCAGATCGACGCAGAGAAAGGAGAAGCTGTATTCGACTTTACAGGCACAGGACCAGAGGTAATTCTACACACGCCCAACTATTGTGACTTTTACTAACCATCATCTCAAAAGGTATACGGAAACACAAACGCACCCGAAGCCGTAACCTATAGCGCCATAATCTACTGCCTCCGCTGCCTAATCAGCGAAGACATACCCCTAAACCAAGGCTGTCTAACCCCCATCCACGTCAAGATACCCAAGAAATCCTTCTTATCGCCTTCCGCAACCGCAGCAGTGGTAGGCGGTAATGTACTCACCTCTCAACGCGTCACCGATGTCGTTCTCAAGGCTTTCCAAGCTTGTGCTGCTTCCCAAGGTGATTGCAATAACTTGACCTTTGGGTTCGGCGGTAATGCAGATGGCAAGGAACACGTCAAAGGCTTTGGCTACTACGAAACTATCGCGGGAGGATCGGGTGCGGGACCTACTTGGGATGGAACGAACGGCGTGCATACACATATGACCAATACGCGTATCACAGACTCTGAGGTCTTTGAACGTCGCTACCCGGTTATCCTGCGAGAGTTCAGTTTACGCGCTGGCTCGGGTGGCAAAGGTCAACATAACGGCGGTGATGGCGTTGTCCGCGACATTGAGTTCAGGATTCCTGTGCAGGTGTCTATTCTCAGTGAACGTCGTGTTTACCATCCTTATGGTCTTGCTGGAGGCGAGGACGCCGAGTGTGGAAAGAATCTCTGGGTGAGAAATGTTGCTAAAGCACCTGGTGAGGAAGGTAAAGTGGAGGAAGAGCAGGAAGTCAGGTATATCAACTTGGGAGGCAAGAATACTGCTGCTTTCCAGCCTGGCGAGAGAATTATTATCAATACGCCAGGTGGTGGTGGTTGGGGACCTGTTGGCGAGGAGAGTAAGGCACACAAGCTTTGGACTGATCCGAAGAGTCACTGGAAGGGTGGAAGTGTTGCTGCTAGACAAGCTGAGGGAGAAGCGAGTGCTTAAGTCGGAGGATGCATGGTATTGTAGTTATAGCAGTGCAAATAAAAGTCTTTCGATCAGCGAGTACTAGGCAACGGACAGTGTAAAGTATACATCTTATCATATTTGGTCAATGCCATAAGCTACATATATAATCATGAGTCCCAACGTCCATCAGAAGCAAGCACCATCTAACGAACAACATTTTGTCCTCCTCGACCAGCAAAGAATATCTTCTCACAAAGCAACAACTGAGATTTGTCGACGAGCCCGAGACTTGGCTAATTGAGCGTGTGGTGTTATGGCTGTCAAAATCCTTTCTTCGTGTGCACAGCCCAGACTCTGATGAACCATGCACAGCCTCATGCAGCCTCTAGTCTTTGGTCAGACGATTGCGAAGAACCCCATTCCATCTCTCAGGTCCCTCCGCTTTGGCCGAGCGACTACGAAGGACTCCATTCCATCTCTCAGGCCCCTTCTTCTTGTTAGCTGCCCGATCTTCCCTGATCTTCTTGTTTCGAAGCCAGTTCTCAACCCATTTGTGGTCCTCTTCGATCTTATCGATATGAGTGATAAGTTCGGATCCATCAGGATCATCGTACAAGAAGTATCGAAGCTCGAATCTCATTTCCTCCCTATCTTCCAGCTCATGCTGCTGAAGAGAGCCAGCGAACTTGAACAGGCGACGAGCCAAAGGGCTTGCTCGTGTGAGCTTGAATTCTCGGAGTGATGGATGCACTCTGCCAGTCTGATCGAGAGACTTGCGAAGTGGTGCAAGAAAACGTACAGCTTCCTCGATGAAGTCCAGAGCAAAAGTTCCTGGGTGGCACTCGTAAGGACTTCTGACGACAATGCTTTTGATCTCAAGGCTATGTCTAGCCGCAAAGTCAAAAACTGTTTGGAGGAACTTGAGCAACTCTGCAAGAGGCAAGTGATTTGACTCTATCATAGAGGGATCCCAGTACCAATCAAAATCGGTGATTGCGCAGTAGAGAGAAACAGACTCTTGGCGGGTACGTCTGTTCACGGAAGCGATTGGAGGAAAGCGCCACTGTCGTTTCATCGTCGACAGGTAGTTATGACAGGTACAGTCCCAGTGGCAGTAGTGATATACCGTATCGCATGATCTGACCCTAGGCTTCTTGTAGTAGAGCAGTTCATAGATCATGTTTCGAATCTCAGCAGGCAGGTCCAGAAAGCGGAAAGGTTTCTCAATCTGGCGAGGCGGAAGGGCAAGGTCCTCGGAGAATCCTCGTTTGGCCCAGCGTTCCAGATCCATGTTTGAGTCGGGAACAGAGACTTTGGGGGAGGGGCCGCTAGGCAATGACATGTTGTCCCAAAGAGGAGTTCCGTCACCTGGCAGAGAAGGACTGCGTGGCACTTCGATACTGACAGCCGGCGAAGGAGGGCCAAGTTCTTCGGTAGGTTGCATAGTGTGGTGCTGCTCTGTGACAGGAAGGTGGAAGATGGAGGTGTTCCTGATGGTTCTTTTGACTTGGAGATGGCACGGTATTGAGTCGTTTGAGTCTGATCTTCTGGTCGAGGTTGTGAGAAGGGTACTTGGTCCGTAGGTCGTCACTGACTGGATCGACAATTGTGAGAATGGTTCGACAAAGAGACTGGGACAGTTGAGAAGGCGTCTGGTCTACACCAAAAGGAGTCGACTGTGCAAATGCATGCAAGAGGCGGACCGGACAAAGAACTGAGAGGGTGACAGAAACAAGCGCGCGAAGCAATCAGTCAGGTGCTGGCGTAGTCCAGATAAAGAGGTTAAAGTGAAAATGACGACAGAGTTTAGAGTGTCTTGCAAGGCGCCTCAGCGAAGACGCGATGAAGGCATCGAAAAAGTGAGTAAGTGAGATGAGAAGGAGCAGGGCAAGTTCTGGAGTGCGTTTAGCATGAGTTGTGAAGTGCTGGTCAAGGCAAGCGCAAAGTACAAGCCTCAGGCAGCAATTCAAAGTCGCGTCGAAGTTGAACGAATTTGGAAGGCACGCGTGGTGATGAAAGTGTGCCGCTTTCTTGCGACTGACATTGATGGATAGGTATCTCTAAACGTCCAAAAAGATAAGATCATAAGAAGAATAACGAACATGGAACGCCTTACATGCTATGAACGCCGTGATGAAAAGTCCCATAGCCCTTTTTTGTGATCAACTGCCCAAAGAGTTGACCATGCCAAAACCACAAAATCAAGGATATGCAAGACCTTACTCGGCATCGTGCATGTTCATCTCCTCGAACTCGTCGAGCAGTTGGTCCATAGGGATTTGAGGACCTTCATCATCCTCGTCATCAGTCTCCATCTCCATGTCGTTAGCGTTGGCTTCTTGTTGAGCTTTGTAGAGTTGCATAGTTTGACGAAGTTCCTCATCTTCCTCAACATCACGCAGGAAGAGCTCAAAGTCGCGCTCGAGGCGCTCCTGGTCCTGCTTGCGGGGAAGCATCTCGCTCTCTTCCTTGGCCATACGCTTGAGCTTCCAGTTTCTCTTCTGACCAGCAGCCTTCTTGCGACGAGGGTAGTGCTTCTTGACCAACACTACGTCAGGAATCGCCGACTTGTATGTCTTGCTGTTCTCAATCTCCTCGAACTCGGTATTGTTGAACTGTGTTCCTGCAAGGAGGTAACCCATGACACTGTCACCGGGGTTCAGGAGAGCACCAAGGTGGGTACGGCAGAAGTATGTTGTGTCGTTCACGCCAAGGTCTGCGGCACGAGCAACAGTACAGTCAGCAAGAACGAAGCGTCCTTTCGTGAGACCAGTGATCTCAATATCCATAACAATGAACTCGACAAGCTGAGGAATATCTGCGATAGGGGTGAAAGGAGCGCGCCAGTAGATGGGAGTAGCGACTTCGGCGGTTTGGAGAGTATTGGGGTCGAGCAAGTTGACAGCGGTACCGACACGGTAGCAGAGAGCCAAGGGGAACAAGTTTCCAATCTGCTTGGCGAGCTTGATGGGAAGTGCGACCAGATCGTCCTTGCAAATAGGCACAATTTCGCAAGAGAAAGCAAACTTGTAGGTCTTCTCGGAAGTGTGAACGTTCATCGAAATCAACTCTTGCGACTTCTTGCTCTTCATAGGTACGACGCTGCCGAGGAAATCGACAAACTTCTCAGCATGGTTTCTTGCTGAGAAGAAGAAGTCGATACCATCATGGATTTCCTTGATGTTGATTGCGTCACGGTGAGCACCGTGCTTGAGGATAAGTTGCTCGAGGTAGAGGAAAGTACGCTTGTGCTGAACCTTTTGGCGGACCTGGACGACGGCGCGCCATGTGTTGTGTGTGAAACTCTTTTGACAATCGGGGCACTGTTGGTTGGCCTGGACGAACTCGACCTCGAAGGTTTGCTGGAGGATGGTGCCTTGGAAAGCTTCTTGTTGGATGGTAAGCTTCAGCTTGATACGACGGGAGTGAGGCTCGGTCCAGATGAAGGAGGCGTCGATGATGCGGACTTTGTTCAAACCACGGAGCTTGCGAAGACAGAGGGCAAGAAGTTCACGCGACTCAGGCTGGGCGACGACCCACTGGTTGGGCGGGGACAACCAACGATCGCAATCTCTGCACTGGTGGAGGGTTCCTTCTCTTTGAATGCCTTGCGATACGTCGATGGTGAGCTTGATACAGTCGTAACAGAGAGCGCCGGCTGAGACAGTGCCGTCGATGGGAGCACCACAGTTGCAACAGAGAATACTATTGCTTGTCAGTACGACATACTGACACGAAAGATAGGAGGCAAACACACGTAGCGTTGGTCACCTCACGCTGAGCAGCGGGCGCCATCGAAACCGAGTCGAGATCCATAGACATGTTGATATGCTGATAAAGAAAAACTGTATTGAGGTCGAAAAAGTACGCCGCCGAGTTGACAAGGGGCGCAAATGAGCACTTCGGTCAAGTGCCTAGAGGGTGGTATGAGGCGACAAAAGGCCAAGGGCGAATGTAAAAAACAAGAGGAATTAATTCCTGTCACCAAAAATGTTCTCGAAGGAACTTCTTCTCTTCAGTCAGCGACGCCACAAGGACGGAGAAAATCAATGCGACACCCCCGCGCTGATGCTGCCAAGACGCTGCGATAAGATAACACTCGTCTTCGTATTCGTTTCCATACATGCAGCGTCATCAGCCATCCCTACGAATAGCAGAGGAGATCCGGACCCGGCGAGCTTGTTGATAGCAATAAGAACTCAAAGTCTCCCCCTCACACGGTTTACTTCGTACTTCCTCACGCAACCTGCTCCAAATTTAACATCCATCAACATGCCTGACTACTCTCTCCTCGCCATTCCAGCCTACACCATTCTGTCTGTAGCCCCTCACGCGTAAGTAGCTCTTGAACAACCGTGCCTCGGATCATCTAAGTATCCAACCTAGCTATGCACTTTCGACTGTCAAGAAGCACACCCAATGGTCCAACGCAAACAGCAGAGGTGAGGGCAACATCTCACACCTGAAGAAGACCCTCCCTCCTGCCGTCTTCGCCCTCTATGAACGTGCCGAGGCTGCACACAAGAACAGCATGGAGAACTTGCCTCTGTTCATCGCTGCAACACTCTCGGGAGTGTTCGCCGAGAAACTCACAAGAACCGACATTGGCAACGCTCAGTTCTCCGCTGTCTTCCTCGGTATCAGAGTGCTTTACACTCTTCTCTACGTAAGTGGATTGTTTCAGTGCATCTCATATCTGGTATTAACTTTTATGGCCAGATCAACACGACCACTGAATCAGCTAGTCACGCTCGTTCCTTGACATGGACGGCAGGTTTGGCTACTTGTTTCTACCAGATCTACAAGGCAGCCGTCGCTCTTGCCTAGATGTCTTATCTCAGAGGTAGACTATTTAATGACATACATATCTACAAGTTCTATCGTGTTACCATGGTATTGTACATGATTCCTGATGGCCATACACGCCTGGCTCTCCCAAAAGCAATGCATCAATCGCTTGATGTCCTTGTTCCCAGTCTCCTTTAACGCCCCAACCCAATGCAATGATCTCTCCTTTTATGTACACAGTTCATATGTTCATTTTTTACGATCTGGCGACCATTGGAGAATCCAGCCACTCATCATCCTGGAAAGCCAGACCAGAGGTAGAATCAACGCTGGCTGATGACATGACTGTCGGAGTCTCTGGTATCATTGAGATCTCCTCCTCAGTCCTTTCTGGCTCCTTCTCTTCAATGTTCTCAAAATCCGCTAGAGCGACTTCTTGGATATAATGTTGTATGCCAGACTTGGGCGCTTTCAAGTGAGGCACTGCGGATGACCCTTCAAGCATCTCTTGCCTGAACATTCTCAATAGGTCTTTGTGCTCGTACTTGGCAGCGCGTGCTTCGCGCAATATCTCTTCAAAGCGAGCCATATCGTTACAGACACTGCACAAACGCAACATCGCCGAGTAAGTGCGGGCAAATAGTCTTTCCTGGTTGCCCTTGGCCTTGCTTTCCGCCTGTAGCATCTTGATCAGATTCCATATCTGATTCCCGAGTTTGTAGTCTGCGTTTCGCGCTCGGTCATCGAGTAAAGGTGTCAGACCACGAATCGAGAGACCCCATCCTTCGCGACCCATGTCTTTGTAGATGCGCAACGCCACATCAAAGCCAGCAAAATGCAACACACCTTGCACAATGGTCTCAAAGACACCCGGAGTGTGATACGGCTTCTGAACAATCTTGCCGTTTTCTTTCAGAACAAGACGGGTATTACCTGAATCGTTGATAATTGTGGTAGGCTTTGCGAGCATCAGACCGTTTCCCAAGCCGCGAACCCTATCAACAAAGGCGACAAATCTGTCAGGGGAGTTGACCATGATGTAGTACTTGAGAGTAGCTTTGATGGTGATCTCGTTGTGACGCACGTTTGCATTGCGGATTGCATTCAGTGTGGGGTTCACCAGGAAGAGATCACCACACTCCATGAACCCGCACAGCAGAGTATTCCAGCAGTCCAAGTCGGGTGGTGCCGAAGAAATGTAAAGGTTGTAAGCAACCTTTGCAACAAGTTCCTCATAGGCTAGTTGTCCCGATTTTTTCTTCTCAAACAGCTGGCGAAAAGCACTATTCAGGTTTTGTGCAGTGTGGTGAAATTCACCAAAAGCATCCTGTCGATAAGTAACACCATATTTATGTTGTCTCGGTAGGTCGTTCAGTTGCGCAAATGAATCTGGAAAAGTAGTAGCGTCCATGTGTTGGGTGTTTGTGTATAACAGAAGAGCCTTGAGCTGAGGAGCCGGGGCGCCAAAGAAGTCTGAGCATGATGTGGGTACAGCACTGCCTATGTCCTTGCGGAAACCGAGTTCATCTAGGTGTAAAAGCATACGCAGAATGAGCTTGTCGACAGCCAACTCGGTTGTGCGTGTCTTCTTGGGAGTCCAGCGCGTGGCGAGAGCCCTTTCGCGGTGGAAGGGTTTGGCGTATATGGAATTGGGTGCAACGAAGGGTCGATGAAGGTCAGCACCAGTGTTTGCCGGCCATATGGGGCCATCGAATTGTGCTTCTTCGTGTGGGTCTTCGAGAATGGCTTCTTGCAGGTCGTCGAAAAGCAGTTTCCATGGGACAGGCTCTTCCTTCTCTGGCTCAGTCTGAATCTGTTCCTCCTTCTCTTTCTGAGCCTGTGCAAAGTCCTGGGTAACAGTTGTTTTGTCCAATGCGGGTTGGTCGAGATCGTGTTTGATGTCTGCGATGGCACGGTCCCATTGCTCCCGTCTCTTTTGCTTAAATCCAGCGTCGGTGGTAGCGGCGGCGGCAAAGATGCCCGAGTATACGAAGGTCGACGACAGAGCCCATCTCACTGGCCTCCTGCCGGCAGCATTGGTGGTCCGCCTAGCAACCCCACTGGCACCTGCCGACACGCATGATGGGCAATGGCAGCTGAGTCCGGTCTGCGCTATCCGTGACCAAAGTGCTTGCATTATTATCGCTGCTGCATCGCGAACCCCCTCCACCAGGTCCTTGGTAACGCAAAGGAAAGGGCTGTTGTCGTCTGGCTGTGCCGTCTCTGGTGACCGATGACCGGTATTTTTTGGCCCGCGACTCGACTGACTTTCCCGCGCGGTCTTGGCACTCTCTTCCGCTGCTCTCTTGCTCTTACCAGTCGCGAGCATTTACAAACATTCACCATTTCTTTTCAGAACATTTACTGCACATCATGTTGGCACTTACTTTGACTGCCGAGCTCAACGGGTAGGTCTCATAGTCGCGGACGTGTAGAAACTGAGCTTGATTTGCCAACATCTTCCAAAACAGCGTAACAGATCTCGCCCCCATCGATACCGAAGACAGCCCTTTCTACTACACATTCAAGGTGCAATGTACTTCGTGTCGTGAGGTCCACCCCAACTGGGTCAGCGTGAGCAGATTCGTAGGTCTTTCTTCTGTCTTGTTCTCACATCTTCATCCACCAACATATTCGGCCTAGGAACAAAACGAGGTATCTGGCAGCAGGGGTTAAGCCAACTTCGTCTGGAAATGCAAGAACTGCAAGGTCGGTCCATTCTTTGATGTCTCTGATAAAATGATCCAATTTTCTGATATTTGCTTTACTAGAGAGAACACTCTGCAACCATTAAGGAGGCACCCAAGGCCTACACCCACAGCGACACACCCAAGGCCCAGAAAATTATCGAATTCGACTGCAGAGGTCTCGAGTTCGTTGAATTCAAGCCAGACGTACGTCCCAACCACCAATTGTTCTATAAAACTTTTGAAAAAAGTACTAATGCAATATACAGGGAGAATGGAAAGCTACCGGCATCGAATCAAACACAAAGTTCGACGCCATTGACCTGACAGAAGGTGATTGGTACGACTACGACGAGAAAGCCGGCGAGGAGGTCAGCATCCAAGGCCAGAAATGGGAGATCAAGCGCTCATAGTGCTTAACATTTGCTCTCTCTGAGTTCACTCAAGGCTTGAAACTCTTGGTTTAACAATGACGAGTCTTGGTTTGCTTCTTCGTTGTTGGAAAAAAGGAGTGAACCTTCTTGGAAGTGGGCAAGGCAGTTTTTTGAGCCTCCATATCAGCTCACTGCTTCTTCGGCTAATAGAGTCGCTTGTGGAACGATATGATCATCTGGTGTCAAAGATCCGGATTTGCTCCTTTGTCCGAGCATGCTCCCACACGTGTTGGATTGATAATCTGCAAGAGTCATGTCTTTTGAGTTTGAGCATCTCTTCAGGCATCCCATCTTGCCCAGTTGTCGTGGTTTCTATCGTCGATTTAACCCCAGAATCCAAGGTAGATCTATACAACTCTCTTACAAGAACATGAAATCATGAATGGGTGTCCGTTTAGACTGCTTGCCTTGGGCAGCAAACATCATACCAACATCATCAATCAGTGTTTCCTGCTCGGCTAACTCGACTTCCGGCTATCGGAGACAGATTCCGCTGGACCCCTTGGCAGTTTGGAAGCTTCTGTCAGCCCTTTCGTGACACATGCGAAATCCCACGTGTGTGGAAACTCTCGTAACTCTGAACAGAGTTTGATGAAAGGAATGTTCATGCTGCAAGACTTTGGTTTGATAGACACCAGAAAGATGCGTAAATCGGAGATTCTGGAAATCGTCGAGGACGCGCTGCCAAGAACGGTAGCAATAACGTGAGGCAATCAATCCCAAGCGGGTTGGTGATGCCGTGATAGCCCTTTTTCGGGACGGGTGCGAGAGCAGAAAGAGGACAGTCCCGAAGTGCGAATGACGAAGATGGCCACGAGGTTTCGTACGGTGACAAGGCGTGCCAGACGGTTCAAGAAAGGTACCGCACAATAAAACAGCAGATATATTGGTGGTCGGGTGAAGATCATCGTCACCACCTCACGTCAAAACTCTTGCCCGATCTCGAGCACCGCCAATCCCTAGGCTTCAGGATCGCAACAGTTCGGGGACCACTGGTGATTGTCACCAGTTGCTACCAACCAGAGAAACCTCCTTTAGGTCCTTCTTTGCCGTGTTACCTTTTCTTTTCCTTTTGCACTACACACAACCAATGTCGAAGCCTTGTACCACGACTTCTCAATCTTTTACAGCATTCTGTTGCTGCAGTGCAGCAGCATCAAGCACACTATTCAACACCACATGGAGCCATGGAGTAACCTGTTGAGCAACCTCGAGCCCGACGAAATCGAAAGCATCTACCTAGCCGGCTGTGACCAACGTCTGAGCTACCCTTTCCAAACCACGGAGCCGCCTTCAACACCTCAAAGGCACGACAGCGGCGTTGCTGGCGTATCTCCAGAAGAAGACGATACCAAGCTTACGCAACGCTCGAATGATGTCTCTCCTCCACAAGAGCATTCCATAGTCGTCTGCAAGCAAGAGCAACCAACCCAGGATGACTTCGACAACGCCGCTTGGGTTAGCACCAAGCAGAATGGCGTGACACATTACTGGGCTCCTCGCTACACCGCTTCACCCCACAGCAACGCCTCACATAGCGCCAGAATGCTATACATGTCCAGTCTGAAGACATTGACAATCACCAAAGGCACACGTAAAGGATGTACCGCAGTAGATCTCTCTGCAGGATCTGGTGCCATTGCCCTCAACTACGCAGCAGCTGGAGTTCAAAAAGTCCTTTGCTGGGATGCAAATCCATGGAGCATAGAAGGCTTGAGAAGAGGCGCAATTAAGAACAGGTGGCACGTTCAGGTCTACCACGGTGATCGGATCCAAAGCAAGACGGTCAAGGTATCCTCAAAGACCAGAGTGATGGCGTTCGTCGAAGATGGCGAGAAGGCTTCAAGCAGGATACTTGGCCTGAGAAACTCTCTACCTCCGGTCAGACATGTAAATTGTGGACTTGCGCCCACATCTCGCAATCTTCATGCAGTAGCAGCAGCGGTTCTGGATCCGAAGCTGGGAGGATGGATCCATGTACACGAGACGTGTCGTGTAGAAGAGGTGGTTTATGGAGCCAACAAGACCAGAGCCGAGCTCGAGGCTGTTGTCGAAACGTTGGATCGGGAAAGAGGATACTTGACAGATGTCAAAGAAATCCCCAGAAGGCCAGTAGTGCAACACATCCAGCGCATAGGCTCAGATGCTCCAGGTGTACTGTACTGTATCGTAGATATCCATATCCCTCCAATTCGAATATGAGACAATTCCTCAATCATCTGTCCACTGCAAAGCAGGATCCTCTTGCGCAAGTCCATCAGCCTCCAACAAAGCCTCCTGCGCCCTTTGCGAAGCCAAGTAGTCACTATAAACACCTGCCCACTTCTCAATCTTATCCGTATGCTCAATCAGCTTTTGTATTGAGAAGCAAAACGGAATAAACACATCTGGATTCTGTTTGATTTCATCCGCCGCTCCGCCCAGATCGATAACTTCAGAGATGGAAAGACCGCCTCTGCCCCACTCGTCTGAGTCCTTGAAGTAGGTACGTTCTACAGCGGCCACGAATTCATCGTGCATGCCTTTGAGCTTGAGAGGATTAGTCTTCAGACAAGGGTGATCGTAGTTAGGATGTGGCAGATGGTAGTAAGAGCCATAAAAGCCATCTATGCAAAAGGGACACCAGCGATCAAAGTGGTTAACCCAGGTTTCCTTTGCCGTGGCGATGATCTGGAAGATGACTGATCTGTGGCCTCGCTGTCCGAGATCCCCTTGGAACGTGACTCTGATATCTTGAATCATTCTCGTTGTGAACGGCAGTGTCTTCAACCATGCTAAAGTCTCGTCCGCAAAAGTTAGACCAAAGGTTCCGTCAAGACCCCTCGTATAAGAAGCTTGAAAACTGTTTACACGCAGGAACGTTGCCAGGCATTCTTGTCTGATTTGCTTGCTGACACAAGCTAGAGCAGGTGTTCGCATGACTTCCAGATGCAATCTCCGTGGCCGTGCTAATGCGTATTGATATATCCTCACTCTGATCTCTGCAGGTAAATCCATAAACGGAAAAGGCTCCTCTGCGTTTAATCGTGGATCTTGCACGACTTCTTCTCGGGAAAGCGCAAGCTTCTCATCTTGGATGGCGATCTTGCGTCGATGTTTTGCAAATGCTCTGGCACCTGAATTGTATTGCGTGCTGATGGGTACCAAGCCGAGCGTTAGATATGCATGAGAGACTCGGCTTGACTGGGCCGCATCCAGGTAAGACATGGCGACTGTGTCCGTATTCCTCTAATCCAGAGAATATGTTTGGTGATGATGTTATGTCCAGTCAATATTTCGCGAAGGCAATTGCGTAGGAAATTCACGATAGAAGCCGAGGGCGACGGTGACGTTGTGGACGGTAGGCCAAAACTACAGGTACGGATGCGCAAACCATCGTTGCGGGCCACGTCTTGGCATTTGTGAATATGATGCATGGATGTTCTCTGCTCTTGTGCAAGGTGTATTGAAACACGTTGATTACTCGTTACAATAGGCTGTTCACAAGATCAAAGATTCAAGTCTGACATTTCAAGTTGGGAGCTACCAGGAGACTTCTAGGATGTTACAAAGCTTTTTTTTTCGTCATTTCAAACCAGACCAGCCAATGCTAAAAATGCTCGCACTATGCTCCTATCTTACAATGCTAAATGCGCCGAAACATACTTGTCCCAATGCTCTTCAGTGTCTGCCTGCTTCCAAACCTCAACACCGCCAGAAACACCTTGCTCATCCACAGCCCAATGTCCACTCTTGACATTCATCAACCAATTTTCCAAAATCGCTGTCAACTTGGGACCATGGCGTAAGGTAAAGGGATTGATGCCATGAGCATAAACCTCTGTATGACTCTTTTGCATCAATCTGCCATCACTGGTCCTGGCCTTCTTGTTTCCTCCTACTGGGAAGGGTAGCACAAGGCGACATGCATCCTCAAATGGGTTTTCCTTGTTTGGATATGAGTCGAGGTACAATCCGCAAGGCACTTCTTGTACTGTGCTGAACGGCCAGCGGAAGTTTGCTTGTTTCGAGGTCACTGTGCCCTCTGCGCGGAAGAACAAGAAGGGCATTTTGATACCCTCGGTTTCTTTCGGGTATTTCGCAGCAACGTGTTTGAAGGGCTGGTTTACGAACTCGGATGCTTGCGGGAGGCGGATTCCTGGTGCTACGTACCAGATTCGCGGTTGTCTGGCGTGAGATAATAGATCATATGCGAACCCTCTCGGTACGCCTGCAGCGGAAAGACCGGATCGACTACACAGGGGTGTGGTATTGGGGTCTTCCTCTTCGTCTCGTAATCCGCTCCTAATCTCGATTTCTGTGAACAGCTGCTCCCAAAGCTTGAGGCATGAGGTCAAGTCGCCTTGAGTGTATGATACCAGAGTCCAAGGGTGTGTGTCATAGCGTGACCGCCGAGCTCCAGTATAAGGGTCCACTTTTGGTCCTGAAGGCGCGATTTCCTGCCATGATGTTTGGCCATCAGGACCTTGCACCGGACCGAGACGTGGCTCGCGACCGATAGATTCGTGTAATGCTACAGCCTTTCCTGCTTCAATCATGTCGATATAAGCGCTGAGAATCGATTCTAGTCTTTGCCATGGCAATTTTTGGTCGTACAAGTCGAAAATGTGTAGAAAAGTAGGCATGAAAATTGCCTTGCCAGTGACCTGATCATATCTGTATTTCGTGATTAGCCCTGCTTCTTTTCTGTTTCTTCGATAATCATCTGCTTGCAGTTTCTCTCCAAAAGAATTGAAAAGGCGCGGATTTTTGATCGAGGTCGAAATATTCTCTTACACAATGCCACTCCGTTGACTAACCAACTCCTTGTTCGTCATGTACAAAGTGATAAATCGATGCTTCTCTCCCTTGATCTTCTTCTCACTGTCATCCAGCAAGTCTCCAAGGTACAGCATCTCTCTGGGCTTCGCAACTCTGCTGATATAGTAGAAAAAATGGCTTCCATCTCCTCCAGGCAAGTCAAAAATTTTCTTCAAGAATTTGACCAAAGACGGCCGTAGTAAGACTTCCAATGTTGTGTTGCCGCGCTTCTGCCACCAGGTTTTGCGGTCCATATCGGCGACCTTGCGACCACTGCGTAGCCAGCCATAGATGGCTATTGTGTTGTGTAAAGCGGCGCATCTGTCAAAATCCAATTCTGGCGCTTCTCGTGGCGGTCGTTGAGATGTGACCCTTTGGTTGGCGATGGAAGCAAAGGGACTCGCCATTTTCCACTCTCCCTGTTTCTTTTCGAATTTTCTTTGTTTAGGTCAGTCCAGCGATTTCAATGTCACAGATTGTCTAGCTGGCCGAGGATATGAGAGGGGTCCAAGAAGAGGGGTCACCAAGGTGTAGTTCAGAAAGGCGCAGATGTATAAAGTCCCCTTGCCGACGATGGCGTTCCGGGCTTTTGATCTATATACTTTTGCCCTTCGGTGACCGAAAAGCAGAGCCGCACGCGCGGAAGAAACGGCCTACCTACGTAATGGCTGTGCACTGGCCTTCTTGAGCCTTGAGAAATAAGTAAATACACAGCCAGTAGAATAAACAAGGAACTGGTCACTTTGGAACAGGAGGAATTGATCAAGTAGGAACAGCAGTTGGCGCATGTGGGCGTTAAGCCGGTGTCTTGGTGTAACTTTGTATCTTCCGTATAACAAGACTTGATTCTTTCGCGACTTTCTATGAAAAATATACATCATTTGTGTTTCCCGGCTACGGAATAAACGCTACAAAAATGATGGAACAATGAACCAAGATGGTTTTTCCATTGATGACCTTTTTTGCGTATCATAAGTGGTCATGAATGACATAAGATGACCATCACGGTTCTCTGAATTTATCCATTGCGACCCTGTTGATCCCTGAATGTGGGCTTCGATGGATCGATCCACCGGGCCGCACAAGGAAAATTACCCGGGGGTTGGTCCAGAATTGATACATGCAGGTCAGCAGATGTAGAATCTGGAGAAGAATATGCGAACTCCATGCTTCTTGAGCGCGTGATGGTCTCTTGGGCTTGGAGCTGCAAGAGCCGGCCGTTTGGTCGAATGCGAAGACGAAACGCATTAGCCAGTGACGTCAAAAGAGTAGTCGCCGGTCGCAAGCGAGCCCCTAGAGATGGTCATTGAGGCCAAAGCTTGGGCATAGCATAGCATAGCAGTGGTGTACTGGATACGAGGACCGCATATGCGCACAGTGGATGCGACCTTGATACGCATGTAAGGGCACGAGGCGGGACAGCGTGTCCTCCCTACCTGTGTCACAGATTGATCTGGTATAGGATGGATCTGGGCAGAAGGTATCACTTTCGGACACGGGCTCTTCTCACGTTTCCATGTTTCTCCTGCGTAGGGTATTTCTTCTTTGGAGCGACCCACTCGTCCTTCTTGTCTTTCCAGAAACCCTTGCCGTAGCTGACAAGAATTTCCTCTCCTGGTCTAATTCCATTTCTTCTCATGCCAGACTTGCCAGTGGTGACGGTGAAGATACCGATCCAGCGCTCCCACTTTTTCTCGGCAGTCTGAACCCAGATATCGCGGAACTCTGCATTAGGAGCGTCGGCGATGTTACGATAGTCGTTGATGAAACGAGCTTCGTTGCCGGATTTTGCAGCATCTTGGGCGAGGTCGAGATCTCGATCGAGCGAAATGTCGTACTCGGAATCGGGATCGGTGTCTTCAGGCTTGTTGGTATGCAGACGACCGATGTAGGGTAGGATGAAGTTGCCAGGGTGGAAGTGCTTCATAGCAGCCAGACCATATTGGCCATTGGCGGGGTGGTCTGGGTCATTGAGAGGGACGATACGAACGTCAGGATTAGGGAAGGACAAGGCGTCGGCGGAGAAGCGAGTGAAGGAAGCTGTGGCAGCAGTCGGGGTATTGAGGATCTTGAGAGCGATGGCAGGGACGGCCGGTGAAATTTTGGGACGACGCAGGTACTCGATGTCTTCGGGCCAGTCGATGGGCAATTCTTGCTGTGGCACGTCTTCTTGTTGTGGTGCGGCTTCCTCTTGTGATGTTCCTTCTTGTGTTGGTAAGACCTCGTCTGGGAATGCTCCTTCTTGTTCCGGCATGATTGCTGCTTGTAGAATGGAAGAATATCGAGATGGCGCAAAAACTTCTTGACGAAGTCGCGGAAAAGAGCCGCCCAAACTGCTGCCCCGCTGCTGTTCGCACGTTTCATCCTCCAGACCCTTGACACTTGACACTCCACTCGACCCTTGCAGACCACCTGCAGGAATGGCGACCGTCTTTTCGACGTCGGCCGTTGACGCCCAGGTCGCAGCACTCCGTCAACAGATCCAGGCCGCTGAAGAACAACTATCCCACCTCCGAGAACAGTTGGCCCATGCCGAGGAGGCCCAACACCGCGCTCAAGATGCTGGCAAGCTCGAGACAGACTGGCAGCAAGAGATCCTGGGCGCGCTGAACAGCCCACAACACCAATACTACCAGGACCAACAACCAAATCAGAGATTTGGCCTCAGCAATGCCGAGTTTAAGCGCTACGGACGCCAACTCATCATGCCCCAGGTTGGCTTGCAAGGACAATTGCGACTGAAGGCTGCCCGAGTACTCATAGTCGGCGCTGGAGGTCTGGGCTGCCCTGCTTCTGCATACCTCGCTGGCGCCGGCGTCGGCACTCTGGGTCTAGTGGACGGCGACACTGTAGAAGAGTCAAACCTTCACCGTCAAATCGCTCATTCCACCGATCGCGTCAGCATGTTCAAGGTCGATAGTGCAATTGCCTATCTACGCGGCTTGAATCCCAATGTCAACTACATCCCACACAGGGCTCATCTCACTCCCTCTACTGCACTGGAAATCTTCTCCAACTATGATTTCGTACTTGACTGTACAGACCATCCAACCTCCCGCTACCTCATCTCGGATGCCTGTGTCTTGTCGGGAAAGCCCCTTGTATCCGCCTCTGCTCTACGCACAGAAGGTCAATTGTCTGTCTTGAATAATCCTCCGCGAGCTCCTGGTGCATCAGATGGTGGTCCTTGCTATCGTTGCGTCTTTCCACGCCCTCCACCTGCTGAGTCTGTCGTCAGCTGTGGTGAAGGTGGTATTTTGGGACCTGTTGTTGGCGTCATGGGCATCCTTCAGGCTTTGGAGGCCATCAAGCTCATCACCTCTCCGCCCAATTCTGCCGCGGCTCCTCCATCCCTTCTTCTTTTCTCTGCCTACAGCATACCTCAGTTCAGGAATGTCAAACTTCGCTCAAGACGTCTTGATTGTGCTTCGTGTTCGGCAAGTCGTACCGTTACCGAATCAAGTCTGACTTCTGGATCAATGGACTACGTCGCCTTCTGCGGCGTTACCAATCCAGTGGATATACTACCACCCTGTTCACGCATAAGTGCCGGGGATCTGCTTTCCACTCTTGCGTCCTTATCGCCACATGATGATGAAGCTCCGATCGTTCTCGATGTCCGCGATCAAACACAATTCGAGCTGTGCAGTCTCCCTAACAGCATAAACCTACCGTATCAAGGACTACAGACTCGTCTTCGCCAGGACACCCAAATCCTCGAAGATCTCAAGGGAAGAGATGTCCTAGTAGTCTGCAAACTCGGCAATGACTCCCAACTTGCCGTGCAGATGTTGGAGACCATGAGTTCTGGCAGTATGAAGAGCATAAAAGATGTTCAAGGCGGTTTCCGCGCATGGAGAAATGAAGTGGATCCTGAATGGCCCGATTATTGATTTCCTCAACTCTGCAATATTACACTCTCGAACATATCCCCCAATCCTCTTTCCTTCAGCCATGCCTCTATAGCAGCCATATCACCTCTATTTTGCCTGGCCCCATGCCTCTCTCCCACTAGATCAGTAATTTCTATCATGCCATCAAATGCCCTTGTGATCTCTGGACCAGTTTCTCTGTATCTCTCTGACACCTTTTTCTGATGTGAGGGAATATCGCCCCAGCTGACTGTCTTGATCTCATTCATATAGGCATCGATGTCAGGTGCTAAGCCTTCGAGACATAGCATTCCTGGCTTTCCAGCAAGAACAAAGCCAGTCAGAGAGTAGGAAGGTGCCCAATCAACCATATGTTGCCGCTTTTCCCTTGTGCTGAGAGAAGGAAAGTAAAACCACACACGCACCAAAGGCCCCGTCGATGCCTTTGCTTCTGCAGCTGTACTTTTTCTTGTTTCAGAAGGGATGATCGAAGGCCCTTCATCCCGCAAAAAGTCCAAAGCACTGAAGATATCCTCCGGAAGCTTCTCAGTCAAACTCGCCAGACTCGCTTTATCAAGCCAAACCGGTTGTCTTAATGAAAACATGATCGTTGGCGCTTCTGCAGGTTCAACCTCAGAAGTCCGTAACGGTGCTTTTACATTAACTTGAATGGAATGTGAAGCATCAAGAGAAACATGTAAAGCTAGATTGACTTCTGAGGGTGTGGACGTGATGCTTTCGCTTCCATTGTCGCGGATATTGGTGATGAGATCTAGGTCTGAAGGTGAGATTTCGTATTCGTTGGTGGAGGGGAACATGGCTAGAAGGAGATCTAGTGTTGAAATTCGAGACTCGAGGAGGTCTGGGGGTAGGAGATGGGTCGAAGTCATTGTGGTTGATGTCTTGCAAATGAACTCCCAATCCGTAGTGCAATAATATCAGGGTGCAGTCAGATATGTCCAAATTCTGATGAAATTCTCTCTTAGCAAAGGTATGCAAGGAAAGGAGATCAATAGGGTGACTGGTATTACCTTGTTTTGCGATAATTATTCTTGATGTCAATGAGTGTACAACACAACCAATACCACCAGATATACTAGAGGCTGTTTTCAGAGGACAGGCGGTGCTTCCAGCTCCAAAACTTCAATGTCAAAATAGCCTAGCTGAAGAGTTCACCAGATGATCAAGATCTGGAAAGCATTCACATAGAGTTACATCGCATGTCCAATCTCACACAACGACATCGGAGTCGTGGGAGTTTTATGAATCTTTGTGCCTTTGCACAACTCAGTGCAGAGATCAAATTCGCCAAAACCTCAAGTTCTTTCTACATTCCATCTGCGATCATCCTTCCCTTTTCCTTTGACGACAATTGGCGAGCACCAAGCCGCTAGCTCTCTGATCAAGCAAGACAGACTCTGCTTCCAGGCATGAAACGCGAAAGCCTCTGACAAGTCGTCGTGGCAGGGCGCACGCAAGCCCGATGTCGCAGAAAGCGGTAAATCTAATCAGATTGATCAGACCATCTCTGATGATCTAAGATGATCTGATAACATCTTTAAGAACTACTTGAGTCCTCATGTTATATCTCGCATGCATTTTGGTCTCTGAATCCATCTGTCTCATCTGATCCTTCTCTTTGAGCATTCCTCTCTCCTCAGCAAATCTCGTGGTTGCGTTGGAAACGAAGAAACCATGACTTCTACGTCTTCAACCTCCACACCAAGCCCGCTCCTCTCCCTCCCAGCAGAACTACGTCTCCAAATCTATAGATACGTCCTCGAAGCCTCGTCCTCTCAGAGTTCTCCTCATCTACTCTCCCAATACTGTGGACACAACACTTGGATCTCACCACCAATCTCCCACACCAACTCTCTCATCCGCAACGAAACCCTACCTCTCTACTTCAACACTACAAACTTTATCTATGATCTACGTTCCCCTTTAGATGAAGGAATAACCGGTCTTCTCAAAGTTCTTCAATGGTTTCGAGATAATAACCTCGTGATGAGTAAATTGAGGTTCAAACATGTCAACAAAGGCATCCTCTCAATCCAAGAATTAAGGAAGTGGGTAGAGTGTTTTATCGAATACTTTGATGTACTGCCAGACTCCAAAAACATCGAATTCTGTCAGCAAGGACTACAATACAGAAACTTTGCCATCCAAGCTGCTGGAGTGTTAAAAGCATTGATTGGATTTTCTGTCTCTATCAATAAAAGTATCATTGGCAGTGGAGAGGAAAAAGAATTGGAAGAGTGGATAGAAAAGTTTTTGGAAAAGACGGAAGAGGGAAGGGTTGTTCTTAGAGGTATCAAGGTTGCTGAGGAGTTTGTCAAGGGGTTTGGGGCTGCTGCTGGGGGTGAGGTGCAAGGGTTTAATGTTTTGAGGTGGGCGTTGATGAGTGGAGGTATGATTGAGGGATTGAAACATGCTGGGTATACATGAGATTACAACACTGAGAATTTTCGAAAAGCATTGGCTCTTTGCATGTTGATTGACGTTCATGTGGATACCTCATATGGTATCAAGAGACCGTGAAAGGACAACCCATTGTTGATGTCCTCGTTCTGCTGCTTTCATCCGCCATCACAATCGAATCCCTTCATTGCAAGAGCCATCTGCCAACATTGCTCTCATATCGGTCTCGCCCGGGTCTTCTCAGCAAATATCGGCAAACTCATCTCTCAGTGTTTCTGGCTTTTTCGAGGTGCTCCCTAGCATGAGCAGTGCAACGCTTGTTAACACTCTCCTTGACTTCATTTGCAGACGTATCCCAACCAGGACAGAGGTGTGTGGGTTCCCATTCGACTGCAGTGCTCGCCTTAAGAGCTTGGGTACAGATGTCGCAGTGTTTGTGGATGCAGCCGCAGAGCATGTAGGTGGTAACTCTTGCACGACACATGTTGTGCGTTGTTGGACTTGGATGTCTTGGGTTGGATAAATGCAAAAGACTAGGATTGGAATTAGCAAACAGTGTCGTCTTTATGGCAAGCATAAATGAGACTTTACCTCTGTACTTGAAGTGTAGATACTCGTATCAATGGACAAGAATTGGTGATATCGAGATGGTCTTTGGTATGCAATGGTCCGACTTGAATATTGGCTTGATGAAAAATGGTGTTTTGGGAAAAGGAGCAAGAGTGTTTGGACACTGGGTTCAAGTACAGAAACCCTTCCATCGTGCCTTCACGTTCTGCATTTGTTGTGTATGCGTGGTACCGCACGTGGCATTGTTATACCATGCGTTGTGGAAGGTACGACTGGTAGGACTTCTTGCTTTGCTGAAATCGGATAAAAATACAGTTGGCAGGTCAAGCATGCGAAAGCACGTGTTCGAGAGCGTGTCAGTCTTGGACCTGCGGGTGGTATCAACGGCAGAATTACCAGGATGCAATGGCGAGGATTGGATTCTTCTTGTGAGCAGAGGATACAGTATGACAATTGGAGATGGCGCATGAGGAAGATAGTTAGTATTCCATTCAACAAAGACGTTACTCACTTGTCCAAAGCTTGCACCAAGCGTAGACTTATTATTTGGCTGGCCTAGTACGCTCCCACATTTCGTATATAGTCTGGAAGACGCTTGTAGCAAGTTTGAGGGTATCCTCATCGACGTTGCTTCCACCAAAGCGGCGTTGGAATCTGTCAGGATGCCAATTGACACTCTCATCTTTCAGAGTCTTGACTCGAACATCTTCAGAGTCCAGAGGAGCATTGGAGAAGAAATCTTCAACATTCTGTTTGGCAACATCTTTGGCAGCCAGACTTTGAACGGGCCAAGGAATTGCTCTGAGTAGTTCTTCGCCTTGAAGTTGTGCAGAATTGGTTTTGAGGTCTTGCCATCTTTGTTGATAAGACAGCCAGGCTTGTTGCCATTTCTTTGCTTCTTTCCGTTTGGCACCTCGAGCAAGAGCAGCGTCGACATCAGACATGAAGCTCTTATCGCGTGGCGCATCTCGAGTGTCTGGCTTTTGACGACGTGTGCGTGTAGATCTCTTCTCATAGCCCTTCTCTTCATTGCCAACCCATTCAAAGTCTTCCTCGTATTCCTCATCCTCGCTATCATGTCTCCTCTTCCTCGATCTAGCGTTTTGAGCCTCCTCTTCACGTTCAGCACGCGCTTGTCGTTCCCTGAGCAACTCGGGGTTCTTCTTTTCCCACATCTTGGCTTTGACGTATTCAACGTATTGGTCGTCGGTCATTTGCTCGAGATGTCCTTGATCATCTTTGACAGAAGGTCGAGGGTATGAGTGGATAGACTCTCCATAGACACCTTCCCAGTAAGCGGCACCTTCGTCATCTGCCATGGCATCGAACAGCGATTCTCGAAAGGCAAGATCTGGGTCTACGGAGTGAGCAGCATTGGGCTCGGGTTGAGGAGAAGCTGAGATGGACGGATCCAAGTACTCAGAAGTGCGCGGTCGCGAGAAGGGATGAGCGGTATAACCCTGTATGTCGGCTTCGTCATGCTCACGTTCGTGTCTAGAAGTGTGCCTGTGTCTGTGTCTGTGTGATGAATGCTTGCTCTTGCGTCTTTCACTACCACCACTTTTGCCATCCTTGAATCGGAAGCGCAAAGACGGCGGCGATCTGGATCGGCGTCTCTCGCTGCGATGGTGCCTGTTGCCCTCTCTCTCGTCGCGCATGCGTGTTGAACGGTGGCGCGTCATACGGTCATATTCGTCCAGAATGCGCTCGTGCTCGCGCTGCGTTTGTTCGTGTGATTGGCGCGCGTAATCATGGTCTCGTATCTGCTCTTTGATCTGATTGATGCTATCTTGGATGCTGGGCATCTCGAGTGCTGTGTCGACAATAGTAAGAATCCCAGCAAGATTCAAGAAGCGGTGCCAAGTCGAGAGAGCCAACGCCTCAGCGAGCCGAGAGCAAGAACTTGAAAGTCAACGAACCAATCTTTACAACCGACATCTCAGCTAGCATGAGGATATGCTGCAGTCACAGTCATTTGGTGAGGATTGTGTATTGTGACATCACACAAGATAAAAAGCAAAGTGGAAAGGTAAGTAATGAAGAATTATTGTTCATTCGAAAAGTTCGTTATGCTACATTAAAATATTCGTATCATCATCTTTGGAGTGGGTGATCATGGCGAGTTGCTTATTTCATGAAGCCCTTCTTGCCGTCACCGTCAGCATCCTTCATGGGGTTAAGCTTGTCCAAGAGGGAAGGCTTCTTGTGCTCGGTGGTGCCGGTGGTGTTGGAGGTGTCGTGGCCAGTGGCACGCTCGCCCTCGCGGACATCATCCTTAATGCGCTGACCAGTGGACTCGTGCTGGCCGGTGGTGGTGCCAGTCAAGCCGGAGCCGGTAGAGCCGTGGTGGCCAGAGAGATCACGCTCGCCCTCACGGACGTCCTCTCTGAGACGCTCACCAGTGGAGCCAGTCTGGCCGTAACCAGAGGGGGTAGAGCCAACGCCGGAGCCGCCAGTGAGGCTGGAGCCTGCAGTCTGGCCGTATGCGCCGGTGCCGGTGGTGGATGAGCCAGTGAGGCCAGAACCAGTGTGCGAGCCAGTAAGGCCGCGCTCACCCTCACGAACGTCCTCTCTCAGGCGCTCACCAGTGGTGCCGGTCTGACCATAGCCAGTACCGGTGGTAGATGAGCCGGGAAGGCCGGTGCCAGTGGTGTTCGAGCCAGTGAGGCCAGAGGCGCCACCAGAGTAGCCGGGAATGCCAGTGTCTCTGCCGCTGGCGGGGTCAAGGAGCTCACCGGTGCGGGTGTTGTGGTTGTGGCTGAAGTCGTGGCCGTGGTGAGCAGTGCCGTGGTGGAGCTGGTGACGCTCCTGAGGGTCAGAACCGCTGAAGCCAGTAGACTGGACGTTGCCAGCATCGTAAGGAGCACCGCCAACACCAGCGCGTCTGACACCAGAGACGGGCTCAGTGCCGGACTGAGAGAGACCGCCGGTCAAACCCGAGCCAGTCGAGCCGTGGTGGTGGTTGTGGTGGTGGTGAGAGTGAGAGCCGGTGGTGCCGGTGGTAGAGCCGGTCAAACCTGAGCCCTGGTTGCTGAGGTCGCCGTAGTTGGAACGACTGTCGGTCTCCTGCTGACGACCGGCACGGGTGAGGTGGTCATCGACACCGTCATGACCGGTACGACCGCCGGGGATGTCGGAGGCCTGCTGACGCTTTGTGCGGTCCATGGTCTCGGTGCTGCCACCCTCGAGGGCGTGCTCAGAGGTGTTGTCTGTTGCGGGATCGCGATTATTGCTGTTCTCGGCGGCAGTAGCATTGCTGTCAATGCCCTTGGCCTCGGCAGAGCCGACCTTGACTTCGTGGCCACCAGCTCCAGGCTCGTTGCCATGGGGGTGGGCCTCACGGCGAGGGTCATGCTCTCCAAGATCACCGGGGAGATGGGCTGAAGTTGTGTTAGCCATGATGTGAATTGAGGTAAGGTGATGAGGAGCTCAAGCTTGGCTTACCAGGAACGTTCGACATAATGGTTGTATTTATCTGTGGTAAAGGTTTGAAGAGGGTATGGGGTAAAAGGTTGATGGGGTATCAAAGATGAGAGTTGTTTTGTGTAGAGAAGATGTTATGGTATGAGAAAGTGTGTGTTGGAGGGAATTGAGCGAGGTATTTAAATGCGTGTGGTGAGAGAGCTGTCGTTCGATGGCTACCAGGTATGATGTATTGTTACCCCACCATGGCACGTCATTTGGGAAGCAGCTGCCAAACGCTTGCTGACTGCCCCGCGATTTCCTTCATGGCACATCATCATGTCCATTCTTTGTCTTTCCATAAGCGTTTCCTTGTTTCTATTCCAAGTGATAATCTTCTTCTATAGCCAACTTGTCATCATAGCACGCGTAAACTCAGTCACATCGAACTTGCAAATCCTGTCATCAAGGGTCGAATGTAGGCATGGATGCGGCAGAGCCTCGTCAGAGCAAGCTTCGCTTGTAAGGGTCTGGACTCTTGATTTTCCTGGTTTCTCGTCCTTCGATGCCCTTCTTGCGCACAACCGACGTCAATTCTTTCTAGCTAGCTCCATTCCTTCCTGCCACGCAAGCCTCATTTCCTTCTTGTCAAGCCACTTTGTCGTGCTTGGTCCTGCAGACGTCAAGCCACTTGGTCTAGCTGCAAGTTGCACCTGCTGTAATCCCGATCCCTCCACCAACCTAACGGCTGTAAACCTTGGACAATCACGAAACTCACATGACCCTGTACGCATCATGCTTAACTAGAACCAAGGCCAGGGACATCTTGGCTAGCCTTGTTTTTGTGTATAATGAAATGACGGCAGCTTTTGACGAACCTGCTCATGCAGGTTTTCTCCTCGCGGCAGTAAAAGCAGCCATGCAGCCGTCGTTGAGAACAGCGAACGTTTTGACTAGGTAGTTGTGCATGGGTATAATTTTAGGTCGTTAAGATACATACATTAGAAATTAAAGACAAAGGAGATAGACACCAAAGCCATCTCGAGGGATCATCGGCCTGCCAGACGTTCCATTGCTTGACCTTGAACCAGTCCAACCAAGCAAGCGTGTATCATTGGCGTCTCGTTCGTTTCGTAGCTGATCTGCACTTCGACAGTGCGAACGACACTCGACATGTCCTGTTGTGCTAGGAAGCCTTCTTGTCTCGCTGGGGTCATCAAAGCGACCACTCCTACGCCAGCTCCTGTCTTACTTTCTATATCATCCGTTCCTGTCTTTCTTTCTTCGTCATCTGCTCCTGAGGTGTGTACGCTGCGCAGCGAGATTGTGTCATCCCAAGGCTCCATTTCCTTGCGAGTCATTGCGAAGAGTTTGTTGGCCTTCTCGCGTGCCTCCTGGGCAAGAGGTCGTAATAGAGGTAGCGATGTGACGGTGAGCACGACATTAAGTTCGACCGAGACCCACGTAATGAAGGGTGTAAGCTCATCTGGATTGCTCATTAAATTTGGCGTAATTGAGGCGACCGAAACTGTTCTTGTGACTTACATGTATAATCACCAACATCGCTGAGTTTGTGGGCGGCGACTGTTCGTACAATGGCTGCAATCATGGCTCTGCGTTCAGATGCTATCAGTTCCAAGATCCGTGTGAGGTCCTATGGCTGTCTTACATGATACTCAAACAAAGTAAAGAAGCGACACCAATCTTGTTGCTTGTTGCCAACTTGGTATGCATAATCAACAGAGCAGGCTGAACAGTCAAAAAGAAATCGGTCAGAGTATTGAAGGCTGGTTCCTCGTCAGCATGTATCACAAGGGTATCTCTCTTTCAAGTACTACTGACCACCAGCAAAGTAAGCATAATTTGTCTGGATTTCTACGGGCAAGCAGTATGTGAAGTACTGGCCAAGTTGTAGTGCAAACAGGCCGTCAAGATGAGTTCCGCAGGTTAATAGAAGAATAAAAGATGCGAGAACGTTGACAATGAGCTGTAGGATAATAAACATCCAGATGGGCCATTTCTTGGTCCGAGGATCGGTGTTGGCGACACAAAGAAGGAATGCACAAAAGCTGAGGCGGCCCAACATGGGACAGAAATAACTCCAGATTAGAGAGAGGAATCCATATTTGATAGCCAGGTACCTCTGAGCGGGCTCGAGGTAGAAGACATGACGACCGAGACCATTGCAGAACGAGATTTGTAAAAAGACAGCATGAACCCAAGCAAGCAACTAGAAGCTTAGTCATTACAATGGATTAGGATCGAGACATACGGCCTGACTCACCAAGGCAAGAGCCATAAGCCCATCATCGAGATAGAGTCGACGAGTCGTTCGGAATTTGATGGTCAGTCTGGTAGTGACCACGACTGTAGAAATCCCGAGCAAGACCCATACTACCCTGACCACCGGAGCAGACAGATCAATGTCTGGCGTATCCTCTCTTGCCACAGAGAAGAGACGCTCAAGCAAAGCCTCTTGTTGCGTCTCATTCAACGTCAAGATCAACGACTTCAAAGCCCCGACACCTTCGTAACCCATTTTGACATTCGCCTTCGACGACAGGAGTGAACAGGGAACCCTTCCCTTATATCAGCTAGCAAGAAGAGATGAGACCCAATTCATGCACAAACCCATCAACACCCATACTTCCACGTGCCAACTCGGTATGTGGAGCGCACTAATCCATCGATCGACGGCGAGAAGCGAAAGGAAGGTTCATGCTCAGGCAATCGTAGGCTCAAGGCGCCTTTTCCTATGTGCCAACAGGAGCTTAGTCCCGAGCGGCAAGCTGTTCCAATATCCAGATGACTCGCGGCAGAGCACTATGAATCGTGGGGTACCCATATGTGAGAGTGTTGAGCATACATTACGGTCTAGCGGTAGCTAGATCCAAGAAATTGTGGCTTCAAACAGTCGTGGGGAATGGCTAGACGCAGTTCTTTTTTCGGCCATACAGCGAATCAAGCTCTCACTTACAGAGTTGGAAGTATCAGATTCCTATAGTTGCTTGTTGGTGAAACTGCCTCTGTCTGGATGGAAAGAGTCTTGCGTAGGTAATGATTGATACGGCAGGTGACATATGTAAGACCCTGGTTTTGGCCTGACTGCCTGTCTGTCTGTCTGAGCTAAAGAGAAGGCATACCAAAATATGGTATCTGTAGCCGGGCCGTCAATAAATATATATTGTGCCATCTCTGTGGTCTGGTAGCGACTATGCCCTCATCTTGATGGTACCTGGTAAAGTAGTAGATGCAGGAAACAACCGAAACGGAGCCGCATCTCCTGGCAATGATTTGCGGAGGTCACCGTCTGGAAGGCTTGTTGACGGAGAATCTTCAACTGACACGACATTGACGACTCGCCGCGAGTACCAACAAAGCGACAGACATGTTAACCATCGCGCCATCATGATCCAGCAGGTAAATCGCCATTTGGAATTGCCTAACTGAGGTTATTAGAGGCGAAAGTGGGCATCGTCCCCGTCTAATGTGACAGCGCCGAAACCAAATTCGCAAAGCGTGTCTCAGTCTCATTCATACTACAGCCTTCGCTCCACGTCCGTTCTCGACCGCACGGCAGCCACGACTCGGCCACAGCGATAAGCAGCAATTTGCGATTCGTGCTGATGGATATCATCGCGGCTACCATGACTCTTTTGTTCCTTCAAGACCTTGTTTTGGGGACCACAAAGACGACCAAACTTGACGGCTGCACGGGTCTTTGAAGCGGCATATGCTCTGTGGGGTTTCGAGGCATTTGTTGAGTAGTGCATGACTTGCAAACCTATCTCACCAGTTTAGTTACATCTACGATTCGCTACGGAGTACAACCCGCGACTGAATCTGTGATTTATCAGCAGACATGGCAAGAAAATCGGTACCACATATTCGGTATTGATCTGTCAAACTGAACTCAGATTGATTGAGAACCAGATCAACTACACACATTAAGGCCGGCTGGTTAATATTGCAGGGCACAATTCATAACCGATCAAGCCCTACTCGGCACATAGATGACGCGGGACATCTTGTCAAAGGCAAAATATATTAAAGATTGTTCGATATTATCCTAGCTTATATTGACTTCATCTATAAAAGGCCAATTACCACCCATGGCCATGGGCATGACCAAATGACTGTCCGAATGCCTGTCCACTAGCCGCTGAGAACATGTAGCCGCATGCGCCGTTGCTTAGAGCATAGAGTCCAGGAAGCTGCTTAATTGCGGCAGGAGTATACTGCAAAGCATTTGCAGACTGAGCAGGGCAAGTGTTTGCGTAGTAGATGAGGCAGCGACCGCCGAGGGGGAGCAGGGCTTGGAAAGCAGATCCAATGCAGTTGCTGGACTGCTGGCATTGCTCGCAGCATTGCTCAGCCGAGCTTGCAACAGTGGTCTTGTACTTTGCCTGACCATTGACGGAAGCCACAGAGTTGAGGATGTTGTTTGTTTGACATGCGGCATAGGCAGTGCTGGTAGATGTGACCTCAGCAGTCACAAACTTGTTCGAGTAAACATTGTAGCCCTTGGTCACGGTCGTGACGGCGGTGGTGTAGATGGTCTTTCCGTGACCGAACTTTGGCAGGACCTGGATGGTGGCAGTCGCGCTGACAGTAGCGGTCACTGTAGCCTGAGCGAGCGTGCTGGTCTGGGTGGTTCCAGTCATAGTAGTGTCGATAGTCTTCTGGATAAGGACACTCTTCAAGCAGTGAACAGCATGGGCAAATTGCTTGATGGGGTTCTTGGGGCTTCTTGCCTCCAGATCAGCAGAGCCATCACTTGAGGCACCAAAGCCGGAAGCCGAAGCAGTCATGTTGAAACCGGCAGATGCGGAAGCGGAAGTAGCAGCAGATGCGGAGCTCGATTGCGAAGGGGCAGCACTAGACTGCGATGCGCTAGCCGAAGAGCTGCTGAGCGATTGTCCATTAGGGTAAGCCGAGTTCGTTGTGTTGGCGATAGGAAGGAATCCAGCGGGAGTTGGTACCGTTGTGAATACATTGGAGACTTGGGTCTGCGTGTAGGTGTTCACGATAGTCGAAGTTGGAACGAACTCGGTGTGTGTCAGTTGGATGGTGACAGTAGATACAGCAGTGTCTGTTTCTTGGAAGGTGTGAGTCCAGAATTTGGTGAAAGGTAGAGGAGTGAAGAGATGTTGAGGGTGGAATGTGTGCTTGATGATAACGTCGGGCTGTTGGATTGTTGTAGTTGCGACTGATGTCGACACTGTCTTAACAGATGCAGTGCCACTTGAGGTTACACATGACTCGAAAGCACTCCAGTTGACAGCACCAAGTGCAAGAGAGAAGAGCGGGAAAGTAGCGAGAGCAGAGGACCGCATTTTAAAGATTAAGATTATGAAGAACGAAAGACTGAAGAGAATAATGAGTGAATCAGAGGAGTATAGAGACCTCCCTTTATATCACAGGCAGTTTCAAGCCACGCGAAAATGTAGCTATGTGCCGTGTAATGGTGACTGATGAAATAGGCCAGCGGCAGATGGCATTGATCCTAATGCGTACTTACTATCGAGTTCGAGCCAGAGTTGTTTTACTTTCCTCCCCAGGAATCTGGAGAATGAAGATCTAGAGTTTTTCAAAAGTGGTCGATAGAAAAACGTTGAAACTGCCGATGGATTCTATGCCGAGATGGTGCACCACGGCAATGCCATTGCAGAAAAACCTAGCCTTGCTAGATCAGCGTGTAGAGAATATTTGACTATGTGAGATCCAGAACTGTAGCAAGGTCTGAGATACTCCGAATGGTAGTGTTGGATATGTGTTGTAGTCCTGTCCAGCATCCAAGCGCAATCTTTTGATGGCGGCTGAAAACAAGCATCGCCGTTGAAACCCACAAAGCTTAGAATCGATAACCACGTTCTCCCAACATTTGACCACTTCAGAAGATATGTCAGCATACTAGTATCTAAGCGACTCGCGAGACAAAGCTGTCCGGGCATATGGCGAAGAGAAGCACAAAAGAAAATTGAGATAATCATTTAGGATGTCCAGTTTCGAAGGTGGACCCAACCCTTTCCTTTGCTCGTCAGTGAAAAAGAAAATGGGTATCATGTGTAAACATCAAGCAACCGCCCGCCCATGAAGAGCCTTAAAACGCCAACCCCCAATCATATGCAATGTACTGCTTAGGCAACAGCACTCGTCTTGCGGGAATGCGTTCCTGTCATTGTGCGCTGCACGCCGCTCATTCTTCTGTCGCTGTTGTCCGGTGTTGCATTCATAGCATCCAAGCCGTTCATGCCATTCATGAGATTGTTGTTGTCTTCTTCAGGTGGAGGGCCAGTGCGGAAGAGACCTGCTCCCTTTCCGCCCAGAGCACTGCTCATCATTTCCTTGATGCGGACATATTGATATTTGCGTTTGAGGGGGACGGGCTGTGATTGCCAGAGAGGGCGTGGCTGGGAACGTGCGATGGCGGCAAGAACAAGATCCTTCTCTTCGTCTGAGTCGATAGGACCAGCGTGAGCGAACTCGTCGTCTTGGAATGGCTGTTGAGCTTCGAGAGCTTGCTCTGGAGTGATGATTAGCAACACGTTGTGATAAAATGACGGATCAAGACGTACTCTGTAGCTTTGCCTGGTTCTTGCGCTGGTACTCGGCCAGCAGCTTGTCATAGGGCGCACTTCTGCCGGGCACGGCACGCTTTGCACCCATGCTGTGGCTCTTGCACGTCAAACTGCGAGCGCACTGAGCACCATTGGCAAGAGGTACACCGCACTGTTTCTCGACATCGACAGGCGCCTTTGGACGAGGGGCTTTGGCCTTTGGCTCGTCCTTCTTTTTCTTCTTCTTTGCGCCTTCGGTCGAGTCCTCGGCCTTGCGCTTCTTGCCTGAGGTGCCGTCGTTCTTACCAGCCGTCTTGGCACCCATTGTGATGTCGTCCTCTTCAGAGTCACTGTCGGCGTTCTCTCGTTCAGCTCTTCGCGCGGCGGCGTCGCGTGCGTCCTTGGCTTCTTTCTTTTTCCGTTGCTTTTCCTGCTTCTTTTGTATACACTCTTCGATGTGCGCTTTGGCTTTGTGCCTCAGCACGGGGCGTTTGCAGTGGTTGCATCTGACAATGTCCGCTTCATCTTGCATGGGATGACCGGTAACGAATGCCCGGGCAACATCCATAGGCACGCGATTGACGACTCCGCTCGTGTCTTTGTCCATACCTGATGCGAGGCATCATCAGCTTCACCTTCTTAAGGATGGCTCTCGACGTGACTTACCTCCAATGATGTCCGAGTCCCAGTTGCCTGGTTTCGACGCCTTGGGCAGCCTCTTGACAACATCATCTTTGAGCTTCAACGATTGCCTTTTGGCATCGTTGCCTAGAGCCTCGTCGACTCTCGCGCGCGACGCAAAGTTGAACTTTGGCTTGCCGGCGGCCGGCGCTTTGGGAGAGAGTTAGCTGTCGGGCGCATCGCGCTATGTGCGGCATGAGCGCTCACCCTTGCGACCCGTGCCATTTGGCGCCATGCTGCTAATCACAGAAACTCCTTGGTTCTTTCAAACCATCGGGTGCTGTCGTATACCAACTGCCTGATTGTCCGCTCTCCAGCAATGACCTATTGCGCCAAGATACGTCGTCAAGGGAGTGCTCCAGCCTCCGCCTCCACGTTCGGGGATTGGGTTGAAGCCTTGCCGACATCATGCCGATCTAAAAACAGCTCGGTCGCTACTGCTATCACCCTGTCAATACTATCATCGAGACACATGAGGCCTCTACATGTTTTTAAATGACTAAATTTCTAGCAATAAACCACAGATTGAAGTTTTATAACACTCTAGTAACCTATTATGCCCTTTCCGCTTCTTCTTTGCGTCGTTCTCGCTTCATTGTCTACAGTCAGTGGTTCGAAACGAAGCACGCCAACAACCCACAGTGATTTTACACCTGCACTTCGTTCGACAGAGTTGCATTCGCGCGGAACTTGATCAAGTGCCATTCATCTCGAAGATACACACTGCTCAGATCCTAGACTCCTCGTTTCTCCTGTCCTGGATCGTCGTTCGGCCAGTTCCCTCCTTGCGCTTGAAATGTTGGTGCTTTAAAGTGTGTACTTGAGCTTTCAAGAAAGGCCTTGACAGCAGGTCCAAGATCCACTTTAAGCACATCGACAACAAGAACTCTTAATCCGCACATAGCGATGTAGAAGGCGATCCATTTGATCAAGGTTGCTATCGCGTGTACCAAGTTGTGCATCTCGGCTATGGTCTGAGCGTCGTCTGCGAACGCCTAAGAGAAGTGTGAGTGCTTGGTTGCATTGCTGGTGTTTACTAACTCACCATTGTTGCGGTGGTTGGAAGAGATGGAAGGATTAACGGGTAGATTGAGAGGGTGAGATGTCAATAGTGGGATTCAGTCTCCGCTTCCTTCGACGATCATCTCAACTGCTGACTGATACGTGTTTCGCGATTCTCATGACTCTTTCTTCTCCTCACCAGGCTCCCTGCATGACGGATCCGCGCCGTATGCATGGGAAGTTGATGGGCTTGAGGCTCCGTTCATCTTTCTCTGCGGACGGCTGCCGAGAGGATCGTAGGTCAACACTTTGATTACGGCTGTGACCATCACTTTTACCGTGTATGCAAATAGACACATGGAGATGCATCTGATCAGGCCTGCCAACGAGTGTAAGAGGTCGGCCAGGCCTCTCTGTACCCGGGGGTCATCTGCGCATAGGCCCTACTCAATCAGTATTCGTTTCCTTTTTGGTATCTTGGATGCTCACTCACCATGATAATGTTTCAAGACAAGAGTGATAAGATACACAGAAGGCAATTAGAACCTTTCTCGAGAACAAAATTGGCAATCAGAACGATCTTGTAGTGAATTCAGGGAGTCAAGTACAGATTATAAAACGGGATCTGCGTAATCAAAAGTCATAAGTCGTTAAGCCATCCGTTTACCAAGCCTTCTTGCCTTGGCCAGCAGCCTCAACTCCACGAGCAATGTTGTTTGTCCCATCTTCGACACCATTTCCGAGAGAAGCCAAAGCATCACCAAGTGGCTTGCCAGTGTTGCCGGTGACTCCAGTTACAGTGTTGCCGACTTGTATAAACCATTAGCGTAAGCTGTATGTAAACATAATCCAAAACTCACTTCCTCGAGCAGCAGCTCCAGTGACACCTCCTACAGTGCCCAAGAGGCCACCGACACCGTTGCCGATTGTAGAGGTGACAGCAGTCACGCCTCCAGCGACTCCAGAGTTTTTGTTCTCTCCGATGGGCATTGTGATGATCAAGCTACCAGGATGTAAGAATATGGTACTCGTATTTTGAGGCATAGTTCTGGAACCTACTTTGTGAGAGGGGTTGCGATGGATTCTGGAAAGATTGACAGGAGCAATCGCAACCAATTTTACCCCTGCTACGGATATATATATACCTATGGCCATCGACATGGGTGGTTGGTGAGCTACATTGCCATGACGTCGATGGGCAGGTGGCTCATCCTGCATGTGATGATTGCGGTTGGTGGATGAATGTAGACATGTTACACCAAGCAAAGCACTTGAAGCATATGCAACTATATGCCGTGCCACCTCCAGCTAAAGATGTCCAATCGAGTGGTATAGCCGTTAAACGAAAGAGTTCGGCGAAGTGACGTATGCGAATCCATGGAGATAACGGCGAATAACCCAAGATGACTCTTTGACCTTCCAACACATAACAACAATGGCAACGACAGCGACGACGACGTTTAGAAGGCTTGCTAGACCATCGGTGCTATCAAGTTGGTGCAGACCAACTTGCGCAGCACAATGGTCGCGTTCTCTGATCACGACCAGACCAGGCGCGAAACACCCTGACTTTGCCTTTGCATTTGAGTATGTCGCATAGCCTGATCTGCCTATTGAATTGACGCTGAGATATAATGCAGCATTGATGGTGTCCTCCTTCGTTCTTCGGACCCTCTGCCTCGAGCCCACAAAGCCCTGTCGCTACTACAGACCGAACGCATTCCCTTCATCCTGCTCACCAATGGCGGCGGCAAGCACGAATCGGAAAGAGTGGACGAGCTTCGCCAGAAGCTGGATATCGATCTAGACACTTCAATGTTCGTACAGAGCCATACCCCTTTCGCCGACATGAAAGAGCTCCACGACAAGACCGTGCTAGTAGTAGGCGGTGACTACGACAAATGCCAGCTCGTTGCCCAGAAGTACGGCTTCAAGAACGTCGTTACCCCTGGCGATATCGTTACCGCATACCCTGATATCTGGCCCTTCACCAAGATCTTCGCAGACTACTACCAGAAGTTTGCCAAACCACTACCCGCTTCCATTGACGCCGAGAACCCGGACAAATCTCTCAAGATTGATGCTGTTTTTGTATACAATGATCCTCGCGATTGGGGCTTGGACACAACCATCATAACCGATTTGCTTCTGTCAAGAGAGGGAATCATGGGTACGCTATCAAGCAAGAACGGAGACAAGTCACTTCCAAACAATGGTTACCAACAAGATGGCCAGCCTAAGCTCTACTTCTCAAACCCAGACCTGTGGTGGGCTGCGAAATACCACCTACCACGATTGGGTCAGGGTGGCTTTAGAGAGGGCCTGGAAGGCGTGTGGGCAGCCATCACTGGAGGCCAGAATGCTGGCGTACAACTGCAGAAGAAGGTTATCGGCAAGCCTTACTTTGAGACATACGAGTTTGCCGAGAAGAGGTTGAGAGCACATAGAAACGACCTGTACACTGGCGAGTCAATAGAGCCCCTGCGCAAGGTCTACATGGTCGGCGACAATCCTGGTAAGGCTGCTGGTCAAAATAAAATTCCAAGATGGTTGCTAACGATGAGAACAGAATCCGATATTGCAGGCGGTAACTCGTATAAGAGTGCTTTTGGTAGCAAGTGGTCAAGTATCTTGCTGCGTACCGGCGTGTATGCAGGAGGCGAACCCGCTCACAAGCCCACTGTCATTGTCGACGATGTGTATGATGCGGTGCAGTGGGCCATCGAGGACGCTAAGAACTAGAATCAGACGTGGCAAACTGCTAAGCCATCGACCTTGCCAAAATAGACGGTACATATACATAATCTCAACTAGAGTGTAGAACATTTCATTCGCAACACAAAAAGACGATCCAACCATCTACATCCTGGATATCTTCGCTCATGATCGTCGTCAATTAAACACATCACGTCCCCTCTACCTTCCAGTCTGGTCGTATCATATCTCCAAGCAAGCTCATTTAGAAGGCGTAAACCTCAACCGCGGCGGAGAAACTTTCAGCTGCGGCGACGGCACCAGAGAAGGAGGTGCAGTATCCACATCACTCTGCGGCGGCAATGTACCACTACTCGGAGGAGCCCATCCCTTCTCCAGCACCTTGCCTATGTACGAAGGTCTCCTACTCGCACCCGGTCTCGTCGACAAAGCACCTCTGAACTCAACATAAGGATAGTCGGTTTCGTCCAACATCACAGGTCCCTGCCAACACTGCGGCGGCGCATGTGAGCGCGATCGTTGCATTTTTGGCGCCGCAATAAGCATGTCTCTCGCTCCTTGTTCCATCCTTGTAGCGTTTGCAGATGAGGGACGAGGAGTTTGAGGTGCTGCGGGTATATGCGTATCTGGCAATTTAACCAGAGGATCAAACCTCCCACTCAAGAAAGCAGAATACTCATTCGCGTTTCCAGGTAACCTATTCATCTCACTCGTCCAGTCCTCAGGCACTTTCAGCATTTGTGTTCCTGACGCTGTGCGCGAGTACATCGGTCGTCCTGTCTTGACTCTATAGGTATCATCGCCATTGGCCACGGATACAAGAGTCGGGTAGGCTGAGGACTTGGCGAGATGGGCTTCGTTGACCTTTTTGAGTGCTGTGGCTTCGTCGTTGCGGATACAAGAGGGACAGCGAAGAGGTGTATGTAGCGAGATAGGAGAGCGGTATGCCCAAGCGAATGCATAGCCGTCGCAGGGTTTATCATAGAAACGAGCTTTAGAGCAGCGACGAGGGTCCTGGAGATGAGTGCAGCCGCAAGTCCAGATGAGTATGCCTTTTTCGCACATCACCAGTATATTCGTATGGATTGTGAGTTCGTATTTAGGTATTGTCCTAGACTCGGAGGAGTTTCGTATATCAGAGAAGTCTGCTTGCGTTTGTCGACCTGTTTGTTTTGGATGCAGTATATCCATGTACGAAGAAGGATATATACATGATGAATGATAGCTTCTCTCTTCAAGCCCAGCAATATACCGTGCAGCATTGTTTGTTACACCTGGAGCCTGGACATGACATGTCTGATTGGTACCTATGAACAATAGCCAGCCAAAGTCAAGGATCGCCTTTGCAAACATTGATCTCGTGAGAGTTCGGCGAATCGCTGACCACACAGCTATATCAAGAATATGTAAGGAAGGAGGGCAAGAAATAAAAACAACTCTGCTGACAACAAGGTGGGAGACCATCGACTTACATGGTCGGTCGCACCCAGTGGCCATGTGTCTTGCGCCTCAACAACAAACGCTCATCAGATTGTCACCCCCTACGTACCTACCTGTCACAAAAACCGCATATTTATAGGTAGACTTCAGTTAGGGAGAAAGCACTTTCGTTTGTCCGACGATGGTTGCGAACCACAAACCTTCATTCAGGATTGCCGCCGCCACGTTTTCGGCATGACCGCCATCGTCGTACCGAACCGTACCATCGGGTCTCTTGTTGGAAGTCGCAGGTGTGAGAGGCGTCTAGGTGAGGCCTGTCACGTTACAAGATCGACTTTGTAGGATTTGTTACCTGTATTCCATCACACTGTGACATCGATTTCGTGCTCTTTGAAATTCTAGCAGGTCTTTCGTGTGAGGGTGCAGGTGCTGATTGGTCAGGTTGCTAGAAGCTATTCAACTGGTCAATCGAAAGATCACAATGTTTTTTGCGCTTCCAATTGGAAATGTTTGAAGCTGAGGTACTTTTCTATTGGTGCCCTTTTTCAAGGAGCCCAGGACTGGTGTTATCTGTTAGGTGTCTGTATTTCTTAATTCTGCGGCCTGCGCAGAGGATGAGCCTCCGTGTTCAAAACCCAGGAGTCTAGGTTGATAAGATCTGGTTCGCTGAAGATGAGATAGAAGTACTTCAGTGTCTCTCCAGTCCAAAAGCTTTCCATGGTATCAGTGAGTTGTGACTGCGTGTCTCGCACATCTTGAACGACGGCATATGCGATGTCCGTTCTCGCGTGCGAATCAATGGCTTGGAACATCTGCCATGCCTTGTCTTGCCATGTCTTGTCGCCTGTGATGCGATACATGTAGAACACAGACTCGATGGCCTCTGGGCGGAGGTAGTAGCGAGAGTCGACAACCTTGGCAAACCCAAGGGGAAGTCTTCCTCTCTCAATGATCTGCTGGGCTTGTTCCTTGAGAGATCTGGTACTGGTATCGATGACCCGATGAATAGCCATTACAAGACCTTTGTACCATCTATCTTCGGTCCATTTGCAGTCTTCGTCGTCGCTGCAAGGAATAGCTTCGAAGCTCTCGGGCATCATTCCGCTTGGCGTTTGCTGGTACGCCCACACGCATCCATCTGTCAATTGCTTTGCTGTCTGAATATCTTCTGGTGTGTTGAAGATTTTGGCGCCCAAAGCAACCATACCTCCGACGAAGCAAGTTAGGTGCTGTCCTTCATGCTTTCGATCGTAACTTGCACCGATTTGTCTCACGGACCCGGAAATAAGGATGTCCAAATTTTCGGGGTTGAGAGGTCTGTAGAACAGATGCTCCTTGGCCACAGCTAAACTCTTTTCGTACATGTGTTGGGTCTGCTTGTCTCTGCCGTTGAGCAGAAGATATTGCTACGGTTCTCAGCAGATGTTTGATAGATGTTAGAGAAAGAACAAACTAACCTTGGGAAAATATTCATAAAGCGAGTCGGCCATAGCACCCAGAGTGAAAACTCTATCGTGGGTAAAGTCCAACTTGCGGGCATCCAAAGATACCGGCCACATTCCTGGCAGCCTTGTGCTGTTTTGTGACTCTTCGAAAGCGTTCATAATCCTCTGAATAGCGTCGTAATACTTTGGGTCACCGGACAGCTGCGATAACCGGGTAAACTCTAGACTCAGGGACCCTATATCAGCAGAAAGCGCATTCGAAGGAGCTGATTGCAGGTCTCCTTTTGCAGCCCTGTGAGGAGTGTTAATGTAAGTCATGACCGACGACCATATTGGAACTGCTCACTTCAACCAGTTCCAGGATCCAACCACCGGCATGTTGTTGGCAGTATCAAACGAGGCATATAGCATATCACCAAGCTCAGTTGCCTTTTCCAACAAGATTGGGTATTTTCCGTTACTCAAGTCGTATGCACTCAAGAGGCCGCCTACATAGCGAATAGTTGTCTCGAAGACGCTAATCGTACGCGAAGGTGACGTGGTAAAATCAAGATGTTTCAAGGCTGCAACGGCAGTTTCGAATTCCTTCTTCATGTCCATGATCCAGAGAGTGTCGAGGGAGTCGACCAGCGTTGCCCCCCAGCCTCCGAATCCATTCTTGTATCCTCCGGACAGCGGCCTGACCTCATCTTGCAACCAAGCATTTTTCTTGTAACCGTTCCAGGAGTGCTTGAAGCTGTTCTTGACAGCTGCCAGCCTTTTTTGTCTCTTGTATCTTTCCCTCGGTGTTTCTTTGGCGAATTTGTGTTGGATGGGCGGGATCTGAGCTGGCGGTCCGTTTGGTAATGGAATCAAGGATGAGTCCAATGGCCACTGTCGGGGCAAGGTCTTCCAGCTAAAGTCCGGCGGTAAGGGGGAGTCTTCTGTTGGCGGAGGAGGGGGAGGCGGTGTCCAACCATCATGTTCTAGAACATTGAAGACGAGGGACAATGTTACACAGATCAAAATGCAGGTAAGAATCCATCTGCGCGAGATGGAGATCATAGTAGCCCGGATGTGTTGACGAAAAAGAGATATGTACAAGATGAAAAACGAAAGTATGAAGTGAGTAAGGATAGAATTGACAGTAGTAATACAGAAATGTACACAAGGAAAGACAGCTCGGACGAGACTGTGGTTGAATATATCGAAGAAACAGAGGCAGAGAAGGACGTTTCTGAAGTCTGCAACTTACTCGTCGCACTTTCGTCACTGTTCCTGCCAGGACCCCTGAATGCTGAAACGCCGATGCATCTTGGCAGCGTAATTCTACGTATTCTGTTGAGTAGAATGAGGCTATGCTCTGTATGAGCGAGCAACATCTCTGAGGAGAGCGAGTCTCATTGTGCGTATCTATGTGTGTGACCATAGGTTGCTAGGAAGATTATGAAGTCGGAAAACGGCACCCATCGCTTTAAGGCCTCGCCGAGTCTCGGCGGTTATGGTTTGGGTCTGCCAAGTGCATCGGCGCCATGTCGCGCGTCTGGCGGCTCTACGCGCGTTTGGACTTCATCGGCGGTCGGCGTCTCCACGTGATAGAGATCTGGCCATTTCAGGGAACAGAGCCTCATGGTGCAAGCAAAGGTTGACCTTGGACTTGTTGGTGACAAAGACCGAGCAAGGATGTCGGACCTATACCCGTCGCTCACGCAATGTGCAGTAGTCGCTACAGCTTTTAAAATTCTGCTGTGGCCAGCATAGTAGGTAGAGCTGCTTTGATTAGTCCTATTGATCCCTAACCCGAATGCAGCAAATCAACGGACTTTGAGGTACATCGCAATTGGCTGGCTATCACCAATTCTCTTCCAGTCAAGGATTGGTATTACGAGGTAATCAATTGTCGAGAGACTTCGAATCAGCAGTGCTGAAAAGTGTATCAGAAAACGTCAGAATGGACACTCGACTATCCCCCTTTCTTTGCAGCATTCGAATGGTGTATGTCTCAAGCTGCCCGATTTTTCGATACCGACATGCTTCAGGTCAAAAACCTTGGACACTCCAGCTGGCAAACGATTTATTTCCAGAGAGCTACCGTAATTCTGACTGAACTGGTTCTCCTTTATGCCCTTCAGCTGTATGTTTGGATGCTTCTGAGTGGATGGTACGGCTACTAAACAATCTAGATATGTTCGTGGTGCGCCAATCACCGCTAAGAAGACATCGCACGCTGCTGCGCTCTCAATTCTCCTATCTCCTGGCCTGCTCATCATCGATCATATCCACTTCCAGTACAATGGCTTCATGTACGGTATCCTTGTCCTCTCTATCGTGTTGGGCCGCAGGCAGTCGGGACTCCTGACCAGTGGCATCACGTTTGCGGTCTTGCTTTGTTTCAAGCACATCTACCTCTACTTGGCACCAGCATACTTTGTCTTTCTGCTACGAGTGTATTGCCTTGACCCTCGATCATGGTTCAGAATCCGCTTCGGCAAGTGTGTCAAGCTTGGACTTGGGATCGGACTGGTCTTTGGTCTTGCATTTGGACCATTCGTTTACTGGAACCAGATGGACCAACTCTTGAGTCGTCTGTTTCCTTTCTCCCGCGGATTGTGTCATGCATACTGGGCTCCTAACGTCTGGGCATTGTACTCTTTTGCTGACAGAATCTTAATATACTGTGAGTCGCCTTCTGCACTGGACATGAGCTGTATCTAACAAGAGTAGTGGCCCCTTATCTCAACCTCTCAGTCAACCGAGAAGCCATCAACAGTGTTACCCGTGGACTGGTTGGAGATACTTCCTTTGCTGTGCTTTCTGACATCTCTCCGAGAATGACTTTTGTTCTCACTTTGGCAGCACAAATAGTAAGTCAAGTCTACATATCGATCCAAAAGATGCTGTCGCTGACTTAATGAAGCCGGCACTTGTCAAACTCTTCTTCAGACCAACCTGGGACACCTTTGTAGGCGCCCTGACACTCTGCGGATATGCATCCTTCTTGTTCGGCTGGCATGTTCACGAGAAAGCAGTTCTGCTGGTAATTATCCCTTTCAGCTTGATCGCACTCAAAGATCGTAGACATCTCGGAGCTTTCAGACCTCTTGCAGTGTCTGGACATGTCTCGCTCTTCCCGCTTTTGTTCACGGCTCAAGAATTTCCTATCAAGACTATCTACACCATCTTCTGGTTGGTAGCCCTGCTCATGGCGTTTGACCAGCTCGCTCCAGCGTAAGTCTAATCTAAGCAGCTTGAGCACAAAAAGGATATACTGACATTCATTGTAGCTCTTCAAGGCCAAGAGTGTTCTTGCTTGACCGCTTCTCTTTCGTATACATTGTTGTGGCAATTCCACTCATCGCATATTGCTCGCTGGTCCATCAGCTAGTATTTGGCGCAAAGTACGAGTTCTTGCCACTCATGTTCACTAGCTCCTACTGTGCGATGGGAGTGGTGTCAAGTTGGATCAGTTTTTCGATTGTGTACTTTACTTCCTAGTTAGGTAATCTAGCTATCACAAGACAGAAGGTTCCATTCGATAACCCTTAACTCCCTGCAGAGGCATCAACATGCTGAGCATGAATTGTTCTGGTAATTTAGGGTCGTAGGTGGGCCTCTTATGATCGCTCTACAGCATCGCGCATGGATAGGCCCAAAACCAATAAGAGTCCGTTAATATCAGAGAATCTGACTCATGGAACAGCCTTCACGATGATGCCGAGTGGTGCGGACAATGATAGATTGAAGAGTCAATTGGCTGGTCATACGTTTACTTTTTCGAGGGACGAGCTGTGGAAGGTAATGATCTGAATGTGATTTTGATATCGCCAGATCGAACCGAAATTTTGAATTCGCATCATTCACGAATAATCCCATCATACTCGCACACTTTACGCGACCAGAACGAGACCAAACTTGGTCGTTGTTGTCAAAGTGGCGATGCGCAGGGTCATCGGACAAGAACGAGGAAGTAACGGAGCATGGGATGGGAGCTGGGCGTTGCGAAGAGAAAGTCGACGCGGCCCGAGCCGCAGCGCCAGCCCAGTGCTGGAACGCGACCAAAGCAATACTAGAATGGGCAGCTCATGGTGGCCGGAGGTGATGTCTTTCCCCACGACGGCTCTTCACAGGTCATGTCCTTCCTCTTGCAAAGCTTTGCTCCCTCTTTCCTTCCTCCTTCCTTCTCTCCGACAGCGACACTCGGTTGTCTCCAAACGGCACGCATACCTCAGCACTCTCTCGACCGCACTCCCCGCAGACCCTCTCCGACTTCTGAAGCCTCGTCCGTAATTTATTGCGCGTGGCACCCGCGTCTGCCGCAGCAATATCTTCCTCGTCCATCGACAACCGCCTCGGTCGCAGTCATCCACCAACATTCCTCTTATGATTCCCGAGCATACACCACGCATTAATTGAGGAAGGCATTGGCTCCAGATTCGCATGCGACAAGACCACTACTAGATTCAGACACCCCGCCGTGTCTACGCCCATCCCGGCTCGCTCGCTCTTCGCGTCCTTCTTTCTTGGCTCTCAAGCCTGCAACGAATCCACCACACCAACATGGTTAGCTACATCCAGGCCATGGCATGTAAAAGCTGGATTAGGCTTACCATACTTCAGGTCCTCTACAAGCGGAAGCCGGTGACGATGATTCCGGCACCTGCCAAAATCGACAACAACACCGAGGTCCGCACATCTTCCCATGTCTATCTTTGTCTGCTTCCTAACTCGAGATTCTACAGGTCTGGGTCATGCCCAAATCAGGCGAAGTCTTTACAGACTATGAATCATATCTGTCTCGGTATGTATACTACATCTTGATCCCGTCCTAGCTCGAGACTAACGTAACTATAGCTTCGAGTTCTATAACCGAGTACGCTACCCTCAGCCCGAAACCATCTTTCAGATCACACTCTAACAGCTACCTCAGAAAAAGTTCACAGATGCCGTCAATGGCAAGTCCAACTTGACCTTCTTCGCCGCTGTCGATTCAGAGGTACGCAACCTCTCAGCTATATACAAGATGCTGGACACTCACATAAATACAGAACAACAGCTCCAGTGACATTGACAAGATCTTTCCTAACGCTCTTCGCGACCCTATCTTGAGAAAGGTTCAGTTCTCAGATATCTCACGCATAGATGAGTTGGTGTCTTTCGTCTTTGAGGTACGTACTGCTCACCAGCCTCGCATGTCTCGGATGTTGACTTGTGCAGGAATTCCGCAGCGAGTTTTTCCCCGGTGAGGAAGTGAGCGTCTCTCTCGACAATGGCGACCAATTCGAAGGCGTAATTCGCGAAAAGGCCAAGTTCCCGCAACTGCTCAACCCCGACGGCTCTATCCAGCGCGCCGCCTTCTCTCGTTACTTTGTCAAGCTCAATGATGAACGTGGCGAAGAAGCCCTTCTGGACGACAAGCACATCAAGAGAAACCGCAAACTCTTCACCAAACAAAACCTAAGGTCTTTCTTAAAGAGCTCGATACAACGTGACATGTTCACTGGTGCACCGTGGCTTGTTAAGGAGCATCTCGCCAGGCAATACAGGCTACCCATGGAGATTCCTCCTCATCTCGCTCAACGCATGCAAGCATCACCTCAGCCTGGCATGCCTCGCCAACCACAAGGCACTTCGATCTTCAACAAAGTTAATGGTCGTAAAGGAAAGAATCTCACAATTGGAGACTTCGAGCAAGACGGTTCGCTACAGGGATATACTACTCCACCTCTCAATGGCTCCAAGTTTCCTGGCTATTCAGCAGCTCCGATCAAGACAGAGCCTCAGAAGCCTGCTCCTGTACCCATCAAATACCCTATCGAAGATCTGGATGTTCCTGCGAGGAAGAATGAGCTTGTCCGTCCTCAATTGAAGTTCATCACGCAGCAGAACCCGGCCGAGGGTGAAATCCGTATGGAGTATGTCGGTCCATTACTGGAAATCTGGAACACACTGAATGTGCACTCTGAAGTACTTATTCTGGATGCATTCACATTCGACGATTTCCTGGAAGCAATCAAGTTCACTTCCGATGAGGTTACATGCGAGCTGCTTGAAGAAGCACACTGCGCAGTGCTCAAGACAATTGTCAACGAGGAGGGCACACTTCAAGTTACTCTACCGGATATGATTGAAGAGGATTCATCTGATGAAGAAATGGACGAGAGTGAGCCGGCCACTCCTATTCTGGATGCACCTGCGCATGCAACTAGAAGTCGCATGAGTAACATCAGCAACATCGCAGCTGAAGAGACCAACGGAAGATCCAGCAGAACTCCCGCCGAAGGTCGTCACCGCCCGCATCGTGTTCCCGAACTACTGGCAAGCTATGGTTGGGTCGAACGTCTCAAGGCTCGCGATTTTGCTAATGGAGGCTGGCAAACAATTATGGCAGGTTTGCTTCATCAACTGTCATTGAACCCTCGTCAGAAGTCAGAATGCGACAAGGTATTGTCCAAACTTGTGCCATTGGACGAAGACCCGAGCCCTGAGAGTGTTCGAATCAACTACATTCGCCTGGACATTAACCTTCGTATCTCAGCATTGCAACTCATCACTTTGCTTTGTGTTAGCACAAAGACCGTCAGAGGATATCTTGAAGAGATGAGCGAGGAACAGACCAAGATTCGCAAGGAAAAGCTTGAGCATCAGAAGGCAAAGAAAGAGAGGTTTGTTTTTCCATCCGAAAAGAATGATCTTGAGCTGATTTTGAATAGCGTCGCGAAATTGGGCGACCTCGAAACCCAGAAGAAAATCTTGCTTCCGGACAATCTCCCTGATTCACCCAAGGAGGAACAAACTGATCCCATGGACATTAGTATGAGCCATGTTGATGATACTGTGGACACAGTCGATCTCGCCACCTCTGATGCTGAAGAAGAAGGTGGTCGTTCTCTCCGACGGGGTAACGAGAGAAAGCGCAAGCGCGACGAAGATGCCGCTAGACGCGAAAAGCAGCGCGAGGAGAAGAAGGCAAAGACCAACCCCAAGCAGTCCAAGGAGTTCACCAAATTGCTGAAGGATATCGACAAACTTAAGACAGAGATCTCGAAGCGCGAGAAGGAGATCGCAGTCTGTGATGAACAACTCCGCGAGGCTAATTGTCAGCGTACCAAGGTCCTTGGAAGGGACAGATTCTGGAATCGCTACTACTGGTTCGAACGCAATGGTATGCCTGTCACAGGACTTACCGATGGCAGCACTGGTAGTTATGGTTATGCCAATGCGCGTATCTGGGTTCAAGGACCTGATGAGATGGAGCGCTTGGGCTTCATTGACTTGCCTGAAGATCTGCAACGCACCTACATACAAGATCACGGCCTGTCGGTCCCTGACCGCAAGGCTAAAGACGAAGGTGCTACGAGCCTGCGGACCGCCAATGAATGGGGCTACTACGACGATCCGGAAACAATTGCCTTGCTGCTGAACTGGTTCGACGATCGTGGTGTTAGAGAGAAGGCACTGCGCAAGGAGATGGGCCTTTGGCAGGAACCCATCACTGGTCAGATGCGCACTTTGAAGACGCATCTTGACAGTATCAACCAGGAGGACGCAGATGACGAGCCCGTCACGCGTGTGTCGACCAGGAAGAAGACGTACGTCGATATTGAAGCGTCCAGTCAACGTTGTCTTAGATGGAGAAACTTGACAGCCATTGACAAGAATGGCCATTTGCATTCCGAACAGCCTAAGCCCAAGGAGAAGAAGGGCAAGAAAGAAGCCAAGGGGGTTGCCAAGGTCGTTGCAAAGGGCAAGCCTACCACCAGACAAGGAACTAAGTATGGCAAATAGACGGTCGATCATGTTTGCTTTAGGGAGTATTCTTAAGTTGGAGTTTTGGCATGGAGCATGTACAAGTATTTTAACATCAGGAGCATAGCGAGATGGTCATGAAAAGCGGCGCAAGGATTTGCTCGGGAAAAACGCATGGCAAGAAGACTTGGTTGAATGCAGCATACATGAAGTTGATATTTTCGATGATGCGGCTGTTGTGCTGCAGATCCAACGAATGAATATTGAATATGAATCATCTTCTTGGTTCTTGGAAAGAAATGCTGAATGTACGTCTTGGGACGCTCGATGTCAAGGCCAGATCTAGGCAAGAGAAAATTGTGGCCAAAATGGCATGTGAAAGTGAAACAGAAAAGTGGGCTAGCAAAAAGCATTTTCATATGGTTATATTAGGATACGAAATGTGAGTCGCAGATGTGGTGATGAGATTTGCTCGAGGGATGCAGATTTCAATTGATTAGCATCAAGCCGTGTGTGATAATGGCAATCTGGTGTTTCGACGGGAGTGAAAGTGTACTTGGAAGGATTGGCATTCGAGCAAACACGCGACACAGTGGACCGCTAGATTTTCAAAAGTCAAAGCAACTTCATGCAGGATCATGTATAGCAATGCAGAAAGAATAGAGACCCCTTTCTTGTTCGGCACATGTGCTTACAGCGTTTGGGCCTTCTAGAAAACAGAGTTAGGTGCGGACGCTTAAAAAATGGGGACCGTCTCAGAGAGGAGTGCACGGACATGTCCTGTTCCTGACGATCGTTCGCTCTGTGTATCAACGGTTACACAACAGAGGGCGTTGATAGTCGAACAGGAGCTGGTGCGGTGTTGCACAGTCCTCTGGTTCTGCAGAAGGCGAGTGCTGGTCATGGGGGGCCTCACAGCGAGAAGTTCAGGGAAAAAGCAGTGGGTAGGTGCTCGCTGGTGTTGAAGCGCTGAGGAGAAGGTCCGTGGTGTGGATGTAATTTCCTTTGAGCTAAGCATGCCGACTTGTGGCAGCATCGGCCCAACGCCGTCTGTCGCTCAGGCTCTTCCTTGCCCTCTTCTTCTTCACGCGCTGCTCGATCCCAGTCAGTCTCGTCCTGTCACTCGCTTCATTCTTTCGCATTTCTTCTTTCTTGCCTTCACCTTCGCTTTCCCGGCTTCCTTTCGTTGATACGCCCGTTTAATTGCGCCGCCCAACCTACCTGACCTTATCACTCAATCCTACCCCGGCCCCTCGTGCTCGTGGCTTGAGTCTTGACCAGGCAACCTCAATCTGATACAAGGACAATTCAACGTCACGTCAAGAGGAGGACACGCATTCGCTCCAGTTGTATATACGAGCTTTGGAATTGGATATCCCTGGAACATATACCCTTTTAATTACGCTGCCCCGCCATACGCCTAGCACGTCCAGTCCGCCCATCCACGACTCCCTACTCCCAACTCGAGAGTTCCCGTCCACGCACTTTCCGCCCCCTAGTCCTAGTTTCCGAACCACCTAGGAAATGCAGGTGTCGGAGGCTCCCTCAGCCCAGCCCAAGTTCCATCGCCCAACTCAGTCTTTTTCGACTCTGGGCATGAGCAGCGACAATCTGGGCTTCTCGCACAGTGCCTTCACTACCAACCAGCCCTCTATTTCTAGCTACTCGGACCGTCACAGAACAAACATCCCCTCCATTAATACTGGCCGTATGTCCAACATGGCCTCCCAGGCCGAGCAGACTCCTGGTACTGCTCTCGACATGAACTTTACTCCTCTTCTTCCCTCAAACTTGTTGATTGGCAGTCCCTTCCAGCCTCAGTCGCCTTCAGCTTTTGCTTCTCCTGGCTTCCAAAGCTTCTCTAGCTTCCCTCAGCAGCCTCAGCGCCAACAGCAGCAGCAGCACAACCAGTTCCAGAACCAGCAGAACCCTGCCATGTCTCCTCCCATGTACGCTGGCATGATTTCACCTCCTCAGATGCACGCTCAGATGTACCAGGGTCCTCAGTCCCCTACTCTTGGCTACAACCCTCTGAACAACCAGTCGCTCAATGGTTTGTCTACTGCTCCCCTGGGCATCGCTCCTGGCTTGATGTCGAGCTCTAGCAGAACCGTTTACCTGGGCAATATCCCCTCGGACACATCTGCCGAAGAAATTCTCAGCCATGTCCGTAGCGGGCAAATCGAGTCGGTCCGTCTTCTTCCCGACAAGAACTGTGCCTTCATCTCCTTCCTCGATGGAAGCTCGGCTACACACTTCCACTCCGACGCCATCTTGAAAAAGCTGTGCATCAAGGGTCAGGACATCAAGATTGGTTGGGGCAAGCCCTCGTCAGTTCCTACCTCGGTCGCTCTTGCCGTCCAGCAGTCGGGCGCATCCCGCAACGTCTACCTTGGTAACTTGCCTGAGGAGGTCTCCGAGGATGAGCTCAGAGAGGACTTGGCCAAGTATGGTCCCATCGATACTGTCAAGATTGTTAGAGAGAAGGCTATTGGATTTGTTCACTTCTTGTCCATCGGCAATGCCATCAAGGCTGTTTCTCAGCTGCCTCAGGAGCCCAAGTGGCAGCCACCGCGCCGTGTTTACTACGGCAAGGATCGCTGCGCATACGTCTCCAAGACACAGCAGCAGAACGCTGCTCAGTATCTTGGCATCGCCCTCGGTTATGCACATGTGCTCAACAACGCCGACCGTGATCTGATCTCAAACGCTCTGGCCCAGCAATCCGTTGCTGCAGCTGCCGTCGCAACTACTGCTGGAGGTGTCAACAACCTCGGCAACCGTACTGTCTACTTGGGCAACATCCACCCTGAGACGACCATCGAGGAGATTTGCAATGTTGTTAGAGGTGGTCTTTTGCACCATATTCGCTACATTCCTGACAAGCACATTTGCTTCGTCACCTTCATTGATCCCACTTCTGCTGCTTCATTCTTTGCTCTCTCCAACCTGCAAGGTCTCATGATCCACAACAGACGCCTGAAGATTGGTTGGGGTAAGCACTCTGGCGCCCTTCCTCCTGCCATTGCTCTTGCTGTCAGTGGTGGTGCCTCCCGTAACGTCTACGTTGGCAACCTCGACGAAACCTGGACCGAGGAGCGTCTTCGCCAGGACTTCTCTGAATACGGTGAGATCGAACTGGTCAACACTCTGCGCGAGAAGAGCTGTGCATTTGTGAATTTCACAAACATTGCCAATGCTATCAAGGCCATCGAGGCTGTTCGCAGCAAGGACGAGTATAAGCGTTTCAAGGTCAACTTCGGCAAGGATCGTTGCGGAAACCCACCCCGCCAGGTAGTTGCAAACGGCCAGGGACAGACTCAGCAAGAAGGTACCCAATCGCCGAGCCCTGTGAGTGGCATGCGTGGTCAGAACTCCATCTCTCCCAGTGCTGGCGCATCGAACAATTACAACCCTCTTCAGGGACCTACTGCATCGACCATCCTCAACGCTGGAGCCAACAACCCTCTGGCCATGTATCTTGCTGCTGCATCGCAAGTTCAATCTCAGCCTTCTTCTTCGCCGAACGAAATTAGCCCTCAGTTCGCACAGCTGAGTCTGTCACAACCTCAATCACAGCAACAGCAGCCTCAATCGCAGATGACCACCCAGCAAGCTTTCTACAGTGGAGACTCTAACATGCCCACGCGATCCACCGCACTTGAAGCGCCTTCTCACTTCGGTCACCACGCCACCCACTCCGTAAACTTGAGCAACGGTCTCTCGAACGGTTTCGGTGGTGGCAGCAGTGGCAATGGCATGCACGCTAGCCAGAACAGTGCCGCAAGAGGACAGCACTCCCGCACTGTCAGTCTGCCCGTCTTCTCGCAGCCTCAACCTCAGCACGTTCACCAACAGACCTTTGCTGGTCTTGGTGCAGGCATCGGTGGTTTTGGCAACAACAACCCTTACGGTTTGGCCATCTCTGCTGAGCGTGGTCTGCCTGGCTGGGAAGAGGAAGAGCCCGCCATTTGAACGACAGGAAAATGGCTTTTGAGACGAACGAAAAGACCTTTTTATTGAAGTTCTACACCTTTTGATTATTAATGGCGGCTAGTTCGCCTACTAATCCTTCACTTACCTATATTCGTTCCTCTATCCTTCTTCTTCAAACTGTTCTTTTTACACTCTACAAGCTCTTCTTTATACCTTCATTCTTTTACACTTCTCTTTCTTCCTTTTTTTGCATTTGCAAAACCTAATCTTTGAATTCTTCTCATCTTCTACTAGTTATTCTTTCTGGTCTCAAACATGTATTTGTATGCCTTTTCTGTCTCTTGCGATGCATGTCTTCGCAGATCAACCCTAAATTGTTCTTTATCCGGCGTTGGAAAGGGGGAAAAGAACAAAACTTACCTTAGAAGAGCACTGCCAGGCTCAACTTGCACCACATGGAGAGGTAAAATCCTCACATGCGGCCGACTCTGGTCTGTAATGAAAGAAATATTGTCCAGAACGTTTCTTTCTTGTTGAACATATAAGGATTTGCATAGCACCTCCGCATCATCTGTTCTGTTATAGCTACATCCTGCCAGGGTTTATCACAACTGACACGAAGCATTCTTGAGCTGACAGCATGGCAGAAACTCCTCACCTCCATGTGTCGAGGCTACTTTCAAATTTGTGTAGTGATGAAAAGACATCACGGTCTCGGGAATTAGAGAGGAAGACGATTTCTGAGTTGAAATACTCGATCACTGGACATTTTTGGTCACTCTTATAATATCTATACGACTTCATGTGACAATCTGGTAATCGAGGGAGAATCAAGGGTTATCTCAGGAACCAGTTCCTCGAATATTTCTCTTGGCAGGACAAGGTTTGGCTCGTGCACGGATGACGCACTTGACTTACAGATCAGCCACGCTCTTTTTGAGATCTTGATCCTCTTGCACGAGGTAAACACGTTGATATAATGGATCATAGAAGTCATGTAGAGGGTGTAAAAGTAAGAGACTCTGTAGCGCTGTCCCGCTTCTTTATTCTAGTCACCAATACACCACCATGGTAGGTTTCGCGACTTCCATATCTTTACTCTGAACCTCTAGCTTTGAGTCTGCCAGCGCGTCTCTACCGGTGCTACCTTCTTCCAAATCAAGTCGGAGTATCGAATATGACGTCGAAGACTTTGTTCAGGAACTGTTCCCCTGGCAGTTTTGTTTACTTAAACCAGTATTCATTATGCTTGAAAGGGATCAGGTCTACCTTCCTCTCAGTCAACCAACCATACATTGCTCGATTTACAAGAAGTCTCTCTTCCACGATGTCGAAACGCGCGCACCCTCATGATGCTCATCCAAGCGACCACTCAGCAATCTACAATGAGGACCTAAAACATCCTTCGCCAAAGCGTGCAAAGCAGATTGACGAGCATTCACCTTTTAAATCACTCGAGAAGGCCATTTCCGAGCAGAAGACTGATCACGCAGTTCGAAATGTGTTGCATTGGTTCAGATCCAAGGATGTACGAGCAGACGATAATCGCGCACTCCACGCTGCGTCGCAAAAGGCAAAAGAGGGAGATGGAGCCCTGATCACCATGTATCTGTACAGCCCAAAAGATCTGGAGTGGCATGGTACCAGCCCTGCTAGGTCCGACTTTTTGCTGGAATCGCTTTCGTTGTTGCAGAAGCAGTTGCGCGAGAAGAATATCCCAATGGCTGTTGTGACGGCTGAAGAGAGGGCAGACAAGACGGACAAGGTCATCGAGTTCATCAAGGAGAACGACATCTCCCACGTCTACGGAAATTACGAGTACGAAATTGATGAGATACACCGTGATATCAAGGTCGCACACCACATTCAAGAAGAGAAGGACGTCTCAATCGAGCTATTACATGATCAGACAGTCCTTGAACCAGGCCTGCTTGTGACAGGCAGCGGAACGCCTATGAAGGTCTTTACACCCTACCACAAAGCCTGGCTGGCAGAAACAAAGAAGAACCCTGAGCACCTTGATCTCGTGGGTCCCCCTGAAGCCAACGACACGTCCGCCGTCGATAAACTCAAGAAGCTCTTCGATTCCAAGATGCCCTCTCTACCAGAAAACAAGGACTTCACCAGCGACGAGGAAAGGAAACGCATTCGTGAACTCTGGCCAGCAGGCCATGAAGCAGGCATGAAACGTCTTCAATACTTCCTCAATGAGAAGGTCTCAGGCTATGCCAGTCATCGCTCCGAGCCAGCCAGAGACCCATCATCACGCCTATCGGCCTACTTCTCGGCTGGCGTTATCAGCGTACGTGAAGCGCTTGCTGCTGCAAAGAAACACAACAACAACAAGCACTTTGACGAGGGAGACCCTGGCATCGCCTCCTGGGTCCGCGAAATCGTCTTCAGAGAGTTCTACCGTCAAGTTCTCGTTACCATTCCTCATAACGCCATGAACTTACCCCAGAACCTCAAGTTCGACTATGTGCACTGGGAAGACGATGAAGAAGGTTGGGAGAAGTGGTGTCAAGGCAAAACCGGTGTCCCCTGGGTAGATGCCGGCATGAGACAACTAAATACAGAAGCCTACATGCACAATAGATTGCGCATGAACACCGCTTCTTACCTCACAGCAAACCTGTTAATCGACTATCGTCGCGGAGAAAGATATTTCGCCACACATCTGATCGATTGGGACCTTTCCAACAACACACAAGGCTGGGAACCCAGCTACACAGTCTTCAATCCCATTAGTCAGGCTGAGAAATGCGATCCCCACGGCGACTATATCAGAAAATGGGTGCCTGAACTAAAGGATTTGAAGGGCAAGGATATTTTTGATCCGTATCACAGGTTGAGCAAAGAAGAGTTTGAGAAATTGGGTTACCCGAAACCGCATGTGGATTTCACGGAGAGTAAGAATAGGGCTGTTGAGAGATTCAAGAAGGATTTGCATGAAGCTGATATTTAGAGTTTTGGTGGTTGCATAGTGGTGGTGCTTATAACGACAGAGCTGGATTTTGAGATAGAAGTAATGTATAGAATTGATCTGGCATGCTCTCTCATTCAGTTGCTCAAGATGTGTGAGAAATTATACAGTTGATCATGTTTCCTGGTCAGGTCTGATCATCAACCTCGGGATCATCGCTTGAATCCTGCGCAGATCTGCTGTCAACACCTGCCAACCACATCCTCCGAGGAAGGATGAATACGGGCGTAGCATCACGACGTAATCGAGAAAGTAAAGATAAAGATAACCCCTCTCCATCACTGACTTTTTCTTACTGAGCACCAGAAAAATTTACCATCACTGTGCACAACATCCACAAAACCTCAAAGCCATGGCAATCGCGACCAGACTATCACCCAAGGCAATGACTACCCTTGGAGTTATGGCCTTTGTAACTCTCTGCTTCCAAACCTTCAACTCATCAGCACTTCCCTCTCTCGACGCAACAACACTTGCTCGTCTTGATGCAATCGAACGTCAAATTGCAACTCTGAACCACATTCTCGCAGAAACAAACTCCACAGTCCCTTTGAATTTAACCTTTCCAACCCGATCCTCCCCGGACACATCACTTGCAGAAGTGACAAAGATGGTTTTTGGCATCGCTGCAATTTTGGCTTGGGCAGCTTCGATGAGTATCTTCTTCGAAGAGGTTGGAAAAGCGGCGTCAAGAACCTTTGCGATGGGGATCTGGACTGCTTGTGTTACGTTTGTCGGACTCTGGTATTTCGGAGAGCCTAGAGAGTGGTATGGGTATTTTTTGGGTGCTAATTGGGGGTTTATCGGTGCCGTGTTTTTGGCGGTTGTTTTCGATAGGAGGGATGGGGGTGTGGATAGGCTGAAGGAGGCTGTCGTAGATGGGCAGAAGGCTTGACAGGCTGTTGTTGAGGTGTATTCCTGCCTTTGTGGATTCTAAACTGTTACGATCTCGCGCTGAGGTATAAGGGTGTTGTAAGCTAACGGAATGTACAGCTATGAGTCTGATTATGGCGACAACCCTAGATGGAATTCTCTCCGTGCAAATCACATTTTTTGTAAGAGCATTGTGCATTCGCTCAGTTACACTACGGTAGTCATTAGTATATGGGTCAGTTTGTGGTATTGACATTTCGCAAATCGACTCTGAGGTTCCTGTAGGATTACTGTAGGATGAAGAGCCAAGGTAAGCAATCTGCAAGCCAATGCGCTAACCAACTCCTATGCATATACCATCACTCCACTCACCGGTCGGCCTCGTGTATTCATAATTCGCGCGACGGACCTGCCGTACTAGCCGACGGTCTAATAGGTACTCCGTACCTCTTAGGGAGGAAAGACCATCATGTTAAATACCTTACAGTCGCTTCAGGACACATTCATCGAGCATCTCCTCTTGTGATATCATTTCCAGAATATACAATGATTGTGTATATGATCCTCGCGGCACTGCCCCTCGTATCTGCGCTCATTATTCCACGTCCAAATGGTACCTACAGTGTAGGCACACAAATTACCGAATTCGCGGATACCAGTCGTTCCATCAATGGCACTCATCGACGTATTATGACCACCTCGTTCTTTCCAACCGGGTATCATTCAGACTGCCAGCCTTACTTGACTCCATATATGCCTAAGCTTACTGCAGACTACAACGCGGTAATCTACAGCCAGTTACTGGGTGCGACGATTCCTAATGCCACATTGGGGCAACTGCAATTGAAAGTCTGCAACTCGACATGCGGCGATCGTAAATTTAATCACAGGACGTGGCCGCTCACACTCTTCTCTCCCGGTCTGGGTGCTTCTCGCCAACTCTACAATGCTATGGCAGAGCAGCTTGCCGCCATAGGTTACATCGTTGTCACCATCGACACACCCTTGCAAGCGGACATCATCGAGTATCCCGATGGCTCGTTCCTCCTCGCACCTGGTATAGGCACCAAGGCCCAACTCGAAGCCGCACTTCCAGACCGAGTCAAAGATATCATCTTAGTCAAGAACAAAGTTTTGACTGGACTAGGTCTGCCATCCTCTGTCAAACCAGATCCTAGTCGCATCGCTGTCTGGGGCCACTCCTTTGGAGGCGCTGCGGCAGCTCAAGTAGCACTTGAAGATCCTTCCTTCAAAGCTGGCATCAACTTCGATGGTACGCTCTACGGCTCTGTAGTCAGTACTGGCGTCAAACAGCCTTTTCTCATCTTCTCGCATGCCGGTCAATTACTTAACGCAACAATAAATTCTTGGAATTCTTTCTTGCAGGCCTCGCCTAAGTTTGACAAGATTGAGTTGAGTTTGAATGGCTCTGTACACAATACGTTCTCGGATGCTCCGTTGTTGGCGGATCTTGCTGGTATCGCTGAGTTACCTGGGGTGGACGCTGCTCTTGGACAGTTGGATGGTAGGAGGGTGCTTGTTATTCTTGCTGCATACACGGATGCATTTTTCAGGTATGCATTTCATGGAGCGACAAAGGTGCCAAAGCTGCTGAGGGGCCCCAGTGCTGAGTTTCCGGAGGTTGAGTTTGTGGTTGACCTGCCTTGACGGACATTGATGTAGAGGTTTCAAGATGCTTGGGATTAGTCACGATATGCAAAGAGCTCTTATGAATCCAGCCTATCAGAAGTCAATGTAACGGAGCGCGCGCTTGGTTCCTAATTGGTTACACGCGAATCACTTGCAGCTTTTTGAGACGTACCATTTGCAGTGAAGGATTGGCGGGGTGAAGGGCGGAGACACAGATTCAGGTATATATAGGGCATCAACGCTAGCTTGCTCGACTATCGTCCATTCTCCATCTCCCTTTGCACTAGACAGAATTCATGGCAGCCTCATTGCCTGAGCACATCATGCGAGATGCTCCTTCGGAATACGAGAGTCTGCTCTCGTTTCTCAGAGGACACTGCGACCACCCAGAAGTCGTCTTTCGAAAGCTGTTTTTTGGTCCCATAGAAGACTTGACCTTGCCAAAGCCTCTACCAGCGCCACAAGCATTCCAAGAAGACGCCGACCTGATCTGGACGCGATATGATGCCATTACTTTGTTACGAGGGATACAGTCATTCGTCTCACAGGACAACCCGACCAATTCAATATACCGTATGTGCGAATTCATCTGCGCAGATCAACCCAATCAATTGATGCTTGAGGTGAAATATTTTTCGAATCAAACAACGTGGAGGTTAGAAGAAGTCTCTGATCCGCTCGACGATAACTCAGAGCGACGCGCCATATTCGCTTGCATAGTTGAGAGTCTTGTCGTGGCTTTTAACTATAAAGCTAGTTTGGGAGTGATGCGTAAAGGAGTGGTTATGACTCAATCAAGATGCCCGACATGGGTCTCTGAAGTTGGCGCACTGGATCGGCTATTAATTTTAACTCAAGTTGACGAGTGGGTGTTTGCTGGATCGGATGATCCCTTCTCAAGGCGAAATATCAGAGCCAACGCGGGAAATATCTTCTCCTTCTAGGTACCATCGTTCCGCCTACGGAGTTGATCAGGTGTAGCTACAACACAAGGACATCCAGAAACTCGAGATTAGTGGCATTCCACACTCTTCATACCTGACGGTGAGAGAAATGATCGTCAGTGTAGACAGATTAGCAACTCTTGGAGCGGCAAAAGTACCAGAGCTAGTAGAAGGTCCTAGTGCTGGATCCCCAGAAGTTGGTTCTATGGTGAACCTGCGTTGAGTCGGTCGGGCGATGATTTGTGCTGTTAGGACTCCCTGTGGGTTTTGTATTCATATTCGTCAAAGATCCATAAACAAGCACATACGGCCACAGTCAGCTGAAAACTGGGCATCCCGTCCGCTCTGCCATACATAAGCAGTTGAACGGCAGATTAGTACTACGGTGGGTGACCACATGGGAATCCCTGCTGCTGTATGTTTTGCATCGCTTTTTGCTCCTTGTCTTTATGTTTCTCATAGAAAATACTTGTGCGAGTCAATTGATATAATATGGCCGTCACGAAGAGCCTGTGAGTCTCGCACGGAAGGTGTATCGTAAGCTGCTGCTCCAGCAAAGTCGCACAGTTAGTCCGACCACGACGAAGTACAGCACACCATATCACATTGCGTCGCTGAAACTGGGATGTTTTTCTTGAATGGTATTGTTATTGAAAGAGGTTCCGTTACTCATTATATTACATGTCTGGAATCATGACTAATTTTGGGGGGGATTGCTCTAGTTCGACTGAACGGTGGCGAGCTTGCTGCGGACAGGGACGTTCTCCTGTCTGCCAGGCTGAGGGAAGCCGCTGAGCTTGACGCCCTTGCGGAACAGCAAGCAGTGGGATGAACCACCGAAGTGGAACATACCGGTCTCCTGGCCCTTCTTGACGTGGTCACCTTCCTTGACGGTAATCTCGCAAGTGGAGACCTCGTCCATACCGATACCGATGAAGGCCATGAGGCCGATGGCGGGGTTGTCGGCCTCGATGAAGATGATGGCTCTTGTGGCAAGGGCACTCAGGTAACCTTGACCAGTCGAGATACCGTGGGCGTCAATCTCCTTGGTGTTGGGGTCACCGAGACCCTCGAAGAGAGGCTCGCTGAAGTAGGTGCCATCCTGGACGAAGGCCTTCTTGATGGTACCGCTGACGGGAGCGTGCCAGCGGTGGTAGGAGAGGGCAGACAGGAAGGCCTGGTAGACAGTGCAGTCGGCGAACTGCTCGGCCAGGGGGTCGTTGGCGAGCATGTCAGTGACACTGTAAGGCTGGCCCTTGATCCAGAACTTGTCTCTGAGCTTGGCGCGCTCCTGAACCTGGAAGACTTTACTCTCACAGGCGTTGTTGATGACGTTGTCATCGTCGGGGCACTCGACAGGACGGACCTCAGGCTTGAAGTGTCTGGTGAAGAAGTTGTCCCAAGAGGTGTAACCGAAGTGCTTCTTGCTGGTGTCGCAAACGAAGAAGTCCTCGAACTTGTGGCTGGTCTTGTAAGGAGCATTGGCAACAGCCATCATGTCTGATCTACCAGTCTCACCGAACCAACCAGTCTTGCCCTCATGGAGCACACCGGCAGACTCGGGAGACATGAGGAACTTGCCCCACTCGTTGAGGACCTTCTTGAGCATTCTGTTGACATCGGGGTCGAGGAAGGCAGCGTGGCCAGAGGGAGTGGACATGGGGTAATCCAAGATAGCACACATGGGGACACCGACCATACCGACGGCTTGGGCAGAATCAGTCCAAACAGGAGCTGCGCCAAAGACGTGGTTGAGGACCTCGAGCATGTGCTTGTAGTCACGGATCTGCTTGCGGCCGGTAGGATCTCTGCGGTAGACGTGCTTGTAAGGGACCTCGTCGAACATGGCAGTGAAGTACATGTAGATTCTTGGGGTGCCCTCAATGAACTCCTTGAATTCTTGGAGGACGGGAATCAATGGCTTCTTGTTCTGGCCAGCATGCTTCACCTGCTCACCAAGCCACTCGTGGTGAGTGCGGTGATCAGTGGGCAGCCAAGCTCCGGGTCTATCTTGTCATTAGCCATCAAGCTTGTGAAAGACAGTGCTTTCCATCTTACCTTGAGACGGCGTGCTCGCCGGGGATATCATGGTTCTCACCATGCTGTTGGACCTTGGTATCGTGCGACATTGTGAAGTTTTGTTTGATTTGCCTGTAGGATAACGAGCAAAACCAGAATTGAAAAGATGAAGAGGAATTGGACAAGTTGACGGCAAGGTTTGAGGCTTTTGTTGATTTCATCCACGACGTTTATGAAGTCATCGTGACTGCCACCCCGCAATGATGCGGCATCTCCGGCTGGGAGAGCACCGCCACAGCTCCGCAATAAGCTTTCGTCAAGCTCTTTTTCCAAGAAATTTACTCGGATCGTGAACCATTCGTGGGTCAGGCACGGCAGCAACGGAAGACGCGTGTTCTTGCTCTGCGACATGTTTGGTGCTATCCTTAACCGAGCACCCGAACATACTATCCGCGTCTTCAGTAGACACAGCATAGCTTGCGAAAGCATCGTCATTGCAGGCGCCCTGAGCCATCGCTGCTTCCTAGATTTTTCTGTGGCTAAACAACCCTGTATCTTGATCAAGATCGTCGATCAGCTATCATTCATGATCATGATCATCGCGATCTGATCAGAACGTTCTCAACAAACATCTGCTCTCGGTCAGGGTAATATCTGCGGCCAGTCTTTCGAGCATCGGCAATGATATTATATAGCAACGACACTTGATCTGCACATTGTGACTCATCGAAAGGGTAGAGATTATGTGGAAATATCATCAGTGAGCGTCGAGAAAGTAATGAGTAAGACTTTCGGCCTCGTATCCAACAAAATATATTTTTCCATTCCGTCCCAGTGAAGACAGCAAGCTACTTCTGCAAAAACACTCCGGTCTCTACCCAGTTGCTGGCAATTATACACGATCGACCTGTCGTGGACCCTAGACAACTTTCTTTTGGGTTTCTGCACGCGTCAAAGTATCTCCAATCTTATTTTGGTATGGTCCCGGTAGGCAATAAGAGTGTCTTGGAGAAAATGCTCTTCCGGAAGTTCCAGGCAGCCCAACACTCCACGAGGATTGCTATACCAAAAGTCTCTCTCTTGCAGTATGCAACTCTATCGGCATGTCAAGCTCAATCGCAAGTCTTCGTTACTTGTGCAGCGTCCACCTCTGACATTCCCAAGCATCATGGCATGCATATTCCGAATTTAGACATTGTCACTGAACATCACAGAAAACACAATTGAGTATCAGACAGGACATTTCCTCATATCTAGTTCGTACCTCTAACACCGACAAATATAACCAACTTTTTATAATTCGTGTTCCACTTTAACCCTTGACAATCTCGCCGGGACCACTGCTGGCCTTGCCCTCCATCTCGAGCTGCACCTCCTCGCGAACAATTTCTCTAACGTCTTGCCAACCAGCACCGTTCTTGACAATGGTGACGCGACGAGGCTGTTGCTCGAGACCAACAAACTGCTCGGGCTGAACAGCCTTGAAGCTGAAACCTTCTTGGCCACCAAGCGCTGTCTCGACTGCTGATGAGAACTTGGCAGGGTGAGCAGTGGCGAGAGCGATGTGGTGGGCGTTGGGTGCGCGCTGGACGGAGCGCAGAGCAGCAGCAATACCGATGGCGCTGTGAGGATCGAGAATGTACTTGCCCTGGTGGACGGTACCCTGTGTAGCGTAGGCACCGCTGTTCTCGCCAACGGGTGTCATGCCATTACCTGAAGCGTATGTCTGGGTGATTTGCTCGAGAGTCTGCTTGTCGGATACACGCTCAGACTCGAAGTCCTCGTGTGCAGCATCCAAGATAGCCTTCTCGACACCGAAACCGCCGTCGGTCTTGAGTGCCTGCAGCCAGGTCTTGACCTGCTGACCAGCAGCCTTGCGACGCTCAGTGACGCTTCCGTTGTCATTGACGCGGTAGGACAGGTACCACAGCAGACGCTCGAAGTTGCTGCTGACCAAGATATCCATGGCGGGTGCCAATGTCTCCTTAACACCATCAAGATGTGCCTTTGCGCCATCGTGCTCGAAACCACCCTCAGCCTCGCGGCCGTGGACAGGCTTCTTCTCGTAGTGACCGCTGCGCCAGAAACGGTGCAGAATGTCGTTCTCGTTTGTGGCAATGACGAGCTTGTCTACGGGCAGACCCATGCGCTTGGCGAAGTAACCGGCAAGGATGTCACCGAAGTTACCAGTGGGTACGACGAAGCGGACTTGAGGGTTGGAGCTGTCAAGTGCGCGTGCGAGGGTGAAGTATGATTGGAAGTAGTAGGTAATTTGTGCGAGGATACGGGCCCAGTTGATGGAGTTGACGGCGGCGAGGCGGTGGGTGCTGTTCATATCGGCATCACCGAAAAGAGCCTTGACGAAGTCCTATAGATGATCAGTATCCTGTCAAAAGTAGTTTCATCACAGTATACGCACCTGGCAGTCGTCGAAAGTGCCGTCAACGGCCAAGTTGTGAACGTTGGCATCGAGGACAGTGGTCATCTGAGCCTCCTGAACAGGGCTGACCTTGCCCTTGGGGTGCATGATGAAGACCGAGACGTCCTTCTTGCCGCGCAGACCGTAGATGGCAGCAGAACCAGTGTCTCCACTGGTAGCACCAACAACGGTCAAATGTTGTCTGTCAGTGCCTTCCTTGCCCTTGTTCATGCGCACGAGGAAGTACTCGAACAGGTTGCCGACAAATTGAAGTGCGACATCCTTGAAAGCGAATGTGGGACCGTGGAACAACTCCATCAAATGCAGGTTCTTGCTCTTGTCGAGGGTGACGACGGGTGTGACATCTTTTGCGCGGAAAGTGGCATAACTGCGGTGGATGATATCTTTGAGGTCGTCGGCGGGGATTTCGCTCTTGGAGATGTACAAGCTGAAGATTTCAAAGGCGAGCTCCTGGAAGGAGAGGTTGCGCCATTTGGATTGCCAATCTGAGGGCAGTGCGGGAACTTCTTCAGGGATGAATAGACCGCCGTCTGCTGCGAGACCCTTGAGTACGACGTCCTCGAATGACAGCTAAAACAGCCAATTCTCAGTTGGAGACTTGTCGTAGGGGAGATAATGTATTCATACGTCGTAAGAGCCTCCTCTTGTGCTCAGGTAGCGTTGCGATTCTGTGTGCGATGCCATCTTGATGCTCTCTTCTTGTCGTCTGGGTCGCTCAATTCTTCTTCTCCTTCGTCCCTTGCTCTTTCAAATGATCGTGATTCGTAACTATGTCGATTGTAGGTGAGTCACGTACTTGTACAAAACATTCAACCAAGTTCCAAGAGCCGTTCAATCGCTGACCCCTCGGTCTAACTTCTTGTTCTGGCCAGAGCGTCATCCCCACCAAATTTGCCGCGAAGTCGGAGGTGCTGCCATGAGACTTTCCAACATCGCCCCGACCACGCTTACGAGGGACGACAGGATATACTGGCTACTATTGCACATAAAGTCTTTCTCACGACGCTGCAATGACCAGGCGATGGAAATGCACGATCGAGTTCACCCCAGAGATGCACACAAAAGAAAGCTGGTACGACAAAGACTCTCGACGTCCAATGCTCTGTCTTTCCAACACACTGTGCAATCCTACAGCTGGTTGCTTGCACCTGGCTCATCAGGAGATGTCATGCGGAAGGTAGGCTTGCCTTGATGTTCTCAAATTGTTTCGTTGAAGCGTGTCCCCCTCTGGAAGTAAGAGGTGTTGTAAGTCTAGCAACACCAAGCAATAAAAAGCGTCTGCAATGGTCGTAAGTGTTATCTGAATATCCAGCAGATGCGATGCAATTGCTTGAAGGTGAGTTTGGTCTTTTGGCTTGACATGCTCGCAAATTCCCTGCCATTGCCAGCCACTAAACTTTCTTCTTTTCCTTCTTCTCGAGTACTGTCTCATGTATCAACATCACGTCCAAAAGCACAATGAGCAGAGAATGTCATCTGTCAAGACCGGAAATGTGTGGTGGCCGCAAGGTGTTGTTGCAAAATCCAACTCGCATCCCCAGGCTTCACCACCCCAAGTGCATGCATATATTGCATCACGACACAGGCTTAGTATCACTTCACTGCGTATATCTCATCACGATTCCCCTCCAGTACCGCTTCACTGGTTCGGAAAACTCTGCCAGTCAAACAGTGCAAACGCTCTCAGAGCACAGGCCGCTTCGAATGGTATAAAAACACCCTCTCCCTCGCCCTCCTCTTTCTCTCATTAGTCGACTTTACTTCAAAGAATCTCTTTTTAGTAAGCTTCTTATCATCTGAACTCTTCAAAAGAGCCACAGAACTCCAACCTGGCGGATGAGCGATATCCCCGATGCCCTAGAGTGATACCGTGTATCTTGGCTCCGGCCTCGATGGTGATGATCTCGACCCTTTCAGGCGTCTGGCTTCGGTCGGCTTGACTGGGTGGGCGTTGGCGGACTTCTGACAGGCCCTTTTCTCCTTTTTTTCGTCAATTGTTTACCTGGCCTATGGCTGGGCTTTGAAGAAGAAAATTTCTGCACCTGAAAAAATCTGTACCGAGTACAACTACACTGTTCCTGTAACAAACAGGCATACTGCTTGTCTATGTCAAAGCTCTTTCATATCTTTGTTGTCTCGTCTGACAAGGATCGCTTCGTGTGCAGCCCTCGGAAGAAAGCATAGAAGAAACATCATCCCATATCTGCCTATGCTTGCATGTGTTGCTTCAAAATATGCACCTGCATTCTATCTATGTCAGATGTCCTATCTTAATCCCTCCTACCTGCATCCCTCCTCTTCAGGAAGAACCACTTCCTTTGAACGGACTACCTACCTCTTATATGCTTTTAAGACATGGCTTCTGGTGCTCTGCCCCCTTTTGCTCCTGCGGTCATGCTTGCTGCTCTGAGTCTCCTAGAGCATATTTCGAACATGGCTGTGCATCCCCTTAAGCATGTTCTTACTTGCTACCAGCGTACAAACAATATCCCATCTTCAAGCTGCCGAATAATCTCCATCGAAATAGCTCTTTCTCACATACAGTATTTTCGGCAATAAGTTGCAGCGCCAGCTCCTAGCAGTTCTCGTATGCTTTCGGACAAATGCATAACTCAGGCACCTTCGGCCTTGCTTGTCGTTGTCTCCTGGCCAAGTGCACCTATCCACACCCTGCTCTTGATAAGAACAGCAAAAGTTACTGCCACACTATCCCTCTCAGTCGACTTTTCTTGCGCAAAGACAAAGCTGCTAGATGTCCTGCCTGAGTTGATAAGCACATCCGCTTCTTCAATATGCGGATTCTCAACCAGAGTGGTCGATACAAATATCTCTGGGGATGGCTGTGGTGCTCACTGTGGCTCCGATTAGTGGCCATGCTACACTCTGTCGTCACAAGAACCTCTAGCAGTACTGTTGTGCGATTAACTGGAGAACCGTTAAGCATTATCTGGCTTAGACACACGGTGTGAAAATTCGTGAGATGGAAATAAGTGCATGTATGGAAAATGTGACGCTTGAACGTTGATGATCATTATATTGTGGTGGGTAGTGGTGGGAGACATAACACAAAACTCCCCGGTCCATGCGAGAACGAAGAAAAAAAGACCAAAACCCAGTCTGTTATAAAAGAAAAGAAGAAAAAGCTCCACATGTCCCAACTGTTATTTCCCTTTCTCTTGGTATCATTTTTGGTTGAATCTTTCTTAAACGGAGACCTCGACACGGCCCTCGTTTCCGGGGGCGCCGCCGCTGAGGCTGGGGAGGAGGTAGGTAATGTCGTCCTAGAAACATTGTTAGAAGATTTCCTCAAAAGTAAGTGCAGAAAATAGCTTACCCAAGGGTGACGGTAGAGACCAGTGCGCAGTCTCTTTTGGTCGAGGAAGTGGGCAATAAGACCGATCGAACGACCAAGGACGAACAGACCGTTGAGAACACCCATCTTGAGGTAGTCCTCAGCCTCTTCGGAGGTGAAGGCACCGCAGTTGCGGACAAGGTCGACGAAGGCGACAGCAACGGCACCATCAACGTTGAGAATCAGGTTGTCCTTCTTGGAGGTGGTGACGGTCTCAACGGCAAGGGCGTAGTCGAGGAGGGGAGTGCGGGGGAAGTTGGCCTTGACGTACTCCTTGACGAGTGAGACACGGAGATCGGGGTTGTTGCGCGACTTGACACGGTGACCAATACCGGGAATGAGCTTGTTCTCCTTGCGCATGGTGTCGACGAAGTCACGAGGAGAAAGACCCTTGTCGTAGGCTCTGGTGAACTCCTCAGCGGCACCGTCGAGGGCACCACCGAAACGAGAACCAATGGTCAAAAGACCAGCAACGAGCGAGGAAATGAGATCCTTGCCGGCACGGGTGGTAATGATGGTGTTCATGGCACCAGAAACGGCAGGACCGTGGTCAGCAGTAAGCATGAGAACCATCTCAAGGAACTTGCTGGCAAAGTCGGGAAGACGGCGACGGAACCACAGAAGAGACATGACACCACCGATACCAATGTTCTCTTTGAAGACGTCGGAGATGGGCATACCAGCGTAGAGAAGCTCCTGACCACGGTCGTCGGAAATGGTAGAGATGAAGGCAGCGGGCTTACGGATGAGACCGAGCTCCTGGGCCCATGAGTAGTCGATGGGGATCTTGGGAACGGCGGGCTCGGACTGGGGCTGGATGGTGCCGTCGGCGACGAGCTTCTGGTAAAGGTCGGCAAGAACCTTGGGCATGTCCTCGAAGGTGTCGGGAACGTAGAAACCGGCCTCCTTCATCGACTTGTTCTTCATGGCAGCAGTCTCGAGCTGAGAGTTGGCGAACGAACCAGCGTGACCGAACTGAACTTCGGTCTTGAGCATGCTGGCAACGGTACCAATGGCCCAAGCAACAATAGGCTTCTTGATCTGGCCAGACTTGACAGCCTCAATGACGCGGTACTCCTCGACACCACCGACCTCACCGAGAAGGAGAAGGATCTTGGTGTTGGGGTCCTGCTCGTAACGGAGCAAGTGGTCAATGAAAGTGGTACCGGGGTATCTGTCACCACCGATGGCAACACCCTCGCAGACACCGTTGGTGGTCTGCTCAATGATGTTGTTGAGCTCGTTGGACATACCACCAGACTTGGAGACGTAAGAAACGGAACCAGGGCGGTAGAGCTTGGAGGCAACAATGTTGTCCATCATACCACCAGTGTTACCGATCTTGAAAGCACCGGGCTTGATACCACCGACGGTAGCAGGACCAATGATGGTGACACCCTTCTTGGCGGCAACGTGGAGGATCTCACGAGCGCGTCTCTCGGGCACACCCTCAGCAATGATGGCAATGGTCTTGATCTGAGGGTACTCCATGAGCTCCATAGTACTCTGGTAGACGGAACGCGAAGAAGCAAAGTTGACGACAGTGTCAACATCGTCGTGCTTGCCAATGGCCTTCTCGGTGCTTTGGTAGACAGGGAGAAGAGTCTCGCTGGTACCCCAGTACATCTTGCTGACGAACTGACCACCGAAGGTGTAGATGATACCGGCGACCGAGGGAACCTTTCTCTTGCAGATGAAGTCAAAGTCAAGCATACCCTGGACGGCCTTGGGCTGCAGACCGTAGACGAAACATCTCGTCTTGGGGTGGAAGAGGGTGTGAGAAGGAGTAGGGCTCAGCGCTCTGCTGGGGGCAGAGAAGCGGGTGATGTTGTCATTGGGCTGGCTGGCTCCGTTGACTGAGGTGGAGGCAGTAGCCGGGGTGGATGTGGTTGCGGAAACCATTGTGAAAACTGCGAGGAGTGCTGTGTCAACGTGGTTGTTCGCAATGGGCTTTGGAAGGGGAGAAGAGGAGCGGTGGAGGAGGGACGGACAACGAGACACGTGAGCAAACAGATGGCCTCAAGCTTGGACAATTGCTACAAATGCGATGCTGGAGCAATGCTGTGCGAGATTGGAGCTGTAGATGTGCAGGGGCAAGGCAATTGAAAGAGCGCTGGGAGGGCAGATGGGATGTGCAAAGCTTGCCGAAGCTGACTCGGCGAGAGCAACAATAATTCAGAGCTTACTTACAGTGAGATCAAAAGCGACAACAGAAGGAAGAGAGAAGGAGGGAGAAGAGAGGAAAGGTCAGACGAGCAGAAGATGAATGACCAAAGGAGATGAGCAGATCGGACGAGGCAGGAGGAGGAGGTAAGACTTGGTCGACTGGCAATATTGTTCGACTCGTCGCACGCAGAGGCGCTTTGCTGAGGCTTCAACCGCAGAGGGCCAAAAGTCCGAGGGGTGCAGGGGTCCGGTTGAGGTTAGTGCGATCCGGTCGCCGGTGCGAGTCACTGATGCTTTTTGGCGCGCCCCGTTGCGTTTCCTGGGTTGTGTGGGTTGAAAATTCCCCGACAAAGCCGATGCGCCCTTCTGTGACAGCCGCTCCAAAAGTGCACGGCTCTCCTCAAACCACCCGACTCCGGCCGTGAGCAAGCCAAAAATCGTACCATCATCAATTTCCCCCTTCATCTGCTGCTTGTATTGGGCAAGGCTTGCGGCAATTGTTGGTGATCATGATGTGTCGAAACTCAAGATATGTCCAACAGCCGTGACAAAGCGCTGAGTGAGCGGCGTCAGCGGGTTCTCGACATTCGAAGTGGGTATTTTGACCAGACGACCGGCCCGAGTCACGGCTGTGCTGTTGCTGCTGCACCACCGCTGACTGTGTGTTTCCGTGCCTCTTGAGACTTGACTCCTTGTGGTGTTTGACGTGTCCTCTTTGTTTCGTTGCGGCGGCGCGTGCATCCAAGCTCTCTCCACAAAACCCCTGTATAAAATTAGCATTAGCAGCATAATCAGCCCACTCAGACTCATCCCAGCGCTTTTGCGTTGCGGGATCGGCGTTTTTGGTCGACCCAACGGCTGCGCTAACACGCCCCGCCCACGCTAGCGAGAGCTCACCGTCTGCACCCTTCTGCGGCCACCTGGAGCCAAGACCCGACAATATTCTCCTCGATCTCGTCCACAGCTCCCCTCCTCAAAGAGTGCTCTCCCGAATCCATCCAGTCTCGAGTCTCCGACACCTTTATTGCTCTTTCTCCTCCATTGGCGTCTCCTTGATTGTGTGATACCCACCTCTTCGGACTTTTCGCTTTCACCAACCTACCAGGTAAGCACCCGTCAAACAAGCTCCCCAGCCCAGCATCCTACCTTGTGTATCCAAAATTGGCTCTCGGCGAACAAAGGTGATTCGTTGATACATGACCCGTCGGACTTTTGCAAGTCTCAAGGTCCATGTCTCGCATATCACTTCCGTGCACCGTGCCTGTATCTCCCAACTCTTGTTGAGCCGAAAGCACACACGACTTGTTGCCGCAAGCCATTCCCCATTGCATTGCTGTTGCTCCTAGCTCTTCACCACTTTCCTTCTTCTGCATCCTGCTCTTTGTTCGCTCTTCTTGTCCTTGCTCTTTCTCTATTCTCGTCCTCACTCTGCCTCTCGCTTCGACTCCTCGACTGGTCTTGTTTGTCGTTGCTCACTTTTTGTCGTCAGTTCCTTTTTAGCAGTCATGTCCGCAAAGTCGATCCTCGAAGCCGATGGCAAGGCCATCCTCAACTACCACCTTACCAGAGCTCCCGTCATCAAGCCCACTCCTCTTCCCCCAGCTGCCAACCACAACCCTCACGCCAAGCTCTGCTCGCTCTACTTCCCCGAGGGTGCTTCCCCCAAGGATATCCTCGATGAGGCTGAGGTCAAGTACCCCTGGTTGCACGAGTCGGGTGCCAGATTTGTTGCAAAGCCCGACCAGCTCATCAAGAGACGAGGCAAGAGCGGCCTTTTGGCCTTGAACAAGACCTGGGCTGAGGCCAGAGCATGGGTTGAGGAGCGCGCCGGCAAGACCCAAAGAGTCGAGACTGTTGATGGTGTCCTCAGACAGTTCTTGGTTGAGCCTTTCGTGCCTCACCCCCAAGACACTGAGTACTACATCAACATCAACTCCGTCCGTGAGGTATGTGGCATTTTTCTCTCATTTTTTCTTTTTTATTCTTCAAGTGTCGAAACCAGTCATTGGAGACCAACCTTTCCGGGCTTGTCGAGTTTTTTCTTGTTCATCATTTTCTTGGAAGAAAAGAAGCAAGGGAAAAGGGCAAGGACCAGGGTGAAGTTTTCATATGATGGGTTTGCATGTGAAAGTCGGTTGGGCTGGCATTTGAAGCAATTCCCCGGCTATTCTTCTCGGATGAAGGGAGAAATCCCACCAGTCCCACCAAACGTGCACAGATATCCTCTCTATCCCTTACACCGATGCACAACATCTGTACCTGCATTAGACCATCGTTCTGTCGATTGACTTGCGGATCTATCCGCTGTCGACGGTGCTCCTTATTACTCCCTCGTCATCACCATACCGCCGTTCTTATGATTTTCATCATGTCATCGCTAGAGACTAACATATCATCAATAGGGTGACTGGATCCTCTTCACCCACGAGGGTGGTGTTGATGTCGGTGATGTCGATGCTAAGGCTGAGAAGCTTTTGATCCCCGTTGACCTCAAGGAGTACCCTTCAAACGAGGAGATTGCTGCCACTCTCCTCAAGAAGGTCCCTTCGGGTGTTCACAACGTCCTCGTTGACTTCATCTCCCGCCTTTACGCCGTCTACGTTGACTGCCAGTTCACGTAAGTCCTCTCTATCTTTTAATCTTTTGCTCAGTCTACTGACACGCGAACCAGCTACCTCGAGATCAACCCTCTCGTTGTCATCCCCAACGCTGATGCCACCTCTGCTGAGGTTCACTTCCTCGACTTGGCTGCCAAGCTCGACCAGACTGCCGAGTTCGAGTGTGGTGCCAAGTGGGCCATCGCTCGCTCTGCCACTGCTCTCGGCTTGAACGTCGCCGACAAGAAGGACACCAAGGTCTCCATCGATGTCGGTCCTCCTATGGAGTTCCCTGCTCCCTTCGGTCGTGAGCTCTCCAAGGAGGAGGCTTACATCTCCGAGATGGATGCTAAGACTGGTGCTTCCCTGAAGCTGACCATCCTCAACGGCAACGGTCGTGTCTGGACCCTTGTCGCTGGTGGTGGTGCTTCCGTCGTCTACGCCGATGCCATCGCCTCTGCCGGTTACGCTAGCGAGCTTGCTAACTACGGCGAGTACTCTGGTGCTCCCACCGAGACCCAGACCTTCCACTACGCCAGAACCGTCCTTGACCTCATGCTCCGTGCCCCCATGCACCCCGAGGGCAAGGTCCTCTTCATCGGTGGTGGTATTGCCAACTTCACCAACGTTGCCTCTACCTTCAAGGGTGTCATCCGTGCCCTCCGTGAGGTTGCTCCTCTCCTCATCGAGCACAACGTCAAGATCTGGGTCCGCCGTGCTGGCCCCAACTACCAGGAGGGTCTCAAGAACATCAAGGCCGTCGGTCAAGAGCTCAAGCTCGACATGCACGTCTTCGGTCCCGAGATGCACGTCTCTGGTATCGTCCCTCTTGCCCTTGTCCCCGGCAAGTACACTCCCGACATCAAGGAGTTCGGTGCATAGAGGAAAAAAAGCAACTACGAAGTTATATGAAAAAATGATTCACTACAGCTCACCATTTTCTTCGGGGTTACACTTTTTCTTTTCTTATTCATCGCCCCTTCTCAATCATGTTCGAACTCTTTTTTAAACCTTTTTCTTGTCTCGGGTGCTGGGTGCTTGCGTTTTATATCATATTACACTGGAAAGGCTTTACATCTGGTGTAGGTGCAGGAAGCGAAATGGCATAATTCCCCCTTTTTCGAAACAAAAATTACAGATACTGTTTCCAAACTTCTTGGTCTTGTCGTGTGCCTGTCTCCTATATGTTATGTATGCACCACGGTGTCACGGTTGGTTATAGGTGTTGTGACTAGTCGTCAGAATGCGAGAAGTTATTCGAGCTTTTTATGATGTGTATTGTACAAGGTATGTTAGTTGACACCGCCCAATGCATTGCTCGCCCACTGATAACTTCCCAGGAAGACAGCACCACCAATGCTGATCCAAGTGACTCTGGGTTCTACGCCCTTGAAGAAGGCCTTCATACCTTCTTCTCTGTAGATCTTGCCCAGCAAATATGAAGCCGAGACCTTTTCCTTTGCTAGCATCATCCTCGTCTTTAGCACATCCAATGGTGTTGTCAAAGCCGCAGCAATACCACCAGATATGCTTCCGAACACAGCGGATTGGAAGCCAGTAGCGGTCTCCCTGCCATCTCTTCTGGCGGCCCACCTCTTCATACCCTCCCACATGGGGAATTGGATGACTGTGAAGGGCACCTCACGCATTACTGTGATACCCCACCCACGATACAACTCTCTCGCCATGACACCATATCCCGCGCTCTTTCTCAAGTCCAAGATACTCGTGAACGCCGTTAGCGAGCTCGGAAATTGTTTGGCTTGTGCTCTTTGCTTGACGACTTCGGTAGGTACGCGCACAGCACACGCAGCCACCTCTCCCAGACTTGCGGCTGCCATGTGTACGCCAGCCTGTTGTGTGGAAGTATGGGTTGGCGAGGAGAAGTTGCGCTTTATGCCATCGTAGGTGACGAAGAAGAGGGCGGCGCCTGGGGCAGAACCGACAATGGCGGAACCGACACCTGCGTAGACACCGCGGAAGCCACCAGCGGCGAGGAAGCCTGAAGAGGATTGAAGGCGGGTCTTTAGTGTATCGAGAGGGTAGAGAGATGTGTCGACTGTGGTGCCTGCTACTGCGCCTGCCTGCGAGTGTTTAGTTAGCTTTGGTTCGAATGCTTGCCAATTATGTTGTGAAAGTCGAAGGGAAGAGCTAAAGACTGCACAGGCTGAAATAGTATAGAGCTCGGCATGGAGGGGCATTGAGTGACATGAATCGATTAAGGAAGCACTTACCAAAAGCGAGCGCAAGTAGGGCGACTCTACCAGCGGAGTCTTTTCTTGGACGACTCCTGCCATTGTGAAATGTAGAGCGAATTGAGATCAATTGCTCGTGCTATGATAACGTCAAGCCATGGCGGTTGCTGTCACAAGCCGAAAAGTTGACGCCATGGAATTTGTGACAGCTTCCGTGATCGCTCTTGCCCGAGCTTTCGGCTGGAGATGCACCGGCCATCCGCTTGACAACATATCCTGACCAGATTCAACTTTTCATCATATCGTATCATCTGCTTTGGATCATAACCTTAGCATTGCCATGAGATGTTCACGAGATCGCTCGTGAGGTATGCCTTTGAGCCAGTTGCCCAGAAGAAGTTTGATGAAATCTTGGAGCCGATATGTCGAGGCAGGAAGAATTTAGGTATGCTTAAATCACTGTCGTTCCACGATCATGTTCTTCGAAAGTACTAACGGAACATTGCAGGTCTTGCCATAAGTGGTGGAGTGGACTCGATGGCCCTCGCTATCTTATGCAAGCGAGTACGTAAATTCAAAATGCCTTCCATAACTGCTTTCATAGTCGATCATCGTCTTCGACCTCAAAGCACTACCGAAGCACAATCTGTAGCGAATTACCTCGGTCAACTCGGCATGAAGCACGAGATCTTGACTCTGAACTGGGGAGATGTTTCTAATCCAAGTCAAATCGCAAATCTCGAATCGACAGCTCGCAGGATGCGCTTCCAGGCTCTCGGCCGTGCCTGTGCCGCTGCGGGTATTTATACTCTTCTTTTAGCCCACCACGCAGACGACCAAGCAGAGACCGTTCTAGCAAGGATACATGCTGGATATCTAGGAACCGGTCTGACAGCCATCCAGCCTAAGATGCCTATTGGAGAATGCCACGGTATGCACGGCGTGTCCAAGTCGGGTTACCGACGACACCTAGATCCCGGTGCTGGTTATCTGCCCTTCTTTGTAGAATCTGGCGGAGTCCAAGTCCACCGACCGTTGCTCGATTTTACAAAGTCAGAACTCATTGCCACTTGCACAACGAAGTGCATCAAGTGGCACGAAGACGCCACAAACGCGGATCAGACTTTGACTCCACGTAACGCAATCAGAAAGTTGCTCCAGTCTCAAGTTCTGCCTGCTGCCTTGAATTCGGATCGTTTGAGAAGGCTGGCTGCGCATAAGAGGAGCCAACTCACTGCGTGCGAGTCAAAAGCTACAGTATACTTTGAGCGCTGCTCCGTCGAGATAGACACTGCCGACAGCTCTGTATCATTCCAGATTCACCCAGATATCGAGACACAGTTGAGTCGTGAGAAGGATTGTCAACTCGTAGCGGCTGTATTGATGCGCAAGTTCTTCTCTTTGGTGGAAGAGCAGAATAAACTTGCGCTGAAAGACCTTTGCCGTTCAGTGGGATTCATTTTCCCAACTGTCTTTCAAGATTGGCAACCGAGTTCAAACAATGTTAATATCGGCAACGTTACTCTGGCACAAGACCCATATCAAGAGAATGAAACGGACGAGCAGAAGAGATATCTCATTTTCTCACGACCAGTAAAAGCGCCGGAGCAGTTCACCCAGACTCTCCTAGAGGTTACAGAGGGCAATCACAGCACTTCGAAGGAACCAATCTGGACGGAAACAAAGCTGTTCCATGACCGGTGGTGGATAAAGCTAAGATACATACCAGCAAACGTTCCTGCAGGAACGACTGTGGTGATCAGGTTCTTGAAGCAGGGAGAGTCCTTGAAAGCCTACCAATGGCGTGAGAGGATGGGACTCGATCTGTTGCCATCAGGAAAGCTTCGTAACACGATCCCTGTGATCGTAAAGACAACCAAAGTCAAACATTCTGACGGATCTGAAGGTATAAAAGAGGAAATCCTAGCATTTCCTAGTGTGGGTCTAACATGCCCGGACTGCTCAAGGCCCAAAATCAAGAAGGGTCGAGTGACTGAGTCCGGAATGGCAGATGACAGTCCATGGCAGTACACCTGCGTTTACAAAGACATCAATTTTCGCGAAAGCGAAAATCATACTCGCAAAGGCAGACCGTGGAAGAAGGGCACTCGGCCCTTCTCTAACTTTCCAATGTTTTGAACAACACTTAGATGTCGAAAACTGAATGTTCCGCTTGAGACGTCTCGACTGGGCGGTCACAGCCAGCCAGAATGCACTGGACCAAAATAGAAGAACGTATCTTTCTAGGAACGGAGACGTTTCATTCGGCCCCAGGTACATGAATTACAGGCCTCGTTATGATACAGCCAGAGAAAATCTTCTCCTTGTTCTCTGAAGGAGCGAGACAGCGCAAGCCACTTCCAGAATTTGTGATCACAATCAACAGCGAGGGCGTAGGATTATCCATGCTCGAGCCGAGATAGAAGATTCATGCGCTACATGCACGAACAAGCATGAGCTCCTCAACTTGCAGCAAACCTCTGCTGGTGATCCGTCGATCCTGCTAACCCGCATAGCGCAAGTAAGCAGAAATCTCCGAAGCTGATCAATTGGCCTGCCGGAGGGTTCATGAGCGCTGTACCTTTATATTTGGACTCGAGTGAAGAGGCACCAGAGGTGACATGTGAACAAGATACAGGATACATGTGTCGAGGGAAGGTTTATTGGAAGTTACATGCAAGCAGCCAGCGTTGTGAAGGATGCTTATGTCTGCGTGCCGTGCCTCAAATGCCAACTTTGACGGCTGGACTTGCCGCTGTGGACCTGACTTGCAAGATCGGGATCAGTAAGCAAGATCCTTGATCAAGGACCGCCTCGAATCATCAGGAAGTAAGATTGCAGCGCCTTGTCAACGCAGGTCTGATGGACAATGTTCAGGCTTGCATAGATATATTGTTTCTCGCGTGAGCCTGAGGACTGAGCCATGGGCAGTGTCTTGTGCAACACGGTTTAAAAATAATAGAATTAAGGTAGCCGCCGAGCCAGACAGTCGGCTGCCGCAAACCAAGCTTCAGTGTTGACAGCGGGGTTCAACCAGGCTGAATCTGCAAATGGTCACCACGGACTGATGCAACCTTGCAGCCCAAGGCAGTATACCTACGATGGGTATTTGCCGAGAGCGAATCGACCTGAGATACCTATGATATGTATCTCATCATAGATACGATCGCTATATTTTACTCGCATCGAGAAGGGGTTCATGCGTGAGCGTCATCATTGTTCGGACATTTTGGAGAGTTTCCCCATGCGAGCCGCAAGCTACGGCAGCCAAGGCAGCCCTGACCAGATTGTTTGCTGACTACCAAGAAGCTTGCTCTGCTCCGACACGAGACGCATCGCATTTTCGAGAAGAGATTGAGTAAGAAATGCCTTGCGAAAACGAGCCTTGAATGCCGAGACAATGGATCATCAGCCATAGCAGTCGCCCTAGACCTTGACGTCCGAAGAGGTCATCTTACAGTAGGGCTTACAGGCTCCATTAGATACCTTGTAGATATGCACAGATGCTGATCATCTACAAGGAGAATTTCAAGGACCACTGGCAGCAAAGCTTGACCGGGCCAACCCTAGCTAATAATCCTTGCAACTGCTTCTGCCCTGCCGCCTCTCAGCGCGTGCTTTGAGACCGCCAACACGTTGTGAGCTCCACTCTTCCAGCTTTCCTCTCGCTTTAGTCGCATCCTCCATGCGGTTTGGTCAACTCAAATCCTTGGGACCCTGCCTGAAGGACGCACGCCCTCGTGACAATCGGGCTGAATAGTTGCGGCAGAGCCAGGTCAGAAAGCCCATGATTTCTACCCACACTATCTATCTTTCTATATCCGGATGTGGATCGAGGTCAGTAGTCATACGATTTAGCCTCACACCGAAACTACGGTAAGCGGAGAAGAGGCGGCGACTGCTGATATATTTGTACACTGGAGATGCGCATCTCGGTGTATATAAAGGTAGGTGATCTCGCTCAGGTCTGTACGTGTCAACACTGAGCTCCAATCACCTTTTGTTGTCTTGCATAGCTCTGCGTGTTTGAGCATACCTGCTGTACATTGCGTAGCAGTCTGTCTTCTTTCGTTTCTACAGACTCTCGTTTCTTCTTTCACGATGCACACTCGCTCTTCATTGCTATTGCCGCTGGCATGGTCGGCCTCGTTCTTGCCGGGCATAAACGCACAAGATTGTGAATCCTATGGTATTGACTTTGTCAACAATGGAAACGTAGGTGATATCACGGATCATATGATCGAAGTGTGCTAACTTTACCTTGCAGTACTTTATCAACATAGCCTCAAACCAGTCCTTTACTTCAGTCACAGAGTTCAACCGTAAGTAAAGTTCTCGAATTCACGAGTATATGCGCTGATCGCGGATGCAGAATGCCAAAATGACACTGCGAATGTCGAATTGGTCAATTGGGACACAGGAGATGAATACATGTGCTCAGACATCCCTCTACTACCCAACTTGACCCCGGAGACATCCACCTGCGATATTGAGAAGGATCAGATGGTGTCAGGCACTTGGGGATTGATCCTAATCTCGAACAACGGTGATGGCGACCCTCTTGCGGCACAAAGAACTTTTTCGTTGACCGTTGGCACACAAGTGACTTCTACTGTAAGTTTTGTCTGTGATGCGTGATGGTATGGCACTAATGAGATCAGGTTACACCGACCATGACCTTCAATATGACGACTACTCCAACTGTTACATCTCATACGACATCTTGGGTTGTTAACACTACGACCGTCAATAACACTCACACCATCACTGAGCCTGCTGTAAGTAGAGATCTACCACATCTATCAACGCTGAGCTAACGAACCCAGGCCACACGCTGGGTGACGATCACCCCCGACCCTGTAGTCGTCACCAAAACAGTGAACCTCACCCGTACCTTGAAGACCTGGACACGCACTGCAGTTGTGTACACCAGTACCGCAACAGCCAGCTGCACAGTTCCTCCTCGTCCTCAACAGCCCGATCCCCCATGCACCAGATGGCCTCGCCTTATCCAAGTGCCTCAAGGCGTCCGCATTGCCCACGATAAAAGGGAAAACTATGCCAGCATCAAAAAGCGATTGGCAGATATCCGTGCCAGAAGAGCTGCCGAGATTGATGCAAGAGATTTGGCCAAGAGGACTGCTGATGCGGCTACGATCACTGTTACTGGCACTGTGCCTGTGAATTCGACTGTGAGTTTCCTCCTCAGGCAAGGAAGGCCAAAAAGCTGACAAGCGAGTAGATCACATTTACTGCTTCTCCAACAACAGTCATGAATATTGTCTTGAGCAGTTCAACCGTCACTTCGTATGTTCTTCTTCTCAAAGCCCTATTCGATATGCAGAGATACTGACATTGTTCGTGCAGCACACTCCCACCAGCTACCGTCAAGACCGGCTATGCAACAGCATTGCTTACTCTTCCTCCCGTCACAAAGACTGCATTCACCATCAACACAGCCTGGTCATGGCAAACCAAGACTATGACGGCTACTTTCGTCAAGACGACTACTGTAACACCCACAGGCGTCATGACTGCTTGCAAGAGCATGGGTGGACACTTTGGAAATGGATGGTGGAACTAGGGGATATTTTGTTTCTCTTAATATTCATCTGTTTGTGTGACCCTGTTTCCTTTTTGGTTCGTTCTCTCGGAAAATCATGGTCTATGGGGGTGAATTGTCTGGGGGTGAATAATCACGGACTAGCGACTGTGTATTTGTGAGATATTTTGGTCAAGGATGGTTGGGTGGAGATCTGTTGATCATACATTTTTTTCCTTCTATCAAATAGTCCTACTCATCAAATTCAATTTTTTTCCGCATCGAGACGTGAATGTCGCTGTTCTGATGAATAGCAGTTGAGAGCGAAACTGATCATCTTCACATCTTTTGCACAAATTCCGAACCATCAAACCACTATACAAATTATTCCAACAATAGCAATAACACCAGCGAGAGCAGTCAGCAAAGCCAAAACTCAAAACCCTCCTCAAACTTTTGATAATCAGGTACAAGGTCCTGTATAAGTAACCAAGTAACGTTGTACACATGCACCCTCGGCACTCCACCCAATTCTCCGAATTTAGCTACATAAAGGATTCATGCTGCCTGGCCCTCCACAACCACAATACGAGCTATTGATTCATTTTTATAGACATGAGGCGTAGTTCGTTGGCGGGGCCTTGTGATCAAAACAAATCCTTCTTGGTAGGTAATGGAGTTTTGAATGTTGGTGGTGGGAGCTTTGAGGAGGAAAGAGGGAGGTTCAAGCAAGCTTTACAGTGGCAGGCTGTGGCAGCTGCAGGTGCTAAAAGGCAATTTCTGTTGACGTCTGGCCTTTCTGAGCAGGCTTTGGGTATCAGCTGTGTTTATTGTGCCATTGTTCTTTCCTTGTTGGAAGGGTGTTGCGCGTGATGTTGGGATTGCGTTGATGTAAAGTAAGCAGTTGCGACCGCAAGACCGGACAAGTTGTGACTATGGGTTCGCAACTTCCATGAAGAGATCTCAAGCTCGGGGTTCTGTAAACAAGAGACTCCGCTGTATAAATTTATAGTTGTGCTTCAAGAGGCGACACCATGGATATGGTTAGAGGAAAGAAGCTAGGGTCGTTCTATTGATTTCCCTATGGCAAATCGTTCTCTGGTCACAGCACAGATCTGCTGAGCTAACGTAGCGATCTACTGACATGGCTCCTTCCTCTACCATGGCAAATTGGACAGCCGTTTCAACAGTACATTTTTCCTGTCTTGCTATAAATGACAGCGGTTGCGCAGTAGAGACTGTATACTGGTTGTCATCGGCTTGATGTTCAAAACATCCGGAACAATAACAGCAGCATTAGAGACATCGGTTGCTTCTTTCGAAACTCTCCATGCCCTTCCGAATCAAGCAGTCTCTAGTGCTTGAGGATATCCTTCTAGCAATTAGTGGTCGCAGCCTTTTCAAATCTATCGAGATCTGATCTCGCGACTATTTCCTCGTGTCTTCCTGACACAACTCTTGCTTCAAGATTTCCTGATTAGAAGCCATTCATACCACTAGCGTCAACATCCTGATCGAAACCTGTCCACATGTTTTCAAACGGCAATCCCAACCCCTCAAACGAGAATCCCAAATCCGCAGTCGTGGCCCCAAATCCAGCAAGATCAAACGCAAAATCTTGTTGCAGAGGCTGTAACACCACATCTTCAACATTAATAGCAGGTGCCATCTGTTCTTGATTGTGTTGCTGAGGATGAGGGGAGGTAGCAGCAGCAACAGCAGTGCCAGAAGAAGAAGTAGAGAGTTTGTTGATGACGCGAGAAATGGGTTCATCGCATTGATTGAGGAAAATGTCTGCGAGATCCCAGTCTGAGTCTTCGCGGGCGGAACGCAGGCGCTTTCGAAGGGCTTCGAGGCTGCGTGTGCAGGTTTCGCGAGCGGAGGAGTCGGTTGTTTCGATGGTGCAGCGGAGGAGTATCATGGCGGAGGAGGCTAGTAGATGTGCCGTGTCTGGAGAGACGTTATTACACTTGGTCGAGATGTAGCGGAAGACTCGATGACTTACAAGGCAACCACCACTCGGCTAGATGTTGACTTGTCAGAGCACAAACAAAGTCTGCAATCTCGCGTGCCGAACTACGCAGCACAGAAAGACGGTATCTCAAATGATCACTGCTGTTGTCAGGGTTTTGACCATCAGAATTGGCAACCTGAAAATGTTAGCCGAATCTTGTAGGAGGTATTATCTAACATACCTTCAACGCAGTTCGGGCAAGCATAAGCTTAGTCGATAAGAAACAAAAGTGCAAGTTGCATGCTCCAGGCCCTTTCCCTTCCTCAAGTGGGCGAGTAAGATATGGTGGTAGGTCAGCTTCCCATTGGTCTAGATCGCACTCAAGCCGTCGGAGTTCTCGAGGCACTTTTGCATCAAATGGTCGGCGAAGTTCAGCGGCGATGTGCAAGATTTCACCAAGTATCTCGCATAGTTTGCACAGCTGAATAAAATGCTCTGCACCTTGCTCACGATAGACATTTTCCTTGCCTGGTGTCAAGAGCATTGCATGAGTGGGCAGAGGCACATCATACTGTCCCTTGGTAAGTGTGGCAGGTGTTCCATGAGCTAGAGCAGACCTTTGAGAGTTTAGCTTGATCAAGACATAATCCCCTCGTGGACTTACATTCTGTTACTAATCAGGACTGCCCACCACGTCCGGATTCTTAGCCTTTTCTCGTGTTCTGAGCATCCCCAGTTGGTCGGGTTACGGTTCATACCAAACGTATGAGCAAGGGCCAGAGTTCGCCCTTCATTGATGATGTTACCCACGATAGAGTTCACAGGACGACCGATCATATCAAGTACGCTGCTGAGTATCGTCGAGACGCTGGACTCCATGAAATCTTCTTGCAGAGCAGCAACAGCGACATTGCAAGCGTAGATCGGATCAGGACGAGGGTGATTTCTCAGTTTGGGTGATCGATCCCATGAGGACAATGCATTAGTGATGATGTAAGACCACAATGTAGAAGATATGCCTATTGCTCCATGTTTCTTGATGGCCAGTTCATCAAGGATGGGAAAGCATGGATGGGCATTCTCGAAGTATCTAATCGATATGAGCTACTAGGTGCGTTTTATAGGAGTAGTCACCAAATACTCACAGGTCAACAAGCTCATCGGCAAAAGGTCCCACCAGATGTTGCAATATGAGCTTCTGGTTAGAGCCAGGATCCTTGGCTGGCTGAAGGCCTCGCCGGCGACGAGGAACAGAAAGGTACAGAAGTGGATTACGACTCGGTCCAGCTGTAGTAGTTTGCCGTTCTTTGGACGATTGTCGCGCTTCATCTCCTTTTGAAAGATATGGTCCCAAGATCTGTATGTCCTCTTGGAAAACAGGCCCAACAATCACAGTTGACTCAGTACTTGGATGATCCAAAGGTTGTGCGATTTCAGCAGAGGCTTCAGCAGGAGTGCCTATTGTTGAGTTTTGGCGAGACGGCCGCCGGGGGACTTGTGGTGAGCCATCACCTCCCGGACCTATACTTGCAGCAGTGCGCTTTGCAGACCTCTCACCTGGACCAGAAGTAGAGGAACGATCGCGTTTCTGAGCACTTGCAGCAGGGGAAGCCGTGATACATTGCCAGCCTTTTTCCCGGCAAAGGGTGCACTGAGCAGCAACTTGATCAAAATGGCAGCGAATCTTGCGTTGGCGGCAGGCTGTGCAAGCGGGAAACTTGTGGGATCGATATGGACGTGTCCCAGAGGGAGGGTCCATGGTATTAGACCCTGATTGGGCCATGCCTAGCGTATCTGGATAATAATGCAATGGGAAAGAGAATAAAGATGGCACGTCCAGGTTCTCCGAGTAGTTTCCCGACATGATCGTTCCCCGCGACTTTGCCGAGGTCTTGTGTCTGGCTTCATGAAAGTTGCAATGAAGGCAATAGCATAAAATCCTAGATTAAAGACCAAGCGATGTAACACTTGATACAGCAAGCACTTTGGGAGAAGGGTAGGACTATCGACATCGTAAGTATAGGGCACGAAGAGACCTTGACGGAAAGTTCTGTGAGTCAATGGCGGAAACCGGCTACACTTGCTCTGATTACCAGGACGCCATAAGATCCAAAGCAAACTCATTGGTTCGATTCATGATGAGAAACAGGGCTGGAGAATATCCAGGTAGTATGGTTGTATGAATACAACTCACTGATGTATTACAGTGAGCAGGCAAAGAATGCCCAAAGATTGTGATCAGATATAGTACAGTGCCACCCCATATGCACAATTGCCCGTCTTTTTGTCGCAACGCCTCAAAACTCCAATCCAAGAATGCTCATGAAGAAGAAAGATGGTCGTGACGCCCTCTTACTTCCTTACTGCAAAGCCCAATGTCTCGGCAGGCTTCCACTGTTCCTTTCTCTCCAGCAATGCCTGCGCCTGTTCTCTCATGCTCTTTCTCTCGTCTCTGTCCACAAAGGTATCTGCCAATCTGCCTCTTTGCTCGGCGTACTTGTCGTTGTCCTTCTGGCCCTGGTCGAATGTCTCCTTGTTCCAGTTGGCGTTCAACTCCTCCTTGGTCGGCAGCTCGGGGAACACAAATGGCTGCTCAAGTTCGACCGTCATCTTCTTGATGGCACGCGGGCGGAACCAGCGCTTGATCTGCATCTTGGGAGCGTTGGGCTTGCCCTGGGTGACTTTTTGTTGTTCAATGTAGGAGCGGACGCTGACGACGCGGACATCGTAGGCATGGAAGAGGTAGTCGCGAAGGTCGAGCTTGTTCATGTTGAGGGGCACAATGAATTTGGCGAAGTTGGGAGGCATGCGCGGTGTCCGGACGAGGGCCACTGTGAAATTGGGCCTGTTGCATGGTTGTCAGTACTTTTTTAATGGTTGCGAGAATCTTCGGTACAGGTGATTGGACGTACAGGTAGACCTCCTTCATTCCCAGGCGGAAAGGCGCCTTGATTGCTGCTTGTGCCGACATATTTGTGGTGTGTGATGTTTGACTGGCCGTGGTTTCTCGGTCGTGCTCGCCATACCAAAAGTCCCGCCGCTGCTCTCTGCGTCGGCAGAATCCGATCCACCTTTTGCGCCAGCCTTGGCAACCCCGGATGCTGTATAACGACATCAATGACATCTTCTTGATCAGTCATCTTCATTTTTCTTGACCTGGTAGAAAGGTCTAGTAAAAATGGCTACGGTGACCCAGGAACGTATCGAACCTTACGAAATAGTGTCGTGTGTGCCCCATTCCAAACCCGTTCTGGTCAACCAGTATGTGATCTTATCACCCAGTGTTATGTTGCGAAAGTGATAGTAACGACTAAGCTAGACGGCCAACATATGATCGCCATGTCTTTGTCGAGCGCCCTTTGCTGAGTGCTCTACTCTTTGACAATGTCGACTCGGATGCTCGTGACCATTGCGCCAACGAAAGAAGTATGTACAATATGCATGTTTCATTCCAAGCCATCTGGGATCCTGACTGATTACGTTGTGATTCTAGCCTTTCTTTCGTGGTTGCGTCTAGCTATATACATGGCTGTCGTCAGTGTAGCCATTCTCATCTCCTTTCATCTCAAAAGCCAACCTACACCGCTCGAACGAAGGATAGCACTGCCATTTGGCATCATCTTCTGGTTCCTTGCTCTCGCTTGCCTGGCTAGCGGGACAGCAAATTACATAAAGACGGTCCAAAAATACTCAAAGCGACAGGCCTTGGTCCAGACTGGTTGGAAAACGCAAGTGGTGAGTTTGAGCTCGGCCTATTTTTGTGTCGTGCTCCTGATTTCCGGTCCAGGTCTTTACTATTGTAGCGACTTCGATCGTGGCTGCGTGCGTGCTATTTCTGTCGACGAATGCTGGGACGAGCAAGAGGACACGCTGAGGTGATGCGATGGAATGGTTGATGATTGACGATTCATGATTTTTTTTACACGCCTCGCTGTCGTAAACGTACAAATAATGTTGGTATCTCTGACCGTATCCCTCAAAGCAAAACTCCTTCTCCGCCTCCCTTGTGTGGCAGTCGGCCATTTACATCTCAAGCAAACACCAGGTCTGGTCGTCGACTGTCGGGTAGATCTTGCCCATGGATTGAAGCTCGTCTGCTCCCTTGAGCACATCGGCAACGTCCATACCAGTTCTGCTGGCAATGTCCTGCATGTGAAGACCCTCGTTGATCTGAGGAGTGGTTTGCATGCACTGGAAGACCTTTCTGGCGTGAGTCGAGACACCAGCAGGAAGTGTGCCACCTGCAGCAGAGTGACCACCATTGGTCGCGCCTTGTCCTTGTTGGCCTTGCTGTTGTGCTCCCAGAGGTCCGCGTGTGAAGAAGAGGTGGACGTATGTAGCTTCCAGCATATGGTAGTTGACTTCGTTCAGATCGGTTAGGGGACGGATTTGTTGGGCGACAACGTGACGCTTGCCGAAAGTCTTCAGCTTGCCCCAAACACGAGCGTATGCATTCTCGACCAGACCGCCCTTGCTTCCGTTGTCTTCGTCGTTCTGAGCAGTCTCCATGTCGATCCAGACCTTGACCTCAATGGTGCCAGTGCCATCATCCAGCTTGTAGGTGATATTTGTGGTTTGCTTGCTGATGTTGCGGATCTGACCAACAAACGAGATTGTGGTCAATTCGGAGCCATCGATGGCGAAGTTTTCACTGTCGGGTTGATCGGCTTCGAGAAGTTGCTTGATAGTGACGGGGCGTAGGGTTTCCTTGCCATATGACTGTAGGTGTTAGATGTGGATGAAAGGCATCATGTCAGGAAAACTCACTCTCTTTGCGCTGGGACTGTCCTGGCTACCGGCCATGAAACCACCGTCCTCGTTACCACCCTGCGCGCCATATGATGTTGTTGAGTATCCGTAATCTGCTGCTGTCAGAATTGCCTCTTGCGCGTCAGTCCTGAGAGCGAAGCGCCTTACCCATTGTGATGTGATCTTTTGAGTGTTGTGGGAAAAACGTATGGTCTGAGCCAGGGAGTAGCTTCCTCTGTATGCTTTGGTGATGTCCGTACAAGCTCGTCGGTATTCTTATTGATTGTGCAGTGTTTGCCGGGTGTGACCAAAAAGTGGCATGGACGCGATGGCAGCCTCGACCCGCGATTGCGACGCGTTAAGTGGTCGATCACGTGGCGATAAGACAAGACCCCCAAAAGCTTATCAGCAAAAGTTGCGGATCGCGACTTCCCAAATTTGCGGAGAGGCGCTTTTTCTGCGACTGCTCATTTACAATCAGAATACAAAATGGGTAGACGAGCTGCCTCGCCAGCCGCTTCGGAGAATGGCTTCGACATCTCCAATGCTCTTTTCGGAGGAGCGGGTCTAGACTCGGACGACGACACTACTCTTGCCGGATTCGAGCAACCTCAAGCCGCCGCCATTGATGCTTCCGCTGGAGCCGGACTTGACGACGACAGTGATGGCGACGAACTGTACATTGCTGCTCAGCAGGCTGCTAGCAACAGAAAGACGAAGGATGCAACGGGAAAGGTCACCAAGAAGGGAGGAGGCTTCCAGTCCATGGGTCTGAATGGAAACCTGCTCAAGGCCATTACTCGCAAAGGCTTCTCTGTGCCCACGCCCATTCAGCGCAAGACCATTCCTGTCATTCTGGATGGTCAAGATGTCGTCGGTATGGCCAGAACCGGTTCAGGAAAGACGGCCGCCTTCGTCATACCCATGATCGAGAAGTTGAAGTCACACAGCGCAAAAGTCGGTGCAAGAGCCGTCATCTTGTCACCTTCGCGTGAACTCGCGCTTCAAACACTCAAGGTCGTTAAAGAGATGGGCAAGGGAACAGATCTCAGGACAATCTTGCTGGTCGGTGGTGATAGTCTGGAGGAGCAGTTCTCGTCCATGGCCTCAAACCCGGATATTATCATTGCCACCCCTGGTCGTTTCGAGCATTTGAAGATTGAGATGAACCTGGACCTGTCTTCAATCAAATACATTGTCTTCGACGAGGCTGATCGTCTTTTCGAGATGGGTTTCGCCGCCCAGCTGGCCGAGATCATGGCCGCTCTGCCTCCCAACAGACAGACTCTCCTGTTCTCCGCCACTTTGCCCAGATCCCTGGTCGAATTCGCTCGCGCTGGTCTTCAGGAGCCCAAGCTCATCCGTCTGGACGCCGAAACAAAGGTCTCACCTGATCTCGAAACCGCTTACTTCTCCGTCAACACTCAGGAAAAGGAGGGCGCCCTCATACACATTCTCAGAGACGTTATCAAGATGCCTAGCGGACCTACAGAGAGGTCCAAGCAGGTCAAGGAAGACGGTGCGAAGTCCAAGAAGCGCAAGCGAGGCCCCGATGGTCCCGGCGCCAATGAAACACCAACTGAACATTCTACCATCGTCTTTGCTGCTACAAAGCATCACGTCGAATACCTCTACAACCTTCTCAGCCAACTCGGATATGCCGTATCATACGTCTATGGTGCTTTGGATCAAACCGCCAGAAAGATACAGATCCAGGAGTTCAGATCTGGACTTACAAACATTCTTGTTGTTACCGATGTCGCTGCTCGTGGTGTTGATATCCCCATTCTGGCCAACGTCATCAACTACGATTTCCCTTCGCAACCAAAGATCTTTGTTCACCGTGTTGGTCGTACCGCTCGTGCTGGTCGCAAGGGTTGGGCCTACAGTCTGGTCACACAGAAGGATCTGCCCTACCTGCTCGATCTACAGCTCTTCCTGAGTCGCAGACTGGTTCTTGGAAGAGAGTCCACTGACGAAATTAACTACGCCGATCAGGTCGTGTTAGGCACGCTTGTCAGAGCGCCCCTCGAAGTCTGTGTCGAAGAAGTCGGAAAGCTTGTAGACGAGGATGTTGACTTGTCTGGCATGCGCGATGTCTCCGTCAAAGCTGAAAAGCAATATGTTCGTACTCGTACTTCGGCCTCTTCTGAGAGTGCAAAGCGTGCCAAGATCGTCGGCTCCTCACCGCATTACTCAGAGATTCACACTTTGTTTGAGGATGACTCGGAGGCTAGACAGCTGGAGCTGGAAAGAGAGAAAATGCTTGCACGTGTCAGTGGATTCCGTCCACCGGAGACAATTTTCGAGGTCGGCAAACGAGGTACGGCCAACGAGGCTACGGAGATCATGAGAAACAGACGCGCCAAGATTGTTCCGCGTAAGCAACAAGAACAGGAAGAAGCTGCGGAAATTGAGGAGATGGATGCAGACACTTCAGTGTTTGACAATGACGATGAAGACCTCCCACAAGGTGATATCGACGTTGACCTGGACGAGGCTTCTGAAGATGAGCTCGAGATCACATTTTCACAACCCGAGAAGAAGAAGGCAAAATCATCAAGTACAGGACAGGATTCGGAATTCTTCATGTCTTATACGCCACAAAATATTAACATGGCTGAAGATCGAGGTTATGGCGTTCATTCGGGTACGGACGGAGGACGCAACACGCACTTTTTGGACGCAGCCCGCGGTGCCACTATGGATCTGGCAAACGACGATACAAAGGCTTTCGGTGCTCCTAGCAAGGCTGGCGGTCTCCGTTGGGACAAGAAGAGCAGAAAATACGTATCCCGTGCCAACGACGAGGACGGCTCCAAGGGTACCAAGATGATCACGGGTGAGAGCGGTCTGAAGATCGCAGCCTCGTTCCGCAGTGGTCGCTTCGACAGATGGAGGAAGGACAACAAACTCGATGTTCTTCCTCGCGTCGGAGAACTTGAACGTCCCGGCAACAGAAACGGACTCGATAATCAACGCTTCAAGCACAAAATGGTTAAAGCACCTAAAGATGCCGACAAATACCGAGACGATTACCACAAGCAAAAAGCAAAGGTGGATGCAGCAAAGGAGAAACGTATCGGCAGGTTCGAGGGTGGACCTGGCAAGAGCGAAATCAGAGGTGTTGATGATGTGCACAAGCTCAGACAAGAAAAGCAGAAACGACAGGATAAAAATGGTCGACCACAAGGTTCAAGCAGTCGTGGCCGTGGTGGTGGCCGTGGTGGTTCGAGCCGAGGAGGTTTCGGAGATCGTGGTGGAAGTAGTCGGGGAGGTCGTGGAGGCGGTGGTCGGGGTCGTGGCGGAGGTAGAGGTAGAGGAGGCAGAAGCTAGTAGAAGCCTTCATACCTTTTGTCTCTTCCACGCTAGAACAGTAGCAAACGCAAAGCTCGTGCGAGCACCATTGGTTAGATCTACCCTACAGCATTGCGATACAATTACATGTTCGACACACACATTCCGTAATTCCGCACTCGGCTCTTATCAACAACCTTTACTCAAATCATACTATGGGTACCTGATCGGTTTTCATAACAGACTGCCTTGGCAGAAGCAATCTGACGGGGAAAAGTCTCTTTGGTTCGCTGCCGTCTGATACATACGACGTGTCAATTCCCATTGGTCCTTCGGTCATATGTCGCTGATAAAGACAGAAAGTTCTTCGGACAAGTTGACAACTTCACCCTAGCTACGATCTTATGCAAGGACTGAATTGACTTTGATGCTGACTCGTTGGTGAAGGGCGGCCCGGTGACTTAAATCGCCGTGACACCGATGTTGTTTGCTTTTGACTCTTAATGTGATGATGAAACATGGCCTTGGTATGTATACAAATGCACGTTGTGACGAACAAGCAACCAGTCATCACTTGAGGTCGGACTGCAAGAAATGCTTAAACATGCTGTGACCAAGCCGCTAAGATGGTCAGGCTTGCAGTGGTCTCAAGTCTTGCCGCAAGGGACATCTATCTGGTAGGTGTTGGAGCATTCATCACCACTGACACCACTACATAAGCCGTTCGCAGCAGTAAAAGTACAGCGCTTGGATCGGCCCAAGTCCATGGTTCTCTTGGTCAAACACATGTCAGAGAATGTTACTATAATGAACGAGATTGGTCAAGAATAGCTACTCAAACATTTATGCGGCGAAAGGCAAAGACGACGTGAGGTTGTCCTGAGACTTGGCGCGTCGAAACATCGGACGTTTTCGCTCGGCCCCCCAACTTCCCCATTACAACCTCACCTCTTGAGTCCTTCCCTTTGGCAGAAACTCCGTAGCGTCCCCGGCCTTCCACCCTCGACTGTCTGATACCGTCTGCATCATGCGGCTCTTGCATGCAATGTACAGTGATTGCGATACACGCCCAGTATGCAGCCTCGAAATCTACGCCAAATCATCGATTTCAGCCTGGATCGTCTCTGCTTAACAGCAAGGGAAAGAACACCAGGGCCACGTTTTACTCCAGGAACACGTGCTTGGCAAAGACTGATCAATGCTGATCATGCCTCCATGCTCCGCAACTTTGATGCTCAGCGCCAACCGGGACTCCGCAGGGTTACGCGAGAATCTTCCTAGGTTCTCCGGACTGTGAGACTGCCATGCATTCTTTCTCGCAGCGCTGGAACAGGAAAGAGACGTTCCACGATGCTTCTGTCGCTTTCAAGCGAGGACTGACAACTTTCCCGTCTCTCTTATTTCCAGCTCCTTCGTCTCGTGTTTACGACTTCCGCAAGTAGTTTCTGTCCTTCACGTCCCGGACTCTTTTTCAAGCCCGATGTTGGGAAATTAGGATCCCTTTCTCGGGTCCGAAACCCCCTCGCGGATACTGGAAAACCTGTTGATTAGGACGACGATCGAGTTCTTGCAAGCTACAGAGCTGGGAAATCGATGATCGAGAGTCAAGAAACTTTCCTTCGCTCTCAAGATTTGTGATAGTAGGTCTGTTGGTCTGAAGCTATCTTTTGTGTTCCTGAGCGGTCATGAGTGTAGGTCCAAGCTGCAGATCCGGCCCCACGATCCTGTCAACAACAAGAGCCACTCTTTGGAAACAATGACCCGCCGACAGCATACAATGGAGCTTAATCGAGGCGTTTCAGGATCTCTCTCCCGGCAGGTACACCTGCATCGTCACTTACGTTGTCCAGGTCAATACCCGTAGAGCTCTTGATTGGCCTAAGCGACCCCTCTGGCCGCGCCAGCTTCTACCTACGCCCACCCTCAAGCGGCAATCGCTGCCCAGAGAGCATCTGAACACGAGCTTAGCATGGTCGAAGCATGCGCCATCCCGCAGACCGTTTCGCACACGGTGGATACATATCGGGGGTTGTTGTCGCCGATGCGTCTGAGGGCGTTCAATGATCTACTGCCCTGCGCATTTCATCTGCGTCTTGCTGTAGCCGTTGTCGATATGCCAAGCGATGGTGGAACCGACATGCACAGGACCAGCTCATGGATCCTCATTCGAGGGCATGGTGGCTCCGATGCATCGTGTTTTTGGCGATGCAGTAATGGGAAACCCGTGCTGTCAGCACCAGACGGAGAGAGATGCGCGGTCCATATGACATGTCTGCAATCGTTATTATGCCATCTCAATATGCGGCTTTCCCCATGATCTAACCTTAGTTCAGGCGGATTACGCCATGATTGTCTGAGCTGTCCGACGTTTGTTGCTGCTCACAGCCTTATGTACGAGTCTGTGCAATCCTAACCCAATTCATGGGGCTTAGTCTGTCTTTTTTCCGTCCGACCCTCACCCTCTCGTCTCATCTAGGCTGGATTTCCAGCTTCATCAGTGCCTTCGTTTCCTGCCTCTGTGTTTGTAGGACATTGTCAATAGCACCAACGAACTGATTTGATTCTTCACAACACTCGCTCTCAACTCTCTGTCATTCCTCCGGATCTGTCTTCTCCATCTTACTGTCCACCAACTCCGATTACAGTACCCCGACCTCCGCAATTCTGTATAATTGTCCGTAGGCAGAATTTGGGCAATCCACGCAAATATCCATGGAGAACGATTGAATCTTTTCGTTGAAGGACCATCCTGCAAATCGCAATTGGAGAAGAGATTTGTTGAAGCTCCTTCTTAACTGGACACAATTCAATTCGGTGTGAGCTCTTGTCGTTCGCTCCTCCCCCACTCGGCAACTCGAATCAATCGACACGTTTTCGGGAAAGTATGACCGGGTCATCACAGCCCAGTTACTTCTACTTGCCATACGAATCTCGACCTCAAATCGATCGCTCAGACCTTGCTTTCGCACAGGGCGGGTCTCCGCCGTGGCAGTTCATTCCATCCTACCCTTCACCGCCTATGTCCAGCCCGCCTTCCCCACAGAGGAAGGTATCCGATATACAACCTCCACCAGCTACAACTTTTTCCGAGCTTGCACTTTCTGCTACTACTACATCTTCAGATCCATCAACCACAAGGACGAACTTCAACATATCTCCCGTTTCGGCAAGGGCACGTGCATCTACACTTCAAAGCGTACCTCAATCATCTGCCCCAACACCAACTGCAACGTCATTAGGGGCCCCCCGCACCTATTCGTCGTCTTCCACAGAAAGCCTTGCAGTACTCCGTCAAACAGATTCTGGCTCAAGTGCAGGCAATGTTGCGGATCCCCTTCCTACTGCTGGACCCAGTCTTGGACGGTCATCATCTGACATAGGTCGAGGTGGTAGGAGGGCCAAAGCTCATGTCGCAAATGCATGTAACAATTGTAAGCGGGCACACCTCAGCTGTGATGTCGAGAGACCTTGTGGAAGATGTGTCGCTACAGGCAAGGCGGTAAGTCTATCTTGAGAAGACAGTATACTACAAGCTGACAGCTTCCAGGATACGTGCCGTGATGTTCCTCACAAAAAGCGTGGCCGGCCCCGTCTACGCGATGAGGCCCAGTTTCATCTACAACAAGGCGGCTCTGAGATAGAAGCAGTAGAGAGTCCAGTGCCAGGTCCCTCGTCTGCTAGACCCATGGCCCGGCCAGGACATCGAAAAACAGCTTCCTTGAGGACATTGGCGGCTCTGGCTACAGAACAGGGTCATCAGCATTCAACTGGCCAAGGTGTCTCGACCCGTGAAAGAGCATATTCTTTTGGAGCAGCTCCGCCGACAGGACTCCAACCACCCCCTAGACACCCGCGCCTAGCTCCATCCCCTGAGGTACCGATAGCCTTTCTGGATATCGATTTTGTGGTTCTAAAGGCCAACGCAACATTCCAGCGTCTCTTTTCGTGGCTACAAGAGATCAAGGGCATCCGCTTGTCGGACATCGCAAAGCCATTGGAAGGGGACAGCTTTCAGAATGCTCGGAATCGACTGAGAGAAGAAAGAGAGATACGCGAGCCAGCATACCTACCGCCAATCCTGCAACCAAGACTTGATCCAGTATCAGGTATTGGAACGACGGACCATGATGTGGAAGAAGTCACAAGAGGATTTGCCGATCATCAGTTCAACTGGACTTTTCGGCTTGGAGGTGGTGTTGACCAGACATTGCCGATCCGTATGCGATTGGCCAAGACGTCTGTCTACTTTGTCACCCTCTTCCTCCCACCGCTACCACCACAAGTCGCCGAGCAAGTTGTGCCTCCTCAGCCACCGCCAGTCATGTTTCCTACAAGAGTTGCAGCACCACCTCCCGCACCATTTCAAGGCAGTCCTGTGATGATGGAGCAGCAAAAGGGTATCTCTGAGCCGCCTTCTTCCTACTACATACTCCCAACCAACGATCCTGGATCGCAAAACTACACACTCAATCCACGTTACACCTTCGGCGAACACTCATATACGCATAGCACGCATTATCAACCCGCCTACCATCAACAGCAGCAACAGCATTCAGCACAACAAATGCTCCCGCCACCTCCAGCACTTTCGCAGTCCTCGGACCAGCGTCCCGGCACTGCAGGATCTAGTTCAAGCAGTCACATGTCCCAGACTCCATTCCTACAACCACCCATGCATGGGCACCGTAGCCGTCCAAGGTCCGATACCATGGACTCACTTGGCAGACACATCCAAACCAGACTACGGGCAGATAGCGGGGCCACAGTACCGGTATTCCAAAGCTCGCCCGTGCAGCAAAGACATGCTGCCGAACGGGTAAGCAGCGAAGATGACTTTGAAACAGGGGAAGGTTCAGGGAGTCCCAGAAAAAGAAGAAGGCTTGACATCAATGAGATGTTGCAACGTTGAGACAAAATATAACATGGCAGCGGCAAACCTGCTTGTAATTTATATAGAGTTGCTCTTTATTGTATCCTGGAGCACTGATCTTATGACAAGATCTCGGTGACCTAAAGAGCTTTGCATTCTTACGAGATAGAGAGGCTTCTACAGTGGCTCGTTCTGTTTGTGCACAGCAATGCTGACAAAAAAAAACTTTTTTACTGGAATGTAACTGTTGGACCTTCTCGTCGCGATTGATTTTGACCATATTGATGCAGGAGCATCGAGTTTGAACTACACTGGAAGCTTCAGAGTCCATCGTGCAAGCCTGTAGCCCCAAAGCTCATGCCAGCTCAGATCTGCCACGTGTTCATGTGGCAGCTTCTTACGAATCGTGTATGCCTGCGTTGGCGGATATGGAAGAACGCGTATACAAGTGTGCACAGAGTCGACGCGTCTTTTCTGCCAACGAATCTGTGTTTCCACAAAAATCCGTAAAATCAGCATAGCCGCAGTTCAACTTCCTCTAGTAGCATCTTTGTGCAACAATAGTCATGGAAGATTCCGGATATCTGATCTCGAGACGACTTGCGTAGTCCCTGGTCGTCGGACAGCATGTTGTACCTCACATACAGTATCTCTGGGAACTTTTCCGATAAACAAATAGCCGTGAGAGATTGACCCTAAATCTGCAAAAAGCTTGGTTCACAGTGAAGATCGCCTGTGTAACAGATACCAAAAGGGAAATAAAGCAGAGGCTGCAGCGCAGAGCAGATATTCGGAGAATATGCTGTGGCATGTAAGCGCATGCTTGCACACAAAGGAAATTGGGACTTGAGTTTCTTTCTTCGCTTTTGAGATATGTTCTTTTTGGGGTTGTTCATCTGTGCGTTTGGCAGTACAAGTATCTTAGATAGCCGCGCCAGCAAGAATTGATCATTGTTCATTGTTCATTGGTTTTGCATATTGGTGTCGGTGCCGATTTGGTGGAGGCAGTGCTGAACGATTTGTACACTCCGGAACTGTCGGGATCTTCGAATATCATAATGAAATGGTATCAGTCGCAAATAGTTCTCGATGAAATAGTATTCATTGTTCGTTTCATCTTAGATTGTCGTCTTCTTAAAAAAAGGAGTTTGGCTAGAGATCGTTGGTTTGACTGCGACTTTCGTAGAAAGCGTATCCAGGATTCGAAAAACTGAAGAAACATCTTTCTATGTAGGAGAAAATACCCACTCAAGATTCAGTGCTGAAACTATTATATGGATGATACCCTCAAAGCAGCATAGGAGTTCTCTATGCTGTAGTCGGCGAGTTATGGTTGATTTTTGGTTGAATAGTGCCGTTAAGGGTGCGACCCTGTCAGCATCTGAACGGATGAACATGACCACCTCAAAGTTGACCGGAACGACTAGACATCTTCTTGCCCTCAGAGACCATTTGATTCGAAACCAGATATGTGACAAAGCTTACTCTGATGGATAGTCGTATACACTAGAAGAGAAGAGGTCAAAAGACAAGAGACAACTTTAGTGTGGTCTGTATGAAAGCTGCATTGCCAAAAACAGTATAGCGTTGCGAGGGAGGGTGAGAGTCACCCAAGGTTTGAACGGACTTCAGCCAAACGCTCCTCTTCGGCGTAATAGGTCTTGGAAAGCAATTTTCGCCTATGACATGACTGGCAGATGGATAATAAAATGACAAGTCATGTCGCTATCACTATCGACTGCTCACGTGTAGTGTTATCATGAGCACGCCTACTACTGTATCTGGTGTTACCCGACGGTCACAGGCTGCTGCGGAGGATAGCTTGGCATGCAAGGAATGCCGTCGCCGCAAGGCAAATTGCGACCATAAAATACCAGAGTGCTCGACTTGCAAGCGGTATAAGCGGCATTGTCTGTATGACAGGCTCGGGAAGACACCGTTGACACGAAGGTGTGTTTTAATAAAGGTTCGTTGCAGACTTCGTGGCTGACTTTAGGCTTCAAGGCATCTTACAGAAGTTGAGCATCGACTGTCGCGTGCCGAAACAATTCTGAAGAGGTTGTTTTCTGACCAGGAAGTTTCGTACTTGCTTGATCAAGAACGATCTGGCGATGTGCCTGTACTGCCTCCAGTCAGGAATGTCTCACAAACACAGACACCGCGAACGGCGAGTCCTGCTGGAGCGAGTATACATTCACCAGCTTCGTCGCACCAACAGCAATCAATAACTTCGCAACCCCAAACATCGGTACAAGGAAGTGTTGGTCTTGAGGATCCTGGATCAGCATGGAGCTTTCCTACTACCGATGTCGAGCCGGATCCCACAGCAGCATTATATCCTGATGGAGACGAGGAGTTCGAGTGGGACGAGAGAGAGCAAACTGGACTGGCTGGTGGGGTGGCAATGGCAGAAGACGACGAGGAAGGCGTAAGGAAGGTAATAGATGGCATGGCCACGCTCACGGTCGATGCAGCTAACTATGGTTATCTTGGAATGGCGTCCGGTGCCTCTCATCTGCGATCCTTGTGGATGGAATCTGGAAACGGACCTTCGTGGGATTCTGGTGCATGGAACGATCGACGACGCGACTTGCAAGATCTCCTTCGTCGGCGGACAGAAGGCTCTACGATAGCTTCGGCTGTGCAGACGCAGACTCTGGTGACACGGGCAATGGTGGACGTGTTTGTCGATGCCTTCTTTGTCCGCTATCATCCTGTCTTTCCTATCTTGCATGAGCCTACATTCAGAGCTCAGTACGACAGCAGAATGGCTCGACCTGGACAGAGCATCTGGCTCGTTCTGGTGAACATTGTCGCAGCACTAGGTGCTTTTGTGACGAATCCGAGTTCATCAGACGAAACGAGTCTGTCGATCTTCCGAACGGCAAAGCGTTATCTTGCGGTCAATGCTTTGGAGACAGGCAATTTGACACTGGTGCAAGCGTTTGGTATGGCAGCCATGTTCTTGCAGAAGATCAATAAGCCCAACACTGGCTACAACTATGGTGGAGTAGCCATCCGCATGGCCATTGGACTTGGCTTGCATAAGGAGTTTGGATCTCAGCACATGAGCCCTTTCAAACAGGAGTTGCGTCGGAGAATTTGGTGGTCGCTTTGTGTCTTGGATGTAGGTGCAACAATTACCTATAGTCGTCCCTTGATCTGGCCGCAAATCGGAGTCGATGCGGCTCTGCCGTCAAACATCCGAGAGGAGGATATCATGGTCAACTCGCCAGTAACGCCAGCAGAAGTGGATACAGCCACCGTCAACACATACCTCCGAGTCCAGTCGTCGTATCATCTACAGACGATGCCGATATACAATCGCCTGATCAGCAACCCGCCTCCACTGCCAGAAGAACTCTTGACACTCGACTCGACGATTGTAGAGAATTGGCTAAGCCAGGTACCGCATTACTTCCAGGATAGCAGTGGATCGAGCTTGGAAGACCGATTTGCATTGCCTCACGGCATCAATTGCTGGCGATATCGAAATCTTCGAATTGTCATATTCCGGCCGTTGCTGGTGAAGTGGGCCTTGCAAGATGGACTTGAGGAGACTCTTACTTGGCATGAGCAGGAAGCTACCAACCGGTGCCTGCGTGCTGCTCGTGAGAGTATAGCCTCGATACAAAACTTTTGGAAGTCAAGGCCGCAGACCAGATTGACGGCCTTCTATGTCTTGTAAGTGTCGTCGACCAAAGAAGTTTTGAACATCTACTGACGATTCGACAGATACTTCCTTTTCCAGGCAGCACTCATCCCGATCCATTGTTTGCGTAGCAAATCTCAATCAAGGCTGGCACCTGAATGGCGGGATCAAGTTACTGCAACCTTGGAGGTGGTCGAATCGATGATTGGGCTGAACCAAAGCGCTTCGAAGTGTCGGGATGTCATTATGAGTCTTTGTGGGTCGCTTCTCCATAAGGTGGATGACGAGTTTGTCAACTACCAGCAGGCCTTCAACTTCGAGCCGACAATGGATGCAACTGCTTGGATGCTAGGTACAGCACCAACGCTCATCAATGAGAATCTTTGGGCTGGTAGCTTGGATAATACCAGCGCGGACCTCTCGTTCAGTACTTGGGAGGGGGATTGGAACATCTAAACTTCGAATGGTGGTAATGAAAGCAAGAATAGCCTGTTGGTCGGAACCTCTGTTATCCGGGAGGCGTCCATGAATGCAAGGATGGGCAGCCGCCGCTTGAAACAGAGAGAACAAAGAAGGAGCTCGGAAAGAGGAGTTGCAAATGGTGCCTGAAAACATGGATGGTTCTTTCCAGCCAAGACCAGGGACCGGCAGGTCGGGTCAAGGAGCTAGCTGAGGCGCTCCTTCCGCGCTGCTGAATGCATGTAGCCGCCGCAGGTACTGCCGCGTTTGTCAAGCACCAACACCACAACAACAACACTTGCTATTCCAAACGACAAGGATATCAGAGTTCATGTCCATATCAACAAAAAGCTGTCTTAGTCTAGTGGTTTAAGACGCTGCCCTCCCATCTAGAGGCAACTCTGGTGACCGAGGAAAGGCAGAGGTCATGGGTTCGACTCCCATAGGCAGCATTCATTTTTGTATCTGCCTTCTCTTGCTGCTCTCTCGCTCCAGGGATCTGTCCTAGATATGTGCCTAGGTCCGCACTCCTCTGAGTACCTCTTTGGGACCAAATAGACCGACATGCACACTATAGAAATGCATAATAGTCTCAAGAAACACAACTTCACCCGCTACGAAGCGGCATCGTATCAACACTATTTGATCACATCTCCGGTTCGCATTCTGATAGCTAACTATACAACAAGACTAGCATATGAATAGTATGCTACCCCAGTCTCCTCCCCCTACATTCACATCTCGTCTGCATCTCGTACCTCAAAAGCTTCCCGTCCCTCAACCGCTCCACCTGCTCCACCATCTCTCTGACCAACTCCACAGCGTAAGGCTTTGGGAACAATCTACACTCAGTACAAAGCGGCCCTTTGGTCATATACACCTCCACCTTCGCCATCTGCTTAGCTCCTATAGCATGCATAAGAGGTTTCCAAGGCCCATACGGCCACACATACGTCGTAGGACACTGAAGCTCGATTTTGAAGCGGATGTTCTTGCCTTGATACTTGTCGTGCAGAGATGCAAGTTTTGCTGCTGCGAGTTCTGCGGATTCTCTTTTTTGGATGTAGGAGGGACATAAGCCGTTGAACATTTGAAAGATGAGGACGCGGTCGGTGATATCGGATACTTCGTGGCAGATTTGTGGTGAAGTGTACATCAAGGGAGGGAGATTGTTGATGTAGTGCCGGTATACTTCTCGACGGAGCTCAAGAGGCAGATCCATGAATTGGAAGTTTGTCTGTTCGGTTTCCATGTGGTCATCTTTCTGGCTTTCAAGTTGTTGTTGGTCGTCTGGCCAAGTCGGTGTTTGTGTAGCCCTATCGACCATAGTAGTGCTCGGGGCACGACGTTTTTGCCTGGATCGAACTCTCTTCATGGCAGCTTTGATAGCCGGCGGCCAGAACCTATAGATGTTGGTCGCGGAAGTGTTGTGCTTAGTCGACATGGTACATCAAGCTTCCGGACGAAGTCTTGGAAGATGGACCTTGACTGAGCAGTAGTCTATGTCTGAACTCCAAAAGATGAAGAGAAATGAAAGTATCCATACCTTCTGTCGCCGTTGTCTGCTTGGCTGAAGGGTCATCGCCATTATCTGCTGACCGGTAAACTCACTCAAACTTGCTCTGCTCTTCTCACATGCGTCGCCTCAGGGATGGAATTTTCCCAGTTGCAGCCATAAAGATATACAATACACTCGTAGTGAAGCGATGACGATGCAGATGACGCTTCAATAGCTCTTTGTGGACGCACTTCTGGCTTTGGTTCATCGTGTATGTTGGCAAATTACGATGTTGCCATGTGACCGTGAGGAAGAGGCCAGGTGTAGAAATATGGCAGACCTTAGCTTGTGGGGAGGGAGGAAATAAGAAGTTATAATGCTTCATGACAGGAACCTATGAGATCTAGATTGTGGGTTCATTGGGAGACACACAGACAGCAAGTTTCTAACGGAACAAATGATACAGCACGCCAAGTATTGGCAATCCAGAAGCCAGAGAAGCAGTCTTGGTCCGTCGCGCATCCTAACCGACAATTCTACGCTAACTCAGACCTTCTGCCACCCAAAGACAATCCCCGAAAAAGAAAAAAAGTTGAAAAAGGTAAAACTCCATTATAGCGCCTTGCGCAATGCATTGATGGACGAAGGTGAGAGAGGAATGTGACGGGTTCCTATCGAAGATGGACTGCAATGTCCAGAGTGCTGGCAATACCATGCTGTAAGGAGGAGAGGGTGTGTGGGTATCTCATTCGTAAAGCGGTGTTTTGTGTTTCGCTAATCAGCGAAGATTCAGGGCTTTCTTGGTGTTCTCATAAACGACGTAGGTGATGGATACGGCTGGCACAACCTTTAGCAGATTGGGTGTCAGTCCCTTGAAGAGACCTCTGACACCTTCTCCTGCAAGAGTCTGTCGGGTGACATCTACAATGCCGGTGTAGGTGCGAGGATGGCTGGCAGTGCCTTGAGACTGCAATCGGGTACGGAGAAGATTTATGGGATAGACGGCGGACGCGCCGATGGCACCACTGAAGCCACCTATGAGAGCTGTTGCAAAACTGCTAGGTGCAGCATCGGCTTCGTGTCCGCCGTACTTCTTGACGTTGTATGCGGTAATGGTGCGTTTCAGGTACTCAAAAGTACCCAGATCGATAGCAGCATAGGGGAACATGCCAACAAGACCCATTGGCAGACCGCGATAGAAAGCTAAGATGCCGTTTGTTTTCCACATCTTGACAGCGGTTGCGGCAATAAGTTTTGTTCCATGAAGACCTCCTGGTACGGTTTCGCATTGCATTCGGCTGTCGCAGGGTCAGCGTTCTGGCGCAGGAGATAACATTTTGAGTGATCAACTTACAATTTTAGCGTGTCGAGAGGGTAGACGACAGCTTGTGAAACCATTCCTGCTAGGCCACCGGCGACGAATTGCGACACGGGTGAAATGTTACGTGTGTTTGAGTGGCCTTCAAGTCGTGCGACCATCTTCTTTGCAGCCTGGGACGGATGTCAGTATTATTCCAAGCTAAAGAACGCTATACGTTACCTCGTATGAGCCAAACTTGACGGCAGACTCGGGCATGACTTTGACGATGTTCAAACCATTGCCTGTTCGAAGCAATCAGCAAAAGCAAGATACTGTCACAGAACTACACTCACCAGCAAACAAGCTACGGATGCCGCCTGCAGCCCAAAGCTCTTTGCATGCTTTAACCAAAGTATTTGCGCTCGATTTTGCTGCGGCTGCGGGAGCACCATGTTTGACGGCTTGCACGGCTTCGTTGGTGCCAGTCTGAGCGATCAGGTAAACTTTGAGACGGTCTAGAGGAGCGGTGGTGGTTCTCGATGCAACGCCTGATATGCCACCAGCCAGGAAGTAGCCTGGATCAGGGACGAAATCCGTCAGCATGCTCATAAAGGCCAAGGCACGCGATGCATGTGATCGGTCGTCATGATCAGAGGCAACAGCGGCTTCTGTGTGGAGTGACGGGAGATGTGGATTGCTTTCGGGCTGAGTATCTTGATGTTCTTGATACTGCCGCGATGGTAGTGATGGAGCGGGTGGTGGTGTTGGTGAAGCAATTCGGGTGATGGCCCCGAAGAGTGAGTGTTTAAGAAAGGAGGTGGCAGTACCTAGTCCCTGAATCGTCTCATCACTGACTGACACGTCGCCCTCTGCAGTCACCTTCATGGCCGACTGGTAATATGACATGACGGCTTTAAGTCCGGGCGAGCCGATAGGCATGAACAGGAGGAAGTCGCTGCTCGTGATTAGTCTCGAACCAACTCTTTTACGACTTTTCCGACGTACCGCCATTCGCCAAAGTTGATAACACCGTCATTGTCTGTGTCGACATCGGCAAAGAAGCTATCGAGACGCGAGTTGGGTACGGCGAGGCCGGCGCGGACAAAGGCGGCGCGTAGCTCGTTCTTGTCGAGGTTGCCATCGTGGTTGCGGTCTATACTCTGGAACAGCTGCCAGAGCTCTCGTTCGGTTTGGTCGACGAATTTGCGGAACTCTTTGTCGGGTCAGCGGATCGTATGTTGGAGCTTGGTTGGGCGGATGCTGCTAACCATCGTATTCGATGCGGCCACTGTTGTTGATGTCAGCGGCCTGGAGCACATCCTCTATCAAGCCATCTGCATTCTTCAGAGCTGCGATTGGCAATCAAGTCAGCGCTCTGTCGAGGATGGTTAAGCCAGCGTGTCTTGTGATGCTCACGGTGATCGAGCTTCTTCAGGCCCTTCCGGAAGGCCTTGAAGTCGAGGAAACCATCGTTTTGCGTGTCCAGTTTCTTCCACAAGGAGCGAGTCCTGTTCTCTCTCTCGGCGGGTGATTCGGCATCCATGGTCTGCCGTCTGTTGTAGTCCGGGCTATCTCGGTTTCATGGCTCTGATATACCAGGAAAGGGGGTTTCGGTGCGCCTTGCTGAGCTTTCAGCAACAAGCGCTTCTTCGAGAGCGAGCGCAACACACAGCAGATGATGGTCGACAACAGATGGACGGTGAAAAGCGTGTTATCTCGTCTTTCTCTTAAGCCTCGAACAACCGAAAAGGCCTCATCCCCGCCGTCTTTACTTATGACGCTTTTCCTTCCTTCCCTTCTTGGCGTGCACAATTCAGGCCCAAGCTTGGAGTTGCTGACCTTTCCGGAGATAACAGGGTTCAGCTCTGCATTTCTGCAACACTCGCAATCTTGCTGCACATTCATTCGTGCTTGTTACAATGATTAAGTGCCAGTAGCTGCCTGTGACTAGATTCATGGTTCACGCATCGAAATGCTCCTAAAACTGCCTCCATCCCTCGCTCTTGCCGTACTCGTAGTTGAGCGTCGCCTTGGCGTCGCATCCATCACAAGTCGTGCTAATCTGCCGAGTTGATCACATACTCGACGTAGTGACAACACTAAGAACATACTTTTGGACTATTTCCTTAGATTTAAGGCATTCGTGAACCAGCACAAAATTACCCAATATCCATCATGGCGGCCAACTACTGGGATTCGACTCAGCGGACATACTGGACTTTCACAAAGGACCAGCTTGATGATATCCGAAACCAACAACAGAAAGACAACCAGGAACTGCACAACAAGTATCCTTTACCCGAGCCACGTCTTATGAACATTTATATTCAACAGCGTAAGTCTGCCATCTCAAGCATACAGAAATCGACTAACCAGTCTTAGAGATCGTGAAACTTGGTCGAAGAATGAATGTCAGACAGCAACCACTTGCCACAGCCCAGGTCTACGTACGGCGGTTCTACACCAAAGTCGACATTCGAAGGACAAATCCATATCTTGTCATGACAACAGCTGTATACGTTGCTTGTAAGGTCGAGGAGTGTCCAATCCACATCAGATTGGTCTTGGCCGAGGCAGCGAGGCAATGGCCAGAGCTAGGTGTCAACGATATCTCCAAGATTGGTGAATGCGAATTTCATCTCATCAGTACCATGTCAGCACGCATGATCGTACATCATCCGTATCGGAGTCTCAACGATCTAGCCCCAGGTCTAAACTTGTCTACCGAAGAGATGGCCTTGTCCCAGAATGTCATCAACGATCACTACAACACTGACATGCCTCTGATGTACCCGCCACATATCATTGCCGTCACAGCCATGTTCCTCGCCGTCGTCTTACGCCCAACCCAATCAAATCTGCAGGCACATGCTGCCGCAACAAGTGCATCAGCCTTGCAGAGTGCTCTGCAAAATCCCAACAAAATCGCTAAAATGGTCCAATGGATGGCAGAGAGCGATATTGACGTCGGGGCCTGTATGGCTGCTACTCAAGAGTTCATCAGCCTCTATGAAGTCTGGGAAAATTATGCAGAGAGGACCTGTAAAGACGGCATTTCGAGATTTATGAAGGAGACCCAGATCGGCAAATAGCCTATGCCGTTCATGCCCCTTCACTATCTCCTTTATGGCCCTCCTCCATCCGCAGCACGGCCATCGGGTATGAACCCTGCAAGCTCGCAGCCCGAGACGGAACCGCGGATTAAGATACGCAAGTCCCATCCTGCTCTTGCGAGAATACGGATCGATACCTGGTTGGCAAGATTTGGACAAACTTTCCTCAGAGCCAAAGCCGAAGAGAGCTGATAGCATGTCGGCTTCGGGCGGATAGTACCATTTTTCGCAAGTCCATTGTGCATTGTTATAGCTCGGTGTTTTTACGCGCTTTAGCACACGGGGATACCACGTCTCAACACGGACAGTGTGTTTGTCATGAGATGAAGCACGCGAGACGGATCTGTGGCAAGTGAGAGCAGAGTATCTGCCATACGTTGTACGGAAACATCATTCGACAATCCGTCTCGCGACTTTGTTTTTCGCCATGTCGCAAGTGCTAGGAGTACAACCCTGTCGCAAGTTCATCACCATGGTCGAGATGCTTGCGTGACACAAATGGATTGGCGTTCTATACAATTAAAGTAGTGTCTAGGACGTGTTCACGAGAAACAGTGAACCAGAGTCATTAACCCGTGCTGGATGGCGAAATAGTGGTTCATCATAAATGGACACGGTGGTGAAACTTCATATCACTTGAATGCCATGGCACACTGCCGTTTCCGTTACTGTAGTGGGAAACGGTTGACGCGATCAACCAGTCAATCCAAGCTCTTATTCGAAACCTGTCTAGGTTGTTGGCTCGGATGCGGAGAAGCTTGATAGCCGTGGCAATATTGAGGTTGATTGTTGCAGAGGTGAACCCCTCCAGAGATGGGCATGTTTGAAAAGGAGGATTTGGATTGCGTGGATGAACAGATGGTAATCTACAAGTACGAAGCCAAGGCCATCAGGAGAGAGCATGTTCAGAGCGAGTTACGAATACAAAGAGATGAAGGTTCAGCCCCCAGGGGTTAGAGCTATTTGGAGCAATGAAGTGAGGTTCCTTGGTCGATCAGACAGCGACGCTGAATCTGAGCAACCAATTAACACCTTGATGAGGCTCAACCTAAGCGCCGAACGAATGCATCAAGCATGTACGTGCGTACCATCGCCTGATGCCTTGTCTTGACGGATTCAAGGGTTACCGACAGCGGAAATAGATGAGATCTGACATTCCAAGCCCCGGATTCAATCGAGGGGTTCATTGTTTCGCAATCAAAACACCGCCTGTCACGACGACGCAGGAGCAAATTCGCAAGCGGCTCCTGAATTAGCAATCGAAATGGGCTGGGTCACAGACTACAGTAGCTCAAATGAACACATGGCTATGGCGGTGGCAGGACTGAGGCTGCTGCAGGCACGCCCAACACCGCCTCGACCATATATCGATAGACGTTGGCGGTGTCACTGGGACAAGCACGGAGTTGCAACAACAGTCAAAGACAGACCAAGGGCTCGAGCCCAAAAGCAAATCCATGTCGGATGGCAAGCTTTCCCCGGAACGAGTCGAGGCGGTGAATGAGCGGGCGGGATTGGTGAGGGGTCGATGGGAGACTCTGCCGGCCATGCCGCCAAGCGCAGTCGTGTCTCTCCCCTTGTCTCAGCGGACTTGTGGCGTGCATAGAATCAATGCAGCCGGTTGGCGCTCGACCATGATGCAGTAGTGCATGCGTTCACAAAGTGGATCTGCATTGGAAACACGACCCTAACTGACCGCTCCATGACTTCCTGAGAGCGGCGAAAAAAGCAGCAACACTGTAGACCTCCTGAAGGGCAAGCAGAGGGGCACACAGCGACCCGGAGAAGTGTAAAGGGTCGTCATAGGCAGGTGAGTTGCCGTGGCAGCTCGTGACTTGTAGGCTGCTTTCAGCGTCTTTGTGCGTTGATCGTGCATCGTCTGGGCTCGAGCCTTCCCGTTTCCGGTATGGTGCATGGACGGTGGCGCCTCGACAAGGCCGGTACCCACAGCGAGCGACTCCTTCGCCTCCCTCGTTTTCCATTTCCAAACCCACAACCCTCCGTCCTCTTCCATATCTCTCGCATCCCATTTTCACAATCATCGCTATTCCTGTCGCACTTTCGCAATCCACCTTCCCCAAATTTCCATCCAACACCTACGCCTTTTTCCAACCTCCTTCGCCAACTCTATATCACTCTTATTCTCTTCTTGTTGTGATATATCGCTCCCGGCCACCTCCGATCAACCGCAATCTCCCGAGCTTTGAACACGGATTTCTCTCAAGCACCACCCCTCGATCGATATCAATATCTCAATTGCAATCATGTCAAACTTCCACTACGGCGCTCCCCACTATGCCACTGCTATGCAGTCGCACCCTCACCCCTCTCACAACCACCACGGTCGCTCTCGCCGCGGCCCTCGTGTGTCCTCGGCGCAGAATGCCCACCGTCAACAGCAATTCAAGGCTCAAAGAAGTCCCAAAGAGCTCCCTGAGACCCCTGCCTACAGCGCATACATCAGGGACTTTGAAGCTGCCAAGGGCTTCGAATTTGAAGATGACGAGGTTTTCTGCCCCTTCCACCTCCTGACCGAGGACGATGTAAGTTCTTGACCCATGTCTTGTTGTATACCTTTTCGATCAATGCTAATGCATGCATAGCTCCAATCTATTCACTCTTCCGCTTCTTCCGACAGATCATCTCTGTCGTCTGGTTCTCCTGATGCTTCTCCGCTGCAGCACCAAGCTCAGCCTACTCCTTTCCTTCTTCCCTCTGCTGCTGCCTCTTACAACAACAACTCTTTCCAGCAGAACCAGATGAAGCTCCACCAGCCCATGGCTCAGCGTACTCGCAATGCTATTCCCATTGTCGACCCTAGCACCCGCGTCATCGCAAGCCCTCCTCCAAGTGTCTCGCCGGCCCGTCAGATGCAGGGTTACATCAACCAGCGCCGCTGGTAGAGAAATGACTAATACCTTCTCATGACTCTATTCGCGGCGCTGTTCTTGTCTAGGGCTGGCGGGGCGCATCCTCTGGAAAACCGGACGACTATACGGCCACACATTTTTTTAATCCTGCGACTGTACAGATTTACGATGCTTTCACATATATACCACTGGATTGCGGAGCCCTCTGGATCCTAGACGAACGGCGTTTTCGAATCATTGTCACGAAAAGGGCATAATCGGTTTACTTTCTTGTTTGGTCATTTCTCTCTGCATTTTCGGACTTTTTACAAAGCCTTTGTTGATGTTACTTTGCAACAAAGCGCACGGTGTTACACTTGGTGGGGAACGGGATGAACGAAAACCACACGATGCACATTCAGTCGGATTCTTTGACTTGTCGGGCGCAGGCATATATTCTACGCATGCTTGGGGTTTCTGCTTGCTCTGCTGTTTACAATCCTTTCTCTTCTTGTTTACGACTCTCACACAGGGAAAGAAAGGTTTCATGGCCGGTCGGTGCGGAAATTCGGTGTCTTTGTTATTTGAGTTTTATGGTTTGGCAACAACAAATCGTCGTCGTCAGAGCGAGCGAGAAGGAGTCTTATTGTCGGTTATACCAAGATTCTGGGGACTGGGAGTCTGTTTTTGCTCTTTCGCTATTTCGTATCTCTTGTCAGCTTTTTCCTTTTCCTCTTCTCTTACCGATTTTCTCTCGCTATGCTGGTCTTGTAGATCATGCTGGTATCGAGTTTGGGCCACGGAAAAATACAAGCTCTTTTACTTCATGATTGATCCTGTGCACACTCCTTGATGTTGACTACGTGATTGATGTGTCAACCCCTACTCGATGTATACTGCGATGGGACCTTGCATATTATAGCAAGCATTCAACTGAGCCTCTGCTACGCCTTATGTGGAACGAGACAGGAGCTTGGCTGGCTAGCTACAGGCTTGGTGAACGATAGTGGAGACGTACTTGTCACCACCATGTGCTATAATAGATGGATAACGCCTTTCAAAACATAAAGTTGTTCATCTCTCCAAGTGGCTCGATGAACAACGTGCACAAAATAGGGCGATATGGTCGGCAAGTGAATGGAGTCGTAATCGCTCGATTGGCAATTGGAAGCTACGACCGATGACGCAATGGCTGACCCGGATTGGAGGAGAGTCGACAGGTACGATCAACGAACAACCGAGGGACGGTCATAGTGAGCTCTTTTGTTGCGTTCTCCTTTCTGCTTCTTTTCTTCTTCTCCACTACATCTACAACTTCACTGCAAAGTACTCAATTGTCATCAAAGAATCTTGCGACCTCACCGTCAAACAGCTCAGCTCCAGGTTCGAAGCTCCTCCACCTTTCCCGTCTTGACGTGTTTACTGACCAATTCCGAAGAAAACACCACACACCAGCCATCATGCTTTCCAGATCTTTCATCGCCAGAAGAGCCTTTGTCTCTGCTCCCATCCGCTCTTTCCAGACCGCACCTGTTCTGAGAGTCGGCAAGGAGAGCGCTCTCCGTAAGTTATTCCGAATTCCGAGCTGTCACTGGTCTTCGTCTCTGGCAAAGCTGCACCAAAGACATTGGCATTGCGCATTATAAGCTCTGCTTCAGCCTGTAGACACAAGCTGACATGTAGACTAGACAACGAGGGCCGCGCCGAAGAGGCCGACAAGATCAAGAACGAGCAGATCGAGAAGCAGAAGCAGGGCAAGGGCCACTGGCACGAGGAGATCGCCTCTGACAGCGAGAGCATCGTAAGTCTCCATTACCAACCGAACGTATACATCTGCAGAAGCTAACACAATCAACAACAGGTCAAGGCAGACAGAGGCGACATCAAGGCCGACGCCGACACGATAGAGCAACTGCAAAAGGAGACTGAGAAGCTCGCCGGCCAGAAGAAGTAAACATCTTCAGTTCATAAAGACTTGCGCACGAAACAATTCCCAGCACACGAAAGAGAATGATTGATATATTACCCGGCGCATGGTTGGGGCTCGTAAGGGATTATTACCCTTTGCCTTTGTAGCATACTTGAATTGAATTTCACCAATTTCAACAATTCTGTTTGGTCTTTCCTAGAGTCCTGTTGTCTCCTTTGTGTCCACAAGCAGGCATAACAGCCGAACAAGGCACCTCTGCCTGATGTTCTCGTAGTCACGAGGCTGCCAGTGGGCGGCTTACAGTCCGAACTCAATTGTTATGGCTGCTTATTCTGCCCCCGTCAAGCCCTCCGAGTATGAAGTCAAGTGAATTCAAGCGACGATATTGACGGCTTGTCTACAGGAGCACTCCTTGTGGCCTGTACAGCGCCTCTCAGCTACAGCGATTGCGCCATGCCCTGTACGACTCTGATCATGCAGGTAGTGATTTGACTTGGCAGGCGCCCGCACAGTGGTGACAGACGACAGTCTGCGAACCCCAACTGTCCGCCTTTCACATGCCTCTTTATATATCTCGACACCATTGTGATCGATCTCCAAACTCAGTTCCTTCGTCCCGTCCCGCGGCGTCACGTTATTTGCACCAAGGACTTGACTCGGATGGTGTTTCCAAACTGGATGGTGAGGGCTTGGCGCGACCGTGTACGTAACGACTCCTCGAGCCTTCGAGCGAAGTGGACCTCGAGTCGTCTTGGTCCGAAACTTGTTCGCAATCCTTCGAAGCCCCTTCGGCCTAGATGGTAACTATTGTCGACAACATGTGCGGCTCATCGCTGTCGGTAGACGTACAGTACCGTACAGCTTACAGTACACGGGAGATACTCGTGTATTGGGGCTGAAAGCGAATCCACCGCGCAGCCCAGGCATCCATTAACCAGGATCATGGGTTTTATAAGATTTAAGGTTGGCAAATGCTTCAACATCTCATGCAAGGAATACAGCCCTACCTACCGTACCGACGCCGAAAGGAGTCTTCCTCCGACTCGGCTGTTCCGGATGCCTTAATCACAAAAGTTCGTTCAGGCATGGCCCTGCCTGAGTTGGGACCACTTTCTTGTTACATCAAGACTAGGAAACGGTTAGCTTTAACACTGCCGTCCGCGGGCCATGGCATTGCTCGGAACCTTCGAAACGTCAGCTGTAAATGTCAAGAACCGTTTGTCCCCTTCGTTCTTGTCTTGGTGTTTCTGATGCTCTTCTTCTTTTTCCGAATAAGTGTGGTGTTTTGAGCTGGCTCTTCCCACCATAACATCATCTAATGGGTGAACTTACTCGACAATCAATGTGCCAATCGCGAAGGTGGAGCGGAGTTGCGCCGACAAGAACCTCAGATATTGGCGAACATGCTCTTCAACTTGCAATACAGATACAAAGTCAACAACCTCGAGGCACATCTGCTAAGACGATAACTCGATTTCTTGGACGCATTGTAGCATCATGTATCTTCTATGACTCCATTCGAAATCGCAGAGGTGAACATCCGTGCGGACCTGTATCCAAGCGAGTACTGATGAGTGCTAGGACGAATCAGAGACGTCTTCAGCGAGTATTATCAACCCTCCCTAGAACATATGCTGAAGACGTTCTGCGATAATCATTTGACGTGCTCTTTCGGTGATCGCGCGAATCGTACGTGTACAGGCACAAGGCTCTCTCATGGCATGGATCATCGAACCAAGGACGGCAAGACTTCTGGCGCAGGCCAGTACACATCAGACCTCACCGCGGAATCGTATCTACCAGTATGGATATCGCTTCTCAAACAGGAAGTCAACATATGCGAGCAAGAACACCTGGAAGCCTTGGACGAGGAACCACGGGATGTTTCAAGCAGACGAATAGCGAGCAACTTGCATTTTGAACAGATGGACGAATGTTTTACCGACCTGGGAACAGCTGCGCCTTTCATAAGTCATGTGAGCTGCTTTGGTTGTCTGGTCAATATACCGTTACATCCTCTACCATGCGGTCATGTGCTTTGCGACACTTGCATCAGAAGTTGCGGCAAGAAAGTTCATGGCAAAATACAGCTAGAGTGTTGCCCACTACACATGTACACCAGCTTCGAACCGCCTTGGGAAGTCACTTATCTATCTGATGATGTAGGCGTACGAGTACTATCACTCGATGGCGGCGGTATGCGAGGCATCATGGAGCTCGAGGTCTTACGAGCAATTGAGAAGAGCTTGGGAGGGAACATACGCATACAATCGTTCTTCGATCTGATCGTTGGCACGAGTACGGGAGGTATCAATGCTCTGGCCTTGGGAGTCAAGCAATGGTCCGTTGGCTACTGCATCGAGATGTTTGAGAAGTTCTGCGACCAAGCTTTTACCGAGCGCGAGTTCAGAGGTGTATGGGGTTTGGAACAAGCTGCCTTGTTGAATCATGGCAGCAAATACAAAGCCACGCCTCTGCATAATGTTCTGAAAGGGACGCTCGGTAAAAGTCCTCTGTTTGGCGCTAATGACTCTCTAAACGCATTCAAGACCAAGGTCGCTGTTACGGCTACCTCCGCTGACGGAAAGGAGGCTATGATCTTTGCCAACTACAGTCGTCCGCAAAGTTCAGGGGACAGCCAAACCTTTATCCGACCAGGGAATCCTTCGAATGAGCTTGAAGTTTGGGAAGCAGCAGCGGCCACCTCTGCAGCGCCGTTCTACTTCAAGCCTTATACTCACACAAAGACTGGAACGAGCTACATTGACGGCGGGTTATATCACAACAACCCAGTACACGTGGCAAACAGAGAGCGAAAACTTCTCTGGCCTGCAATTGCGAATAAGCATCCTGATATGCTGTTATCTATTGGCACAGGCCAAAATTTGTCTGAGCAACGAACAGAGGCATCAGAACGGCGTGCATCGAGTCCCAAAGACGATACTACACCGACTGCTCAGACGATCAAGTCAGGAGGCATACGCCGCACTTTCAATGCATTGTATCAAAGATTCGACAATATACTTGACGCTGAACACACCTGGACCGAGTTTGAAGCCGATGTCAACAATCTGAACGATGGTTTCCCAAGCCCTTATATACGCCTCAATCTGGATCTTAAGAGCAAGCTACCACCTTTCGATGCCAAAGACAAGTTTCAAGAATTTCGGACCGAAGTAAGACGGAGACTCAAGGACCCTGACGCGATGAGGATGGTGAAAGACGTTGCTTGCTCTCTTGTGGCAAGCTCTTTCTACTTCAAGCTGTCCAAGACTGCGCCATTACGAGGTGGGAGCTTCATGTGCACTGGCTATATCTGCTGCAGATTCGAGGAAGGCTCAGCGAGTCTGAAAGCCCTAGGCGAGTTTTTGTCGAATCAGTGCACTCCCAATTTCATGCCAGAGTTTGTCATCCAAGATACCTCGAAATGTACGGATGGTAGAGGTGTCAAGGTCAAGCTCACGGAAAAGCTGATATCGAGATTGACTACCTATGGTATGCTGAGGATACCTCACATCGACTTTGAAGTCCCAAATGCGATGGCTTCGACTACTATAGCTCTTGTCCTGCAAGGAGGCTGTCAAGATGGTACACAAAAATATTTGCTCAGTGGTTTCCCGAGAACCCTGGTACAAGAAGTACCTTGCAGACCATCGAACTCAACCCACGATAGCCGGTCTTCTACAATCTCTACTCATCGAGACCGCCACTATTATCAACACAAGGTAGCGAGCATGGAAAGACATCAGATGCACAGCAGGCCTACTGAAAACTCAGCAACACCATCCCGACTCACGCAGGCCAGACCGCCTCTCCCACCCAGACCCAAGTCTTCATCCCAACCATATCCCTATGCAACAAATTCTCGCATGGACTCTGCAGTCGAGCTTCCCCATTATACTCGCATTCCCCAAGCGCCACAGCAATATTCAACGCAAGAAGAATATGCAAGACCTGAAAGTGCACCAGTGTATCAAGCGTTCTCCTACGAGCGAACGGCGACTACACATTTAGTAGAAAGGGCTGCGAGAAAAGTGCAGTTTGAGGATGAGCGCAAGGTGCACAAGAGCCGTGGTGGAGAGAAGAGACTTGTGAAGAAGAGGGGTAGTGGTAAGGTTTCTGTCGAGGCGAGGTGAGCAGAAGGCCTGGAGAGCCAGCCAGTATTACGACGAGACTCTTCAATCAGGTGTTCTATGTTCACAAACGGGTTGTTGGCGGTTCGCGGGTCCCTGCATGGGAAAGCGTTTGTCGTGAATTTGTTTTCAAGTGAAGGAAGACACAAAGCTGCTGTCGCGACGCACTTTTATCCAACACCACAACAAGCACATCGGTTGTGTCCTTTGGTAACTTTCACTTCCGCCACCAAATCCTTGCCGTCGGTATTCTCAACCACAACATCAACCACGCGACTACTAACATAACTGTACGCGTTCAAGATTCCTTGACCGCCAACGTCCCACCTTGAGTATCGAAGATGTTGCCTGACTACCTCCGAGACAGCTACAAGACCTACAAGCGAGACACTGATACTATCGCCAACTGGCTTGCAACCACCGCCAAAAGATGTGGCTTCTCTCCAGAAGTGCTTAACGATAGCGACGACGGAAACAGTCAACCTCCTGGACACCCGTCTGGTGTTCCTTCCTCGAGATTGAAGGGGAAAGCTCGCAAGCTTGCTAGGGACGTTGCTGCCAGAGATGACATCGGTTCAACATCTCCACGAACTTACACCATACCAATTAGGTCTTTCACCCGACTTGCATCACAAATAGTTGCATCTTCGACAAAGCCACACGTCGTAGTCCCAGCGGCCTTAGACTTCGTCCTCGATCGTGTTATTGCCTTCCGCAAGGAACATAATACCTGGTTCAAGAATACCAAGCTTGCTACAGCAGCACCTGCGGATGGTGACAGCCATGCGTACTTCATCTCCGTCCTCGAGCATGTACGTCATATACTACGGCCTCATATGGCTGAGAGGATCAGGACCCAATCTATGAAAGAGAGTCTCGCAAACTCTGAGCAGAGCAAAAATGCCACACCACGGAACGATAATGCTTTCGAAGCCCTTGAGGTAGAAGAATTGTCCGACACCTTTCTCAATGCCTCGATCTCGGAGACCGTACCCGAATGCGAGTCCGACCCCAGCGCGCACGTTCGTTATCGAGCCGAGAGTCTGAGGAAGAAAGACGAACACTTCATCGATACTGTTTTCCTTCTGGAGAGCATCAATCGGATACGCGATCACATCGAAAGCTTGTGGAAGGCTTATCTCAACAAAAAGATTGATTTACAAGCAGCCGCGATAGCCACCAACACCGCGGTCGAGATAGTTCGGCAGCTGCAGGAGGATCACGACAAACGATTCCACGATCAAGCCGGCTTTCAAACATGTATGATCCCATCCTTCGTTATATTGTGCGGCTTCGCCGGCGTGGATGTGCTGAAGTACGAGCAACCCACCGATCCCTATAACTTTGCTGCCTACCATACCGCTGATAAAACTTTGTTGAATGCTTACTTCGTGCTCGAGAAATTCAAATTGAGCACTTGCAAGGTTTCCGGTCAGGTGGTCGTTGTCGGCAATCCAGCGACCATGTATCGCGACACTTCCACTCCATGGTCTCAGAAGTCAGCAAGAGACAAGTTTGCCGATGATAAATATGTCCTATTTAGAGCTTTCACTGGACTGACTGCCTTGGCAGCGTCGAACGACTGGGTTGAGGACGAGTTCGTTCGAGGTATTCGAGAAATGGCACCCGACAAACCAATTCCTCTTTGGCTCTCATTTGCGGCCCAGATCTATCTCGACGTCCAGCATATCCTTGGCTCGGACCTTGAAAGACCCTATTTGGAAGCGAAGAAAGCAGGAAGATTCATCAAGGCATCACTTGATCAAACTGTAGCCTTCCACGAAGGGCAGGAGTCTGACCTTTTGAACCCCAAATTCTGTTCTGAAATTCGCCGTCATATGCAGAAAACAACCAAGTATATCGAAACCATGTTGGTCACGAATACAATGGACCAAAAACTCGAAAAGCTGGCCAAGGCTGAGAGATGGCCACCATTCAATTTTTTCCAACAAAGTCCTGTTATATGTGGACTCAATCTGTTCGGCGGAAGATATACGATGCAGCGCTCCAGCATTTCCTGCGTTAGACCCTGGTTTGTCACGCTATATTGTGCACACCTGTACAACACACTGAAGGTACAGGGTCTTGTCGGACGCTGGGATGACATGGAAACACTTTTGAAGCTTCAGTGCAGCGACAGAATCTTTATGGGAAGCACACCAAAGACTCTAGTTGATTGTTCGAAGCGCTTCGATCTCTGCAACGGGATGTCAATCATCAACAGTGCAAGCAACAAACGGAACAAAGAGAAGACGATATTCAATGATAGTCTCTGCCGCAACGTGGAGGATCACATACCGGTTGCCGATCTGATAGGCGGTCGTTACATGCGCTATGTCAATGTCTCTACCTCCACTGATTTCGTCGCTCTCGAACTCAAGATCAAAGCTTTGCGCGCTGAGAAGATCTCAAAGGTATCATCGTCATCAACTCCTTCGACTGAGCCTGAAGTGAAGACGACTGCAAAAGTCAAAGGAGTTGGAGCAGCGAAAGGTATCAACAATCAAGCACTCACAGCTCCCGAATTTCTCGATGGTCTGGCAGCGGCAATCCACCGTGAAGGCATGCACCTGACCTTCGACTATCTTCGCCTCCATCGGACTTGCTTCACCATCCTCGCCAACATCAAAGCAGAAGTTGCTCTGGAACTCAACAGTATATTTCCTCTGCATTCACCAATTCTGGTCAGCAACATCTTGTTGTTCTGTGCCAACATGGAAAAGGCACATCAGACTGCAACTCGCAGCACTGAAAAGCACAATTGTGAATTGCTTGTCCGAGTGGCAGGTTGTGTCAACAAGATGGTAGAGGGCAAGGCTGGAAGTATTGGTATCGACATCATCAAGAAGACTTTCGACTATGAGTGAGACTTGGATGGTGCTACGTAAAACTCAAGAGGTAGTGTTTTGGGGGCAAGGATTTCCTGTCGATGGTTCCCAATCTTGGTAAAGCACATCTTGGTCTAGAGTATCCCAGATAATCTTGTGACACTGAACTGATGAGGGAAATAGGATTGAAAGTATTATCGTTCTTCATTCATCGTCGTCAAGATCTAGCCATGTCGAGTCTCTGAAACTCATCTATAAAATGAAACCATGATTTTGTTTCCCAACCATCCGAGGGGTATGAACGTCCAAAGAGAAAATTATGAACAATGAAAATGCGTTGAACACAAAAAAAAAGTCGAAATAAACAGAATAAACAGATGCAAGCAAGGCTTCTAACCCATCCAAGCCCAGAACTTTTGCCAAGCACCAACAGGCTCGGCCTCTTCAAAGTGCATCTCTTCAATCTCTTTACGGCCAGTATCGAGATCAGCGTCTTCTGGCTTGACGAAAGAGGGACGGAAGATAATCTTGTGGCCACCGTAAAGCACAGCAAACAAGATGAGCGAGATGTAAGCGACAAAGAAGTCGGAGGTGTTCCAGGGCATAAAGGCAGTAAATCCTTGAGTCAAGATAATCAGGATGTTGAAAAAGACTCCATACCAACTGAAGAATGGCTGCCACATTGCCTTGTAAGGAAGCGTGTCGCGGGAAACACCGCGAGCGGCGAGGGCGCGCATGAATGCGAGATGAGAGATGTTGATGCAGGTCCAGGTGATGAAGCCGGCGACTCCGGTGATGTTGACTAGCCAGTTGAAGACTTGACCGCCGGAGTTGGACTCGTTCATGAAGCCCAGGAGACCGAATGCGGCAGTGAAGGCAACGGCGTAGTAGGGGACACCGCGGGCAGTGGTGCGGCCCAACCATTTTGGTGCTTGGCCCTGCTCGGACAAACCGACGAGGATACGGGAGCCAGAGTAGACGTTTGAGTTTGCGGCGCTGAGAACGACACAGAGGAGGACTGCGTTGATGAGGCCGGGGAGCACCTTGACACCGGCAAGGTTTGCAGCAATGACGAAAGGAGAGGAGGAAGCGTCGGTGTGGGCGGTGGCAAGCGCTTTGTTGTCGTAAGGAACAAGAAGACCGATAAAGAAGACAGTCAAGACGAAGAAGAAGACAATACGGTAGAAAGTCTTCTTGATAGCTGCAGGAACAGTCTTGCGAGGGTTGCTAGTTTCACCAGCGGCAATACCAACAAGCTCAGTTCCTTGGTAAGAGAAACCGGCCTGGATCAAAACAGCCCAGAAACCAACAAACTTGGCGACAGCATCGTTGTTCTCGACAATGTAAGGAGCGAAAGCTCCGGGGTGCTTCCAAGTGTCGAAACCCAAGTATCCGTGTTGACCAGCTCCTGCATCAATGCAAATAGCAAAAATCATGAATCCGATAACGGTAAGCACTTTGATCGAAGCGAAGTAGAATTCAATTTCGCCGTAAAAGGACACGGGCAGGAAGTTGACAAGTGTAATGACGGCCCAGAATGTACCAATGAAGATACCGATGTTGAGGTCGGCGCGCCAGTACTGGATGATCAGACCGCTGGCAGTCAGTTCCAAGGCATATGTCATGGCCCATGAGAACCAGTAGATCCAGCCCATGGCGAACCCAAGACTGGGGTCGACGAAGCGAGATGCGTATGCTGTGAAGGCGCCGGAAACGGGCAGGAAGGTGGCCATCTCACCCAGAGCGACCATGACGCTGTAGACGAGTGTACCGACGAAGGCGTATGCGATCAATGCGCCAGCAGGTCCAGCATTTGCGAGTGCGGTTCCAGAACCGATGAAAAGACCAGTACCGATTGTTCCGCCTAGAAAGAGTCATTTGTCAGGTACTTGTTCTGTGGCAGCGCAAGAGAATGGCGCATACCGATAGCAATCATCTGCAGATGACGCGACTGCAGTCTACGCTTGAGCTGGACGGTAGTTCCAGGAACTGGCGAGCCCTCGACATCATCGTGGTTGATGGAGCTAGGACCCGACGAGTAGGGACCGTCTTGCACAGGCTTGGAGCCAATGTTGGCTTCCTTCTTCTCTGAGAACATGACGGCGATATATGGCAAGAAAGTACTTCAAAGAGATGGTATAGGCCGTGGCGCACGTGTCCAACAACCTAATCGAACCCTGTGAAGCAACAGGCGGGGTATGAAATGACAAGAAGGTCTGAGGTAGAGAATGTCGGACTTGAGCTGCCTTGGGGTTGGATATATGTACGTAAGAAAGTGGTCACAGTCCTCGGTCGTTGACACGCTAGAGCAAAAATTTGGTGATCGAAAAGAAAAAGTAGGTCAATGCACTACCTGTATACTGGGTCTCGGTCACGTCCGTCGTGTCGGCCCCATACCAATTCGTATTGGCGCAAAAAGTGACGTTTCTTGTGCTCGGTGCTTGACATTTCTTGATCCGCATCCATGCACTCAAGAAGGTCAGCATCTCTTCTCAGCTTACCTGTATGTGTTTTTGCTGCTTTGCGACCCTTGACGAGACGTCGAAGCAAAGCTGCAGGGCGTCAAGCCTCTGCCGAAACAAGGTTCCCTACGGGCGGACGCTGCCGACAGCCTTCCATTTTTTCTGGTCCCAACCCTTATTTTTCTCGCCACATGCGTAGGGCGTGAACAAGCCCAGACTGGATCATCCTACACTTTCTTCCTTCTCGCGGCAGATAACTGAGCAAAATAAATCACTGTCGTAAATCTTTGCTGTCATTTTGATCCTTCGAAGGTGAGGGGTTTGAACGTCGGCAGCTCCTTCCTTTCTTGACAGCGACCTTCCATAACACTGGCGCGATATAATAATGACTCGTTCTGAAGCCTGCAAGATCCCCAGATCTTCTGCATGTTGCAACATTCGTGCAGCAGCAAGAGCGAGACCCTCCGGCAATCGAGTCATCGCTGCAAGCCTCTACGCGAACAAAAGAGTCATCTGATGTCAGCCCGTCGCCGAGCTCTGCACATCACCTCCAGAATCCAGCACAATTGGCAATTGAATCGTCAAACGACTTTGTTCCATCGTTATCAGTGACATCTTCTCCACCATATAATACCACTGTGCTTTGCTACAGTACTTCGCTTCCACCAGAGTGAATAAACGCCCTATGAGGTATTTCACTTTTCTCAAGGTTGGTGGTTCCTCGTTGCGGAACGCCTTCCGTTTAGCGTTTGATGCAGGTGAACTCAGCGGAAAAATTTCGAACACGAAGGAGCAAGTGGGCATGCGACACTATTGATCCTTCCACGAAAGCCACATCAGATTGATTTTGTAGACGCCCTCGTTTGATTGTATTGCGACGTCTTCTGATCAAGGCGTGATATTCAAATTTACTCTAAGGATGGAATATATCCGTACCGACTGACTGAACGACTATCGATTTCTGCCTGCACCATGCATGGATTTAATCATCGCAACACAGAATGACATCCATCGAAACCACCGAAAAGAACGACTGGTCCAGTCTACCACTACCTAGAAGCCATGCTTTTATTTTGCAAAGCGCCATGGTCACCGAATGATCTGGAAGGTCTACATGCATTGTCATTATCTGCCGCACCCCTCAAGATGACAAGACTTCGTAGATGTCTGGTATAAATGTTTATATCCCTTGCTGGATCGCGGAAGCTAGGCAAACGACAACTCACTTCCGATGATAAGCGCGAGTGAGTATACCTCATGCCCGAGAGTTCAGGACCTCGAGACTGCTTCGCGCATGCCTCAGGGAACTTGAAACGTCCTCCAAGCATTCGGCATCGTCTTGCTCGGAGAAGATCAAGTATTCTCTGATCTGTATCAATACGACAACAGTCCATCTATCCTCGGAACCATTGCAACTCCAAAACTCTCCTGATCACAAGCAAAGCATATACACACGTATCTTGCTCAATCAACGAACATACTTCAAAGCTTGCCTGCAACAGCACCACTCCTGACCATAGACACTACCTTATCATCCAACCACTTCTAGACTACAAATAACCCATCACACCTTCTCCTCTCCTTCGCTCGCTTCTTCCTTTTTCAACTCCATCAACCCAAACACCACCTTTGCAAAGATGTACATGAACCCCTCAAAATTCCACGACGTCCCCAACCTCTCCATCCCAGCCTCTCAAAAGATCGCCGCAAGACTATCCGCCCAAACTCCCACTCGCTACAAGTCGTCCCCAAAACCAGAGTCAAAATCCAAATACACCACCCTCGCAAATTCTTCCATCAAAACCAGCGACGAGGATGCTCCAGAAGACAACACTCGATGCCGACCTCGCAGACCAAGTAATGCAGTGATTACAGGTTGTGTGTGCTTGTCTTCAGCACTGTTGTTTGCACTTTGCATACTCGCGGGATTTCAAGCGTATTTCTTGTCAAAGGTTGCGGGGATTGATGGGGAGGGTTTGAGGGTCACGAAGACGCAGATGCAGATGGTGACGAAGACCAAATGGGCGGCTGAGCAGACGGAGACGACTACGAAGGTTGTTTCTGTGATTGCGTCGAAGACTGAAGGTGCTGGGTTGGACGAGTCGAGTGTGAAGCTTGAGCCTCGTCAGACAGAGGGTCTGGAGAGGAGAGGTGGAAGGAAGTGTAAGACAGTGACTGTGTACATACCTCGAGCATCACTGAGCAGGCCCTTCGAGAATTGACTTGCTTAATGTCAAGGAATGTTCTTTTTTTTTTTTTTTTTTTTCCGTCATCCTGGATCTCCAAAGCAGGATTGAAGCAATCCCGAATGCTATAGAAACAGTGATTGGGAGCCACTCTGTATGTATTGAATGTATACAAGATACTCACCCGTTTTAAGAGTCTAGAGACATGATTTTAGTAGAATTCGAGGGGTCGTCCGGTAAATTAAAGTGTTTAGCTAGCTGCGGATATGCTACCTAAATAGTTTATCAAGACTGATTATATGTATAGGCTATTATTACGGCGCAAGACTCTAAAATTATTATTATGCCATGACTCATTTCAGTTGGTATTGCCCGCTATTAGATCCAGCCAATCCAATTTTTGTATTGTATCTTTTCATCTCTCCCATCAATTTCTCCAATCTTCTCCAATCGAAAACAGAAGAAAAAAGAAAGAAAAAAAGAATAGGCCAGGCCAATCGACCAGATTACCAGATTATGGCCCCGCCTTTTGCCGACCCACCTTCCTTTGACAACAGCGGCCACGGTCCACTTGCTGTGCCTGGTTTTGGATATCCTCTAGAGCAAGAAGTACATCCAGGGGATCGATTTACTCATGGCGTACGCGAATGGTTCCGGGGGCCAAATCTCACAGCCCGGGAGCTTGCCATGCTTTCTTTGATAGACGACATTACCGACAAGCCCACCTGGTCGACAGATGTCTTTGACGACGAGAAAACCTCTCAATTGTGCCAGGAAGCACTGCTACGCCCTCTCATCAGTCCGAAAACATGGGAATGGTGTCTCTTGGAATTGCAAGACAAGGCTCGTGATTTTCAAAAGACCGGTCGTGTTTTGGTCTACAACACTGGAGTTGTGATTTCCAAATCAGACCTCGTTGTGGATGGGACCGACATTAAAGACGAGCTCTCAACCTTGACATTGTTATCTCCTTTTAAAACCGCAGCCAAGGATGTCCTTTTCGATCCTGGTGAGCAAACGCGCAGGCTCGTCGATCCTCTTATGTATCCCCTTATACACGGCAAATCAAGAGTCTTGGCTGAGGGGGGAACAGTACCGCTCAACGACATGTTCAAGCACATAAGTAAATGCGACATTGCTCCAAGCATTCCCATCAGAGGAAATTTTCTCCTCTATCATCCCTATTTTAAGAGGTGGAAAGCGTATCGTCAAAGAGGTTGCTCATGGTCGACGAATTTCCAGCGATTGCCCTGCGAAGTCGAATTCTTGGAGGGTGCCGGCACAGATGTTCGAATTACTTCATACGTCAATGGCCTGCATCCTCGGCATCGTGGTCTATATCATGCTATTGAGAAGATCATCTCGTCTTCCGTCGAACCTTGGAATGACGTCTTGATCAAACAAGGTCGTGGGCGCTTCCCAAACCGCATCAAAACCTATGCCGTCTCTTATGAGCCTCCGTCACCTGACTTTGCTCGCATCCGTGAAGCAGGAAAGCAAATCGGGAGTGAAGTTTACTATGCTGCGATCGAAGAAGCCAAGGCATACTGTGCCCAACCTGACGACTTCCCATACGATTCTTCGGATGACGAAGAGAAGATTCCTTTCTTGTGGAAAGAAGATATACCCGAGGATTGGGATGCGTGGTGCAGATCTGGCAATGACTTGGCCAGACCGATGGATATCAAGCAGAATCGGCTCCGTCACTTTGTGCACCCTGAGCCGGGTATGTCGTACACCTATCAGCAGTGGAAGGTAGGCCAAGCATGGGAGCCCATTAAAAAGAAAGTGTTCCGTAGCAACGAACCGGTCACAGAGAGAGAAACAGCGCAGATCCCCCACCAGGCATACACAATCGCTCTCCAAGACTCTTTCCGGCAAAAGGGACTGCAAGTCATAGTCAAGATAGACAAGATCGAACTGAACCCCAACAACCCCAGTTTTGTAGGCAGCGACTGGCACGTCGAAGGCCTGCACAACGAGCATATAGTCGCCAACTCCATCTACGTCTTGGACGAAGACAACACATCATCACCTCGCATTGATTTCCGCCAAGAAACAAGATGGGACGAGGATGAATACGACTACGAATGCGATCTGAAGCAATTCTTGCAAGTCTTTGCCGTCCCATACAAAGAAATCATTCTTGGAGGATCCCTTAGCCCACCTCCTGCATTGCAAAGAGTAGGCTCTGTTGCCCTTCCAGTTAATCGACTGCTGGCTTGGCCAAATGTCCTTCATCATCGCATCACGCCATTCGAACTAATCGACAAGACCAAATCTGGCCATCGCACCTTCCTCACCATATCTCTTGTGGACCCCCACTACCGCATCCTCTCGACCAGAAACGTACCTCCTCAAGACCATGACTGGTGGGCAGACGAAGCTCTCTCCGCAGCCCTACCACCAAAAATCCACGTACCGCGCGAGCTCATCGATCACATCGACTCGTTCACCGAGAGCTGGCCCATAAGCTCACAAGAAGCAACCAACCTCCAAGAGAAAATGGCAAACGAGCAAAAAGAGCACGAACGGGATCTGATGAACTCGCCCGCGGAGGGCTACGATTTCAACATAGACGAGTACAACGATGGGAATTTTCCAGATTTACCTCGCATGGAGCTTGGAAGTTCATGATTGCTTGCTTGCGCGGTAGGTAGCATTTCAAACTTTTTGTCATCCAAAGACTACCTAACTCTGCCAAGTATATTGGTTTGGTTGAACCAAAATCTGAAATGGAGGTTTATGCAAAAGCCGGTAAGATAACCGATGTTAATGTGCTGTCTAAGTGAGAATCAAAATCTCCCATTTGATCATTTGTTACGCGCGGCCCTCGCCTAAATCGACATCATGCTCATCACCCACACCTCTCCTGTTCTCATAAAGCAGCCCTCTCTCTTCACCTTCATCGCCTTCCCTAAGCACACCAGCGCCAATCCCTCTTACCCTCATATGAGCATCCTCATCTTCTCTAGCTCCAGCAACTCTGCCTCCACTCTCATCTCCTCCATTAACAACAAACCAAACGTCTTTTTTGGTAAGCAAGCCTTTCAATACGCCTCTATCGCAGAAGCCTAGGTATCGCAGACCCAAACGTTGGAAGTAGTTGACACACAACTCTAGCCCAATGGCAGAGTTTAGAGTAATGGGTGTTTGATCCATCCAAGGACGCAGATCGAGTGTATGTTCCACATCGGCAAGGGGTTGATGAGAGAAGAAACATTGGGTATGTGGAGGTAAGTTTCTCGCTGTGGTTGCAGAAGACAATGCAAACGACAACTCTGTCCTCGAGATATAACCAAGTAATATCGCATCGTGAGAATTGGATATTACTGGGAAGCCTCTGTAGGAATGTTCCTTGAGGAGATTGCCTAGGGTTTCAATTGTGCTGCCTTCAGCGGTGATGGTGACTAGATCTTCCAGTCTTGTCATGATTTGCGAGACTGGAATGTCGGGGATGGGTCTGTCGTCGCGGTTGTCGAGGAAGGGATATTCATTGAATGCAATCCAAGCTTCATAGATACCGCGTTTGCCCAGTGCGTCACCAACCCATTTCGCTATCATTACAGCAATCATAATAGGAAGCACATAGGTGAGTGCGCCTGTCAGTTCAAACATAATGACCACGATAGAAACGGTCATTCTTGTTGCGCCAGCCAGAGCAGAAGCTGCACCAACGATAGCGTAGGTTCCTGGAGTGATGCACGGAACATCGGGCTCGCAAGAAGCAAAAACAATCCACTTAGGATGCTCGCGTTGCCAGACCTCGACGATGAGACCAATGACACGTCCATACAGAGCCCCGATGGTCATAGATGGCAGTAATATTCCAGCAGGAATCTGAAGACCAAAGGTCAAGGATGTGAAGAAGAAGCCAATGATGGCGGAAATGAGCAAGAGGAAAATGACCCCGGTGTTGGCGATTCCACTTTTGCACAGACCAAGAGGATCGGACTGAATATCCTTGCATTCTGCAAAGAGATAGTAGACCAACTCCGAGGCTTGTGCGCGCAAGAATGTTACAGGGAAAGCGATGACAGAAGTGGCGATGGTGATAATGCAGACCTCTAGTAGAGGTCGACCTTTGAGCGGATAGCGGGGCGAGTCTCGAAGTGCTGCCAGACGCATATTGAGCTTGATCAGCAAGCCGCCATAAAGACCACCAAGAAGACCGATTATGGCGTAAGCGACCATCTCGAAGCCATGCCATCCGGTATGGTAAGTCACAGAGTAGGGTACAGTCTTGCCTGTACGGAAAGGATCGACAGCCTTGAGAGTGAAGGCAGCAATCATGGCACAGACAAATGACTGCCACATGGTCTTGTCGGGAAAGTAGTAAGAGAGAGACTCGAGACTGAACAGCACACCACCAACAGGTGCACCGAAAGCAACCGAGATTCCAGAAGCAGAAGCGGCAGACAGAACTTCGCGTTTGCGAGCTGTGACATGTTAGTATATTCTGTTGGCATATAAATACGCTCGACATACCCTCGTTGCCATTGATGCTTTCAAAAGGTTTCATGAACAAATTGGCGCAACAGCAAGCGACATGCACTAGGGGACCTTCTTTGCCCAGCCATAGACCAGAGGCTACCGCAAGACACTAGAAACAGTCAGCAGAGTGGTATGGAAGCGGATTGAATAAACTCACGAGGCCGATAGACTTGGTCACCAAGGTCCAGATGCCCATGAACCGACGGATCACGAAGCCTCCAAGGACAGTCTTGATCTCAGGGATACCACTTTGCTTGGCATATGTTGAGAATCTAGTAACGAGATATGTAGCGGTAGACGCAAACAAGACCTGAAGATGCTGTTAGGTTCTAGACATTCTTTGCTTGGTCAGTTGCACATACCGAGTAAGCAAGGTACAAGACAAAGTTGATGATCCAGCTACCAGCGCCGGAAGAGACACCCATGCCTTGACTCCACAACTGCCAGTCTGGACACGTCTCGTAGTCTTTCTGGCCCCAGCAACAGAAGCCTTTGTTCAAATAGAACTTTCCACCATCTTTGACGTTACTGCAATAACCAGCCTTGAGGTCTCCTAACCAGCCACTCGTGATGTCGATTGCAGCAGCAATGGCACCGACAGCAATTCCTGTGGCAACGAGGATGATCCAAGTCTGACTGCTATCTGCTAGTAGTTGAAAGTATCCTAGCAGACCAACAGCATTGGAGCGCAACACTCTCAGGCGCTGTCTCTCTTTCGCATACTCAAAAATCCAGTCAATGGCAGTCAGATTGTCGTATCCGACACGACGACCTGGACCCTCGACATACCAGTCGAGTGCTGCGGGATCCTTTGCATCTTGTGCGACAGCCGGAGTGTTGAGGTAAGAGAGGATGTTGGCAGTGGTGGGCTGAACAGGCGAACGCGAGCTCACACGGCGTTGTTGTAGATTTGAAGCATCATGGTCATATGCAGGCGACGGACTTCGACTGGTCGACAAGGGCGAGGGCAGATAGGCAGACGAGGTGCGAAAGTTGGACTTGGACGACGTGTGCGGATTCACGTCACCATCACGGTCGTCGTGGATTGGAGACTCGAGGTATGGCGACTCGTAGGGATTGCGACTTGACTCGGCCTCGACAGCATGATTGCTGTGAGAATTAGAAGAGGATGCTGACATGAGGCATGCGATGCAGCCTGCTACCTGATCAAGCTGGCATGTTGATGTTCGATAACGGTTGTCGCATTGCTGAACATGCTTCCTTCTCCCTGCCGCGACCGCCCCGCTGTTTCAAGCCATCCATCATCCTTTGTACGAAGCCTGACTATTAATTTATTCTACATGCACAATTCTTTCGCGTAGAGCGGATCATGAGAGTAGATTTGATGTGTTCCTGTGCTCCATTGTTTTGTGATAGTTGCAACATTCACCGAAAGTAGACGACGTTGGTCAAACAGTCGGTGCTATTGTCGTTCAGATTGTGTACAAGTTTTGGAGAAGAGCCCCTACAAACAGTGTCTACCCACGACCTTTCAGGTATTGAGCCCAATATCAAGCCACCTGGCTGACGGAACACACAGATATACATCCATCAAATCAAAATCTAGCGAAGACCTCAAAACCGGATGCTACAACATATTCAGGCCAGATTTTGATGGTTATAGGAGCAACCCTGGTCAAGAAGAAGTTTAACATGCCAGTATATCTTTGACATGCATCTAGACCCATAAGTGTTCACAGCTTAGTGAGTCGAAAGACAGATGCTGTTGGTTTGACAATGCGTAAATGTTGAAAAATTGTCCAATGTGGTAGAAGTTTTTGTACACCATAAGTTTGCCCCAGTATAAGTACATAAACGCCGTCACATGTATGCCATGTTCGTCTGAGTAAGAAAGGAAAGGAAGAATGGGGAGTGTCTACTCCATGACAACAACAGCACCGAGGGCCTTGAGTGTTTCGACAATCTTCTCACCCTCCTCCTTGGGCACACCCTCCTTCATGAGCTTGGGTGCGCTCTCGACAAACTTCTTGCTGTCGACCAGGGACAGACCCAACAGACTCTTGATCTCCTTGATGACCTTGGGCTTGGCTCCAGCGTCGAATGACTGGAGCTTGAGGTTGAACAGAGACTTTTCTTGTGCGGCGGGAGCGGCCTCCTCCTCTTCAGCAGCAGCAGGGGCAGCGGCGGGGGCAGCAGCGGCAGCGAAACCACCAACAGGCAGGTCGGGGATGTTGAGGCGAGTCTGAGAGGATCCATTAGTATCTAGTCCAGCAAGAGGATCACGCGGCGCATTCTCTACTGACCTTGAGCGAAGAAACAAGATCGGCAGTCTCGAGAAGGGTCAATTGGCCGATCTGATCAACGATGGCAGCAATCTTGGGGTTGGTGGGAGCGGCGGCCTCGGTGGATTGCCATCTCCTTGAGAGGAACTGCTTGGTCTGGGTGGATGAGACAGAGGCGCGGACGACGGGCGACTGGACGGCGGCGCATCGCCTGAGGACGCGTTGGCAGGAGAGCGACATGGCAGCAGGATGTGAAGAGAGAAGAAGGTGGATCGACGAGCTCGAGGCGGAAGGTGCGACTGCGACTGCGGTATACAAGACTCGTGACTGCCTTTGATCTTGTGCTTCAAAGTGTTCCTTCCTCAGATTTCCCACTCCCGCGGTCCGTGCGCTGGATTTGCGGCGAAGGCAAGAACCTCCGAAGCTTTGCTTTCTTTGAACATTTCCCAATCGAGAAACTTTTTTCTCGACAATTCATTTTCTCGACAAGCGCCGTGCATTCCTTGTCGCCAGGATGGACGTGTCATGGGAAACTCATAATCTGGCATCACGCATCTCACAATTACCGCCAGAGCTCGCTGGAGCGTTACAACAAGGCGACGGCGCACATTTTCTGGCTCAACTCAGCAGAGCTGCTCTTGACAGACGATACACGGATACCATTCTGATTCACGCCGAATCCTTGATCCCACACTGTTGTGCCGAGTTCCACACTTCCCCCGATTATGTCTCGGTCGTCGCCGCATACGCTCGCATCGTCTCTCTCGCTCCTCACATTTCCGAATACGCCGAGCGCTACCTTAGTTCGCATAATGTCGATAGCATCTCCGACTCAAATCTTTTCACAACCGAGTATTTCTTTGCTATAATCCGCTTGTTGCGATTCGATCGCCAAACCTTTGCCAAGTTTGTGCCTTTCTCACGGATACACCAATTGCTCGACCATGATGCTCGTGCGCTACGTTATCTTGCCATTCGTGTACTATGTCTGTATCTGAGCGCCGCAGATGCTGCTCTCCAAGACATGACAAACAAGTACCTCGCAAACGATGCTGCATCTCAGGACTTGGTTGCGCCGCTGGGTTCATGGGAGGGCAAAGAGATCGACTACCGTCTTCTCACATTATGGGAGGAATGTCGCTTGAAGAATCTAGAGAAAGAGAGGGAAACCTTACAACAGGAACGTGCTGTGTACATGGACGCTGAAAATGCTCCTAGACAGTCCGTCATCTTGCCAGCTGAACTCTTCCATCCCTCGACAGCATGCATCTCGGGTGTCTTGCTAGCTCGTGGTGCTGCTCCTACAGACGCATCGACAAACTCAATAGTTGATACTCCCACCACGGCCGCGAACCTGCGTGAGTTAGCCGCCTCACTGAAGGCTCCTAACCCAGTATTACTGACAGGTCTTGCTGGCTCTGGAAAGACGCTACTAGTGCGTCATGCTGCACGCCAGCTTAACAAGCTCAAGTCAATGGTGACATTACATTTGAACGAGCAGAGTGATGCAAAACTGCTCATTGGAATGTACACGACCGGCAAGACTCCTGGATCATTTGTCTGGCAGGCTGGTGTTTTGACAACTGCTGTACTGGAGGGTCGCTGGGTGTTCATCGAAGATTTGGATCGGGCGCCGAACGATATCATCAGCACTTTGCTTCCTTTGATTGAGAGAAATGAACTCGTCATCCCCAGCAGAGGCCAAACAATACACGCTGCTAGAGGTTTCCGCATCATCGCTACCATGCGTACCTCCCTCTCGAACAGCGGGCATGAGACTAAGCCAGCCTATAACTTGCTGGGTGCTCGCCACTGGAAGTCTGTACACGTCGACATGCTACCATCGGATGAGTTGAAGCAAGTAGTGGTCGGTCTGTTCCCTACGCTTCACGAATTTTCTTCGCAATTTGTCACGGTTTTCCAAAATCTGCAGCTGCTCAAACAACAAGCACACCTCGCAAGTCGCAGCAGGACTGGTCTGATGCGTGAGGTGAACCCGAGAGATCTGCTCAAATGGTGCGCTAGAGTGGCGCTTATGCTTGGAGACAGGCCTAACATGACTGCTGGTGAGCTCGATCAGATTTTCTTAGATGCTGTTGATTGTTTTGCCGGTGCCTTGCCTGAGGGTGCAGCTTACACGGCTCTTACTTCTTGCATTGCTGAAAACCTGCAAATCGATCCCCAACGCTGTCAGCACCTGCTAGGCGAGAGAACTATCATTCACAAGGAAGAACCCTCACGAGTTACAATTGGTCGTTCAGTCTTTCCTCGTCAACAGCGGAAAGGACTCGCTGGTCCCACCGGCAAGCGCGCCTTCTCAACGAATGCACATACTCTCCGTCTACTTGACCGTGTTGCTGTAGCTGTTGCACAGAAAGAGCCTCTGCTGTTGGTTGGAGAAACAGGTACTGGTAAAACTACCAGCGTGCAACACCTTGCCGACCAACTTGGCAAAAAGCTGGTTCCCTTCAATTTGTCTCAGCAAAGTGAAAGTGGTGATCTTCTTGGTGGCTTCAAGCCTGTCAATGCTCGATCCATCATCGTACCCCTGAAAGAGGAATTCGATGATCTGTTTTCTGCCAGTTTCTCGTACAAGCGAAATGCTCAATTTATTGACATGCTCAACAAATGTATGGGTAAGCAGCAGTGGGTTCGTGTGTGCAAGTTATGGAATACCGCCCTTGGCATGGTAGAGCAACAAAGAGTCGCCACTCTGCAAGCTGGTAACAGATCGCCATCTAGAGACGGCGAAAACCCTACCAAGAAGCGCAAGGTCGAGCCAGCCATGAGCACTGTTCTGAGTGAAAGATGGGACAAGTTCGCTTTGGAAGTCAAAAGCCTGGAGAACCGCCTCGCTGCTGGTCAGGAGTCGTTCGCTTTCGCGTTTGTTGAGGGTAATATCGTCAAGGCCGTCAGAAATGGCGATTGGGTCCTTCTTGATGAGATCAACCTTGCTTCACCAGACACGCTGGAAGCACTGGCTGACTTGTTCGATGTCAGCTCACCTTCGCTTATGCTGAGTGAAGCTGGTAGCGTTGAGGTCATCAAGGCTCATCCTCAATTCCGTGTCTTTGCTGCTATGAACCCTGCGACTGACGTAGGCAAGAAAGACTTGCCTCTTGGTATCCGTTCAAGATTCACGGAGCTTTACGTGGAGAGTCCGGACCGCGATTACCAAAGTCTGCGAAACATCGTGCAAGCTTATCTTGGCCAGGAAGCAGTTTTGGACAAATCTATCGCCTCAGATGTGGCTAAGCTACACCAAGCGACGCAAAAGCTGAACGAGGAGAACTTGCTTGTTGATGGCGCTGGACAGAAGCCGCACTTCAGTTTGAGAACACTGACACGTGCTTTGATCTATGCAAAGGATGTTTCGCCGCTATGCTCAATTCGTAGAGCTGTTGCAGAGGGCATTCAGATGAGTTTCTTGACTTTGCTCGACAAAGAGTCTGAAGCTCGTTTGTTACCGCTCATTCACCAGCACATGTTCGGCAAGCTTGCAAATGCTGCAGCCGAGCTCAAGAAGCCTTTCCGCCAACCACAAGATGGACACACCTATGTCAAGGACGGAGCTTATTGGCTCAGACAGGGCAACTTCACCGTGCACGATCAGCCGCACTACATTATCACACCTTTCATCCGCCGAAACCTCGACAATCTTATTCGTGCTTCGTTTACTCGTCGCTTCCCTGTTTTGATCCAAGGTCCTACCTCTGCCGGAAAGACCAGTATGATTGAGTACCTGGCTAACAAATCTGGAAACAAATTTGTTAGAATCAACAACCATGAGCACACCGACCTGCAAGAGTATCTTGGTACATACGTGTCGGGCTCTGATGGTCGTCTTCAATTCCAAGAAGGTGTATTGGTAAAAGCTTTGAGAGAAGGCCACTGGATTGTGCTCGATGAGTTGAATTTGGCACCTACTGATGTTCTGGAGGCGCTGAACAGACTTCTCGACGACAACAGAGAGCTGCTCATCCCCGAGACTCAAGAGACCGTGCGTCCTCATGAGAACTTTATGCTTTTTGCTACACAAAACCCTGCTGGGTTGTACGGTGGTCGTAAAGTCCTCTCTCGTGCTTTCCGAAACCGTTTCCTCGAGCTTCACTTCGATGATATCCCGGTCGAAGAGCTGCATATCATTCTTCAGCGTCGTACACAGATCCCCGATACATGGTGCAAGCGCATCGTTAGTGTTTACAGAGAGCTCTCGGTCTTGCGCCAGGAGAACCGTTTGTTCGAACAAAAGTCCTTCGCAACTCTCCGTGACCTTTTTAGATGGGCTTTGAGAAAAGCGGACACTATCGAAGAACTCGCTATCAATGGATTCTTACTTCTAGCCGAGAGAGTTCGCAAGCCCGAGGAGCGTGATGCTGTAAAGAAGGTCATTGAGAAAGTTCTTGGTCAGAAAGGTCCAAAAGTATCAATTGACACCAGCGCACTTTACGGCGCTCAATCTCCACTACTGCAGTCGTACCTTACCCAGGCTGGTTCGAAGGGCGTTGTTTGGACAAATGCCATGCGCAGACTCTATGTTCTTGTCGCAACTGCTCTCCAGAACAACGAGCCAGTCTTGCTGGTTGGTGAGACTGGTTGCGGTAAGACAACAGTTGTTCAAATGCTCGCCGATGCAATTCAAAAAGAACTGCACATTGTCAACGCACATCAAAACACAGAGACTGGTGACTTGATTGGTGCGCAGCGACCTCTGAGAAACAGAGCGGCGATCGAGCAACAGATCCGCGAAATGCTTGTATCGCTTCCTCATGCCGAGATTCAAAAAGCTGCACCTACTTCCAGCCTTGATGAGCTGCTCGTCATATATGACCAGATCAAGCCCAATGTCGATATGAGCGATCCTTACACAGCTCAGATCTACCAAGCCATCGACTCAAATCGTCCTCGATTGAAGGCACTGTTCGAATGGGTCGATGGCTCTTTGGTACATGCAATGAAGACAGGTCAATACTTCTTGCTTGATGAAATCTCGCTTGCAGATGATTCGGTTCTCGAGCGTCTGAACAGCGTGCTTGAGCCTTCAAGGGAGATGCTTCTTGCCGAGAAGGGCTCCCTTGACTCTTTCGTGAAAGCGCAACCTGGGTTCCAATTCTTCGCTACCATGAACCCTGGTGGCGACTACGGCAAGAGAGAACTGTCACCAGCTTTGCGCAACCGTTTTACCGAAATCTGGGTGCCTGCTCTGTCCGACATCGAAGATGTTCTGCAAATCATTCGTT